TGTATGTGTACGTCGGCGGCAAGCCTAATGGCGTACTATCATTCTTTAAAGATATTTTATACCTTAACTTACATCAAAATCAAAAGATTATAGTTCATAAATTAACTATTATAAAAATCGGAAGTGAATCGGATTCTAGGCTTCTAATACATACGGACAGGCAAACAGATAAACAGACACACGACAGCTTAGTAATAGAGTCTCGACTCGACCCTCTTATAACTCTATATCATACGGAATAGAAATCTTATGTAAAAAACTCATACGAGTGCAGCGACACTGTCGACACAAGTCGGTAAGCGAAGGTCGCGCGTCGGTTGTGTATTATAGGAGCTTTAAGAGGATTGTGAACCTGTAAATTTTCATACAAAAAGCGATAACGTTTTTCCCCCCTTAAACATAGTCTAATTTTCATAATTTTTGGAAATGTTGTAGATATAATCAAAACCTAGGTCCGTACGTTTTTATTTTTTTGAAATATTGCGTACGACAGAAGTTATTAGCATCTAAATATCTATATTTTTGACCTAAAAACTTCCTCCAGCGTTTTTATTTGTTTAAATTAAACTAAACTGAATTACAAAAAAAGGAAAACGTACAGACCTAGATTAAGGTGTACTGAATCTAATGAGACCAAAATCGTCTCATTTCGTTAATGTTTAGGGGGGTGAAAACGTTATCGCCCGAAACAATATTTCAAAAAGGAAATGTAGGTAATTGAGTCTAAGACTTGCAACTCTCTCTATCGCACCATACGGGTCGGGGGCAGGGGCATATTTTAGACTGTAGTGATGTTGAAGGTGCTATCGATATTATTATCTCCTAGGGAGGAGAAGGTAATATCGATATATCGATCGATACTGAAAGGATTCAATCCAAAGTTTAGAATTTTATTATACTCGTATGTATAGATTGTAACTAAGCCGTATCTGTACATTAAATATTTTTTGGAAAATATTATTGAAATAAACATTATTATCGATACAGAGGCCGAATCTATAGTTTTTTGAATTTTTGTCTGTCTGTCTGTATGTCTGTCTGTCTGTATGTCTGTCTGTCTGTTACCACGTCACAGAAAAACCACTGGAGGGATTTTGATGAAATTTGGTATGGTAGTAGCTGGTTATCCGGATCAACATATTATAGCATTACCGCGGGAAAATATCTCATTTCTGAGAAAAAATACAAAACTGAAAATATATATATAAATATATATATATATATATATATATATATACAGGGTCATTTTTAATTTACTGAAGACCTTTTGGGAATATACTATTTACATCATAACAACAACCTCTGTAACAAGAAAAAAAAAAATTTCTTAAATTTTCATTTTCATACAAAAATAAAAATATTTTCTATATCATCATCATCATTATATCTGGCCAAGTTTGAATGAGTAAGGACCACTTCCTACACCCCTCCACCCCTCGCCCTCCACCCCTCGCCCACCACCGGTCACGCGCTTTCTTTTGCTAATTGCTGGACTATTACCGTTTAGAAGGAGCAATAAAAATACTTTTATTTTTGTAAAATTTATATTTTTAATTTTATATTCGTTATAATTTATAATATTCGTTATAATTTTATGAAAATTATTACTAATAGTATGTGTATAATTATATATATATATACACATACTATTCGTTATAATTTTTTCGAAATTATCGATATTTTATTAGTTTTTGGAGTTAATTTTATTGATTTTTCTGAAAAAAATGATTTTAGGGCAATTACAGAAAGAAATGAAAATCATTCGTAATCTAATCTTGTTTATTCATTAGTTAAAAATATATTTAAAAAAATTAAGTTGATATATTTTATAAAATTTAGTCATAGATATGTTAAAAAATCGTAAATCATCATCATTCATGATCAGGTCATTTTATGAATTTCTATTCCTTATATACCTGCTAACATTTTAAAATCATAAAACTTCAGGTTTTCAATAAAATAATTATTTTAACAATAAAAGAATTCCGATGGGTCTATTAGTACCTACATAAACAACAAAAAATTCTACAACTTTCAACTTTTGGAACGAGATTTTTGTAATTGATCTAAACCACCTATTTATTTTTTTATGATTTTTTGAAGTCATCAATCTAAACAAGTCAAATTTTAAATGATATTCGCCACAGAATTGTAATTTAGAGTTATTTCAGTTTATGAATAAAGGTGCGATGTAACTTGTAGGGAATGTATATTGTACGCAAACCGTTAAAATAATAAATATTAGATAAACTTTGAAATTGCTCTTGCGCCGAGTCGCGCCGCCCCCGCCCCCGCCTCCCGCAAGCGCCCGCGCGTCACCGGCTGCTGCTATCATAGTGTGTGTGAGAATTTGCGTATGTTGTATTTGTGTTGTTCACTGCCGGGGGGATGCAAAGCGGTATGAAACAGATAGCATTTTTAAAAATACCTACTCTCGCCGCGTATCGGCACTTCACAATCCTCTTAATTTTAATTGCATTAATGTCGGTAAACGCGGCAAATATATAAACCATATTGTTCCACGAGAGGGTTAATTAAATACGATTTAATTTCCTACGTTAAACCGTCAACGTGGAGTAGCTCTGATTAACATTTCTGTTTGTAAATAAGCATGTTATAAATAAGTAGAAGGTAATAAATCGCACCGTCAAGTACAGGTTTTAACCGGTCCAAATAATTAAATACACAAATCTTAGGACATTTCTAACTTTTAAGATATTAACTCAAGTACTATTTATAAATGGCTAAATTCAACGCTCGACACCTACTCGTATACCTAAACATTATTAGTATATGAATACTAATTACTAGCGACTCACCCTCGCTTCGCTCGGATTCGTCCCTAGGTACGTTTAGTATGCATGTATTACACATAAACCACTATCTATTGCTACCTGACCTGATTTAAAATCCGTTGTGTAGTTTAAAAGATCTAAGCGTACAAACAGCGAGAGCGACTTTGTTTTATACTATGTTTAATGTATGTGATTTACTTCATTATTATTTTTTTACTTCATTTTTTATAGTTTTATTTTGATAGTGTAGGACTAGGTATATATTAAATAGCACAAAATATGTAATAACTTAATGAGCTTAAATCTATGTGTTTTACGTAAGAGGGATTTAAAACATTACATCTTGGAAGGAAACAACGAAATAAAAGAAAATGAAAAAATGTTTATTGACTAAAATACTTTGATAGGTCATATTGCCTAATAAAATTAACAGGGGCTTTATTTTTAAATTTTGACTTGAATAATTAATTTATAATCAGTACATAAAATAATGAATACTAGTATGCCCATACAGTAAATAAAGTCATTTCATATTTTTGAAACACTTTATATGAATGAAAATGTAGTATAGTAGCTAGAGTACATTTACAATCACTAGCGACTCACCCTCGCTTCGCTCGGCTTCGTACGTTTTAACGTTTAGTATGGAATAGATATACTATGTATACATAGGTAAGATGAATTTTATATCCCTTACTTGAGAAATTATTGATTTTCCCATACAAACTTCCATCCCCCTTTTCACCCACTTAAGGTATGATTTAACGGGATAAAAATTACCCTATGTCCCTCCCAGGGTATTGAACTATCACCATACAAATTTTCATCTAAATCGGTTCAGCCGTTTACTCGTCAAAAGGTAGCAAAATAACAAACTAACAAACAAGGAAACAAACAACAAACAAGAAACGCGTATTAGGTATTGGGAAATATTTTGTCGATGTAAACGTCTTAATTTTATAAAATTATATTAGCGACTCACCCTCGCTCCGCTCGAGTTCGTCCCTTTTTCGAGTTTTAACGTTTAGTATTGATTTCTCAGAGATGAGATATTTTCCCGCCATAAAAAGTATTCTATATATGTTGACCCGGATAACCAGCTATCGTCATGCTAAATTTCATCAAAATCCCTTCAGTGGTTTTTCCGTGACGCGATCACAGACAGACAGACAAACAAAAAAGCTAAAAACTATAGATTCGGCCTCTGTATCGATAATAAAGACGATTTCAATAAGATTTTCCAAAAAATATTTAATGTACAGATTCGGCTTAGTTACAATTTTATTATAATATGTATGGATTAGATTTATAAATGAGTAGAACTAAAATTTTATTATAGACCACGTCTGCTGGGAAATGAGAAGGAAATTAAATTTCGTAACACTCACGATACTTGTCCAAATTCAAACAAAGGCGAGGAAAAACATTCTAATTTTTTTGCCACCCAAAGCGATCTACCTTATGCGAACTTTTTATATAGGACGAACGAAAATCTGCTCCATTTACCAAATCATTCTTATACAACTTTAACTTATCTTAAAAACGTTCTTGAAACTCTCAGAATCTGTAAGATACATGTTATGAAAAACTAATTTACCCCCGTGGTTTCGCCCGGATGGTGCCTAATTCATAAGTGTGCCGTGGATAAAAAGGTATACCTAAGGTATTACGAGTCCCGCTGACGTCGTCGACCTTGGCCCGCGAGAAATTCGCCGTAATAGCACAATTTAATACATATACTTAGTATGTATATTATCTCAATTTGTTCTTATAAACAATGTGTATATGTATGTGTATATTCCCTTTGGACTCGAAACGGCTGGAGTGATTTTGATGAAACTTTAAGACAATCTTCAGATTTGCCCAGTAGGTGATCCTGTGAAGTTTTGTAGCGATTGGAAGTTTGAAAGCGGTAGAAGCCGCGGATACTGCTAGTATTTTATAGTTTTGATTATCTACTTTAAAACAAATAAAACTGCAAAACACTTTATTATCAACATTTATTAAGCATTATATAAATAGAAATTATTAGCAATAATTATAACATTTCATTTGTATAGCACAATACATTATTGTACAACAATATTACTGCGGGTGTTCATTATAAAATCTCGCAGCACCGGAGGTAGGGGCACAAAATTGATATAATAAATAAGTTTAAATATATCAGAGACCACAGTGTATTTGTATACATCATACCAATCAAATGCTAATAATATCTGTCACAAGCCCAGCTGCTATAGTAACACCTGCAACTCTTAGCATAACACGCCCCAGTTCTTTAACATCCTTATACTTCTCAATACAAATTGGCCTGCAAACTTCTATTTCTACAACTGCTACTGAGTTATTACCTAAGCACCTAGGCTTCTTTTTTAAAATCTCTCCTGTGCTTTTATTCAATAATGCCTTAAGTTTAACTATATTTCCAGACTCTACCAATGACTGGTGGTGAATGAGGACAGGGAAACCTTTAGTTATGGGTACCTTTACATTAAAAACTACCAATCTAGCTTCAAATCTTGAGGTTACCGGTACCTGTTGAATTGGATCACTTAAAATGTAGCCTGTAGAGACATTCTGCATTTCAACACCTGATAATGTTACACTAACTTGATCACCAGCAAATGCAACATTGCTTACCAGATCATTTATACTCAAACTTCTCACTTCTGCTATTTCCTTTGTAGGACACACTAGAACTTTGTCTCCTTTGTTTATAACACCATTTTCAATACGTCCTGCCACACAAAATCCAGAACCTGTACCTTTGAATATATCATTTATTGACATACGCAATGGTTTTGATACAGGTCTTTGAGGAACATTGAATTTGTCAATAACATCAAGCAAACAAGGTCCATCATACCACTTTAACAACTCAGGCTCTATTGGAGATTTCACCAAATTTTCACCAGTCAAACCAGAACAAGGCACATATGTTACATCAGAATCCTTAAAGCCAGCCTGTTTCAAAAAGGCTTTAAGTTTTTTAGTAATTTCATCAAACCTCTCCTGAGACCAATTGCTGGTATCCAATTTATTTACAGCTACAGCTAGCTGGTTCACTCCGAGAGATCTGACAAGTAAGGCATGTTCCCGTGTTTGACCACCAAGGTCAAAACCTGACTCAAATTCACCTCTTGTTGCATCTATAACAAGAAGTGCAACATCTGCTTGTCCTGCACCTGTGATCATATTAGGAATAAAATCAGCGTGGCCTGGAGCATCTAAGATTATAACTTTTTTTGTTTTGGTTTCAAACTGTGCCCTTCCTACATCCATTGTTATGCCTCTCACCCTCTCTTCACCAGTCTCATCTAATACCCAAGCATACATAAAACTTTGTTTTCCAATTTTCTTACTCTCTTGCTCATACTTATGCAATGTTCTCTGGCTAACTTCACCTAGATCACACAGAAGACGGCCCATCAGTGTAGACTTTCCTGCATCCACATGACCAATAACCACTATATACAGGTGGTCCTTTTCAGATCCTCTCTCATTTGTATATTGTAATTTAGGGTCAACTTTGTTTTCTTTAACTTTTGTTATAATTTTATTATCATCCACTTGGTCTGATCTAGGAGTTCCTTCTCTGAAAGCTGGAGACTGATCTCTTGGTGTTTGTGAAGGACTTCTAACATCTTCATCTCCTATTTTGAAACCTTTAATCACTCCAACTTTATTAGGCTCCACTTTAGTAGCAATTACTTTTGGTGTTGTATCCACCTTACTAGGCATAATAGGCATAGGTATAGGTTCGATAATTGCAGGTGGTTGGTTAACTGGTTCTGTATTAATTATTTCATCACTTTTACCCTTATTGTCGTTTAATATTTCATCTAAAGCTTGGTTATAATTAAAGTTGTGTTTAAGCACAGATTTTATTAGAATATTATCTGGAATCGTATCCCCTAAAATATTTCTTAGCTCATCGAGACATGACATTAGTTTTGCTTCATCGTCTTCACTTAAGTTAAGGCCGCGTAAGTCCATTGACTCACGTCGTTCCAAAACTGGCATCGTAGATTCTGGTAAATCTTCATTCTCTTCTTGAATATCATTTCGACTGTCTAAAAAGTTTGCTATAGCATGTTGATTTCCAGAACGATCATACATCCACTGTGCTGTATCACTTGGTGACAAGCAGCTGTCTTCTTCAACAGAATGCCCGTATACATCATCATAATCGTATTCATCGGAATAGTTTCGATTCCTTACATTCCTATGGCGCGCCATGCTATTAATTAAGTGCAAATGAATATTCTAATAGTTTACTGTCATATTTATGTTATTTAAAGTCCAATTTTCACGTTCTTCAAATTCAATATACTTTTGACAGAAAATCTTGGTGTTCCTTGTCTATGATCATGGATGACAAATAAAAGCATTTTTAATGTCATAGCACAACGTGATAAAAACATGTCGTTCAAAACTTTATAAACAAAATCTCATTTAAAATATATCATTAGTATTTTATAAAATAGACATAATTTAATGTAGAAACTATTATTTTACTTATAATTATTATTTTTTCTATACTACCCAGTTTCATCTTACAAACTATACATACAATTAACAATTTTATTAATGAAAGTGAATAATTTTGCAATGTATGGTATTTTACTTTGTTTTAATGAAGTTTTTATTTGATTAAGAGATGTAATAATTGGAAATCAATTTTATTTTTTTATGTTTCTATGTATTTATTGACAGTAAAAGTTACTAAAAATTAATTATTTGAAACACTTATTTAGGCTTGCAGCACTGCTACGCTAACTGTCATCAATTACAGCATTTCGTTTATGTCAAAACTGTCATCAGTCTTCATGTCATTCATTCTTCTAATTTCTCAACAAATGATTCGAGAAATAATAAAAACGTAACACCCACAATTTACTATTTGTGTACCTATTTTAAACAAAACAGTGACGTTTATTTATGTTTTAGGCAGTCTATATCTGTGTTATCCTAAATTTTGTATTAAATATACGTATAACTTTTATAAGTAAAAGTAAACTACGAATTATTAGTTTTGAACTTGGACCCTGACTACATTGTATTCAAGTTTGTCAACATGAAGAAAAAGGTAAGTAATTTTAAAATTGTAAAAAAAATAATTGATTATTTGTAATTGTAAAAAGATAAGTAAATCTTTTAGTTAATTCTATATAATGAATATTTTAATATTTAATTATTTTAATAGGTTCTATTGATGGGAAAGAGTGGATCTGGCAAAACGAGTATGAGATCCATAATATTTGCTAACTATATAGCAAGAGATACACGGCGGCTAGGTGCTACAAGTTAGTATAAAAAGCTATTAATAGCAAATGTTAATATTTATCTTTTATCAAGCATCCTTATGAGTTGTGCATTTTATAGTTTATTATAGACCTATACTTTTATTTCATATTGTGAAAAAAAACAGGTTTGATGAAGCTAAAATAATTACTTGAATTCTAAGCATTTCCTTCTTTTGTTCACATAAAACAATGTCACATGTAATTTGAAATAAATTATGCTTAATAATTTTTCACAGATTTTGTGTTTTTATTTTTTAACTGTGATAAAAAATATTAGCAAATACATAACTATGTATTTTATAAATATAATGTCTTGTTTTTCAGTTGATGTTGAACATTCACATGTCCGGTTTCTGGGTAATTTAGTCCTTAATTTATGGGATTGTGGAGGCCAAGAAGCATTCATGGAAAATTATTTTGCATCTCAGAGAGATAATATTTTCAGGAATGTTGAAGTCCTTATATATGTTTTTGATGTTGAAAGCAGAGAGATGGAAAAGGATATGCATTACTATCAATCTTGCCTAGAAGCTATTTTACAGGTATGAAAGCTACAGACGAGTTACCAATAAATATATAACTAGCATTACCCACGTCTTCGCCCACATCCAACTTCCGGTCGCTAACAAAATTCACAGGATCACCCGCTGAGCTAATCTGAAGATTACTTGAAAATTTCATCAAAATCCAGCTGTTTTGGAGTCCATAGGAAACATACATACACACATAATTTTTATTTTAATCAACAATTTAAATTTATTTATTGCTCGGAAAATGGAGTTTTTTGTGAAAATTTAGTAACACAGAGACTACAGCTACACCTACTGGATTCTTTTGTGTATTCAAGCCTTGCAGGGACCCACTCGAATATATACAAAAAATATCATTAAAATCGTCCCTGCTGCTTAGGAGATGATCAATGACACACTTACTGCAGCGCCACCTACCGGGTTCATTTGTGTTTTCAAACCTTGCAAGGACCCACTCGAATATATACAAAAAATCTCATTAAAGTCGTCCCTGCTGTTTAGGCGATGATCAATGGCACACCGACTGCAGCGCCACCTACCGGATGCAATTGTATTTTCAAACCATCCAGGAGCCCATTGAAATATACACACAAAACTTCATTCAAATCGGTCTAGTCCTTTAGGAGGAGTAGATTAACAAACACATATACATAAGAATTATATATATATACTAGCGGACCCGACAGACGTTGTCCTGTCTACACGTCTTTAATTTGAAAATTTCAAACTTTTTTTAATAATTTTTTTGATGAAAATTATTATTCAAATTATGAATCTAAACCATTCCCAGATCCCCTTGAACACACACAAAAAATTTCATCAAAATCGGTCCAGTCGTTTGAGAGAAGTTCAGTGACATACACACTCACAGAAGAATTATATATATAAAGATATTAAGATACATTAGTAACTCTTTGATATATAATAAATTAGTATTAAATAAATACATAAGAATTTAATTTCATTTAATGTAGAACTCTCCTGAAGCCAGAATATTCTGCCTAGTACATAAAATGGATCTTGTAGCTGAAGAACGGCGGGAAGAAATTTTTAAAACTCGTGAGGAAGACTTGAAAAGGCTCTCTAAACCACTTGAATGTACCTGTTTTAGAACTAGTATATGGGATGAAACACTCTACAAGTAAGTTTAACCATTTTATTCCACAAATAATTTTCTCAGACATGTGCATAATAATGTGGATATAGTATAAAAATAAAAAAAATTCAATAGGTAATTAAATTATTCTAAACTAGCAGAACCAGCGGTTTCGCTCGCGCAAAAACTACAAAAAAAAACACTAAAAACTTAGATTTCATAAAAACTTTCATCCCTTATTTTATCCTCTTGAGGAATGAATTTCGAAAAATGCTAAAACATGTATTTATTTATTTGTATTGAAGAGTATTAATACCAAGCAAGTAATTCTGATCATAAATATTTTTTTGGGATGTATGTGTTTTCCCATGGAAATAAGATAACCTTCCTGCGGGAAAAACTATCCTATGTCACTCTCCAGTATTCCAACTATCTCCGGACAAAAAATTATGCCTATTCGTCACTCAGTTTCAACATGAAATAAGGACAAACAAATACACTTTCACATTTATAATATTAGTATGGATACATATAATGTATTAACATTGACTGAAATTTTTCTGTGCAAGTATTTATTTTGCATTTTATATTTCGATACAATATCTAAATATGAACACATAACTAGCAAACTTACCCTCGCTTCACTTGGGTACAACCCCAGGTAAGGTTTAATTTTTTTAAGTGGAACCCTAATTCTTTTTCTATAATAAAAGTAGCCTAAATTACTCCTTATAACATAAGTTATCTGAAAGTGAAAGTCCCGTTATTATTAGTCTAGCCGTTTATTTATAAAATTGTGTTTTTCTTATAAGTACTGACTGTATATAATTTAATTAATGCATTTAATAAACAGCTGTTATCTTGACATTACAAACAGACACATCAATTTTGTTTATCTGTATAGATAGAGAATGAAAGTTGCACTATAAAGAGTGTTGTAAGGTATGGGTTTGTGTCAAATTTGGTTAAATCTATATAATTTCTATACAGTTTTTCGTTATAACTAACAACTTTATAAAGAGTTTACACTGTAGTAATAAATGTATCTTGGACTAGCGACTCACCCTCACTTTGCTCGAGTTCGTCTCTAGGTTCGTTTTAACGGTTAGTATGAAATAGATAGACTATATATATAATATGATATTTTAGCCTATAGCCTTCCTCAATAAACGGTCAATCTAATGCAAAAAGAATTTTTCAAATTGGATTAGTGGTTCCTGAGATAAGTGAGGTCAAACAAACAATCAAACTCTGCCTCTTTATAATATTAGTATAGATATAATGTTACTTGATATTGATTATATTGCAAAAAGTAATGAGTGTCAATGAAATATTATAAAGCAGGTGTTAATTATTCATATCTTTTTCTGTATTCATTAAAATGTAATGTTTATTGAAAGTGTTTGTGTTACAGGGCATGGTCCAGTATAGTGTACAAATTAATACCCAATGTTAAAGCACTAGAATCATCACTGAGACAGTTTGCCGCTATAGTGGATGCTGATGAGGTTAGTTATTTTTGCTGTTATTTTATGCAGTCATGAAACATGATTAATGCTCTATTTCTTTAAGAGTTTAAGTTTTGACCTATAAAAAGGTTGCAAGTATGTGATATACTCAATTGATTCTCGATTATGGCATCTAAACCCAATGAGAGTGATCTAAGTGAGAGAAATAATATGAACATTTATTTTTATTTATATAGATATTGAGTGTTTATGTAACATATCTTTGATTTATATTTACTAACAGCGACTTACCCCATCGCTTCGCTCGGTTTCGTTCCTGGGTTGTTTCCCCATACAAACTTTCGCCCCCATTTTCACCCCCTTAATGATGATTTCCGAGATAAAAACTATTCTATGCCCTCACTAGGGTCTCAAACTATCTTACCAAATTTCATCTAAATCGGTTCAGTACTTTTGGAGCCTATTTGATACAAACAAACAAAAAAACCATTGTTTCCTCTTTATAATATTAGAATAGATAAAAGTAGCCAAGTTACTCCTTATAACGTCAGCTATCTGTCAATGAAAGTCCCGTCAAAATCAGTCCAGTCGTTTCAGAGATAGAGAGAGGCAGACAAAAAATATTAAAGAAAAAAAACGTGTAAGTACCATACCATACACTTTCGCTTGCATTTAGTAAAAAGTTGTTATTTTCACATTACAAACAGATACAGAGTATAGATTTTATATGTTTATTGTGTAGGTGTTACTATTCGAGCGCGCGACGTTTCTCGTGGTGTCGCACTGCCAGCGGCGGCCGCACCGCGACGCGCACCGCTTCGAGAAGGTCTCCAACATCGTGAAACAGTTCAAGCTGTCGTGCTCCAAGCTCGCCGCGCAGTTCCAGAGCATGGAGGTGAGATGCGTTTTGTTTTTTTTTTTGAAGTTATACTTCTTTTGGCACGTTTGGAACAAATTATGACAGTAAAATTTTTACGATGCGCGCGCACCGACAGCTAATAGGCGACATGGCGAAGTTAGCTGATAACTGTCACTCTGGTTCCCAGGTGAAAACTCAATCAAAGTACTTTATTCAAAAGTAACTACATATATTCAAAGTAGTTTTTCAAATATTCATAAATCTAGCACATACTTTATATCAGTGGAGAAAAAAATATATATTTCTTTTTATTAATTTATCATTCCTTTTAAAAAAAGAGTTGTGACATACGAAATGAAATCTTTAGCTATTTTTATTCTTACTTACGTGCGTACATAAGTACACACACACATTATTTATGTATTTTTTGATGTGAAACATCTATAGGCGCGCCTTGGCAGTAAAATCGACTCGTAGTATGGCGGCAAACGGCGGCTTGACGCTGTCATGCCGTCATGCCCCTTCTGCGCCACCGCTCTCCGCTCCCTCATGTGTGCGCGCGCGTATACTATACACGCTCCATTGTAAAACAGTCTCTATTAAAAATACTTGCATATTTTCTATTCTATTTATGAATATATAATTATTAATTATTATTATAATTAAGAGAAGAAAAATAAACATAACTCTATTTCTTCATTTTACTCCATATCGTTATAGGTTTTTATTAATTATGAATAATTCTAATGTTAATATCGATGTTTCATGTGTCGATCGGTGACTGACATCAATGTATGTATTTTTTTTAATTATATGGGTGGCGGTATTCTTAATGTAATAATATTATTTGATATTTTTTGTATTTTTAATTTAAATAAATGTAGAATTGTAGCTGTAGAAGAAATTTAAATATAGATTAATATTAGTTATACATATCATATGTATATTTTAGTTACTCTTGTAGGGCAATTGTTATATTATTAAAATATTACTATTATATGCACTGCTTCAGTTTTAAATCTTTTTAACCTAAAGATTTTAAAATATAAAATATTTTTATATCTTCCACTTTTTTAACGTAATTTAAGAAATATTCTTTGTACACTTAGATTGTATTTATTTTAAAATTCTTTCAGGTGAGAAACAGTGTATTTGCAGCGTTCATAGACGGCTTCACAAGCAACACCTACGTCATGGTCGAGATGTCGGACCCCAAAATACCGTCTGAAGCAACACTCATAAATATACGAAACGCAAGAAAACACTTTGAAAAACTAGAAAAAGTATCCTCTAGTGCCCCCAGCCAGTACCAGTGATCGGATATATAATAAAATCTCGCTGTACATATTTATTACTCATGTATTTTTTTTATTTACTTATTATAATCATAGATAGCAGCTGTATAGTATAGCCATAGTCATATAATGGCCTTGTTTATTACAATGTTGGCTGCGATTGCTATTCATAATAATAGATAAAGTCTAATATGGTGGATTTTCTCGTTCTACAATCTTTGAAGAATAGAAGTCTTAAAATATAAATGGTAATTATATTATTAATTATCCATAATTATACTTATAATATTATAAATGTGAAAGTGTATTTGTTTGTCATTCTTTCGCGTGATTGGCGTGATTTTTTGTGTGGAGATATTTGGAGGGCTAGAGAGTGACATTGGCAAATTTTTACAGCGGGATTATGTCTTTTCCACGGAAAAACACATTATAATACAATCCACGACAACTCATCATACCTATGTATATATACATATACATATATAGTCTATCTATTCCACACTAACCATTAAAACGTACCTATATCATAATTCTATGAAAACAACTAAATGTCATTTCAATATATGTAATTTAAAAAGATTCTAATCTATTGCGATTGTAGAATTGAAGTACCTTCAGATTTGGTGAAAAGAAACGCATATGGAGAGAGGATTTGAATATTCCTTTCCAGGCATTGTGTGACTTGAAATTAGTCCTTTATAATTTTTGTATTTTCTGTCTAATGGTGTGATTCCCAAAACTAATTTTTCAAAACAGCTATTTATTAGAGACTGAAGCGAATTTATTTATAAAATATTATTGTAATCAGCGGATTTTATTAATTCTATTTCTTCTAATAAATCAGTGGTAGTCCAGTGGTAACGCGCTCGCTTGCATAACTGAGTGAAGTGGGTTCAAATCCCGGGTGTCGCATCTCTGATATTTTCATGTGCGAATCATTTCCAACATGATTACCACTTGTCTTACGGTAAAGGAAAACATCGCGAGGAAACCTGCATTTCTGAGAGAATTTAACAAGTTTTTGAAAGACTATGAAGGCCGCCAATCCGCACTTGGCCAGCGTGGTGGACTATGGCCTGATCCCCCTTGTATTGAAAGGAGGCCCACGCCCAGCAGTGGGACGTTAAATAAGGCCTGAATACAATTTCTTCTACTCTGTCTCTCATAAACTTTGACATATATACAACTTGTGTATAAACTTTAATTTTTAAATACATATAACTAAGGCCACTAAGATAATTTCAAGTCTTAACTTGAAATGTAGGAATATAATATTAAGGTCCTTCTCTTTATATATGTTTAGAGAGAAAAGAAATTATATCCATATAACAATTTTTCTTACTAACAAAATTCCATTCAACTAATATATAAACTTTTTTTAAATAGGATATGCACTTGCCAAACCAAATCGTTTGATATGATGCTTATATAATTTATTAGTTATAATATTAATATTACACATTATTTTTAAAGGCCTGTTCTAAAACCACTTGCTATTATAAAAAACACATAATAATTTATTTTTAAAGTTATACTTCTTTTGGCACGTTTGGAAAAAATTATGAGAATAAAGTTTTTACGATGCGTGTGCACACCGACAGCCAAAAAGCGACATGATGAAGTTAGCTGCATTCCTTTTACAAACAGAGAGTTGTCACATACGGGATGAAATCTTTAGCTATTTTTGTTCTGTTACGCCAAAGAAGTATAACTTCTTGCGTGCGTACATAAGTACATACACACGTTTTTTTTAATAAATAATGACATGTAGCATTAATAAAAATTAAGGAAGCATAAATTATAATTAAGGAATTTCACTCCATTATTATAAATGAAGCTCTATATCTCAAAAATGTATAAATATATTGTTGGAGAGATGTAATATATAGAAGAAAGCTTTCATTAGTTTCCATTGTTGTATATATAAATTATTTATTATATCTTATTTATGATAGTTGATATATAAGCATAGAACATAATGGCCTATCACTTTTTGTCTCTTTTTATCTCCCAATTTTCTGCAAGGGAAAGAGCGTGATAAGTGTATTGTTTTTTCTTACAAAATAATTCAAGGAAGATTTTATAGGGAAATGTAAAAATATAAGTGTGTTTGTTTGTCCTTCTCTCACGTCGAAACAAAGTGACGGATTGGCGTGATAGTTTAATATATTCGGTATCATAAAATAGATCCGCTAGTATTTTATAAAATTCATTATTGTCTCTTTTTTACTTTCACAACCCAAAAATAATAATGATCAGAAGATAGCGTAAAATTTTCAGTTTAAGTGAGACTCGTTAAAAGGGTATAATTTTATTACTCATTACGTTGCTATGGTAACGCACAAATAAACCGATTACGAAAACTTACAATATTCAGCAATAATATATTTACAATATGCAAGAGGTATACTTTAGTATATAAATTTAAATCTTTGCTTAATTGTTATTTAATTAAATTTATTTAATTTAAAATATCCCTTGTACTACAACTTGTTCGTTGAATGAAAATATCCTTGAATCTTTAAATAGTAATAAAAAAATTACGTGAAAGTAAGTTTTGGCCTAGCTTAAAATGGCATGCCTTAAAAATATTTTAATATGCTTACGCATGATAGGTTCAATCTATATATATTACTTATTGCTTCAAAAGGTCACCGCCCTAGTAACAGCCGCCAGGCTGTATTATAATTTTAGAAGATTCTTTTCTGACAATAAAGTCCTGGAAAGCGTTATTGTCAATTTGCATGTCTTTATATAACTCGCGTCTTCTAAAAAGAACGCTGGAAGAAAGTGGGGGGGGGGTATGTTTGCGCATAGGTATACTTGCGCACAAAAGTACTAAGCCTATTATTTTATTTTTCATAACATTTCGCTCGCGGCTTCGTATATTAGTTATTTATTGGTAGGGGCATTGAAAAATACCTATATTATATAAAAATATTGTTTTTTTATTTTATTTTAAATAGAATCATCATCCGTTGTCATTAAATAGAATTAAAAACATGTTTGTTACAGTGTAAAATATTTTAATCTTTATATATAAAACAAATTAATTGAAAAATATATTAGATAGAATATCATTGAATAGAATTCTATTCATTATTAAAATATGTTTGATTCAGTGTAGAATGTTTAAATCTACTTATAAAAAATTAAATTCATACGTTTAATACATTTTTTTATTATCAACTGCATTATTAATAGACTCTCTTTATAAAACAATATACGTCAAAAATAATTTTTCTCTCTTTTCTATATATAAACCATTTCGTATTTAAAAACTTTTGTGTGCGCGATGGTATTTCGAACTAACGAACCAATAGCGCGCCGGCAAGCACGCGGCGCGTGCCCCGCCGCCCCGCGCCCCACCTCTTACCACCAATTTGACCGATAAATCGCTTCTGCGCAGCTTGACAGCCAGCGTTCTTTTTAGATGACGCGAGTTATACTCGGTAACACTGTAAAATAATAAAATTTAACAAAATAGTTTTAACTCTTAAAATTCTTTTTACGTTATTTACGAATATCGCTTTTATCACCCATATCCACGTATAAATAACTAGTTAATATATAAAGTATAGACTTTATATATTAACTAGTTATTTATACGTGGATATGGGTGATAAAAGCGATAACTATATAGATAGCAAATATAATATTCTAATTATTGTTCATTTTAAACGTAAGTTTTGATCTGTGATCTATTATGGTTTTAGCTTAGATACAACGCCAATTGTTAGGGCCTGAACACATTTGGTAGTTTTAAGTTAAAACTTTAACTTCGCTATCCTGTTCGAAGGGTCGAACTCTTTTACCGACTTCAAACGTGATTACGCAATACGTCTGGATTTTTGTGCGCATTACTCGATATCCTATATTATATATTCTTTTTTTTTCAATGAATTGAGGAATCCCAATCCCATGTAAATTTAAAAAACACATCTAAAAATGGATTAGTTATCCTTTAAGCGATTTAGACGTGTGTATATCTTTTTTTTATTTAATATTTAAAATTACTACTACTGGTCCGCTATTCACTTAGTTCTTATCTACAGCGCGTCTTTTCACAACAATTGGCATACAATTATATCCTATAGGAACTATTAAATATACCTTAGATTAGAAGCCGCTATTTGTGAAAAAAAAAATCAAGTAAGAAAGGGTTTGCACTCCCAGAGTTTATTTCCTACACTTTTTAAATATTGGTGTAATAAATTAATGTTATGTAATTAATCTGCTATGTGACCATTGTGTTTGATTAGTTCTTGCTCAAAACCCTCGAAAATATTTTTTATAGATACTGTTTACCATCGACCAAAAAAGTACTAGATACACAATCAACGACAAACGTCCTCACCGAATGGGTTCTCATTTGAGCGTTTGAGCGCGCTTTTAATTTTTTTTTTTGTGAAAACAACTTTAAGCATTGTTTTTAAGGTTCAATTTACATTGGTGTATATATATTTCAAATTTAACAATTGCCTAAACACAATTGGTGACAGTTTTAAGAAAACCTTTGAATGGGAATGTGTATCTAGTACTTTTTTGATTGATGTCGTTTACAGAGTAGCCGTGATCTCATAGAAAATACAGTAGACATCAAATGTGAGCAGGCCTTTAGCTTTCTAAAATACTTTCAAATACTGGAAGTAAAATTTCATATCATATGTGTACAAGAAAATTATTATAAAACAATTTGGATTATTATTAAAAGGTATGTTAATATTGTGATCTTAAAATTGCTACTAAACATATTTATTATCTTTGTTTTTCAGTGAAAAGAATGTACGTTTGAATATTGCACTTTATAAGAGAATGTTATTTTAAAGTTACATGTTTTGGCATAAAATATATAGATTTAAAATTATTGAAGTTCTTTTAATTTGAACCCTAAGCGTATTCTAAGAAAACATACTTGTAAAAAAAACTGCTGATTAGGTTATTACTTTAACATTCTATACTACTATTATGAAGAGGCAGAGTTTGTTTGTTTGGACGCGCTAATCTCAGGAACAACTAATCCGATTTGAAAAATTCTTTTTGCATTAGATAGCCCGTTTATTGTGGACAGCTATAGGCTATATATCATATAATATATAGTCTATCTATTCCATACTAACAGTTAAAACGTATCTAGGGGACGAACCAGAGTGAAGCGAGGGTAAGTCGCTAATTTAACAGTAAATAAGTATTTATTATCTTAAAATTTTTAATGCGCAATTAGGTATTTATGGTTTATACGCATTACTATTTAGTATCACTTAAAGAAGATTTTCTTTAGCATTGCTATTTGCTACAGTTTTATAGGGTTCCATACCAGAAGAGTGCCAACGGGACCCTATTATTAAACCACCGCTGTCCGTCCGTCCGTCTGTCTGTCTGTTGACGGGATGTATCTCATAAACCGTAATAAGTAGAGAGTTGAAATTTTCACAGAGAGAGAGAAATAATCAAAAAATCAAGAAAATGAATTTGAAAATAGCCGCCACGCAAATTAAAAAAAATATCGATTATGCTATCATTCAACATGTTCAATCCTATTAACAATATAATAATATCCGAAAATGATAAAAAACCATATCTTGTACGATGTTACGGAACTCTTTGTATGTAGGTAAGTCCGATTCCCACAGTGAGTCATGACCGGTTTTTTATTATTTCATCATTTCCAGGTAAATTTCTAAGAAATTCATTGTTAACTGTATCACCGGTGTGCCCGCGGTCGTTGAGGGTTTTTTTTTTCAAATACCTACTAACATACATTTTTTAAGAATACTTGATAAATCAAATTATTATTATTTTACGCCTACCTAATATCTTATCTACTTCTTAATATATTCCTTCGTATATCAAAATAATTTTATTATCGTTCGTTACAATTCAAGCGCTTATACCTATCTTAAAAAGATAAAATATCTTTTCAGTGTAGCATGAATATTTATTGATTAAATTTAGGTTTAAAGTTTAAACCAAATATCTTCACATATTTTCCTTTAGAATTTTTTTTTCTACAGAAGGTCATACCTCAGTACCTAATGTAGAGTGACAATACGTGAAAAAATATATAGAATAATTACAACTAATGTTTTTATTAGCCTTGTCTAGCATAGAACCCGCGACCTCTGATGTATTAGGTAGCTCAGACATGACTTACAACAGTCATCAAAAAATATTATAATTATTTTAATACGTAGGTATTTGTTAGCCATATAAGTATGATATCTATACTAAAAACAACGAATACTATCTAAACGCTTCAAACAAATTGCAAGCTATTAAGAAATTGTTTATCAGAAAAAAAAACTATAGCGTATGCGACTCAACATTACGGCCGATATTACAATAAAACGCAAGCTTTAAGGAACGTTCGTCTACAAACTACGTATGAATTGCGTCATGCGATTTTGTGAATAGTTTCCTACTGGCTGGAAGTTTCCTTTTCATTTCACACGGTACTTGCAACCTCGTCGACGTATTGAGCGCACTGTGATGTGTTAAATCTCATTTAGTGATATTTTATCGAGTGTCAAGGTGATAGTGCTCTTATTAAGTAACATAGAACTGTGAATTACGGTAAGTTTAAAATTGGTAACATTATATTATACTTAATTATAGATAAATAATGTGCAATTTACAAGATCTGCAGATGTTTAAATATTTTTTTATTTTTTTATTTTTATAGATAGATAAAGTGAATAACAGAAAATCGTGATTATTTAGTAGTTTATGACTTGTTTTTATAATTTTTATAAATAATGTTAAAACTAGTATGAAATGATAAACATATATTATATAGCTGAAGTTTTTATCTGGAAATTCAGACATTAACATTAACATATTGCCTTAAAAATTAAAATATATGTAAAACTAAAACAGGAAACTCCTACTAACGCTCTAACAACGTGGAAGACTATTATCTATATAATATCTATAGAGGCACTTATTATACATTTTTGTAGACTTACCGTTTAACACAGTTACACTAATCAATAAGTCCCTACCTACATTATCACTTTATTGTATTAGCTAATGAAAATACTTTTTTAATACAGTAATCTGAATAAAAATAGTAGGTAAATCAAATTGAATTTGGTTCAAACTTGTAGGTAGGTACCTATATATTTTTGATTGTAGATGGAAAAATGTTATTATTTTCTTTAACTTTATAGGTATAAGATAAGAGAAACATGCCATGTATCAGTATAATGTGCCCGATACATAAACGTACGAGTACTTAGCAAACGTTTTAATACTTTACAGCTCTATTCTATTTTCATTAACTCTTGATAATTACTTCGCCCAGATATAAAAGGACTTATAGTGTCATTATGAGTATAGTTACGCACATACCTACTCAGATAAATAATAATAATTTACTATGTGTATGTATGTATGACGTATGTGTTGTAGCAACTCACTAAAGTTTCATCACAATCGGCAAATACACGCGTTATGAACGTAGTACATATTTATACCTAGATTGATAATTTTATCTTTTTGCAAATAACACTCCATGTCATATCGTGCATTGTATTTCCTATAACATTTAATACTAGATGTAGTGGTAGATGCTTTTTATAATAATAATAAAATTAATTTATTCGACCTACAGTCCTACAATCTTTATTAGGAACTTTATATCAGCTCTTACAGACTATTTTTAACATGTAACTACTATTAAAATATTGTGTTATTATTATAGATTTAAACATGGCTCAAGAAAAACCCATATTTGATTACCGCGAAGAAAGCCAAGGTGAAAAATTGGCGCGCAAAACTAAAGAATCTCCATTTATGGTAATTGGTAAGTTACCTTACTTTCATAAGAAATTTCGATATATTGCACCAGAGTTTTGTAAATGGCTACGTATTAACAAAGTTACATCACAAAAACAAATTAGTCATGAAAGTTATTTTTAAATTGATTTTCACCACACTCCTAAAACAACTCAATGGCCTTTTTACCCGACTGCGCAACGCAAATGAGGGCAATGTGTTTATCAGTCTATTTATGTATGTATGTTTGTTTCTATGTGGCGTTATAGAGACCAAACGCGTAGGTCGATTTTGATAATTCATCCATCGTTAGATTGGTCTTGATAACGCCAGTGTTATGCAATATGCATAATATGTGCATGTTTTACCGCAAGGATAAAACGTATATGTCTCCGACTGCATAATATACTTATCTACTTTATTCCTTCGTCAACTTGTTTTCTTCTTATTAGTTAGCTTTTATGCAGTCTGGTTTTTGTTTAAAAGTTTTTTTTCGCCTTCAATTAGTTATTACTACGATCTCTAACAGTAAACACAATTTTATCGGAATATAAAATAGCCTAAGTAATGTAAGTCACGTGACAGTGTCACGTGATAAAGATCGACTGGATTGTAAAATTATGACCTTTTTATCAACTTTAAAGGCTATTTTTATAACTATAATGGCAATCTAATACACCTAACGCTAACAATAAGATTTATGAAAACACATTAAACACTTTTAACTAGGTAATTTATAAAAATGATATAGGTATCATTTTCCATCGACTAATCATTATTGTGGTTATTTTTTATCATATTTAATATTATCAGACCTTAGCGACAACGAATAAATTATTTACGTCTTGTCTTATAGGATTAGCGGGTTTAGCCACAGCCGTTGGTTATGGAGCATACGCATATAAGAACAGAGGGACTATGAGCACCAGTGTCTATCTCATGCAGTTTCGTGTCATCTCACAAGGCCTTGTAGTAGGGGCTCTTACTGCCGGCATGGCGTACACTCTATTCAACAACCACTTTAACAAACCAAAAGCAATTAGTAGTAGTGTCATATCTAAAAATGAACATTGATATTGTATAAGTATTTTAAGGATAGCTTATTGTAATATTTATAGTTATTATTTTTATAAATGTCGCCTTTCTGTTTGGTCTAGAAGTGCTACAAATAAATTAACTTTTTACATTTTAGTGTCCTTCATAGTGCATTGCGGACAAATGAAGCGGTGGCGTCACCGATGCATAGAGAGACACAATAATATATTTAATAAAAAGAGATCATTGGATGAACACAGTTCACGAAAATAGAGCTATTCCTAATAATGCCATATTTTAACCAACTTCAGAATAGAGAGAGATAAGCTAACTTTTGCCTGCGGTTTCGCATAACTTACTAGTTAGAAAAATTATCACACTCAAGCTCAAAAGAAGTTAGTCACGTTAAAATCTATTATAGAAATCCTCTACATATCTGCCAGAAAATTATCGTTCAAGTCATTAAAAAAAACAGACGAGTAGGTATAGAATATAGATATACATGTAAATAATTTTAACAATTACTTGGACTTTGGTTTCGTGTATAAAATGATATGAATACCTACCTATAATTTAAATATAAATAAATAATAACAATATTTTTTTTAAGTCGCACACGAAACACATTTTATAAATATGATAGGAGCTCAATGTATCAATGTTACGCCGATAATATTACATAAAGGATCTTATCAGAACTAATATTTGATAGTGTCCATACCATACCTACTAAGTGACTGTTAGATATGTCTATGTAATGGCCAGTCATAATTTTGTTAATTATAAGATATTAAAAAAAATATTTTTCATAACTAAATATTGTACCTACATATAAATAAGAAGATTCAGCAACCCCCCACCAATTGCACAAAATAAATTATTAATTTATTTTTAGTTTTTATTTATTAAATAATTAAATAAAAAATATCAATGTAAAGGCAGTATTTTATTTTTTACTCATATCAACAATTATTTAATTACATTCATTTTTATTAGATAATACATAAAGCATTCATATCTCCATTCATAAGTACCAAAACTAAGAAGGAAGTTTTTTTTAAAACATCAAACTTTGTTTTCATTTAAAATGCTCTCAATAGTTTCTTCCAAACTGAGAACAATGATTATGCTACTCGCAATTAGTACATAATCTATATAAATAAAAGTGAATCACCGAAATGTATACATACGAGCATAACTTCGGATCGACTGCACCAAATTATATACTCAGAGGCACAATTAACCGCCCACCAGGTTAAAGCGACGTAACTTTGTTTACAATCACTAAACGCTTATGAATTTGAATGACCATTTGTTAAGTGGGTAGTTTATGATAAATTAAGACAATTTATGCCCCGTTTTCAAAGATACCCTCAAGTGCGAGTCTCTTTTATAGAGTATAGTCGAAAATTGACTTTCCAACTTATTGTTTTAATAGTAAATAAAGTATTGCCGGTGAAGTTTTTAGACACATTTCTTAGTTCATAAGGTGCGTCAGGGTTTGATAGTTGCTCTTTACTCAATAAAATGCCATTGGACGCAGCCGGTGTAGCTAGAGCGGTGGCGCTATCAGATGCTGGATATAGCCAGCGTCATATAGGCCGTATGACGCCGATATCCTCGAACCACGATACGTAATGCCATCCGACGATACACAGAAACTGGATCTTACACTAGAAGACCAGGACAAGGTCGTAGGAGGTGCACTTCTGAACGAGATGGCCGCTTCATCGTGTCCAACGTTCTAAGAAATCGCTTCACTACGGCTCTCGAAGCCCGTTATCGCCTATATGAAGTACGAAATGTAAGCGTAAGCATTCGGACTATAAGAAGAAGGCTTGTAGAGTGTAATTTGACTGGATTCCGGCCAGCTCGAGTTGCAGCGTTGACCACAGAGCACCGAAGAGCCAGACTTCGATTTGCTCAACAATAACGGAACTGGACCATGGAGCAATGGAAGAACGTCCTCTTCTCTGATGAGTCCAGAGTAGCTCTAAGAGGTCCCGATGGACACCAGCGCGTGTACCGATGCCCCGGTAAGAGGTTTGCACAATGTGCTGTTGTTAAAACAGTAGGCTATCAAGGTGGCTAAATTTTACCTAATTTATTGGACAAGATTTTCTTTTAATGCATGATAACGCTTTGTTTGCTATAGTGGTGTACCTTGATGCCGTGGGTATAGCACGACTACCCTGTCCAGCGCGAAGCCTGGACCTAAACCCTATCGAATATGTTTGGGACAATCTTAAAAGGCGGGTATGAAGTCGGGTTGAAGCCCCTTCCTCCATTAATGAGCTGAAGATTGCTGTGGTCGAAGAGTGGGGGAATATACCGCAGTCAGATATTCAGGACATAATGGATGGTGTTCCAAATCGACTGGAGGAGGTCATAAGAGCCAGAGGAAGCAATACTTGTTATTAAAATTTTTGTTTTCAATGTCAACAAAAAGTTTTAGATTGTTTATCATCACCTTTATTTTTGTTCATTATTCGGTAATTTCTAACTCTTTTTCATTTAAAAAAAATTAAAGCAATATCCGATTTGTTTATTATTTTTTTATATCTGATATTATCCAATCTATAATATTGCCAAGAAAAAATTAATTCCGAAATGAATTTTTGAAGTTACATCGGAAAATGTAAGTGGGCGGTTAATTGTGCCTCTGAGTATATATTCTTTTTTTTTGTCTTTGTTATTGTCAGGACTCTGGAAGTTTTGTATAGAAGAAAATTAAAGGATTTATTTTTTTACTATTATTAGATTTTTTTTATATCTCATGATATGAAAAGTGGGTGAGTGAAATAGCTTTTAACCCGGAAATCATCCCTTAAGAGGGTGAAAATGAGGATGAAAGTTTGTATGGGGAAGCAAGCAAGTAGTGATATATAAAATGAAATATATTATAATTCATATAAAATACTTATTGTATTGTGTATTATATGTAATTCCATACAAATTATACAAGCTTTTAAATTTTTTTATTTAATATCACATATTCCAATTTGATTTAAATAAAAATCTTATAATACTCATATGGACTCCCTATGAGATCCCAGAGTCCGCAGACCTACGTGATTTTTGAAAATCTAAAATTTTGAAGATTAAAAGTCTATTATGCAGTCAACTGCACCGTCTCAAGACGGTATGTACACTTGCTAGTTTGAAAGCGAGGCCAATTTGCAGGTAACAGGTACTAAAGGTACATAAAAATCTTACACAACTACGTTAATTTAGAGAAGCTGGTTTTTACACATGTTTTACAGAATATTGTCAAAAACCCATATTCATTATTGCCAGACACTTTTTGTGGGCGTTAACTCCCGCCAGACCCATACAAAGTTCTTTAAAAATTTAGACAAACTACGTTATTTTAGAATCCCTAAATTTTACATGTTGTTTAGGGTACTACTTATTTCAAGACCCCTTGCAAGCAGCCAGACCAATCCGATGGGCCAAACACCCCCTCAGACATGACCAAAGTTCCACTGGGATTGCGAGTGTGAGAACATTATTCATATGCATGGATGGTGAGAACATTATTCATATGCATGGATGGTGAGAGCATTTGATGACTGTAAGGTTTCAAAAAAAATAGTTAATTTTCAGTATTACTCATTGTCCTTGATTTTTTTAATGTTGGAAAATGCATTTACGCATACCACCTATATACCACCGGTTATGTGGGACGTATTGGGTAGTAGCTAGACAATTAATCTTTTGAAATTTTAGCTTTTCTAAAATGACGTAGGTCTGCAGGCTCTGGGATCTTGGACCAATAGTTTATATACAATGACTTTACTTTAATACTGACTCTATTCCTCCACAATACAGCACAATATAAAAAAAAATGTGAATAAATACAACACAAAATAACCACTTACATTAAAGACAAAGATATTATAAATCATAAATTAGTTTTGGATTGTAAATCTACGTATTGGAAGGAGGGACCCAAAAAATACATGCTGTATCACAGGAAACTTTGAAAGAATTTCCTTTTTGTACATTTTTATCAAACCTTGGTTTATTTTGGTCCAAGATCCAACAGCACTAATACTCCATAACTGATTAGAATGCTCTGCAAAGGGGCCTTTCTTTACTTCCTTAATGTACTTAATACAGGAGAGGAACATATACTCATCAGAATATTTATCAATAATATCATCATCCAAAAATTTGCCTGGAGGATATATTCTTGGTTGATCTACAAGTTGAGAACTTCCCCATATAAATGGTACAAATTGGTAGTCATCCAAACTCCAAACACCATGACTACCCGCTGGCTCCATTCTGTATGTCTGCTGTAACCTCCTTGCAATTCGAATATATTTATTAAATATTAAAAACACAGTAGCAACATTATCTTCAGAATTTAAAAATCCAATTTTATAAAGACAACAAAGGAACATAATAAATGACATTTCATGACCGGTGCCATAGTCAATTCTTGTGCCATTACCGAAGCTTTCCTCTAAATATACTTTTATTTCAGGAATAGCTAAATGTAACTCAAGATCTAATGCTTCTTGAAGAAACTGTGTAGAATTCTGTTTCACTTTTGTTAACCAGTCTCTGAATGCAGAATTGCCAAATCTCTGTGGTTGCTCTATTGGTGGAAAATCATCTATGGTTTTATCTATTTTTTCTAGCATATTTTCTAATTTTCTGACATTACTAGAGATCTTACAATCAACTGAAAGGGGTTTTCCTTTAATAGCTTCATTTAAAGTAGCAATAAAACCTGTGTATTCCATGTAAGCTTCAGATTTCTCCCAAATGGCCATATCAGTTATTGTTTTCACTGCTTTTACTGGCTCTAAGAAACGGTGATCTACAGGAAGTGCAGGGGTTGTCTTCTCCGTCTTTACCCCATCACCAATAACACTATCTGCATTCATCTGTTTGTTTATAAGAAAATTTATAATAAAGTAACTATAAGTTCATGACTAATAAAATTAAAAATTAAGATTACATACTGCTTCTTATTTTGAGTATTTTTATCTCAATCAGGGTAGCATAAAAAATAATGATTAGTATCTAAAACATGTGAAATATTTAGATTATATCTCCTTGCGTTATATGAACGCACATTTAAATATTATTTCTTTAACTCTACGAGTCTACGATGACCGCGATAAGCTTGCCTAATGAAGGTCAGAACTGTCAAAAGCAAGCGTCTATACACATGCTCGGACTTGCTTTTGCAATACGTTATTTCAACCCAGTTAGGCTAATTTTAATTAAATAATGGATAGAATTTTACGAGGTATAATGAGATATCGAGTGTTAGATCGAGCGAGCATGGTAAAGCAGTTTCAAGAAGTCAAGGATAATCCAGTAGTAAGTTTGCCAAACTAACCTTCGTAATTATTTTTGTAGATTTTTACAAAATCTTTCAGAATTCAGAAATTTAAGTAATAGTATTGTATGAAGATAAAATGCGTAAATTTATTATTTTACATGCAGTGTTATGACATCATGACAGATGACATAAATTTGACATCGAAAATTGAAATTTCAATATAATAACAATAAGCTATGTTCCAATTAACGTAATATTTTATTGTAAGATTTTTATACAAGTGTTCAGACAAAAATGTGTAAGTCAAATATATAAAGTTTAATTTTTTAATTTTGTTGAAAATTTGTAATTCAAAAAATATCTATTTTTTAGCCTAAAGCTATATTCTACACTTGTATGGACAGTCGAATGATTCCAACTAGATTTACAGAAACCTCTGTCGGCGATATGTTTGTCGGTATGTAGAATAACCACATAATAATAATTAAATAAACAGCTGGTTAATAATAAGTATATTTAATAGTGAGTTGTATACTTGATCTATTTTGTAAATTATCTCCTTAATTTCAGTTAGAAATGCTGGAAATCTCATACCGCACTCTCAGCATTTCGTAGATGAAATGACAAGCTGTGAACCTGCTGGTTTAGAACTTAGTTGTATCATAAATAACGTAAAACATGTTATAGTTTGTGGGCACAGTGATTGCAAAGCCATGAATCTTTTATATAAATTAAAAAGTGAAGAAGAGTCAAATATTGTAAGTAATATTGTACATATAATGTGATCTTTAAAGTAATATAATTAAATCCTAATCTAAGTATTTTTTTAGCAAGACCCGCAGGCGGCCGTTTAGAATTGGGGACTTGGCCCCTAGCGGAGTGGGTGGTATTTCTGGATAAGGGACGTGATAGAGAGTCGAAATGTTAAATAAATTTTTTAATACAACAAAAGAGTCAAAAGTTATTGAGACTTAAAGTTATAACATTTCCATACATTATTTTGACATTACTACCATTTAGACACTTGGAGTCAAAACGTCACTTTCAATTGTCAAAATGATCTCCAGATGATTGTCTTTATTTGTACTTTGCGTGAAATTCGAATTTTCTAGTTTTCTAGTCATTTATGGCACTCGCCGGCCGCTACCGCGGCACGCTCGCTTCGCTCGCTCGGCTCGTGCGTTGTGGCAACTGTTCTAACCTAACCTAACCAAGATATGACGAATAATTAATAAATAATCTTAAATGTTCTAACCTAACCTAACCCAGATATGAGGAATAATAAATAAATAATCTTAAATGTTCTAACCTAACCTAACCCAGATATGAGGAATAATAAATAAATAATCTTAAATGTTCTAACCTAACCTAACCCAGTTATGACGAATAATAAATAAATAATTAAAAATATTCACAGATAAAAAAATGATTTTTTTTACTAAATGTACAATTGTAAAACAATATATTTTACATAAATCAAATAAAAAGTCATAAATGTATTTATAAAGTGAAAATAATATTTTTCTTTTTATTTATTTATTTATTAATAGTAATATTTTACCAACAGAAAAAGCAAAAATAATCAAATATAATCTGTTGTCATTTAAGCGGTAATATAAAACAAAGTGTCAGTTTTGCTTTTGTCAAAATGTAAGATCATTTTGTTTGTGTTGTGAAATTATTAAAATATTAAATACAATAAAGCATTAATTGTTGTGAAAATGTGTAATGTATATAAAAAAGGATGCGTACTATTCGTTAAAGGTATGTTTATCTGTTGTAATCACTTATTTAGGTAAAGAAATGTATGGAAATGTGTTAGATATGTTATAACTTTAAGTCTCAATAACTTTTTACTCGTACGTTTCCTCAAAATATTTTTAATATATTTTGACTCTCTGTCACCTCCCCTATCTAAAAATACCACCCACTCCGAATGGTGGTAAAGAAATATATGAAAATGTATGGAAATGTTGTAACTTTAAGTCTCAATAACTTTTGAATCTTTTGTTGTATTAAAAAAGTTATTTAACATTTTGACTCCCTATCACGTCCCTTATCCAGAAATACCACCCACTCCGCTAGGGGCCAAGTCCCCAATTCTGAATTTGTGCCGACCCGCATCCAATTTCTTACAGCATTTCTTAATTCGAACTAAGTGCACATATATGTACAAGCAGAAGATCGCAAGAGAATTCTACTTATATGAATAGGAATTTAAAAAACAATTCGTAAACGAGTCATTTAAGACGAAGAATATTTAATTTTCAGGAACAAAGAAGAATCTCTCCCTTAAAATCTTGGCTTTGTACACATGGAAAATCAAGTTTAAATAAATTTTTGGATATTAAGGGTGATTTCGAAAAACCAATGCTTTTTACTGCTGAAACACCACAACGAAAATTCGTAGCATATATTGATCCTGAAAATCGATTTTGCATCGAAGATAAGCTATCGCAGGTAATTTAAGATAAATACGGACTTCAGTGTTATTGCTGACAATGTGTAAAATATTCTAAATAAATTTTTATCATTTATTTTTAGGTGAACACTTTACAACAGTTACAGAATATTGCGTCGTATGGAATGTTGAAAAAACGTTTAGAAAAACACGATTTACATATTCATGCTCTATGGTTTGATATTTACACTGGTGATATTTATTATTTTAGTAGAAGAGCAAAAAGATTCATTATCATTGATGAATCAAGCTATGAAGTTATATTAGCAGAAGTTAGAAGATATTATTCTTAATTATACTCACTGATTACTTACTTAATTTATAGGCATGTAATTTTAATAAATCATAGACTTAAGTGGTACTTAGCTTTGATTATGATTGGCGGTGATTAGATTTTCCTAGTGGCTGTTTTTGAAACTAACAACAGCAGTATTACTCTATTATTAACTTAAAAGCGACAGTAATAGTTCCAATAACACGATTGTTAGACTCGGTTAAAATATATAAATACCTATACATAAATTGCAGGTAGCCCAGTGGTAACGCGCTCGCTTGGGAAACCGAGCGAAGCGGGTTCCAATCCCGGGTCTCCCACTTCTGATATTTTCATGTGTGAATTTCTTATAACATGATTACCACTTTCCTTACATGCATGCATGCATGCCTTACATTGCATGTTTGAGAGAACCTAGCAACTTTTCGAAAGACATGAGAAGGCCGCTAACCCGCACTTGGCTTGCGTGGTGGACTATGGCCTGATCCTCCTGTATTGAAGGGAGGCCCGTGCCCAGCAGTGGGAATTATAAAGGATAATAATTAAAAAGGGCTGAATACACATATACAATACACATAAATAGCAATAAAGAACCAAAAATCAAAAATTGATCAACTATAATTAAATAATGACTTAATGGTCAAATCCTGTGACTTGCCGTTGTTGGTTACTAATTTAATAATATAAACGTTCAAAGGGACCAAGATAAGATACTTTTAAGGTATTACTGCAATTTTATTTCTTTTCGTGAAAATTATAACTTATTGTATACTAATTTATATGAATAATGAACATGTTAAATATTGAATATAAGCCAGTCTTAATTTTTATAAATATTATTTACATTGTAACTATTTACAGTAATAATGCTCATAACTATAACATTACCTTACTTAGATATTATAAGCGGGTAGATATTCTGAAAATTGTCTAAGTATTTTTTTTTTACTTTTATAATAATTTTAAATATACGTGTTATACCTATATATAAATATTAAAAAAATATATTTTTATATTTTATTCGATTGAAGTTTTATTTAGTCAAAAATTAATTTACCGTACATTAATTTTACAAAAAATGATACAAATGAAAAATAATATATTGTATCTATCCTGTGTAAATTATTTTCATTTTTCACCTTTAAATATGAGTATATTCATAAAACTAGCGACTCACTCCCGCTTCGCTCGGGTACGTCTCTAGGTGATTCTTTAAATTGACATAACTTTTTTATTTATAAACCGATTGAAATAATAAAAATATACTAAATGTTAAGTGAAGCTTACCAGTTACCACAATACATTAAAGGGGGAGATTCTGAGATTAGCGCGCACAAACGCATAAACAGACAAAAATTCTAAAAATCATTGTTTTGAGTTCTATTGCGTTAATAAAGACTCCCAGTAATAGATTTTCTCAAATATCTTCCATATACAGACATCGATCAATTACAATTCTATTATATGTGAAGATTAAAGTTGTGACATTTCTGTTACGTTAAAAATAACATTAAGAATTCTCTAATATACTAAAATATTATATAAATACTAAAGAACGATGCTCATTATCAGATATCTCATAATATTCTTATATTCAAAAAAGTATCGCTATGAATCTAATTAAATTATTGGAATTAATATATAATAGTTATTATTTATAAATGCGATGATTAGATCTTCCTTGTGGTTATTTTCTGAAATAATGGCAGCTAGATTCCTAGTCCTTATATACTAGTAACAATTCCTTTGCTTTTATAAACATTAAAAACTAAGTGTCTTTATCGGTCGAAGTCAGTTCTGCGACTCCGTTATGGAATCTGCTTACAGTTACTTCAAAACTTCTTATTCTTTTTGTCTCCTGATATCTCAATGAATATTTATTACTGTTAAAGAATGGGCCAAAATATTAAATTATTTAATGTTAATCTTTTTCATTAACTTTTAAAACTTAATAAATACCTACATAGACATCGAGATATTTATTATTCATCTATGATTGAGATGTGAATTGTGATAATCGAATGACGGATCACGGATGCCGTCAATCGTCATGTATCGAATAGCGTTAATGTCAAAGTCAATGTCACCTTAGTCCTCAATCGGCAATCCTCATTTTAAAAAAATGGTGTGTGAGCAAGGTTAAACAAATTGTGATGTAGTGGAGTTTCTTTTCAAAATTATATAATAAGGTTAATCTTGAATTGGTTTATGAGGTAACATTTATATAATTGTCATGAAATTACATAAAATTAAGCACTAGCCAGCAGCCATTAAGTGCAAATGAATTATTGTAAAACGACGTTAATTTTTGAGTATGTGCCAGTAAAATTATGTTTTACAATCTTTCTTATTCATTAACACTTATATAACCAAAATAAGGTATTAAGGATCATCACATAATTTGAATAAAGTATTTTGTTTATAATTGTTTAAACATAAAATACTTGTTTTAGTGCACGTGAATCTCAAAATGAATCCACAAAGAGTATATGATTACAATGAGGAATCTCAAGCGGACCGCCTTGCGAGAAAATCAAAGGACTCTCCCTTTATGATTATAGGTATTTATTTAGGTTTTTTTCCACTTTTGTAGAATGAACCTAGCATACTTTGTAAGCTTTCCCCACATTACACTATTAATATCACTACAGAAAATCAAAAATCTTACTACATAAAATATAAAGTTAATTTATTAGTTATAAACAATAAGAAAGAAATCAAAGAATATATTCATTTTTAAAATTCTGTATATTATTCCACTACATACCTATATTTGCTCTAGTTATATCTCTGAGCTAATGCAAATATTTTACATCTTTTTCTTTTCTCATTTCAGGAATCTTAGGGTTGGTGGGTGTTTGTGGATATGGAGCTTATACATACAAGAATAGAGGCAAAATGAGTACAAGCGTGTTTCTTATGCAGTTTCGAGTTGCAGCCCAAGGAACAGTTGTTGCTGCACTAACAATAGGTATTGGATATTCACTTGTCCAGAGATATTTGTTAAAAAATGAAAAAAAAGAATAACCATACATTCAAAAGTAGCTAATTTATTTTATTTAATTATGGAATTATTGTAAAATTCAGTATTGATGAATGATAATTTTAAAATCTCAATTTAATCTCTAATGTTATCTGATGGACACAAAGAATTCTGTGACTAAAAAAATACTCTAAGGCTAATTTATTTATAGTGTAGGAATTAATTTTGTGTTCTGTGATCTTATTTAGTATGTATCAATAGCAAACTTAATTGTTTTAATGTTGTTGAACAACTCGAATTGGACTTTAGTTTGTAAGGCTTGGCCTTATGTATTCTATATATTTATCTCAAATTATTTCACATTGTGTTTGGAAAATTCTTAACAGATTTACTATTATGAATTCTACAATCTACAAAGAAATATACTTTTATTAAAATTTGTTGCTATCATGATGTTTTATTTATTTGCACTATTTTATCAATTACAAACTAACATTTCTTTCTTTTGATCTTGGTACTAAAGTTAAACCACGGTAATGTAATGCATACAGTACTCGGGCCTGTCCTTGAAATAATTACCTACAGCCGAGCGTCACGTACCCACGCGACAGGGCTGCCCGAGTGCCCGCCGGCCAGTATTTTAATTTCATCTACCTACTTGAGTTCTTTCTAATTTTGTAATTTCAAATATTATATTTTTTATTTACAAACTATTATTATAAATAATAACTAATAACTACTATTATTAACTATTATTATTTAACTAAAAAATCTCAAATTTATAAGGGTGGTATGTGACCCTTATAAATTTGAGATTTAAAAATATTTGCGCCTCAACTGAGACGTAAGAAAAGCTTCATTCTTAAATTTAATAGTATAAAGATTCGGATAAAAAGTTTTATTAAAAATACTTTTAATTTTTATTTTTAATTTAGGTAATTAATTTTTATTTTTAAAACATACGATGTCTCGAAACTCTTTTGTTTGACATTCGCGAAATTACCTGATTTATTAATTTATCACTGATTTTTATTTATTTTTGTATCCAATTATAAAAATTATATAACCACCTGATACAATTTTCGTATACAATTATACGATTGGGCAGCCCTGCACTGTTGTGTACCGAGTGTATACCGAACGCGACGCGAGTAGGTATAACTCGATTTCCGACAGTTTGTATGAAGATGGAATACTGTATGCATTATATTACCGTGGTTAAACTTTATGTAAAAATAATATATATGAAATAAAAAAGATCAATAATACTATAGAACAGTCAAAATAAGTAAAAAAATTGATAAATTGGAATGAAAGATAAACTTTTTTGGCACTGGCTCAAGTCTCATGTCCACGTGGACAGCTGACATTATCACGCGATATACTTATCGCGTCATAAAATGTACTATTTTGCTGAATTACAAAGTTGATCTAATGTATCAATACAAACGGCTAAGCGAGTTCCACCCTTTTGGCTCTATCTCAAGAACAATTGATAGTATGAGATATTATTTAAGGCCAAAGGGTCTAGCCGGATAAGCAGAGCACCCATATGACGACATTTTCAAAACTTATGTTTTAATGGGCTTGAAGCACAAAAGAGATTCATAAGTTTTACTGCTTTACTCTGCTGTGACCTTGATTATAAAGGAGGTAACTAGGACTCATTCAATGTGACATCTCGGAAACCTAAAAGCTAGAAGTTTAAAACCAACGTGGGGTTTTCGGGGTTACCTTCAAGAGCATATTATATTTTTATGAGTTTTTATAGTTACACTCTTCATATCTCAAGGTCAAAGCGGAATACGGCAGTGGAATTCATATGAATCTTGTGAATACTTTTGTACATCAAACCCATAAAGAAACATATTCGGATAGATCTTTTGTAGAAAATTTTTGTACGGTATCTCCTTGCTCGCTCCAGTTGGCTAGTCTTAGTGAGATTGGCCTTAGATTGATTTGTCTATTTATTAATTTTAATAAATAGACACACCAATGCTGCATATATTTATGTAAAACAAAAAGTGGTTTTATAAAATCAATATCAATTTATTCATAATATACATATATGTATAAATAATTTACAACAAACTATTTTAAGTAACATGCCTTTAAAAGTTTTATATAAAAAAATGTATACCTACTAGCACATAAATATATAATTCAAATATAATTTAGATTAACATCAATCACTTTTGCTACGATCAGAAAATCCTTTCTTTGTTCTTAAACTGTAATTTGGAATGGTCAGCTCATCCTTATCGGACGTGGAATGGTTGCGTATGGAGGTGGACGTTACCTTGACAGAGGACAAATCGTCAGCATTACTGAATAATCCATTAGACGTGTTAGAGCTAGAACTTGACTGATACGCCGTAGACTTAAAAATTTGCACCGGAGTAGAAGTTCGAGCTCTATTATTATTAGCACTTGATACACTCGATTGATCCTCTTCGTTTCTAACATTAGTTAATTTCATATCTTCAGGTATATTGGTTTCGTACAGAGATATGAACTCGGGCTGAGAGCGGTCAGTTTCGTTTTTATTAGATTTATTGCTAAAGGTGATTTTGTTAGCTAACACGTTAGTTAAAAACTCTTTCACAGTCATTGAGTTAGTTAACGATGTTTGTTGAACAGCGTTCTTTGAATTTTCATTAACATGACCTGAAGATAACTTTCGTTTTTCTCGTTTATTGGAGTCGTCCACTAACGATGACGTAGAATCTGATGCGAATACAGGAACGTCTTGACTGAAACTCTTGATTTTGAATTGCGTCATGCTACAGCTAGAAGTATTCGACGACGATGACAAAGCTAGTGTCTCTTTTGTTTTTTTTAATGTAGAGGAAGCCCATCCCATTCCGAGTTTTTTAAATGCATTTTCCAAGTCAGGATTAGAAGACACGCTCAATGTTTCAGAGGTTTCTTCCATATTTTCTTTATTTTTCAAAAACACGCCGGACTTCTTTTTATCTTTTCTTGCTTTTGACAGAGCTATCAGCGACAATGTTGACTCCGAGGATATTGTAGTCGAGTTTACATTAGAACCTGTATCGAATTTAAAAGGCTCGCTGATAATATTTCTTTTCAATAGTTCCGCAATAACATCAGGTAAACTGCCGTCAGAATGGAGGGAACTTAAATCATCGTTAACAGCTTCAGCTTTCGCGGCATCTTCGAGGTTTGAACCTTCATCAAGTCCAATATTGCATTGCTTAGCATAATCTTGAAGGCTAATAAAAGGTTTTAACATGATATTATTAAAATGTTTCATATTCATCATACGTACTTTAGAATCATCTGAAGATTCATTAGATGATGATGCGAATCTTAGAGCCTTTTCAAGATTTACATTTCTTTGCAATAACTCAGGATTAACTTGCTGTTCCTTATTTTCGGTGCATCCATCAATCATAGTTTGAGTCATACATGAAATATTGTCAGTTTCATCAACAAATCTTTTTGTTTTGTCAGGCATATCTACTTTAGTATCGTGGCGCGAAGATTGATTTTTAAGTTTTATACTCATAGGAGAATCTACTTCAATAACCGTTGATAGTTCATGAGGTATGACGGTTTCTTGTCCATTTTTGAGATGTCGAGTTAAAGCTGGAGGTGGCCTTCCTCTAGTCTTCGTGTCCATATGATCAGTATGTAAGATAGACGTAGGCTTTGTCATGTCATTTAATGAAGATGTTTTATTTGAAGGTGTTTTGAAAATGTTTGGTTTAGGAATGTCTTTTAGAAATGGTGTAAATTCTAAAGAATCTTTCTTATGTAACGTTTTTTCATCTAAAGTTGGCGGTAATGTAAGTGGAGGTGTATCTGAAGGGGTCTGAGTTATTTCTTTGTCCTGAATGAACTCGTGCGGAGTTACCCTGTGTGTGTCAGCAATCTTATTTTTATCAGATTTACTTTCTGGTTCCGACGTTGAATCAGAAGTAGAAATTTGGCTGTAAACTAAAGATTTATTTCTTCTAACTTCTTCTAAAACTTTTGCTAAATTAGATAAACGTTTAGTACACCTGTCTGTTAAGTCTGCTATTTTTTCCATATTCTGAAGCTTATCTTCCGCTATCTTCATGAAATTAATTTCCGTATCTATGAGACCTTTTGTTTGTGTCGATATATTTGATGGTATTTGTTGCACATTCAGACGTTTAAGTAAAGCGCTATGTATTTCTGAATCCGATGACATTGATTTCAATATGTTTGGTGCTGGTAAATTTAAAGATTTTCCGGGGTGTTTTGAATTAGAATTTTCTGATAAATTAGAATTAGTATTAACCTGAATATGTCTAGTTTTGCCGATTTCTTTGCAATTTTTCATTGGGATTCGGTCTGTTATATCAGAACTAGTGCTATTTTTATATTCTGAATTTACGTATGGTCTGGGCGTAGGAGAAGATTTACTTCTGGACCTAACATTTTTTGCTTCATTACTTAAAACCTTCTTCTCTTCTCTTGTAGATGAAGAAGTTGATGTTATTGTTTTAGTAAAACGAGCAGAACGTTGAGCGTCACATTTCTTTCTCTTTTGAAACTGTCTGGAAATGTTAAGAGATTTAACCTTATGCAATGGTTTCTTTTTTGGTAATCTCACTGTTGTAATTGGCGCCTTTTCAATTTGACTCTCCGTATGTTTCAAGCTTGTGCTCTGCCCAGTCCCTGGTTCTTCAAAGTGATCCTTTAAAATTTGTTTTCTAAGAATATTTTTTATTTGTTCTAGAGATATTTTATTATCTAAACATGACTGTCTTTGTGTGAGAGCGTTGTTACTTGGTAAGTTTATTATTGAGCTACCAGGTGTAGTAGGTATACTGCAGTCCTGGTTTATTATTTCAACTGCTTTTAATCCTTCTTTATTTAGAGCTAGAAGTTTGTGAACGTAATTCTTTAATACAGGGTTTATTTTCGATTCACTAGGTTTATTTTTTATCGGGCCTTTTAAAACTTTGTGTTTAGATGACTGAGTCACAGGTGATTTTGCATTGACTTCAATCAATTCTTTCGAAGATTTCGTATACAAGGAGCTGTTTAATCTTTTTCTATGAGATTTGGAACAAATTTTAGTTTCATTACGACTTTTGCACTTATGACATTTACATTTATGCTTCTTGATTTCATTTGAATCATTAAATGATCTATTATTTCTTGCTGTGTTTGGGGGAGTGTCCATTTTTTTTCTAGTTTGATATCTTTTTTTATGCAATGTGCCCTTTACAGAACACGTACAGTGTTTAGATTTGCAGTCTTTATATTTTCTACAACTTCTTGTCTCTATCTCTTCGTATTGTGACTCTAATTGATGAATAGTATTTTCAGATTCATACATTTCTTCATGACTTAAAACATAGCCGTTTCTAAGAAATTTAGGTAGTATTAGTTCTGGTGGACTCATGTATGCAGTGGAAGTAGATGAGCTCATGTGCATGAAGACCGGTCGTTGTATTGAAGAGTTGAACGAGGTTTGTGTATATGTCGAAGTGGCAGGTCTTTGTATAGGATCAGTTTTAGGCGCATCCATAGGAATTGGGTATGTATCTTGGAATAACGTGTGTACTGCTTTTTCGCACATATTACGAGTTTTAGACTGAACTTCATTTTGCTCATGTGATTTTTGTTCTTCTTTCTGTAATGTTGTTTCTGTGCAACTTTTTTCTGTGGTAGTCTCTTTATCAACCGTAACATCAGAGGGTTTTGAGCACTCCGCACTTTCTTTTTCCATACATTTATCTGCACTGTTTATTTTATTTTCATCTACAGTTGAGGCTTTTACAGGGGTTTCTGGTAGTACCACGTCTTTAACTTCCTTATTTATAGTCTTTTCAGCTTCTTTCTTCCTTAATTGTATAACGACTTCATAATTGTCGTCTTTAATAAATCCAGAAGCACCAATATAAAATTTACCAGTCTCAGTTGCCCCTTCGTCTAACAGTTTAAGGAATCCACCATCTGGATTATCATTATTAGCTTTATTAGGTGCAGTTTTGAATGACGTAGTGGATGTGGCTGCTGATGATTGAGTTAAATTACTACTTTCAATTCCAACGTTGACACATTTACAGTTACTAAGATCTGTTAATCTGAAACAACATCTATATTAAATAAGAAAACATTAAGAACAAATTTAAATCTGACTTTAACTTTATTGCTTTTTGTCTTAAGTAGGTACTTATAATTTTATCTAATATAATTAATCTTTTATCTTAACTACTGGTGCTAGTATAAAAAAAAATGAATCACTATTTCAATTAGTTGCTATTTAAATTATATTATACATAAATATTCAAAATATTTACTCGAACAAACCTTGGTGCATTGTCTCCAACTTCCTTGTCAATATCTAAAACAATATATAAGCAACCATATCAATAAATAAAAATCGTGAAAAAAAACTATGCTAAATAGAACTAATATAAGTACAACTAATTTAAAGTACAAAAAACCTTAGCAATTCTAAAAAAAACTTCATAACTTAAAATTAACAACCTTATATTTGTTGAGAATAATTATTTTCTAAGAGAAAAAATATCTAATCTAGGTCAAAAAACGATATTCACTTTTACTTATTATTAAATAAATACCTTTCTGTTGTTGAGTTTTTGATTGATTTTTGCCACAACTGCAAAACTGATCAGTTTTATCTTCCGTGTTTTGTACACCTGTGTTATAATCGTTTCTCTTGTTTACATTTGGTTCCTCCGAAAAGTACATAGAAGTAATATTATCCCTGGAATAAAAAATACCATACATTTTTTTTTTTTTATATAGCTAATATCAACATCTTTAGAAGATTTTTGGAATGTGTTACAGTTCAACAGTTCCTAGAATTTTTATCCGCCTCTTTGGTTATTCATTACTGGAAACTGACAACTTGACAAATTTAAATAAGACTTTTGTTAAGTATTTGTATAGAAAACAAATTATAAATAAAAAGTATATCAATTATAGAGTACGGGTATATTTACGGGAATATGTGACATTTTAAATAAAACTATCTTTTTTGATTTTTTCGCGGATTTATCTTAATTTTGGGTTCTCGACGTTTTGAATGCTTTCAAAAGCATTTATAGTCATGGGAAGGACTAAGGTTTTAGACTCCTTAAAGATACTACTATGTAGTACATACTATATTTTTCGACTTTAATAGATTCAAAGATACATTACATTTTATAATATAACCTAACCTAACCAACGTCGTATAAAAAAGATAAGCCTAAACAAATGATTTAAAATATTAATTTACCACCAAGGCTTGTGCGCAGTAGAGGTCTGCCACATTTCAACATTTGCCATATAACAGCTTGTTACATTGTATGTAAGTCTATGGAAAGAAGAGAGGATTACAGGTAAAGGATACAGCAGGAGTATGTTGATGTAATAGTAAGTACAGGATCCATTTAACCGAAAACAATAAATATACTACTTTTTATGATTTTAAAGTAAAGCGGGGTCAAGTCCCGCTGGGGGCATTCATGAATTTTTGTGCTCCAGTCATTTGTGTTTATATTTATAATATGTATATATTTAAAGTTATATATGTGTATGTATCAAGTGTATCAACTATCTGTTATACAGTACTTAGTATAAATGAATAAAGTATTACACTGCAATATAGAGTAGAATAAATTATTTAACTTACCCATCCTTACTCACGGCTTTATAGACACCTGGAATGACAAAAATATATTATGATATTTAGTAAAAAAAATTAAAATAATCAGATATCGAAAGTGCCAAACTGTGTGTGTGTTATTATATTATATCTTGCCTTGAGCAACAGCCACATCGAAATATTTTTTTGCAAAGATATCACCTCCAGGTAAATTTCTAAGAAATTAATAAAATTTCTATGAAATCTATACTTAACTATAACGCCGGCGTGTTTGCGGTCGTGGAGGGAATATAGTTTATATAGCAGACAGTTTATCCTTATGAGATATGATGGGATATGTGTATATAGACTAACAAACTTTAAACTAATACGATTGGCGCGCATTGTGTACCCATTAACTTATAGTAGGGGTACCACAGATTAGTGGTACTATGTCAGAAAACTTAAGAAATGCATACATAAAAACTAAATTGTATTACAATAGGATGATTGGTATAAGAATCAGTTTTACAATAAAGTATGGAAGTCTGTCCAATTTGATGTCATTTATGATTACTGCTCCGCTTTCTTGGGTAGTAGAATGATGATATAGCCTAATATAGCCTTCTCAATAAAAGGGCTATCTAATACAAAATGATTTTTTCAAATTGGCCTAGTAGTATGAGATTAGTGTATTCAAACAAAACAAACTATCCCTTTATAATATTAGTATAGATAGGATGATTGGCATAAGAATATAACAAAATAACAAACCGATAAGCTAAAATATATGTAAAACTTTTGTATATACATATATATAAACAGTTTTATGTATAAAGGTAAAATAAACATACCTTCATGCATTTGGTCAAAAGAAACACCTTTTGGTTCAACCATTACAGTTTTATCTACATTTTGGGATACTGTAGTACTGTCCTGAATATTGATAATAGAGTCAAGATTTTTATGGTTTGCAGATTTGTGAGAGACTTCCGATCTCTTATTCTTGCTTTTCTTGTCCTTTCTAGAATTCAAAATCTTATAAATTATTATCCTCTCCGCATCTTGTATTTTAGAATCTACCTTAGACACACTTTTATCTCTTTCCAGACTAAGATTTTCCACGGAACTGGTTTCTGAAGAAAGAGAAGATTCATTTTCCGACTCATTCTGAAGGATAACAGTTTCAACAACTCTCTTGTTTGGTCGGTCGTCATCCACTTCTTTTGTAGGTGGGGTGTGTTTATGTCGTGATCTATACTCATGATAGCTGTCAGTCCCACTAAATTTCACAGAGTTTCCTTGTTTTCTTGTATTAGGTATTGTATGAATTGCAAGGCTCCCATCACTTTCCGGTACAGGCATCCAGGAATATTCAAAGTCTCTACCGTCGAGTTCTTCAGTAATAACTGGTGATTTTGATTTGCTTCTACTTTTATCTAATACTGTTGACTTTCTTTTGGAATGCTGAAGAGAATAAATGTAAATGTAAAAAAATGAAATACAAAGGGCATTTATAATAAATGATTATTTCTAAAACAAATCAGTTATGTAAAAATCAATGTAAATACTTGTGGTATATGATACATAGCAGTTATCAAGTACCTTGCAATTATGCTTCAAGCATTCTTTTTCAATTTTTTTATACTCTTGTTGCAATTTTCTTTGATGTCTATCTTTTAACAATTGTTGTTGTTCACCATCCATGTACATTTTTCTCTAAAAATAAAGGAATAATTAATAACATTCGCATATTTAAAATTTGGGAAAGAAAAAGTCCTTTCGTGATAGGCTAAGGTGCAAGCAATATTACTGGAGGACACGTTAAATGTAGCATGGGGAGCTAGTATATACTAATGTTGTTTAGATTTGCAATAATTTTTAGAAGTGGTAATCTATAAGGATTGTATTAATCTACATACATATTAATATATATAATTCTTCTGTACATATGTTTGTTAACCTACTCCTCCTAAAGGACAGCATCGATTTGGATGAAATTTTGTGTGTATATTTCAATGAGCTCTTGGATGGTTTGAAAACACTAATGAACCCAGTAGGTGGCGCTGCAGTCGGTGTGCTACAGATCATCTCCTAAATAGCAGGGCCGATTTTAATGATATTTTTTGTGTATGTTTAAGTGGGTCTCTGCAAGATTTGAAATACAAATGGACCTACTAGGTGGCGCTATAGTCGGCGTGTCACTAAATTTTTATAGAAGACTCCATTTTCCGAGCAAAAAATAAATTTAAATGGTTGAATAAATAAAATTAAAATCGATGTGTGTATGTGTATATTATGTTTCCTATGGACTCCAAAACAGTTGGAGCGATTATGATGAATTTTTCAGGTAATCTTCAGATTAGCCCAGCGGGTGATCCTGTGAATATTGTTAGTGATCGGAAGTTTGGACGTGGGCGAAGCCGCGAGTACTGCTAGTAATAATAATAAAATTTTAAGTCAAACCTGTACATTATTTTTTTTAAATCTTATTGAAATAGTGCTTATTATCAATAGAGAGGCTGAATCTATAGTTTTTAGAACTTTTGTCTATAAGTCTGGGAATGCATTGTGAGAAAGTTACTGGACAGATTTTGATGAAATTTGGTATGATGATAGCTGCTTATTCGGTCGGCAACCCAACCTCAACCAAAAACCCAGCTCAGAAACCTAAGGGTAAGCCCGAGCAGGGCGAGGGTAAATGAAAGTAGTTTATAAAAATTTTAAAAAATAGTACTGATAATTTAAAGAATTAGTACTGAGATGGCTTTCATTTTATTTTATGCATTTAAAAGCACTTTTCATTATCCCTATTAGATAAAGCATTTAGCTTGACTTTCTAAAATAATTCTATTTATATATCAAATCAAGAAAATAAAGCTAACATTAAATACTTACATTAGGTTTTGACCCTGTTTCTTTTGGGAGAGAGTTTAAAAAAGCTAAAGTATCTCTATATTCCTTGTCAACATTCTGCCTTGTTATTGCTATTTTATTCCTTAAATCCTCTTGCTTTTTGTTTAGTTGTTCACTTTCTATATTGCTAACACTATTCGTTTCTTTTAAAGCTTGCGCATATGCATCTTCATCAGTTCTATTGTCTCTATAAACAAATTTATCCTTGTCACATGGCATATCTAATATATCCCTTGTATTGTGGTTATAGACTGACACTGATTTCTTTCTACTTAAACATATTTCAGATTCCGTTGATCTTGAAGACTTTTCTTTCACTGTAACAAAGTGTAATAGTCAACTATTTAAAGAAAAGTGTGAAATAGATCTACATACTTAATATAAAGTACACTTATATTTCAATGTCATAAATAAATGTAAAAGACTCTATGAAAGTAGTAAAATCGCAAATTTACATAAGTGTAAATAAGTACTAAAATATATAAATCTAACACATAACTCTAGTAAAGAAACAGTGCAAAATATATATTTATCCACTACACATTACATAACAAAATACCTCAGCTATATTAAATAAAAAAAGTCATCTTGTCACCTGTTTGTGCACTAATTCTCTGATTACATAATTTACTTTTAAACTGAAATGGACCTTTAAAAATTTTATTTGCATGCACATTACTTTGATATAATTTTGGAGAAGTAGGTAAATCATTCAAAGGCAAATTAGAAAGTTTATGTGTAAAATTTGAATGCTTGTAATTGGAAAAATGACTACAAAAATCAGTGTGTTCAGCTTGCCAAGATGGCACTGGTATAACTTGTTCGTCAAGCACATGGCAAACACTATCATATACACTACCATCAGCTTTTGAAGACCTAGTACGTAGAATAGTCTGTTTTATGCTTTGTAAATCTTCTGCTGGCTTTTTGTTTAGTTCAGGTTGTCTTAATTTTAAATTTCTATTTTGTAAATATTCTGAAACAAGACTTAACGAAGGCTTCATAGGAACAATATCTTCAGGAACATTTGTTAGCCCTCCACGGAGACTAGATGGCATCTCATCACTCAGTGCAAATAGGTCAAGTTTTTTATTTTTATCTGATTTTTCATTTTCATTAACAGTATCTTTAACATTGTCCTCTTTTGGTAAAGATAATGCAGGTACATTATGTTCCCATTCATTTAGTAATTCATCACACTCCCATTGTGTACCCATATCAGCTTTTGCTTTACTAGAATTATTGTCTGTTTCTTTATTTTGAGTGTCCTTTTCCTTATTGATTTCATAAAAATTAACTGAATCTTTGCTTATAGGCTCGTCTTTTTTTTTTAAAGATTGTTTGGCCAAATTCTTCACTACTGAAGATTTTTCACGGCTTAGTTCATTCGCTATCTCCCTGAAATGCAAAACCATCAATGGTATTACAAATCTGTTTCAACGGAATTATAATACAAGTAAATATATTATGACTTTTAAAACCGACCTTGCTTGCAACTTCCGATCTAAAACCTTTTTTTGTTCATCTAACTGTGCTTGCCTTCTTTTTCTTAATTCAGCAACAGCTTCTTTGCCATGTAGTTTGGATAAATCTTTTTTCTCTACATCATCTACAAGAAATTATAAATATGTATTTTTTATTCCTGTGAAATCTCATAAATTGTTAATAAGCAATCTTAAGCGACAATTTAAAATTATATTCCTTTTTACAAATAAAGTATTAAATCCTGAGAAATATTTAAAACATAAAACAGCTAATTTTATAAAAATAAATAAAATAGGTACCTTGTTGAATATCACATGCACTTTTGTGACTGGAACCAACATTTTCTAAGCTCTTAGCGTATAATAATTCTAAACGTTTAACTAATTTCTCTTGGCAATCAAGATATTCTTTTTCTTTTTGAGCATCAATATCTGTTACATGCCGCAACTTTTCTACCTTAGCGCGTTGTCTAATTTTCTTAGCTATGTCTTTTGATTGTTCCCTAACCTAAAAATGAATTAAAATACAATTTTGTTTCACCGGTAAAAGGTTTGTTTATTTTTAATAATATAAAACCTTACCTGTTGTAGTCTTAACTTCCGTCTTCGTAAAAATTCATTTGTTTTTAAAGTGTCAATTTCAGAAGCCATATCACTGTCACTGTTTTATAAAATAGTTTATCAAATCTTTTCTACTAGAAAAAACTCATTTTATTTAAAAAAAGCCTATGTTTATTTCTATCTAACAATCTTTAAAATTCAAACGTACGAATACGTCAAACTTCAAAGCCTTTTGTCTTTGACATTTGACATCGACAAATTACAACATTGGTCACAGACTAAACTATTGTATTATATTTTATTAGATTTTTTTGACAGAGTGCTTTAATCATTTACTGCTTTAAAAAGTTTACGACTTTTTACTTGTAGAGAAAAGTGTTTGAGATCTGTGGGCAAATATTCTGTGTAAGATAAATCTCACTAAGGAATAATAGCCACTAGCGACCACTAGCGACTTACTCTCGTAGTACTATTTTATATTTACGTCGTTTCGCAAAAAAAACACTTACATGGCAACCTACATCGTTAAGCGTTGTTCCCTCAGACCAATAAAATACTTTTTTATTGGTCTGAGGTTGTTACATGCAAGCTGCTCCTAATACTTCTCAGTTCTCAACAACCAAATGAATTATATTTCATTTAAATCTGTCCAGCCATTTTAACATAAATAAGTGACTAACATACATACACATTCGAACTTTCACTTTTATAATAGTCGTCCAATAATAGAAAAAAGTCTGTAATAAGAGCATTTATTAAAAGAAACAGTACGTAGTGATTATCCAGGATCTGTCGTGACCTAAGTATACCATATCTTTATCGTCGCACGAATTTTGTAAATATAAGAAAATTAATTTTTTTAACCGGGAATTTTTATTTTTTCCTGATAATTGATTACAAAAATAATATTTCGTCAAAACCGTTGTTTGAAGCCTATTGTCAATCCCAGCTAATTATAAAACAAATAAACACAATATCACAGTTAAGGACTGTTCAACTTTTTTAAAGATTACCATGGACAAATAGCGATTCAAACAATTTTGTTAAATGGTTTGCCTTGGCTTTGTTGTTAAGAAATAATGATCCTATTATGATCAATAAGTATAAAATATTAATAATTCGGCCCTTTTTTAACATTTCACTACTGGGCACGGACCTCCCTTTAGTACAAGGGGGATCAAGCAATAGTCCAACGAATTGACCAAATGCGGGTTGGCACTTGGCGGACTACACATGACTTTCGAAAACTTCCTATGTTCTCTTAGACATAACTCATGAGGGTTTCCTCACGATATTTTCCTTCACCGTCAGACAAATGGTAATCATGTTGGAAATGATTCGCACATACAAATATCAGAAGGGCGAGACCCGGGATTTGAACCCGCTTCACTCGGTTTCCTAAGGGAGCGCGTTACTACTGGACTGCACAATTGCCTCCCAAATAGAATGCCAATAGGATGTTGTTCATGTAACAGCAAGTAGTACTAATTGTCTTAAAAAGGATTCGCACCATTGCAATCGAGTGTACCATTTACTAATGGATAAACTACCACTTACTACTTCCATATGGGCTACTACCTACGACTTCAACGTTGATAAATAATTAAATGTCTAGGTGGATACCTATGTTTAAGTTACATATTTTTGAATGATAGTTCGGGTTTATCAGGGTCTTAAACTTTTTGAATATAATTAAAATTCATCACATTTTTTTTTTGCTGCATTATCTAAGTGAACAAGAACTTAGTTAAGTAACAGAAAAATAAAATGTAAATAAATACGGATGTTCGTCCAGTGGTGTCAAAATTCGACCATAATCATTATTGAAAATTTGAAGAAAACATATATGAAGAGAATATACCTACATACCTAAAATTAAAAATAAGAATGAAATATTCTTTAATGAAAATTTTTCATATTATAAAAATTATATTTTAGTGTATGATGCACAATAATTTTTGAAATTATTAGATATAGTTTAATTCTATAAAATATAATAAAGGTAAAAAATTACATAATTTATTCTATCAGAATAATCCTTTAATCAGGCACTTTATTTTAAAAAAAAGTATAAATCTATATGTAGATATTTTATATACAAAAAGAAACTCTTTCCAAATTTTATTTATATTTTATTGATAACACTCATGTTTAGCTACAAATAAAAAAAGCTTGTCATTAGCCATAAACAAAAAAAAAGAAAGTCGGTTGATAAACAAAGGTAAAAACTGTTACTGTCTTTGCCTATTTACATATAAGATATTTTAAAAATAAATGATTCACATGCATGTTTATATAACTATATAATATGTATTAACATTTTCTATTAGTCCTAATTACAATATAATTTCTAACATGATTACCACTTTTCTTACGGTGAAGGAAAACATCGTGAGGAAACCTGCATGTCTGAGAGAACCTAGCAAGTTTTCGAAAGACATGTGAAGTCCGCCAACCCGCACTTGGCCAGCGTGGTGGACTATGGCCTGATCCCCCTCGTATTGAAGAGAGGCCCGAGCCCAGTAGTGGGACGTTAAAAAAAGGGCTGAATACATTAGTCCTATGTCTATTACATGTTCTTCACCGAGATCTAAATATGCTACATTACTTTATTCATTGGCACTTAATACACTTAAATAGACCAAGCTTCCTCCAGTGGTCCCTCCCCTCCAGCTTGAACCGAATACGAACTTCGGCCGAACATTCGATGAGAATAAAAAAAACTGCCGCACTTCGGTTCAACTTCACCGCGCTTTCTCAAGTCCTTACATGTCGTGTCACAACACGTCGTAACACTTTAATAATTAAATATACTTAATGTTTCTGAATGTTTAGTATTGTGAACTCAAGACGTGTTTTATTTTATTCAATTTACGAATTGTAATGAAGATGTTTGTTAAAAGAATACTACCTGAGTTTATTTCTTTTTGTCTGTTTAATTAGGCAAAGATTTTTGAGACTGTTAAATTAAGAAGAACTAATTTAATTTTTTATCGCATACTTACGTGTTAAGGTTTAAATGTTCTTATCTAAAATAAATGGTCATGTAATTTTCGGGGTTTTTAGGGGGTAATTTTCAGCATCCCGAGACCATTAAACATAAATTTCTTTGGTTATTATATGTATTTCGTAGATTACATTCCCCTAGTTTCATAAAAATTAAAATAATATTGCAGAAATTATAAAAACAAAAACCAACAAACAATTAAAAAATGAGTTTTTTTGCAAATATCTTGAAAAGTTTGAGGTTATCGTAAAAGGTATCATCTACAAAAGTTGTAGATTTTTAATAGACCTACAACTTTTGAACAAAACATTTTTCGATAGGACGTCATAGTAAGCCGGAAATTGGAAAAAAAACTATTTTTTAACGCTCTTCATCCCCCCATTTCTCGGGGGTAGCTGGAAATCGGGGGCATTTTACGGATTTTTGTTCCTTATATACCTGCTAACGTTTTGAAGATATAACAAGTTCTGGTATTTTTTTATTATTTCCAATCCGAATTTCGATCGGATTGTTATGACAGACATGCTTTCTATTAATTTCAGTGAAAATAGTGCAAGTAGGTATTTTTTTCTATTCCCGTATGTTCGGCATGCAAACCGAATTTCGGCCGAATGCCGAAGTTTGGTTCAAGCTGCCGAAATTCGGTTAAACTAAATGTAAAACGAATTTCAGCCCATCCCTAATCTTTACCTCCTCCTCCTAAACCTATACCCAAAACATTTTGCTTCCCTATATCCAGATCAGCTACATTATTTTTTTTATTTGCATTTAGGAGATCCAAATTGATACCTCCTCCAGAATTCGATGAATCGTAGTAGCCACCCTTTGACGCTCCACCTTGAGTGGTACTGTCTCTTCCTCCTAACCCGATACCCAAAAGTTGTGTTCTGCCAACATCAACATCCAAAACATTATCTTTTTTGTCTGGATTAAGAATATCGATATCAATTAATCCGCTATCTGATTTAGAGTCAACTGGTTTGTGCGACATTGTTGGCGAACCTGTTTTTCCATGACTACCATGACTAGGAGGATAATCTGGAGAAGAAGAGTGAGAGCAATAACATTTGTTCTGAGCTGCCTGTGTTGTAATATACACTAAAGCATTTACTAATTTCATAATTAGTTCTTCAAAGTTACTTGGATACGGAGTATGATGGCTCGAGTCTGTGGGAATTTTCTCCTTTTCCTCCAAAGATCGTGATAGACTTATAAGTGATAATAGATCTTCGCACGTACAAATGTATGGATCTTTGTGTACGTTATTTAGATTGTGCATTCTACCATAATATTGGGCTTCAACCTGTTAAAAAGTTTTAAAACATAAATATATTTTTTTAATATTTAAAAAATAAATAAAGATAATGGAGGTCACATTTGATAACGTTATTTGATTTGATTGATACTAATTATTTATATTTCATAATTTAACTCACCCCGACTAAAGCAAATATAAACGTGAGAGCTATGAACTTCTTTACGCTCATTTTGTAAACCGTTTCTCAAAATTTCAAATCATGACCTATATATAGGCTTAAAGCGTGAAACAATTACAATAATATTTCTTTAAATTGATAAGAATACCTTTGTGTGACTTATACCTACTGATCTATATTACGTCATTGCGTAATTACGAGGCTTACGAATAAACTTTAATTGGACATCTGAGCACGTAGCTATTATTGGTTTTATCTTCTTTTATACAAATTACCTACATTTGCTGTGAATAAAATCTGGGTACTAAACAATTATTATAGGGATATTAATAATTTTAAGATGAGCTTCGATCATCTATAATCTATACCTACTAATAAAATTTACCTACATAAATAATAATTAGTTTCAGTAATAATAATTAAGTGATCTCTACCTTCATATATAGAAACAATAGACAAAGTTAACTTGTCCATAATCATCTAATAGTTTGAATATCGCGGCCAACGCGATTAATATATTAGGATTCAGTATATATGTAATTCATTTTCTATACATAAAGTGCATATTCTAATCTAAAAATATTTTAATAGTCAAATGAGTTAAAATGGACACAGGGCCTAAACAAAGGCGACATATTAATCCACGTTACAAAGCAAATTTGTTTTCTATACTTACTTTCGGGTATGCAAAAATACTCTTTAAATTTTATATATATTCTATACTTACATTTTCTTCATTTATGTACTTACATTGTTTAGATGGACGCTCGAGACCTTTATGTTGGGATATAGTCGAGATATAAAAGAAGAAGATCTATATGCTCCGTTACCGGAACATCGATCAGACATTTTAGGTAGAGCCAGTCTCGATTATTTAAGATATTGTAATTTTAAATAAGTATATTAATATAATCGTTAACAGTAATCCTTTGTCTGTCTTTATAAATATTTTCTTTTTTATTTTACTTAGTCTTTACGTTTTTATTTTACAGTTTCGTTTAGAAGATAAAATGTCCAAAGTTTAATTATTATCGTGTTGCCAGGTAATACTCTACAAAGTGCTTGGGAACAAGAAGTAGAAGCCAGTAGGCTTCGCAATGATAGCAGCAAACCTAAATTAATAAAAGCATTGATCAAGGTTTTCGGCTCTGAACTAATGTTATATGGTTTAATATTAGCCGCAATGGAGTTCTTAATCAGGTTATTTTAAGAATAGCTAACTTTGAACCATCTTGTTAGTGTAATTGCTATTCTTTTTTTAAATATTTTTTTTTATATTGTTAAAATGCGGCCACTACTTCAAAACAACCACTACTTAAAAAAAATTCGTATAATTATTTGAAATATGGCTCGTTTTTTTCGTCTTGAACTCTACTTTTTGAAAAAATAAAAACATTCTACAGTCGTCCTGCAAAAACACACTTAAAAATTTAAAAAATTGGAGAAATCGATAATTTTTACTTTGTAAATAATTTTTTTTTAAATTATCATTGAAGAAGTGTACTTTTTTGACTATTTTTTTTCATAAACTCATTACACCAATGTATTTTTCGAGCAAAAATGAATAAGATGGTACCTTAAATTTTTAATTTGACGCTTATTTTAAGCATTAACATTCCAACTTTGCAATTGTGAGTCGTGAAAAAATAATAAAAGTTTGAATTCACGTAAAGTATACCATTACTTTTGTATTATAATGCCGTAGAATGTATTTGTTATTATTTGTTCGAATTTATATATATCTTATTAGTTTTTGATCGATTTTTGATCGATTTTATTGTTTTTTTTTCTAAAAAAATTGATTTTAAGGTAATTACAGAAAGAAATTAAATTAATTTATAGTCTAATCTTGTTTATTCATTAATAAAAAATATAATTTAAAAAAATTAGGTTGATATTTACAAAATTTAGTCATAGTTTTGTTAAAATCATACAAAAATGTAAAAAAAAAATTTTTTTTTAAATGCAACGTATTTATAGTATTATTTTAGCATGAAATCCTCAATATTCCCTTGAGGCACGTGTTCAATTAGCTCGAATGCATCTGTCTTTAACATTTTTGTATTGTGTGGAATAGAGAAAAATAAACTTATTTGCGGTATAGCTATAATGTATTAAATACTGTAATTTGATTTGTAAAAAGAGCACTTGTTAAGTTTATCCCGGTAATGCTCTACTAAGCAGAACTGCCTTCTGAGCCAAGGTAGCTTTCTCAAGGATCGACTCACTGACTATTGTTAAGTTAAATTGACCACTCAAAAATGCTTGTATAAATCTAATTCAATAAAGTTAAGTTTTATTGCATCATTCACAATTTTTTAGCTTTCTAAAGGGCATTTTAAATAAATCTATCTTTCCGGTTTTTTTCGCGAAATCATTTTAAATTTTGGTTGCCGACGTTTCGAATGCTTTACAGCAATCATGGTCACGGGAGCGACAAGTTTCTAAAGGGCTCCAAAATTGATGTGTGCAAGACGGCCTTGATTAGTATGTACTAATTAAACAATATTTGTTTTAATTCTTTTCAGATTGCAGCAACCATTGTTTTTAGGTCTATTGCTTCGCTACTATAGTCCTGCTCAAAATTTGTATAACACTACGTAAGTAATATTTTTGTATGTTTTCCTTTAGAGTGGCATTTTAGCAGAATTTAATTATTAAATAAAACTAGTTTTTTTTCTAGATCTAATTCTACTTATCTCTCTCGACTTCATAAATATTATGATGTCACTGGTGGTTTATCTTGGGGGGAAGCAGTATTTTTTTCTTTTGGTGTAATATTTTGTAGTATGATAAATGTCATGGTCCAGCACCCGTTTATGATGGGTGTAATGCATATAGGTATGAAAATACGAGTTGGAATTTGCAGTCTCATTTACAGAAAGGTGTGTCTTATTAAATATCACATCAGTTTTATATATAATTAACTTATATAATTAAGAGTCTAGATTAAACAAATATAATCATAGCTTTACCTTGGACAAATCTATATTATAGACTTTAAAAGTTAATCTTCAAGCGATGTCTGAAAATAGTGGAGGACTTGTTGTAAATCTAATGGCAAATGACGTAAACCGTTTTGACTCTGGTCCTCTTTTCGTACATTACCTTTGGATAGGGCCACTGGAGACTGTGGTAAGACACGCGTGATACAAAATATAAATTTTTTAGCTTTTCGAAAATTACATATTATATACCGGAAAGCTAATACAATTGCATTTTGTAGCTAATAACATTTTATTTATATCGAGAGATGGGTATATCAGCAGTATATGGAGCTCTGATTGTCATGGCGGCTGTTCCATTTCAGGGTAAGTTAAATACATTTAAAATTACAGAACCTAGATTCATGAAATTTTAATATCCGCTAAGTCATTTATATTATTTTATAGTATTTCTTGGTACCCGCACGGCATATTATAGACGTAAAACAGCGATGAAATCTGATGAAAGAGTAAGATTGATGGAAGAAATTATAATGGGCATTGAGGTGATTAAAATGTATACGTGGGAACAACCATTTAGAAAGATTATTGATACTGTTAGGCGGTAAGATATTTTCACAGAGTGGATAATAATTACCAAGCGAAATTATTAAGTAGACTATTCTAATAATACTTTCTTATATTTACGCGAATATTTGACATTTTAAATAAAACTATCTTTTCGGATTATTCGCGGATTTATTTTGATTTTTGGTTGAATTTTGATTTTTTTTGAAATCATTTTTGTAAAATAGTGGGTAGGCACTGTCTGTTACAAGTATAAAGCGCCTTTGAGACGTCTATAACCTTAGTCTCTCCCGTGACCATGATTGCTGTAAAGCATTCGAAACATCGGGAACCAAAAATCAAAATAAATCCGCGAAATAGTGCGAAAAGATAGTTTTATTTAGACATCTAATTAATGATTAGCATTCTCAACATAAAGAAAAATAGCTGACATGATGGCACTGATATATTTATCAATTAGTCAGGACATGGATTTCTTTAATATTGAGATTTTACAAAAGGAATTGTAAATAATATTCCTTTTTACATTAGACAGGAGATGTATTATATCAAGATGACTTCGTACATACGAGGAGTTGTGATGTCATTCATAATGTTCACAGCACGGTTTAGCATTTTTATTACTGTTCTACTCTACGTGATGTACGTAAATCGTATCACAGTGGAGAATGTTTTCTTTCTCACGTGTTATTACAACATTATGAAGCAAACCATGACACTTTTCTTTCCTCAAGCCGTTGGACAGGTACGTAAAAAAATATTAAATATCTTAGTACCGAATGTAAAAAAAATTTAATAAAAAGTAATTGCTTGTCGTAACTGTGTCTTGTAAATGTACAATTTACGTATAATTTACAAAATGTGAACTTATGTGTAGGTCGCGGAAATGAATGTTGCTGTGCAAAGAATAAATGAATTCTTATTGATAGAAGAGTCTCACTTACCCGCTAGGGATCATTCAGTAGATATCACACAAATTGAAGAGAAACCCAAGAAACGCGTTTTCATACCACGTAAGCAGCTACAAGTAATTTATATGTATCAAAGTTAGTTTTCAAATAAACGTAAATAACTCAATAACCCTAATCTCAAACTATGAGATAATAAGAGTAAAATGCTCAATTTAAACCAATTTTTACATAATATAATAATAAATTCTTTATTGACATAATTACATACCTACCTACATATAAGTCATAACTCATAAGATATAAGCTAAACTTCTTTCAAGTAAATCCTGAGCGCCCACCAGTCAGACACTCAATACGAAATGAATCAAATGCATCTACATCGAAACCCCAAGATAAGATCAAAGGTAGCTTTAAGCATTTTACTGTTATTAATGAGAAATGCCTAGAATAAGTCAAACATTAACAATAATAAAAACCCTATAATAGGAATTCACAAAGATCAGATTGCTATAAGATTTGATGAAAGCTGCAGCCGTTGGATAAAGTCGTCGGATAAAAATGATGTCATCAATATTAACTTAAAAGTAAGAACACTATTAACATAATTTAAACACTTAATCGATTAAAACTATTTGTACTTAAATTAATGCGGAGTTCGAAATCATTTCATTAGGTGTATAGTGGTTCATTGACAACGATAGTTGGAGCAGTTGGATCTGGTAAATCGACATTATTACACATGATGCTCAGTGAGCTTCCTTGCTTAACTGGTAGTATGGAAGTTACTGGCAGTATGAGTTACGCTAGCCAGGATCCATGGCTTTTCGTTGGTGAGGTCTAACTTTCTTATCTCACTTAGTGCATTAAACCGCTATCTAAAGTATCTATTAGAAACTCTGAGCTATAAATTTTAAGCCTCAAAATTATTGTTTAAAGGTTCAGTGCGTCAGAACATCTTATTTGGGCAGCCCTTTGTGAAGTCACGGTATATGGAAGTATGCAAGGTGTGCGCACTTGAAAGAGACATTTCTATGTTTCTTCACGGTGATAAAACCATTGTTGGAGAACGTGGTGTATCTTTAAGTGGAGGTCAGCGTGCGAGAATTAACTTAGCTCGAGCAGTTTATAAAGAGGTAATTTAGCTTCATTTTTTACGTAATATCTGCTACCTCATTTAAAATTAATTTTATTGCAGGCTGATATTTATTTGCTTGATGATCCATTGTCAGCAGTTGATACACAAGTTGCTAGGCATATTTTTGAACATTGCATGAAAAGGTAGATTTCTTCCGGTTTACGCATGTTTTATTGTTCAGACATAGCCTTCAAGAAGTAATATTTTTAAAATTTACAGATACTTAGGAAATAAAACTGTCATATTAGTAACACATCAACTGCAATTCATAAAATCTGTTGACCAAATTGTTATAATGGATAAAGGCACAATTCTTGCTGAAGGAAGCTACGACGACCTAAATGTTATACATATCTTTTTTGTTTTTATTCTTATTATATTCTTTGGAAAGAATAAGTTCATTACTGTGGCCACTTACTATTTCGGTAAAAAACGAATTTTACAGAAAGAAGAACTAGGAATCATACGATTGATGCGAGACAAATCGCAAGAATTGCGAAAAGAAGATGTATCGTCTCCAAACATAATGCAAGCTACAAGTGGTCTTAGCTTAAAACGTTCACATTGGTCTCATTGGTCCATGATCTTCAACATTACAGTAATTTTTACATTTACCATTTACTTAAGGATATCATGTGTGGATTTATAAATATATTATATTGATGATTCAATAATTACATAAAGAAGACCTTTACAGGATCAACATCAAGATGCTGAAATTCAAACAATAGGAAGAGTGCGAGGATCTGTCTACAGAGACTTCTTTTTGGCCGATACTTCTTGCCTTTTTTTCTCTATTGTCCTATTAATGTTCTTTTTAGCACAATTCTTTGCCAGTGCAAGTGATTACTGGATAAGTCTATGGTATACTCAGCACATTTTTATACGTACTTATAAACACACTAGCGACTCACCCTCGCTTCGCTCGGGTTCGTCCTTAGCTTGCATCCCAATACAAACTTTCATCCCCATTTTCACCCCCTTAAGGGATGATTTCCGGGATAAAAGTATCCTATGTCCTTCCTAGGGTCTCAAACTATCTTCTTACTAAATTTCATCTAGATTGGTTCAGTAGATCTAGAGATTACCCTCTATAACCTCACAAACTTTACCTCTATAATATTAGTAGAGATGGATAGGTCAATAAATATTATAAAGTATATCTATACATATAATAAAATTGTAACTAAGTCGAATCTGTATATTAAATATTTTTTGGAAAATCGAATTGAAATAGACATTATTATCGATACAGAGTCCGAATCTATAGTTTTTAGAATTTTTATCTCTCTGTCTGTTACCGCATCACGAGAAAACCACTGGACAGATTTCGATGAAATTTGGTATGATGATGAGCTGGTTATCCGGGTTAACATATAGAACTTTTTACCGCGGGAAAATATCTCATTTCTGAGAAAAAATATAAAAACTACATTGTAAGGGTATACTAATATGTAAAACCTAAGAATTTGGTTTTTTTGTCATCTGAACGCGGGCGGAGCCGCGGGCAATGCTTGTCTTGTATATATTCTATCTTTTTATAATTTCTAGGAGTCACGCAGAGGACCATTTAACCGGTGATGCTACGATGGATAATTTGCTATGGTCACAGCATGGATTGAGACGTAAAGATTTTATTAATATCTTTGGTGTTTTAACAATTGCAACGGTTGCCGTTGCTTTGATACGAGCTTTTTTATTCTTCACACTATGCATGAAATCTTCAATAAAGTAAGTACATACATTTTTGAACATCGTTAGAAGTGAGTAGTTGTTATTCTCCTTAAAGTAGGACATTCTAAATATTTTTTTATTATATAAAACACAGTGGATAGCTTCAACTAATTGTTAAAAAAACTTTTTTCTTCATTTTCCATTTTGCTATTGCATAAATATTTGTAGATTACATGATATGATGTTCGAATGCATTTCGCTTTCACCTATGAGTTTTTTCCACACCAATCCATCAGGAAGAATCTTGAATCGTTTTAGTAAAGATATGGGCTCTGTTGATGAATTACTGCCACAAGCTATGTTAGATTGTCTACAAGTAAGGTTACCACAAAATACTTATATTATTAAAATATCTCTAAATAGCTTGTATGTAGGTATCTATTTGTAAAGCAACATCATTATCTGGTCTCCTTTTAAATAACGGAATAAAGGAAGACTACATTGCTAATAATAATTTCAACGACAATTTCGACTCAGTTTGTAATGTCCCTACTTGTTGAGCCAACGGTCGCGGGTTCGAGTCCCGCTGGGGGCATTCATTTGTGTGATGATCACAAATGTTTGTACTCCATTCATGGGTGTTTTTCTTTTCGGGATGTGAGTGATATACCTACGTGTATCAACTATTATATAAGGTATCCATAACACAAGCCTCGTAGCTTACCACGGAACTAGATGGCACCGTGTGTTAATGTCCCAACATATTTATTTATTTATTTACTAAATTGTATTCATTGAAGTACCTCAATAGAAGATTAATTATTAAAATGACTGAATATATAACACACAGATAATGTTGACCTTAGCTGGTGTTGTCGTTGTCATTGTGATGACTGAAGTGGCACTACTAATACCTATTGCGACAGCTCTTATCATATTTTATATTTTCCGTTTGATTTACGTTCGAACAACTGGTGCTATCAAGCGCCTCGAAGGGATAAGTTAGTACAAATCACGTACAAATATAATTGGGGTTAGGTACATACGATGTGATCGATCTTTAAAAAGTATCTATTCACTTTTAGCACGAAGCCCAGTTTTCGGGCATGTAAATGCAACAGTATTAGGACTACCTACTATCAGATCTTTTGGAGCAGAAGTGCTTCTCGCGAGGGAATTTGACCGACATCAAGATCTCCATAGTGCCGCATGGTATCTATTTATCACCTGTAGCCGCGCTTTTGGATACTTCCTTGACATAATTTGCTTGCTATTTATTATATGCGTTACTCTCAGCTGTTTAATGAAAACAGGTTGGTTTTATTTTAAGTTTATTGCAATCGTATGAAAATTTTCCTAATAACTTTGATCGATATTACCAAATGTTTCTTTCTCGCTTTAAATATATTCTAGAATAGTAAAACATATATTGTTCTAAAATATTGACATATACACAAAATAGAGATGGAACATAATGAAAATATTTTGGACGATGCTTTTGTATTTTATTTTGAATTTAAACAGATATTGAAGGAAGCAATGTTGGTCTCATTATAACTCAGTCTATATCATTGACTGGTATATTCCAATGGGGCATGCGACAGTCCGCGGAAATGGAGAATCAGATGACAAGTGTTGAAAGAGTTTTAGAATATACAAAACTACAAAAGGAATCTGCTTCTTCTACGGTATGCTTTTCTTTATTCTATAAATCAAGTAATGGCAATTTTAGTTTTAACCAAAAACGACCTATAACTCCCCCTTCCCAACTACATAAACTTACTTAAAAATTTCACCTGATATCTAATAATAAAAGTTATCCAAACGAATCTAGATTAAAAATACGCGCGTGTGTGTGTACGTATGTACGGACGTAAGAAGTTATACTTCTTTGGCGTAACAGAACAAAAATAGCTAAAGATTTCATCCCGTATGTCACAACTCTCTGTTTGTAAAAGGAATGCAACTAACTTCATCATGTCGCTTTCAGCTCACTTTATCTTGTCGCTTTTTGGCTGTCGGTGTGCGCGCGCATCGTAAAAAATGTACTCTCATATTTTTTCCAAACGTGCCAAAATAAGTATAACTTCAAAATTATTGAAAATAATTCTTAACATTTCCGCAACTTTCAATGCATGATGTGTTACAGCTCAATTTAAAATTATAGTGAAAACACATTTACGTTTCAGACACCTGATCAAAAACCTCCAGAAGACTGGCCAACTGAAGGAGCAATAAAATTTAACGAATTGAGTTTAAAATATGTTCCTGACGGCAATTATGTCCTTAATAAGCTGCACTTCAATATTCTTCCTCGCGAAAAGGTTAATCTAAGTTAATAGTCCGGTCAATTTAGATATAAAAATAGTGGTCTAATAACATAAAATCCCGGAAAGCCAAATATTGTTGGAGAGCTGGGGTTTACCATTACAAATAAAGTTTTAAAAATCCCCATCGATCCTATGTGTGCTACAAAAGTTATTCGGGGTCAAAGGTCAAAATTTGAGGTTTTTTGGATTTTTCTCGGAAACGGTAAGTTTTATTAAAAAAAACCTCACACCATATATATATATATATATATATATATATATATATATTATATATATATATTATATATATATATATTATATATATATATATCCCATGATGAACTATGGAAGAATTAATAGAAAGAGATATCATTTTATGTAAAAATGAAGCTGATAATAAAATATGTAATCTCACTAATTACTAATAAAATTCTAAATAATAATAAAATACAGCTAGCTTATATTATGGATTAACAAAAAGGCATAGTTTTAGATGACGAACCTAAAAAAAATAAGGAACCTTGTGTATAGTAGTTATAAAGAATTATTTGTTTATAGATCGGCATAGTTGGTAGAACTGGAGCAGGCAAATCTTCAATAATACAAGCATTATTTCGCTTAGCATATTTAGAAGGAACGATCACAATCGATTGCATCGATATAACGTCTATAGGCTTAAAGTATTTGAGACAAAAAATATCTATTATACCGCAGGTAAAAATAAAATAATCGTAAGTAAAAATTCAGGGCATCCATACACAAAAAACAATAGGAGAAAACGGTTATTATATAATTTTCATTTATTTTTAGGAACCTGTCTTATTCAGTGGAACTTTAAGAAAGAATTTAGATCCATTTAACGAGTACACCGACGAATTGCTACTTCGAGCTCTAGACAAAGTAGAACTTTTGACGGAAGATGAAGGCGTTGGTAAGAATTAACAATAATGCTAAATAATAAGCCTAATCAATTATAAGAACAGCCTAATATGTAATAAATAAGAATTTTTAGATAAAGGTCCGATTTTAACACTACCAATTTAATAAATGTATGGTACATGAGTGGAGTAAAATATTGGTATTCAAATATTAATTCCGTTAATATAATATTTTAGTTACCCACATTATATAATAAAAATGAAATGCTGTTTATTGGTAAGCATTAGAGAACGGACTGGACTGATATTACAACTTTTGAATGAACTCAAAGATTAAAAATAAATTTATTAAAATGAGGGCATAACATTTGCAGGGTCAGCTAGTCTATACATATAATAAAATTCTGATTCGAATTTGTACATTAAATATTTTTTGGAAAATCTTATTGAAGTACATTGAACATTATTATTGATACAGAGGCCAAATCTATAGGTTTCAGAATTTTTGTCTGTCTGTCTCACACATAAATATATATTTATTATTTTAGAAGCTCTCTACAAACAAGTATCAGATTGTGGAAGCAACTTTAGCGTTGGGGAGCGTCAACTAGTGTGCTTGGCTCGCGCTATTGTCAACAACGACAAAATACTACTGCTAGACGAAGCCACAGCTAACGTGGACGCACAAACCGACGCACTCATACAAAATACTATTAGAGAATACTTTAAAAATTGCACCGTACTGACTGTGGCACACAGACTAAACACTATTATAGATTCTGATAAGGTATTTACATATTTATTCATTATATTTTATGTCATTATGTCTTATTGTATGTGCACAAAGTAAGTTGTATCTAAATGGTTCATTTAAAAGCCAAATAATAAACAATTGAGTTGCAGTTTTCTCTTTTTTATTAGTATTCTCTTTTTTATCTACATGTGTTTTAAATTTTAGCAAAATAACACATTTTTACAATTTAACATTTTTGAGCTATTGTTAGGAGAAAAATGAATTGACGACTTATGTCCTTCGAATGTATACACACATAATAATTTATTTTTTTCTTAGATTTTAGTGCTGGACGCTGGAAATCTCGTCGAATTCGACCATCCCCATGTATTATTACAAAATAAAAAGGGATATTTTCGTAAAATGGTTTCTGAAACCGGCCCTGGCATGGCCAAAATATTACACAAACTTGCGGCTGAAGTAAGTCCTAAGTGTTTCTTTGAATTAAATTTAATTTTAATAGCCACGCTAATCTGTAAATAAAATAAGATTCTGAGTCGAATCTGTACATTAAATATTCTTTTGAAAATCTTATTAAAATGGACTATAGATACTGAAGCCGAATCTATAATTTTTAGAATTTTTGTCTGTCTGTCTGTGACCGCATCACGACAAAACCACTGGACAGAGTATGATGATAGCTGGTTATCCGGGTCAACATATAGGATACTTTTTACTGCAGAAAATTATCTCATTTCTGAGATCTATATTAACCGTTAAAACGTATCTAGGGACGAATCCGAGTGGAGCGAGCGTTAGTCGCTAGTTCATTATTAATTACCACAACTAATGGACGTTATTTACATAATAGTGATTTTGTTACAGAACTACAATAAAATAAAACAAGACGAATGATGTAAACGATATTTTTAAATATATTTTTACTTCTACATATGGAGTGTTTACTGTCTTATTTCTCTAAGTGTAAAATTAAGATACTTCATCCAAATAGGATAAGCATGTAAAATTTTATTTATTAATATTATAAGAGACTTATAATTTATAATACACAAAACAATTTATATAATCATATAAATTTATATAATAAACTCAAGGCTGACGAATATACAGAATTCTCCAAAATAAATGTCAAAGGTAAAAATAGTAGCGTGATTTCCTATTATTGCTACTATTCCCGATTATGCCATACGGGTCGTTTATGAGCATTTATATACATATCAAAGTATCACTTAATATATCATCCTATAAAACAAGCAACATTAATATATATATACAAAATCTAACAATTTTCGGTATTAAATTTTTTCTGTCATAAGTCACCACTCTCAATAATATTTTTTTTTATTACACTAAATTTTTTTTATTAAATCCTTTCACCAAAAGTTGTCTGATAGAGACTGCTTTAAGCAATAAGACAGTCTTTGTATTTCTAATGTAATTTCTTAGACAACCTGTACATAGTGGCCTTGTGTGTTCAATATAGATTAACAAATAAGTAAAATAAAAATAACAATTATATAAATACTGGTGATGTTTAAAACTAACTAATAACTAAAAAGCGCTCACTATACAGTCTCTATGTTGCAATTGAGACTCGCAAGTTGAAGATCCATCCTTTTTTTAAAGTCTTGAATAATATTGTCCATGCGTCTGCAAACAAAGTATATTTTATGAATTACGTATATCCTTATACATGGTGTAATATGTTTGGATTATTTATTAATGTTTATGTAAAATTTATAAAATGCTTATCTTAATTTGAAATAAAAACTCGTTAAGCAAAAGGTTACTTAATTTTGTAAAGGAAAATTTTAATATTATAAACGTGTAAGTTTGTGAGTATGGATGTTTATTACTCTTTCACGCCAGAATGGCTGAACGGATCTGGATGAAATTTTGCACAGAGATAGATTATAATCTGGAATAACACATAGGCTACTTTTTATCCCGGAAAAATGTATGGTCCCCGTGGGATAAGTTTGTTTTTGTTTTCCAAAAGTTTGTTTTTGTTTTCTAGTCAGGTATAAATTTATATTCACACTGCAAATTCATTGGTCGCACTGTCTATACACGTTACCGAACCACTTATAAAGTTGCTGAAATTTCCTTGTTTTCGTATTTTTTGCTATATTTTATACATTTAGGAGTTATAAAATAAGCGCCATTTATTGTCTTTAGAAATTAAATAGAATCCCGAATAAAGCTCATCTAATTTTTATTTATGGGATGAGTTATCCGTCCTAGTATAGTTCTGTCAACTGTTGTTAAAGAGAGATCTCAAGTCGCCTATAAAAATATTATTAAGGATGTCAATAAAACATTAATGATTTCTGATATTTTGTGACTTAGGTGACTATAATAAGGAATATATGCATGAAATGAATGGCGTGACAAAGCGAAAGAAAGTATGTAGCAGCTTTTAATTACATTATAATTTCGTTATCTTAGAAACGTAAATTGAGGATAAATCGTTTAAATAAATAGTGCTTTTAAATGTTATGTTTGATTCAACACGACTTTTTACCTACAAAATTCAACAGTAGGTTTTTTCAAGGTACCAAATACACACTTCCATTAAGTATTAGATGTGAATATTCAGGAATGCTAGTATGAAATTTATGTATAGTTAATGAGACATTTTTTCAAAAAATATTTTTTTCGCAGCTGAATTTGATTCATCATGAAAAACACTTACTTTTTCTCTTCCTCGGTTTCCAATGGTGGAATACTCGCTAAGGTTTCTACGAGGTGATTCCTGTAGTAAACAAAAAAGTAGTTTTTTATAACAAAAAATTAGACATATTTTTTTAAGCGGCCAGACAGATTTTACTTACAGTTATAAAATTTATAATATTTAAAATACTGTTTATAAACTAAATCAATTATAGCTATTTAAATAAATATAAGCTAATTTAATAATGCAATTACAAAAAAGATTCATAGCAAAATATTATAAACCTAGTCTAGTAACTGCTACATTTTAAAATCAAAAATACTCCAAATAATAAATTCCATTAAACATATTTGTTTCTGTTAGCTGAATGGCTATGAAATAGAAACGGCTTTTGGATTTGGAAAATATTTAATACCCATATAATATTACCTGGAGTTACATACAATTATTAACACACAGTCATTCTTACCTAGGCACGCTACCAAGCGAAGAATGGATAAATCGCTGGTAAAAACATATTCTCAATACTTAATCATAAATGACGACACACTTGGCTCAGTTTGTAGTGACACCACTTGCAGTGCCAGCGGTCGCGAGTTCGAGTCCCGCTGGGGGCATTCATTTGTGTTGAGAACGAATGTCTGTACTTCAGTCATGGGTGTTTATATTTAAAATATGTATGTATTTAAAAATTATATACCTATGTGTTGTGATGATTCATATTTTACAATACAGGTAGTTGCACACACCGATAGGGTAGTAAGAAAAAGTGTAATCGTTTGACACTTGGACTCCAACTACCACAGAAAGCGGACGTGTGCGACATTGTGAATCAGTTACGAGTTTTATTTTATAATACCTATCTATAGTGGTCTTAGTAGTATATAGATACCTTATATAGTGTCAAATAAGTTTTGTGAATTACCAATGGAACTAGATGGTGCTGTGTGTTAATGTCCCAACATATTTATTTATTTACATTTCTGAAACAATCAAAAATAACTATCTGAAACACAAAATGAAACTCACTCAGCCTTCCTAGTGAGATGCGCGGCGCACGCGAGCCGCAACAGCGTGGTCTCGAGGCGCGCGCGGAAGGCGGCGGCGCGCGAGACCGACGGCGAGCCTGCGCACAGTCTAGAAACTTCCTCGCATACGGTCTCGCTTATATCACGGACATAGCGCGAGCATGCCGCGCCGCAGATACTGTCTACCTGAGAGTTAAATGTTATTGATAGTTACATTTTGTATCGAATCTATATGTCTAACCATTCGTAAATTAAAAATTAAACTAAACCCTAAAACAATAATCTTATTGAATTAAAGCCATTTCAATCAGCCTAAACGTGATATCTTTGCATTATTTTAGTAAATAGTAAAGTATCTTGCAGATTGCATTTACGCAACAATATCAGGCCAAGGTTACCATATTATTACAATGTCATCAAAGTAGCGGGATGCCAAGTTTCGAATGGATTAGATCTGTGTGAGTTGCTCATATCCTTTTAACATCTAGAAAAAAGATGACCACCTTTCAAACAAAAAAAAATGAAATCAGTTCATCCGTTTGGGCGCTATGATGCCACAGAGACACACAGAACCAAAAATACCACGTTAAACTTATAACATCTCTCTTTTGCGTCGGGGGTTAAAAAGATAAAGTTATAGCAATTAAGAACTATATAGTAGTTATAGTTCGAAATGTACTACGTTCTAAAATTTACGCGAATATTTGACATTTTAAATAAAACTCGCTTTTCGGATTATTTCGCGGCTTTATTTGATTTTTGGTTCCCGACGTTTCGAATGCTTTACAGCAATCATGGTCACGAAAGAGACTAAGGTTATAGACGTCTCAAAGGCGACTTGTTACAGACGGTGCCTACTCCTTATTTAAAAAAAAACAAAAATGGCACCAAAGTACCTTACAATATTTGTTGATTTTTATTTCTAAACATTTTAATTTTTTTAATAAGTATTATAATTAAATATAGCAATGTTATTTATTTAATTTTAGCTGTTATTAATTATTATTATAAATATAAAGTTTTTTAACCATAACATAGTTGACAATGGTTCTACGAATTACTACTAATTGTAATTAGTAAATACAAGAATTATTAGGCCTTTACAGCCGTTCAAAAAGTGCCATAGTGGACGGTATTTCACGTCCACAAGGCGGGGTATTGGTAAAGTTTTCAACTAGCAATAATCGCACCTCGGATTAACCTCATTGGTTACGATATTGCCTCTGCGCAAAGTTAACATTACCGTTCATGTCCAAGCTATATGAATGTTCGACTCAACCAAACGATAGCGCGATCTACTTTACTACTAACGCCATCTATCGGCAGTTTTGATAACTGAAGTTATATTTATGGAAAGAAAATGTTTTAAGCTAAGATTTAAAAGTATTTATTGTTTATGAAATAATATATAATTTATTTACATTAACAATTAATAATTAAAAATAATATATTGTACTTATTTATATCAGAACAACAGAGACTACCATGTCATTTGTGTCGACACAGCCTAAGTTAAACTAATATTAGAAACTAAGATTGTTCTGTATAATAATATATGTATGTTTGTTTTTGTATGTAATATTGTTTAGTGTTTATGCGTTTTTATTGCTCAATAAATGATTATTATTATTATTAATAATTACACTAAATAGCCTAATTAACTTGTTAACATGTTTAAAATCATGTTAGTTCAGTCAAAGCCCAATAATTAATATGTGAAAAGGCTCATTAAAATTAAAAAGAAATATGAATCATAATAATTAATAATATTTATTCGGATTTTTATGAATGTACTTACAGATATTTAATGGATAATGGATATCGCATATTTTTAGAGTTCTTTTCTGAATATAAATATATATTTTCAGAATTTATTCATTTTAAAATAATATTTTCTTTTTTTATGCATAACACAATTAATTAAAAAAAATTATATTAATTTATTAAAATAACTAAATATAGCTTATTGCACAAAATATTATTAAATGGATTTTTCCTACCTTTCTAATTATGTGCGCTACTTAATATGATACGTAAGTGGATATTAATGATGCCTAATTATGATATAATAATATATGAATGAAGATAATATTTGAAAATATCAATTAATAATATTAAAATAAAATATTTTTTAAGCAAATTATTTTTTTCAAAAGGGTCCTATCTAATCCTATCAGCAGTACGGACGACGTACTGCGCCGACCCCAAGTGATTGGGAAATGGACAGGGAGATGATGATGATGATGGTCCTATCTAATCACAATATTTTATAATTATAAAAATCAAATTAATGGAACTCTAATTCAAAATTAAGTTTACATTAGAATTGAAATTAAGTGCTGTATTCAGACCTTTTTAACGTCGCACTACTGGGCACGTGCCTCTCTTCAGTATGAGGGGAATCAGGCCATAGTCCACCAAGTCCGCGGGCCAAGTGCCAGAGAGAGAACTTGCTAGATTCTCTCAGATATGCAGGTTTCCTCACGATGGTTTCCTTCACCGTAACACAAGTGGTAATCAAATCAGATATGATTCGCACATGAAAATATCAAAGGCACGACACCCGATATTTGAACCCGCTTCACTCGGCTTCCCAAGCGAGCGCCTTACCACTGGGCTACCTTTAAATGCCAGTAAATAATAATGAAATGCAACTTACCTCAGCATGAACAGCGATCAGATTATTGATAATTTCGTATACATAAGGACGGGCGTCGTCAACGACCGCGTCAGGATCTATCCGGTGCCGTCCCATGTACATGCTGGGCTCGATGGTGCCCACGATGGGGTCGCCCTTGTGCTCTAAGTACGTTTCCGCTATGACTGACTCCAGATTGCTGAGTGCTTCCTTGGTGGCTTGTAGAGCTAGCAGCGGTTTGGGGAATTCGTAACTGGAACAGGTTTGGTTTTTCTTCAGTTTTAGAGTCTATATTGTGTTTAATTTCTTTAAAAAAATATATCGTTATAATTTTTCATTTCAATATTGTTATTAAAGTATAAAGAATAAAAAAAATACTATCATTATAGTTTGTCCATTTTATTAATGGTTTTTTGACAGCTCGACGACTGACAAGTAATAATGATGTCCTAAAGGACGTAATAATTGATATCCCTTATTTTTTAAATATAAAATAATATTTATTTTTATATTTATTAATTTGAAAATAAATATTATAATCGTAAAACTATATATACGGACCGTCCGTCCGGCCGCCATTTTGACGTAGTCTGTCACTCGCAACAAACGCCCGTGCTAGTCACACGCATTTACGTTCGCTGAGTGTTCTCTCGCATTTGTTAGACCTCGAGTTGAGTTGTTTTATTCCTCGGTGCAACTATTGGGAGTGCTTAGATTAAGCAGTTAGCAGAGTACATTAATCGTGAAAATGCCGAAAGGAAGTGTGTTGAAAGGACAATCGAGACAATTAGTGCTACAACTTCATGGTTACTTTGAACAAGAAAATCAAAATGGCGGTCCGCTTATACCTATCTCGCAAGAGCGAAACCGTGTTGCGGCCGCATTGGGTATCAGTCTTACAACTGTGACTAAAATCACTGAGGAAGCCTACGGCAGGAGCAGCTTAGAACAAAACAAGCCTGTTACACCAAAAAGAAAACGCCGGCCTCGTGATGTGACAGCAGTTGACGATTTTGACGCTGACGCCATTCGTCGTCATGTATATGACTATTATCTGAAAAAAGAAATTCCAACTATAAGAAAACTTGTTGTTTCTTTGAAAAGAAGTGGTCTATTTTGTGGTCAAAAGTCTTGTGTGGCCAAAGTTTTAAAAAGAATTGGCTTTTCGTATAAAAAATCAGATAAAAGAAAAATATTAACGGAACGCACTGATATTGCTTTGGCACGATGTGACTTTTTAAAAGAGGCAAAAAAAAATCAAGATTGGCCAAATATTGTCTTTGCGGATGAAACATGGCTCAACGCTAACCACACTGTATCCCGATCCTGGACTGACGACACTGCTGCTTCCACCACCGCAGTACCAATTGGAAAAGGCGAACGCCTCATCATTTGCCACGCAGGTACAGCAAAAGGTTTTGTACAAGACGCACTGCTGGCATTTAAATCAAAGAGATCTGGCGATTACCACGCAGAAATGAATGCGGAGGTGTATGAAGAGTGGTTCAAGAATATGCTTTTATCATTGGAAGAACCATCAATAATTTTTATTGATAACGCGCCCTACCACTATCGCCAAATTGACAAAATGCCAACGCAAGTCAATAAAAAACATGAAATTATTAATTGGCTACGCGAAAATGGAGAAAATGTGGATGATTCTATGTTAAAAATAGAATTGGTAAAAATATTAAAAACCAAAAAGAAACCAAAACGGTATGTGATCGATGAAATGGCAGCAGAATATGGTCATAACGTCCTTAGGATTCCTCCATATCACTGCCAATACAATGCCATAGAACTTATATGGGCACAAGTAAAAGGGCATGCTGCAAGAAACAATACAAGGCCCCCATTCACAGCGAATAAAATGTTGCAATTACTCAAAAACGCTTGCACCCACGTGACGGCCGAGAACTGGGCAAGTGTGGTGGAGAGAACTAAAAGAGTCTTAATGTCTGATTGGGACCGTGGCATAGCATTTGATAATTTATGCACACAAGAGTTAATAATTAATATAACTGAAGACTCCTCATCGGACGAATCTAATATAAATGATGATTCTGACGAAACATGTTAATAAAAGGAATTAAACTATTTTAGTTGTTTTATTTGTATGCTTTATGCTAAGAAGAAAGTAAAACTTTACATAATGTTAATATTTTAATTTATTGGTTTCAACCTTAAAATTTTGCTGTCTTCCTGATTAAATAACATATTACACCTTACATATTAGCATTTATTTCTATCGATTATTTGTAATCTGTGGCACAATCGTAGTAATCGTTATGTGTGGCACATCAATAAGGGGGCGGTACCCGTCCATGAAGTACAATATTATTTGTATGAAATTTTAACTTACCGGTTAACCATTAAATACGAAACTTCATGGGCTTAAGCTGTCAAAAAACCATTTATAAAATGGACAAACTATAGTTATGCAATTTCTAATGAAACTAAAAATTGAGCTAATAACAACTAATGTGATAAAACACGCTATATTAGAACTTGGCCAAAGTGCAAGTCTAAAAAATGTTAGAGAGATGATGAGTGTAAATTGTCATTTACCTATCAAAAGCATTGGTAATATTGGTGAGTGTCAATTACCTATCAAAAGTATTAGTAATATTGGTGAGTTACTAGAAGCCACGAAAGAAAAGAATTGAATTGAATTGTATATTAGTGAGTGTCACTTTCTATGTGATATTGGCAAAGTAATCTGTCCTCAACTGGCACGCTTTGAAGCCATTAACAAAAAAATGCGTGTTACCTTTACGCGAGGTTGAAGTAAAACTTCTTTTGCAAATGTCGCAATTAAATTAAATAAGGCATATTAGGCATATTACAATTATATATTTATAGAATATCATATACGGAAATAATTTACATTATATCTGTCATACAATAACAACTGTTACCATGGCAACATAACAATGTTTTCTATCTCATTCTTTCGCCGGCTTAATCCTATATATTAATATGTTTGTGTTGCATTTTTCATAGTTTCCAATCACAATGATACTAAAGAAAATAAAAAAAACTTCAAAAAATTAAATTGAATTGAGTGTCACTTACCTATCAAAAGCATTGGTAATATTGGTGAGTGTGACTCGTCGTGTGTACTGAGCGTTGGCGGCGGCTATGAGCAGGCACTGCTGCCACGAGCGCGCTTTGTCGCCCAGCCGGCGCGGCGCCTCCAGCGGCTGGTCCAGCGCCACCGACAGGCTCGTGTTGTTAAAGTCCTGGAATTTTCATATTAAATTGAAATCTATACAGATAAATAAAATTAAAGTGTCTGTTTGTAATGTCAAAATAACAACGTTTTTATTAAATTATATATGGTACTTATAACAAAAACACAATTTTTTACTTTTTTATCTGTCTGTCTGTCTGTTTGTTCCGGATAATCTCTGAAGCGGCTGGATTGATTTTGACGGGACATTCACTGGAAGATAGTTGTTGTTATAGGGAGTAACATAGGCTACTTTTATTTTTAGAAAAAGAATTAGGGTTCCACTCAGAAAAAAATTAAAACTTACCTAGGGACGAACCCGAGCGAAGCGAGTTAACTAAATAATAATGCTACATTTAATTATAATACTTACTAGCGAAGGTACATTTTAGTTTTATTGAGCAGAACCCTTACTCTTTTACTGAACTAAAAGTAGCCTAAGTTACTCCTTATAACATCAACTATCTGCCAGTGAAATTCCCGTCAAAATCGGGCCAGCCGTTACGGAGATTAGCCGGAATTTCAATTTTATTAAACTGGATATGTATAGATTAAAAAAATTGAAATGTTTAGAATTAAAATCAACAAATATTGTAAGGTACTTTGGTGCCATTTTTTAATTTAAGAAATCATTTTGTAAAATTGAGAGTAGGCATTTTCTGTAACAAGTATATGTATAACGCCCTTAAGACGCCTATAACGTCTCTCCTGTGATAATTGATGTAAAGCTTTAGAAAAGTCGGGAACCAAAGATCAAAATTAATTCGCGAAATAATCCTAAAAGATTGTTTTTTTTAATGTCAAATATTTGCGTAAATCTAAGAAAGTATCTTGGATTGTTGATTACTTATCATACTGCTGTTCTAGAAATGTACTATAACACAGCAGTTAACCCGATAGAATTTCACGTCGCCAACATAAACAGAAGATAAGCCGTTAGTTTCCCAATATATATCAATTTGTGTTTTCATAAGTGCCTTTATTATATAAAGAACTCTTATCCGGAAGCTATTAACTTAACAGTTTAGCAAAGCCTTGTCTGTCACTTAAAGATACATATGTTAGATGATATATACATATAATAAAATTCTAACCGGGTCAAATCAATACATTAAATATTTTTTGGAAAATCTTATTGAAATAATCATTATTATCGATACAGAGGTCGAATCTATAAGTATTAGATTACTTGTCTGTCTGTCTATAACCGCATCACGGAAAAACCACTGGATGGATTTTGTTTTAGAATTTTTGTCTGTCAGTCTGTCTGGGAACTCATCACGAGAAAACCACTGGACAGATTTTGATGAAATTTGGTATGATAGTAGCTAGTTATCCGGCTCAACAATTATTCTACAATTTTTACTGCGTGAAAATATATCATCTCTGAAAAATCTATACTTACCGTTAAAGCGTACCCAGGGGGCGAACCCGAATCGCTAGTATGATATAAATTCTCACTTGATTATCATGCTGTAGAGCCAGCTCCTGTAAGACGTTAACAAACGCCAGCAGTATCTGTTGTGTATGCTTCTGCAGCGTGGCGAGCGGCTCGCTGCCCTCAGCGAGTAGCGGCGTCTCGCGCCTGCCGCTCGCGAACACACACTTGTGTATGGAGGACAACGCGTCGTTCACGGTCGTTTCTAAGACTTGCGGCTGTAATGTATAAATAAATAAATAAATAAATATTTTGGGATATTGACACACATCGCCATCTAGTTCCATTGTAAGCTACGAGGCTTGTGTTATGGATACCAGTTAGTTGATACAATACACATAATATATAACTTTAAATACATACATATTATAAATATAAACACCCATGACTGGAATACAAACATTCGTGTTCATCACGCAAATGAATGCCCCCAGCGGGACTCGAAGCCGCGACCGCTTGCACAGAAAGTAGGGTCACTACAAACTGAGCCAAATGCGTCGTCTTTATATATAATATAGTTTTAAGCTAAAGCTTAAAGCGATTTTTATTTCTTTCAATAAATATGGGACCACGAGCGACGAGATGAGGAAATGAAAAATACTTTACAATTTGACTTACCAAGTCCGTAATAGCTCCATAGTCAGAGAACTCCTGTATCTTCCAAGTCTCTTTCTCGGCGAGTCCCTTCACGCGCTTGTGCGCGCGCTGCAGGAACACCGTCATGCCGTGCACGCGGTAGTCGAATATTACCTTCTCCACTATGCTGAGAGGCTGTGGAATATTTAATGTACATTTTAATTGTAGCTTTTAAATGTTTTGAAGATATCCAAAAGAAAATTCCTCATTATTATAATCCCTTATTCATGTCAAAAATATAGCTTATTTTAGATTAAGCTAGCAAAAAGAGTATTATGTTTTAGATAAATCTTGTTTTTTTTTTGTATTAGTATAGTTTTTTGTATTAAAGACATTATCTACAATCAGTATTTGTGCTATATGTGGATGAGTTGTAATGTGATTCTTTATACGGCTGGATATGTATGTATTAGAATAATAAAGATAGATTATAAAATTGATTATACATATAACATTGTAATATTTCAATAATTGAATCGTCGAAGCGAGAAACTCCGTGTAACAAACTTATATTAAGGATAGCGACTCATCCTCGCTCCGCCCGGGTTCGTTCCTAGGTGATTCTTTCATTTGACGTTTTTTTATTTATGAACCGATTGAAATAAAATCAATACTAAATGTTAAGTGAAGCTTACCACAATGTATTGGTAAAAACCGCATCCAAATCGGTTAAGCCATTTCTGAAATTACCGCGCACATACGCACAAACAGACAAAAATTCTAAAAATCATTTTTTTGGATTCTATTGCGTAAATAAAGACCCCTTATGATATTTTGTTTTAAATATCTTCCATGTACAGTCAGCGACCAGTGACACTTTTATTATATGTATAGATATAGTAACCTGCGAGGGCAGGTCCAGCTTGAGCAGCGACTCGTACGCCTCGCGCAGACTGCGCAGGTTGGCGAGCAGGCGCGCGCGCAGCGCCTCCGCGCCGGGCGCCGCGCCGCCCGCCAGCAGGCACGCGCGCATCTGCTCCGAGAACTGCTGCATCGCCGCTATTATCATCTCCTGTAACCCATGTCGTTTATCACAAAGGGTATGTCAAGATATCGATCATTGACGGTTACGATGGCAAAGATAGATTAAAGTGAAAGAGAGTTAGCGCGTTAGTTAGCTGTTTGTTGCCATGGTAACCGTAATTGTATGACATATGATATATAATATTATATTCTTCCCTTATTTTCTTTCCATTGCAGCCACTTTTATATAGGTAGAGGTACTTTATCATGCGCAGAAAAAACTTAGCTTTAATTTGATATATACATGATAAATATACGCCATGAACGTATAAAATATTATTATTTATTTAAATAAACACGCTAGTATTAGCGGGCACATTTTAATAGGCACCCCGGTTAAAACATATTGTCCCTTTTATTATTGTATATAAAAAATTGATTTTGATTAAAAAGCTATGAACGTAGCAATCTTGCAGCGGGATCTTAGTCCATAACCCTTTCTTTGCAGTCGGGTAATAAAGAGATAAAGTTTGTGAGTTTGTGAGGTTGTAGACGATAATCTCTGGATCTACTGAACCAATTTAGATGAAATTTGATAAGAAGACAGTTGGAGACCCTGGGAAGGACATAGGATATATTTTATTTCGGAAATCATCCCTTAAAGGGGTTAAAATAGGGATGAAAGTTTGTTTCCGGGGCAGAGGCTGACTGCTACCGGACGCGTCCCCGGGTGGCGGATAGGGGAACACCACTCGCACCTGTTTGGACCCGACAGGAGCTTGTGGTACCGGAGCAATCCGGCGCGGACCAACAGCCAGGAGGGAGGGTTGAGGGAGCGGCGTTAGGAGGGCGCCGTCTCCTTCTTGGAGGTAGCGCGGTGTCTCCGGCCGTTTCGCGGTAGAAGGCGCTGCGCGGGCCACACTGCCGGGACTAGCCCGTCGGTGCGGCGGCTGGAGCGGGGCCAGTTCGGTGGCCCTGCGTCTGGCGAGGGATGTCGGCAGCCATTTTGGTCCGGAGGTGGGCCGACGGTAGGGGGGCCGCGGGGGAAGAGGAGTGTCGGTATGACGATGCGCCGCTCGTCCCTATCTCCCGCGGCCTAGCGGGGCCACCACCGTTGATGGTGGACGCGGTGGGGCTGCAGGGGAAGGGGAGTGTCGGCGTTGTTGCATCCTCTTCTCCTGCAGCCGTTTGAGGATGGGCTCGTTCGCGGGCGTCTTTGGGGTTTGCCCAATTTGGGTGGGAGGTTAGGTTCTTTTTGCAGGTTGCCCACTTCGGTGGGCAGTGTTTGTGTCGTGTGGGGCTGCTCCGGGTACTTCTCTGATCAGCAGAGTGGACTTGGGAGCAGCCTCACGTCTTAGGGAGGTTGTTAGTCTTCCCATAATGGGGTTGTCCCGCTTGGGGCGGCCTCATGGTTGGTGGCTTCGGCCAACCGTCGGAGCGTCGCGGTTGTATGCGAAAGCGGTCCCGTGGCGTCCCACATGGCGGCAGGAGGGGAAAGTAAAAAAAAAAAAAAAAAAAAAAAGGGATGAAAGTTTGTATGGGGTGGGCTCGGTTTCGGGCGTTGTTGGAGGTTGCCCAATTTGGGTGTGGAAGGACAGGCTTAGGCCGCTTATTTTTGCAGGTTGCCCACTTCGGTGGGCGGTGTTTGGTCGTGTGGGGCTGCTCCGGGTACTTCTCTGTTCAGCAGAGTGGACTTAGGAGCAGTCTCACGTTCAGGGTTGCAAGTCTTCCCATAATGGGGTCGTCTCGCTTGGGGCGGCCTCATGGTTGGTGGCTTCGGCCAACCGTCGGGGCGTCACGGTTGTATGCGAAAGCGGTCCCGTGGCGTCCCACATGGCGGCTGTGGGGAAAGTTGGGTTTTAGTGGTTATGCCGGTCTCATTAGCCGGAGAGTCTCCACATAACCACCCTGGGGGGAAGTCGGGTGGTATCCGTAATAGGATTTCCCAACTATAAAAAAAAAAAAAAAAAAGGGATGAAAGTTTGTATGGAGAATCAACCTAAGGACGAACTCGAGCGAAGCGCGGGTGAGTTAGCTAGTTGTAACATAGCATGAGCCACCACACCTTAAGCTCAGTGTGCCGCTGCGGGTCCGAGGGCTGCCCCGCCAGCTCGCCGGCGAAGTAGCGGCGCGCCAGCGGCCACAGCGCGTGCAGCTCGGACGCGAGCGCGCCGCACGCCGCCGCGCACCACGCCGCGCGCGTCGAGCTCCACGACCCTTCCGTTTCCGACTCTTTGGTTTTACGCTTACCTGAATGTTGTATGTTGTGTTGGATATACGGTTAATATTTTTTATCTACACTTATAATAAAAAGGTTAAGTTTGTAAGTTTGTATGAAAGAGGTTATATAGAAAACTACTGATCCGATCCTGGAAATTCTTTCACTCATAGGTTTACTGTCGAATATCTTAATAAATACAATGACGCCATATCAAATGTCATACTAACTTTTTTAAATGAGATTGTAACTGTGTACTGTAAATTGCCATGAGTTGGCATTTTTTTAACTTTTTATCTAACAAAACTGTTCAATATAAGAATTAGTTTGTTTTTTCACTCACTGCATTTGACAGCATTTCCGCTACTGTATCGATTTATATAATGTCGTTGTATATTGCATAGGGAAAATATATAATATTCTCTAAATCAAATTCAATAAGAAATCAAAGTAATGAGCATAATTACACATAAACACAAAAGTATATACTATGTACAAATATTATTAATTTTATTGGAACTACCTTTCTCTCCCGACTCCTGTTCCTCTTTTTGCTTAAAATGATTTTGTACTTTGTTCATCAAATTCATTAGATAGTCTTTACGAGTCGTGATAGCAATCCATGCGGCGTCGCCTTCCCAGTTCAAACTGATAAGTAGCCTAGAAATAAAGTTTACAAAAACCGTTACTAGATGGGGTTGTACAGTTTTAGGTTTTATCTGAATCGCGCTACTGTTTCGTTCTCGTGACCATCACGCGGTGTGGACATAAATAGCATTTTATAATACATCTAAAGTCGCAAATTCATTTTTCATATAGCAAAATATTTAGTAATTATTTATCGTATAAGCAATAAACATAAACATGATATTGGTCCAGTCAAGAAAGTGACCGAGTTCCGACTATCAATTCTTAAAGGGGTTCCAAAATTTGTGTACCTAACCTTCGCTATTTAAAATTTCAAAGTAGACGCGCTCAATGAACCTGGTATATGGTATGAATAAAATAAAATGTAAAGTTAGAAAGACTCAGTAAGAAAAAAAAATGACGGCAGTTTACAAATACCCAAAGGTTCAATATTTCTGTTTGCTATTTAAAATTTATAATAGATCATAGCTTCCTTATTCAATAAAATTATAGCAGAATATTTATTTATTATTTCTGTTTGATGAAGAAAATTTTCGTCCTAATCAGTATGGCATCCCCTCAAACTAAGGAATAATATAGTATCATAGAATTAAGCATGAAACCAAACAAAAATTTCAGTGTATTCATTCAGGCCGCTAGTTAAACGGCGCCGTTTAGTTAAGAGGCTAGGCTGTTAATTGAACGTCTTATTAAGTTAGTTGGCAGTGACGTATAGATATTTATTGTTAGTAGAACCAAGTTTTAATAAAATTTTCCTACAAAAAAAAACTTTTTTATGGATTTTATAAATGACATTTTATAATCTTTGTATTTAGTATCTATTTTCCCACAGTATTAGTAATTAAAACAATATTAAAAAAATGTTTTTAACTGCAAAAATTAGTAAAAATAAACAATATCATCCTTAAGATATTTTATATATTTCTTTAGTCTGAGTTCTTACCTTATATATTTTGTTTGCTCTTGAACATTCACAGGCATTGTCTTCATTCTGGTATGTAAATTTTCTTTCAAATCTTCAATTTTCTTATCAATTTCAACAAGAATTTTTTGAAAGAGCTAAAAATCCAACAAATAACATTTTCTAACTTTTTATATGAGCAAAACATAAATTAAAAAATTTAAGTTAATTAAGACAACATTAATTACATTCAATAAACATAATATATATTTTTAAGTACCTACTACATAACATATTGGCTACTTATATTAAATTTCTAGATAGATAAAGAGTGTTGTTTTAAACAAGATAAGTTACCTTAACATCTGTATTTCCAAATAAATTTTTCACCCTTGTATAATCATTGACTACCAAATCATATTCCTTTTTTCGAATGTTCTTGTCTATTGAGGAAGGCAATTGAAAAAGAAATTTATGGCGCGTAAGCAAAGACAGGGCTTCACGCGTTTTGTCGGCATTCTCCTTACGAGATAATATCTCCGAAAATAAAGAATCAGCTAGTGATATTGATTCTGAAAAAAAAACTTTATATAATACCATGTTGTTTATTTATTTATTTATTTAATTAGGATCGCCAACATTATATATAGTAACTTAAAAAAAAAAATATTGTACAAAGGAGGTCTAAATCCAACTGTTATTATACTTATAGGTAACTACGACAAGCATAAACAATCCCGCGGAGCATTTTAAAAAAATAAAAATAGTTTTCAATATCCGCTTTTAAATTGTAAAATGTATAATAATACAGATTATAGATAACATATTTATGCCAAGAAAAAGCATATTAAAAATAATTGTTGTTTGTATTAAGTAGATATCATGATTTTATTTATAAGTACAGACTATAGTATATAATACATATGAGCGTATGTAGTAGTAATTTATTCTTTAAAATGAACCTGAGTTATATTTGTATTACATACAAAGTTGATGATGTTCCTTGAATCTTTGACTGATTGATAACTTATTCTGACTACTGGGGTACCAGTAGATAGATTGAATTGCTTTTGGTATAAGTCTTATCAGGAACAAAAAAATGTCATTAGATGGAGTTATATGCATCTACATATTTGTTTTTAGTTTGTATACAATTATTTTATAATTATTAATAAAAGTTAAAATGTAGAGAATTAGACCAAAAAATACTCTCACGTAAGGAAAAAAGAATTAACAAATAGACTTTTAAATCAAATTTGCATAATTTTGCTGACTATAGAAAAAATAGCTATGATGTAATGGGTTTGTAGTGCACATTCATAGATGGCGCTGTTTATTTTTATAAGTAAACAATCTATCACAATTAAAACTATTAGTCACTGAAAGAGTACTTTAAAATGCAGAATTTATTTTGCTTTGTTTGTATTCAGCACTTTTTAACTTCCCACTACTGAGCACGGGCCTCCCTTCAATATGAGAGGGATCAGACCATAATCCACCACTATTTAGTAGAAAATAAATAATTTGATAATTTGTGGATCAACCACATCTATTGATTATATTTATTATTTAAGCAAACAACAGCTTAAATTAGCACTGTTCAATTTCTCTGTATGGGATGGGGAAACTATACTTAGTATCCTTGCAACAGATACATTGAAATATTTATATTTTATGTAATATTAATTTAATTAAACAAAAAATATATTTGCTCTTTTATCAAACCTTCAATAGCTGCTTGTAAGCTTGGTAAAGGCTCTTTCCCATTTTTCCTTTGATCATCTTCGTACATATTTTTTAACAGAACTAGTCTATCTAACTGATCCATAACAGCACCAGTGTTAGCTTTGAGAAAACTCAACTGTCCTTCCTTTTGTCCTTCGACCTAAAAAAAATTTGCATGTCTTGTATTCACTCTATTCTATTCAATGAATGAATACTAAAAATATATATTTTCAACCTTTCTTTGTAAAAACACCATTCCAGCCTTCAGGTCTTCAAATGATGTGTTACTGTGATGTTCCAAAAGATACCATCCAGGTTGAAAATTTTCATCAGATAGCTTGCCAGATCTAAAATAAGTATAAAACTGGTAAGTGATGATTTACACATTTCTTTATTCTTTTAAATGTTACAATAAAAAATAAATACTAAAAATTAAACTTGTAATATAAATCAATTAATAATTAACTTAATTTAATCAACATTGATTTATAATTAGGTAATAATATTTAATTACTACCCATCAGGAAACAGTTCATGTAATTCTTCTTCTGGAAATTTACAATCTTCTCCTTCTGTGGACAAACCAAGAGGGTCAGGAGGAGTATAAGCTGTAGGTGACATTGGTCTTCTGCCCCATGGCAATGATGGGGGTGCTGCTTCTTCGACCCACACTGCACTCTCTTTTACTGGCCCTATAGATTCATGGTATCCTAAAAAAGAAAATTTAAATTAAAGGAATGAAAATCAATTATTCAAGAAATTAATAAATATTATTTTAGTACACATACTAGATGTGCTAGCCATCGCATCTTGGGTCCTCCACAATAAACAATAGAAATTCCAAAGGGGGGTTGATGTTAGGCAGATGGCCAGTCGTAAACTTTTGCCAAATCCTATCAGCAGTACAGAAGTTATAATGCGCCGAACCCAAGTAATTGGGAAATGGGCAGGGAGACGATGATGATGATATTTTAGTACACATACCTCTAAACTGCACAGTAGATGTACCTTCACCACCAGATTTAGTAGTGACTATTATATCTCCACGTCCTTTGCATGGACCAGACCGAGCCACTATTTTGTTTCTGCTTTTCCATTCTGCTGATAGCAGACAGTCACATCCACAAATTTTTAATCCTAAAATAATTTACAGGTGAATACGATTTTTAGACAATAACTAAAAAGTAGACCATTATAAAATATAAATACCAATGAAATCTGTGACACTAGTTCCGAGAAACTCCCCTCGAATCGTCACTCTTGTGCCTGGAGGTCCTTCTTTTGGTGAAATACCTGTTACTACAGGTGGAGGCCCCATTATTTGGTCGATTCAGTTGATTTTGTATTACGCTATAAAGGTTGCGCTTATTACTTATTAGTACCAAAAGTTTACGTAAATAAATTTTTGAAACTAATATTTTATTATTTTTATTTTTAAAAATACTGTTTGATAACACTGTCAAAGTCACAATTTTATTTGTCATCCATGGTCACAATCTATAGAGTGATTGTATTGTATTGAGTATTGTATAATCTGTGGTCACAATCATGCCACAATTTATAGACGGTAGAACTAGGTACCCTACCCCAGCCTGCAAATTTATGATATTCGCAATGAAAAAAATACTAATCGATAGATTTTTAATAGCTCAATTCAACTACGTAGCCCTTCCAAATTGCTCACCATTAATTATAAAATTAAAAATCAATAAAGTCCTTGAAAAAAAATTCATTTATCCGTATATTCAAACTCCTATATCTTTTGATGTATACAATATTTCAAATTGCTCAAAGTTTTAAAACACTGCTCAAGTTGCATTTGTAATTGCTCAAGTAGAGTTCTCACCAGCTCCACTTTCCTTAATTATTAAATAAATATAAATAGTTTGAATAAATTTAACGTATAGATAGGTGAGTGCTGCGCATGCGCGCAAACAGAAGTATTATTAAATTATTGATTGCTGATCAGAGTTCAAAATTCCTTTATATTAAAGGCAGTTTATATTCATGCAGTTTGTTTCTTTGAAATAAAAATGTCATTAAACTATATGTATATTTAAAAATAAAAAAAGTTCCGTCTTGTATTGATGTTAATAACATTTTACTAATGATCCCTGTTATGGCTATTACCTTAATAGAATAAGCATTTGAACATAAGATTTTGTCTTAATTTATCTGTTGGTATTAATTTTCATTTATTGGTAGATTCCAGATCTGTTCTTTATGTTATAATATCTGAAGTGGAATCACGTAATGTGACCAATTCATAAATTCAATAAATTTAAAGAAATCCACCGAGAAACAGAATTAAGACGTTGAATTGGAACGATTGTCCAAGCCCGCCGAGGCCGACCGACAATGCGATATATACAGATAAATACAATATATACAGATATATACAGATAAATTATTTTTTTTTCAAAGACTTTATTGATTTTTAATTAAATAATTAAAGGTGAGCAATTTGAAAGGGCTACGTAGTTAAATTGAGCTATTGAAAATCTATCGATTAGTATTTTTTTCATTGCAAATATCATAAATTTGCAGGCTGGGGTAGGGTAGGTGGTAGAACTTTTATTTGTCATCTATGGGTAGAACCATGGATGACAAATAAGGTAGAACATAGATAAAATATGATGTATTATAGTAGTCACAATTTTATATTTATCAAATTTAAATGTCATCGTGGACGTTAAAAGCGCTTGAATGCGCTTGAAAATTAGAAATTAACAACTGCTACAAACCACCACATTTACGATGTACTAAGATCTAGTTCGAAGAACAAAATGCTACTCACGATCGGGTGTGATAATACAATTTAACAGGAGAGTACTTTATTATAAGGGATTAGGATTAGATTAGGGATTTAGTCTCGTAATACTTTTAATATTATTATTTTATATTTATAAAATTTGGTGCGAGCGTCTACACAATATCAGCGAAAAACATCAAAACACATCAATAACACAAAATAATGACAACGATATTGACTTCAATATTCAAATCGAAGATTGGCTTGAGGTTTAAACACAAAACTCAAACGAAAACAGTAACAAAGATTGAGGTTTAATAATTTTATAGTAATTGATATATAAACATATTTTTACTAATTTCCCTCAAAAATGTAGAAACCCAAAGTTAATAATAAAAGCTTTCCTTCCTTAAACTTTATCTGAATCTGTAAATTTAATAGTTTTTAGAATTTTTGTCTGTTTATCTAGGAAAGCATCATGAGAAAACCCGCTACAGATTTTGATGAAAGTTAGTATGATGATTAGCTATCATATATATCCGGGTTAACATACAGAATACTTTTTACTGCGGGAAAATATCTCTGATAAATCTATACTAATCGTTAAAACATAGGTGCCTAGGGAAGAACCCGAGCGGAGAAAGGATGAGTTGCTTGTAGTTTTATAATAAAGCATTAAGATACTATGAAATATAATTGAAAAAACCTCAACGCTCCTACTTACAGCGGAACTTCTATTGTGTCTGGGGGATGATTGGCCATTCGGTTTAATCGATTGTGGTTGCATCTGAGCCTTTTCCAATTACAGCATTAAACTCAAATTATCAATAAATTCAAAGTTGAGCATTACGCGGCATAATGCTCAACATTGAATTTTTCAACTACAGTAACGCTTCGCACAATCAAGCACTTTGAAAAGTACTGGTACGGTATGATGCGCGCAACGGATACCAACTCCGTAGTAGAAAAATATAGGAAGTGTTTTAGCACGTTGTACGTGTTTATACGCCAAAGTGCGGCATTATGCTCTGTATTTGAAAGCAGGGTCTATTGTGTTCGCATCTTACCTGTGCAATGTATTGTACCTGGAAGTTAGACCAACTGTAGAAAGAATTGAGAAGGGCAGCTGCATCCTGTGGTGGTCCTGACTGACTAATGGATCAACACACAGCGCATACTGCTGGTCGTAGAAACGTGAAATTTGGAGGACGTATTCCATGATGTAGGTATCTGATAAGAAAGAACTTTTTGTAATTCATCCCCTAAGTGGATGAAATAGGAGATTAAAGATCGTATAAAACTCTGTCATTTTTAATGTGAAATACACAAAAGGTGGTGTTAAGCTAACAAGAAATATATTTATTTTAATTTTTGAAATTCATCCCTTCAAGGTGTAAAAGGGGATAAAAAAGTTTATATGTGCAAAGAATAATTTATGATGAGAATTACTTGAAACTTGGTATTAAATATTAATACTCTTCAAACAATTAAGTAAATACGTGTTTTAGCATTTTTTGAAATTCAATCCCAAATTGGGGGTTAAACAGGGGATGAAAGTTTCTACGAATCTTTGTAATTAGTACGTAAAAAAGTACAAAAAATAAAAATATATATTCACCTGTAGATGATTTAAGAGTCTTAAATTAAGTCTCTGCAAAATGATTTTCTCATAGCCTTAAATAGAAAAATTGTGATTTCGCCAATTTTAGTCGTCTTAAGCTTGAGCCCACAATTTCTTAAATTTTATCTTTTAGCAATAAATAATATTCATTTTCTTTGCAACCTGGCACTGCACAATTTGTCGTTTGAATTAAATTTTAAATAAATTGAAAAACTATCCATCCAGGCTATAGAACTTTACAATACACTGAGGATTATAGTGATTGCGACATCTGGCGGGGGAAAAAAGCACAATTCTCCCCCATTCATAAGCGCTGAGAAGCGCTTTTTATTAAAAATGATGAAGTGGGAGTCATTGATAAAATTAAAAGTTGACTTTAGTGGAAATTTGATAATGTTTTTGAATAAAAACTTTTTTATAATTGATTTTATAAGATTACTTTCATACTATTATTACTTTAATTTTTGTGTTACAAGATAATATTATCTATCTACATTTGATTTTGTTTATAAATCCCTCATTCGAATTTCACTCATTCAATTCGGATTTCGGTGTCGATTAATATCACAGATGAATAAAATGAACAATGCTGTCATGTTGGGGTATTAAATGATAATACTTGTTCGCAAGTGGGGTGTTTTGGGGGCGTAGCGAATATCGATAATTATCATTTTATAAATAACATAAATCAAACAGTATGCATTTAATAAACCAAGCCTATTAATTCGTCATAAAAGCACAGTAAATATAATGGCTCACTCTAGTTTCAGGTAAAATTTAAATAGATCATGATGCTTTATAAAATTTTAAATCATGCAAGAATACATTAAACAAATATAAAATCGTTTAATTTTAGTGCCGTGGATGAGTACGGTTTCGAGAGGCATGAAGACTTTGACTATGAGAGCTATGAAGAGTTCATGTCTGTTTACTTAAAAGTATTAGCTTCAAGAGCACAGAAATGGTCTAATTTACTAGGAGAAGGAAAGTCGGTCAAACGGACAAATACAGTAAAGAGATATGTGCGCAAAGGGATTCCGAGTAAGCTTTTTAAACTTTATGTTCAAATAATATTTTTGATATTCAAAGGAAAACTTCAACCTTCAACTTTTAAGTTTAATAAATATGAATAACAAAATTATTACATCAGATTAAAGCATTGACCTTTGAAATTAATTTATTGTTAAATCATAGGTTAAAGATATCATTAAATAATGTAATGTTATTTTTAATTTTTATGTAATCACAACTTTTTGAATCTAGAGATAAAGAAAATAACTGATCTGTAAACACTAAATTTAGTTCATACTGAGAAATTTAATTTTACTATAAGCTAATTTAGGAAGAAGTTACAAAATGTACATAGGATTTTCTGTATATTAAGACTATTATAATTTTATTTATGAAATAAAATTTGGCACATCCAACATGTAATATTTTAGGGTCCTATAACATTCTATGTATTCATATTATTTATTTATAATTTTTTTATTTCTTTTCTAGGTGAGCACCGACCATCTGTTTGGATGGCTATTTCAGAAGTTGATAAAATGAAAGATCAAAGCCCTGACTTATACCAAAAAATTCTAGATAGCCCTTTTGAAAAAGAGTTGGTTGATATAGTAAAAACTGACTTGCCGCGTACATTTCCTGATAACATTTATTTTTCGAAGGAAGCCAATCATCAGGCTCACTTATTCAATGTCCTTATTGCTTATGCCCATAACAATAGAGTGGTTGGCTACTGTCAAGGATTAAATTATATTGCTGGTAATATTTTTTAACTCTATTTAGAATTTGAAATCATAAGCATTATAAAAAATTACTGTTTTCAAAAATACATTATCTTTATTATTAATTAGTATTTCAAAATATTATGTGCTCTATGTTCAAATAGTGATTACTCGAGGCATCATTTGTAAACAAGTGCATCATTAACTTAAATTAACAATTTTTAAGTGAAATAGTGCCCATATTACAGGCCAGTTGCAGTTTATTAGGAAATGATAATTAAAATTACTACATTTGTCTTTGGGTTTGTAATTATAAACATATATTGAAAAACGTATATCTATTTCGTTTACTTATATATATTTCAGAAAGTTACATTATTGTTGTTACTAATGGTAATATTAGGAAATTATATCTCCTCTTGGAAACAAATATATTTAATCTTTACCAACTTTTAGGTTTGCTGTTATTAGCTACAAAGAGTGAAGAAACTTCATTTTGGCTTCTTAAAGTATTAGTTGAGAAGATTCTGCCAGATTATTATACAAAGACTATGGACGGTCTGATTGTTGACATAGAAGTTTTGTCTGAACTAGTCAAATCTAAAGCCCCTGATGTTCACCAACATGTGATTAACTTAGGTATGTACGTTACAATATGCAGCTATCTACTTTATCATAAAAGATAAATGATGGTTCCATCATTGATAGTAGATACTGATGGTATAAAACAGTAATTGTATATACATAATTCTCTTATCAATGAAACTTTCATTTAAAAACTCATTCATATCATTTAATTACTTTTATCTATAAACAATGAAATTTGAATGAAAATTAATTTAAGTTGCATGTGATTTATTATTTGATATGTTTTTCTTGGGCCTCATTACTTAAGTATATTGCTTATATTGTTAACTAGCGAGTCACCCTCGCTTCGCTTCAGGTTCGTTCGTCTCTAGACAAAAAAACACATATTGCGGGATGATTTATAGCCTATAGCCTTCCTCAATAAACGGGCTATCTAATGCAAAAACTTTTTTTTGTTCAAACAAACAAACTGCCTTTTTATAATATTAGTAGGTATAACCTATAAGTACATTAATTATTGACTATACCCTCAACTTCATATGTGTTGTTTGACAATGATAAATAATAAAGTGCAATCCTCTTTGAGAGCACATAAATTTTTCCATCTGACCAAATTGAAAAATGACCATTGCTTCAATAGTTTTTGAAATTCTTATGATAATCAGTCCACGAGTGAGTCTTATTATGTGTGTGTATAAATTAGGATTTAGTTTCTTAAAAGTATAATTACATGAAATGATCACATTGTTCTTTGCAGGTTTGCCGTGGGCCGTTATAACCACTAAGTGGTTTGTATGTTTGTTTGCAGAAGTACTACCCATAGAAACTGTATTAAGAATTTGGGATTGTATATTTTATGAGGGCTCTAAAATTTTGTTCAGAGTCTGCTTGACACTAATTAAAAACAACCGGGCTTCTATTATGGCATGCAATGATTTCACTTCCTTGGCTGAATGCTTTAAAGCCATCGTGAAAAATGCCAGTGCCTTGCACTGTCATGAATTTATGCAGGTAATGTAAACACATCTATTAAATATCTTATTGATTTATTTGAATATTATATGATTTACACTTTTTTACAATTATTTAAAGACGATAATATGTACTGTAATATATATTTTTTTATTATTTTTATAAACCACACTTCTTTTAAAATTCTATTAAAACCAATTAATTTAATGGTTGAACATATTTAACGGTGGTAAATATTATTATCTGCTTGGTAAAATTCTTTCTTTACAAATTCCATGTTACTGGTCATGGTCTGGAACATTGTATAACAATAAACAGGATATAAAACTAACCAAACATTATTATGAGGCTATAGTGATGAACTGATTGCAAAACCCATTTTAAACCGACTTCAAAAAAATGTTATCGATTCAACACACACACACATATATTTTATATATATATATTCAGTCAAAATCTGTTATAACGACATCGAAGGGACCACTCATATTTGGTCGTAAAAACCGATAGTCGTAGCAGCCGGTGATGGTTTTTAGGTACAAAGTATTTTTTTATGAAGTGGTATAATTGAATGTGTACATATAGAGAGAGAGAGAGCAAACGAAATCTTCACCAAAACGCTGAGCAAAATCGTTTGCTTTTTGTTGAAGAATTGGTCCATTTATTGGCACTTTATTTGTCCTTTGATGTTTAAACCACTTTAACAAAGCTTCCTCAATCTTCGTATTCTTCGTTGTTCTGGCTCGTTTTATTTTCAAAAAATTGCTGCCTTATAGGGTTTGAATTTTTTCTCTCTCTTTCCAAATGGTTGACATTTTCGAGTGTGATACACCATATTCTTTTGCCAAGTATTTGGAATTCCGCTCTCTAGCTTTGATATAATATGCGATCTTTCCTTGATATTAATTTGTTTTCTGTTTCTTTGCGACATGTTAAAAGTTTCACAAATAACTCGACTATATGATTTGGTGCGTCTTGTGTACACGTAAGTAAGAAACTGACTGAAGAGATATGAAGAAGCGGGTTTTGATTATACTGCATGCACGTGTATTTTGTTTCTAAGAATTACAAAAGACCCTAAACTCGACAAGTTTTTGTTTACTTTTGCGATCTTAATAGCCATTGACCATTTTGCTGAGCCCCCGAGGTCCACATGTGGATACTGTTACCTATTCAAATTGCTTACAATACAGCTGGTCGTTCTAACAGATATAATTCGCCGAAGATATTAGTTAAATGTAGTCGCTTAAAGAGGTATGTCGTAATAAGCAATGTCGTAAAAGCAATATTTTTATTAAGGCAGTCATATAGCATTCAGCCGGGACCTTTGATTTTGGTCAATATAACCGATATGGTGTTCTAAACGATGTCGTCATAAACGGTTTTAACTATATATATATATATATATATAGTATTATTGGAAATGCAATATATGTATTTATATATTATGATAATCTATTAGGGCTTCTAAACAAATATACAAAATTTTAATTTTATCCACAAGTACCACTGAAACTATTAATTGGATTGTGATAATTCTTTCTTTTTATTGGCATACATTTAAACTTAGGGAGCATATTTCATCAAAATCAGTTCAGTTACTTTCAAAATATGGACAAGTGGTATGGTATGGTATATAGGTATATATGGACAAGTGAAAACATCTCAAAACCTTGGTCAAATTCTAGCGCATACTCACCTAACGGTACAAAATTTAGGTCCAATATTTTTCGTACCTACTTTTGATTTCGTTTTGGTTAGCTAATATCATGTATATGTAAAAATATTTTTTCATAATTTAAGGTTAATTTCTCTTTGAAGTCGATTGGTTTTTTTTTTATTTCCTATATTGAAAATGATGAGTGACACATTTGATAAATAACAAAATTTTAGTACAAGTGTAACCTACTATTGATTAATTCACATACAACAATATAATGTAATGACTTAAACTTTATGTTCTTTTACCATCTTGGTCTAAGCATTTATTAAATATAAACAGTAACTTTTATTATCATTTTCGACACCAGATTTCCTATCGTTGACCCTAATGCTTTTAGCATAAGGTGTTTTATTTTTATTAAGTTTTTTATATCGAGCCATACACTCAACCAATCAAACTACTCAAATACAACTTCGTCAATCATACATCTTCTAACAACTCTCATTCTTTTCTTGCACATGACACCTGCACTACACAAGTAAAAATTTATTGTAATACTGTTAACCGTCGTAACACTAATATACATGTTTGAGAAGATATCCAAATCTTTCTTTTGTTCATTGCAAATCATGTGTTTCTTTTATCTTTCAGTCAATCTTTAAAGTACCTGGCACATTATCTAATGCTACAATACTGAAGCTGAGAGCACGTTTTGCTAAACAACGTAGAGAGCAACAACAAAAAGAACCCCGGTGAATCAAGCACTAAACCACTATGTGACTCAAGAAACTTTTGATCTCATATTTTCAAAAGATTTACCAAAACCTGTTATATCTTTGTTAAAAATATAACTTATTTATAGTTAACTACATTACGAAAACTGAATGCTTAGTAGCAAAAAGACAGTTAACTTTTACAACTCATCCATGTTAGGGGTTAGATATCGAAAAATCTTGTCTACATCGTATAAGGAACAATCTTCCAATGTGTCTATAATAAATGTTTAAGCCATCTCTCATCCAATCTGTGGAAGTAATTTTATACTAAGTTATTTAAAAAACAACATTTTAAAAACCCCCTGATTTCTTGTAAAATATTCGAATTCAAAATATTTTATTCAGCATTAAATTATTGCAATTTTTTACTGAACGTCATGAGTCTACTACCAGTTCGGAAAGAAGAAGCCTCAGACCTGAGAACTGGCGAAAGAAACTCAGCAGGACTAATATTAACTCGTTATCTTTTTTATCTAATATACCATGCATAATAGATAGATTGAGCTATTGTTGTTAGATTAGGTAGCTATTATTTTGGCTTAATGTATATTTTTCATTGTTATCAAAAATATGAGTTCAAACTAACTGTACTGTTAAGGTTTTTTTTTAAATTAATATACTATTTTTAATCATGACAAATGCATGCGGTTATGGACAAGGGTAAGGGATAAGTTCATTTTTGATATATTGTTGTAAGATGCTGTTGATTATTTTAAGTATTATTATTTATAATTTTTTTTTTGTAGTATTGACCAAGTTGTCTATTTTTTAATAGGCTTATTATAAAGAACAATTTATCTTCAATATTATAAACCGAACATTGAAATGAAAAACAGATATCATTGCACTGAAATACATGAAAACCTTTTAAAATTGTTTAATTATATTTTAAGTACATGTATGATGGAAAGGATATACCACATGAAATGACAAATTTAAAAAATTGTTTTAAATATACCTAAATCATAAAATATGAAAAAAACTTTCTATTAAGTTTATTAAATTTTCTTAAGGTCAATTTATTAAATTGACATACACATACTCAGGGCTTGGAAACCTGTTCAATTTTTAAACCGGTTTAGGTCATTGATACCAAACCAAAAGGGTTTTCAGTTTAAGGTTTCGATTATATTCTTTAGCCAATTAAATCTTGGAGAACGGTATTTGGAGAATTTAGGTTACATGATTTACCAGTTAAAATAAATTTTTATGCATTTACATTTGGCGAATCTTTGCTAATATTGAATTGCTTAGTAGAAGGATACATTTCTTACATATGAATGAATTAACTGCTTTATTACAGTACTAAAACCGAAATCCAACCTTCCTTTAAGAATAACCATTATTATTTCATTTTACTAAACCATTCATTGTCATTAAAAGGTGAAAGGAGAGATGAATTAACCATTACATTAAAATAAACCAGTTTTCAAACCGGTTCCAAGCCCTGCAAATACTGTTGTATTATTTTTTTATTATAATTCGATATCATAGCTGTTATGATATACTAGAGTTAAGTATTTATTTTATGTAAGTTTCCACATGAGTGAGAATAAGTAAGACAACAAATTATATTCTCTTTAAATCAACATTAGAATTACAAAACTTTATTAGATGGTTTTACCCTCATGTATATCTATTTTGATGACAGCCACTTAACACCCCACTATATATGGAAGAATATCATTAAATATTGATTGTTTAAAAAGAGACCATAATAACAAATTCACATTAAAAACTGTTAAACTCCAACTTTCCCATTGCATTGCTTTATAATGTTAAACTTCTATTATATGTATAGATTAATATTTATTTAAGCTTCTGTAAACTGAATATTTTATTAATATAAACATGCATTATAGAAAAATATGTTAATAATTATTCATTGTAACCATCTGATTTATTATTTACTTCCAGGAATTCTGTGTACAGAAAATATATATTAATAATTATTTTATATATATATATATATATATGTACATTGTAGCCAGGGGTTTCTAAACATCAAAAAATGTTATATACTATATCATGGAGGCAACTTTCCTTTCCTTTATATTAGCAAAAGTTGCTTGTAATTCAATTTTATAAATCTTGATGTTTTGTAAAGCTTAGCTCTTAGTTCATGGTGATAATTCCATTAATGTGTGTTAGTGTGGGCATAATTACGGTTTTTGTAGCCCCACAATTTAAGACTAATTTTTAATAATGATGCAACATATTTTATGATAATTTTCTATAATCCGCTTGATTTTTGAATATTAACAATAGACAGTTTTTTATTTTTCTTCATTTAAAAAAAACACCTACAGTAGAATCCGGATATAACGACCTTCAAGGGACCGGCGATATTATGTCGTACTAACCGGATGACGTATAAAACGGATATTTACATATGTATGTAATTATGTATTATAAGTGCGAAAGTTTGATTTTCCTATTTAGGTAAATAAAACATGTTGTAGGAATCAGTTACATATGTTTCTTTTAATTATTCTTATATGTACACAAATAAGTAGTACATACCAAATTACAAACATAGGTACGTAATGTACTGTAATACTGTCACTAACGTAGGAAATCTGTTATTTGGGTTTGTTTTTGACAGACTTTTGTTCGGTAGTAAGAACTTTGGACAGCATTGTGAATTCGTGACATCATTGTTTTCATATGGTCATCATCAAAGTTAGTCTGAACAAATACATTAAGCGTTTCCGCAGCCTTCAGAGCTTCAGATACACTCAAGGTTGGATAAAACTCTGGTTCGTCATCATCACCGTCGCTATCTTTACTATTCGCGTCGTCGGCGATCATATTATCCACAATGTTTTCATCAGACGGCTCTTCACAAGTGGCGACAGCATCATCGACACGCGCGTATTGTTCAAAGTCCTCGTTTGTTATGGGTAACTGATGCTTATCAATAGCCTTCGCCCAAATGCTCAGCGGTACGTCGTCTTCTTTGTTAAAATCATCTGAAGTTATGGTACATTCTAGATTGCTTCGGACAAAACCAGCATGTTTGTATCAGTTAAAAATTGTTCCTTGCTTGAGTTGAGTCCAGGCATCTTGAATCATTAGAATAGCGTCAAGAGCAGTGATCTTCGGGCACTCAACACTACTGCATCCGCCATCTATAAACTGGATCATTTTTAAAACAAGGTTTTTACGAGAATGTGCTTTCAAAGCTCGAATGATCCCTTGATCCATGGGTTGCAACACTGATGTCGTGTTTGAAGGCAGAAATACTAGGGTTATGCTTTTCAAGTCTGCAATATGGGGATGTGCAGGACAGTTGTCAACTAACAGCAGGATTTTCTTATTCTTTTTCGTAAGTTCACGATCCCATGCGCGTGCCCATTTGGTAAAAATGTCACCAGTCATCCAGGCTTTTCGATTGCTCTCATAATCCACTGGCAAATGCCGTACATTTTTAAAACATCTGGGACGTTGAGATTTCCCGATTACGAGAAGTTTTTTTTTAGCTGTGCCACTCATGTTGGCTGCCACCATCACTGTTATTCCCTCCTTTGATAATTTTCCTCCTGTACATTTTTCACCTTTAAATTTCAACGTCTTGTCTGGGGTTAATTTATAAAACAACCCGGTCTCATCTGCATTAAAAATTTCATCATCACTAAATTGAGCATGTAGAGTAGGCCAAACTTTTTCTAACCAATCGTGTACATCACTCTGTTGTTCTGACAAAGACTCGCCAACAATCTTTCCACTGACGATGTTGAGTCTTACATTAAAACGGTTTATCCAACTCATGGAACATATGAAATTTTGCATGTCTAACTGTCTAGCAAAAAAATTTGCTTTCTCTTGTAGCAGAGGTCCATTAAGAGGTATTCCCCGGTCGCGCTGAAGCTTAAACCACTGTAACAATGCCTTATCCAACTGCTCATGAGTAGAAGTTCTTACACGTTAGCATTTCAAAACATTGGCATTAAATAGCGGCTCGATCTTGTATTTATTCTTCTTTATTGTTGATATTGTAGAATGAGATACGCCAAATTCCTTTGCGAGGGTCGCGTTTGATTCACCAGCTTCTAATCTGTGTAATATTGCACTCTTTTCTTCAATTGTAAAACACTTTCTCTTCACAGAACTCATTTTATGGCGCTTTATGAACTTGTCATAACAGGTGACAAACACTGTGATTTACGCGCGCCAATAAGGAGAATTGAACGGTGAAGCGCGCGGGGAAAGTGAGGGGGCCGAGGTATTGGTCATTCGTTACCTAAATTGAAATAAAACACGGCGCGTCGTTTTAAACGGACGAATTATCGTAAAAAATGGTCGCTATAAACGGTTTGTCGCTCAAACCGGAGTCGCACTAAACAGTTACATTTTCTCAGTATCTAACTATTAAACCGAACTTGAGTAAATAATATCGACGCTAAAAACGGTTAGTCGTTATAAGCGACGTCGTTATAAATGAATTCTACTGTTTTTAATGACAAAAAGAATTATTTCCACTTTATATTATTTATCTTTCGATATCCTTTATAAATTTCATTAATTTGAATTTTCATATAATGAAATACATTGCTTGGCTGTAGAAATCATAATAACCTGTTAGTGTGTTGTAAAAATTAATTTTGAGATTTTGTAATTGAATAAATAAATTATTGAGATGTTGAAATTGATTATTTATTTTTTACTATCTCTATTTTTGTACACTAAATGAATTCAATCATATTAAAACTACAGTACCATAAATGAATATAAACTATAATATAATTATACCTCTATTTGTATTGAAATATTGACAAATGGAAGTACTTAGCTAGAAAAAGAAATCATGACTTTCCACTCTCCAATATGTCTTTGGCCTCATTAATTTTAGCAGCAATAAGTGGTGATCCTCCTTTGTCAGGATGATTTAACAGCATAATTCTTCTGTGAGCTTCTCTTATCTAAAAAAATAATTAAAAATGACTTATTAATAAATTACTATACCTATTATATTTTAAATATTTAATAATTTATACCTTAGATTTATTAGCTGTAGGACTAACGCCTAATATTAGAGCTGCTTCTCTCTTAGTCATTTTAGGCTCAAAGCCACCTTTATAATATTTTGAATTTGCCAAACTTTCAGTATCAAACTTAGGGAGGTTTTTCATAGCTTCAGCGAATTTAACAGAAGCATTAGGCATTTGTCGCATAACATATCGACCTGCGAAACCTACCGCTGCCATGCCTAGACCTGCTAAAATTATTGAACTCGCCTAAAAATAATAAAATAATTTGATACATTGATGCGAAAATAAAGGTACAAATTGCGTATAAAATTTATGGTTATATTACATACCATGGATTTAATAAAAAATCATAAGACAATTTTCAACTTGTATTAAACGTTCGGTTTGTGTTTTAGATAAATTACATATTTATTTAACATTTAACTTTAAACATTTTTTGATTTTTTCATAAGTTTCATCAGATTCAGATGTCAAAAATACCAAAACTAAACTTCAAACTCAGTTTTATTTGTCATCCATGCTTCAAAGTTCAAAAATCTAAAGTTACAAATATGTCATTGATGATTGAATATGTTTAATTGGATTAAGGAATTGCTGAACAAAAAAGGTATAAAGTAAAAATGAAACAAAAATATTTAACGAACACAATTTTTAGTTGTTTTTTTTTATGTTGTAATAAAAAGTAAATAAAAAATTTGGCATATACATTTAAAACAATAAGCACCCTAATAATATTTTTAACTTATATTGATTTTATTGTAATCGTTAATTAAAAGCTTTATGCAATTTGTATTTAGAAATAATATATAGATATTTAATAATTTATAGTAGGAATCATAATATTTTATATTTGTGTTTGGTTATAAAATCATACTGGCAACACGAAAGAACAGTGCCGGCCGCGTAAAATTTTATTAAAAAAAACCGAGCCTTTTCGTAGTGGTTCAACATGGCAGGAGATCAGGCGCAATTTTACCAATTACTAAATACAATATTGTCTATAGATAATGACATCAGAACCCAGGCAGAAGTGAGTACCAATTATCTTATTTACTAAAAACCATTAATTGGATGATTAGAACAAAGCATATTTGGGATACTTGTAAAAACTTAGGGAGTTGTGGCCTCGTGTCAAAACGTGGTCATGGAGGATGGAGAATATAATTACTTTTCGCACTTAGGTAGCTGATATAGGTGTTGTTATAAACAATAAAAAGTGTTTTAAGATTCATTAGTTGAAATTTATACTAGCGAATTACATATATTTATCAATCTTATAACCATGTTAGTCAAGTTTGAGCGGCTATTCAGTGGCATGTGGTTCTGTAACTAAATGTAATTAAATCAGTTGAAAAAAAATTATTTTTCTTTAAAGCTTGGTTTTTAAAGTAATAAATTATACTAAAACTATATTTTATTAGCTAGAAAACAATCAAGATTACTGTTTGACAGTAACATAAAAATCGTTATAAAAATGAATATTAGAATATTCATTTTTAAAATGATTTTTATGGTTCAGAACATTATTGTTAGATTATTTTATTGTTAAATCATTAAATAGTGTAATTTTAACAATTTGCATAATTTTAACAGAAAGTATACAATGACATCCCAACTGAAACTAAAGTAGTACATTTAGTCGGTGCTATTCAAAATGCTGATCTTGGTCAAGAATGTAGGGAAACAGCTGCAGTGCTCCTGCGGCGGCTGCTTAGTGCGGAATTCTTTGAATTCTTCCCAAAACTTCCTTTTGAACAACAAGCAATGCTTAGGGAACAACTCCTTCTTACACTACAAATGGATGTCACCCAAAGTCTAAGACGTAAGGTAAGATGTTATTATCTATTATATAGATTGTATAAGAAAATGTTTATTTTAAAAAAAAATATATATACATATATATATATATATATAATTTTAAATACAAATGTTTCTCAAAATAACTATATAGCTATATATAGCTGCCAAAAACTTGTCTTTGTCTTACATGTGATTAAATCTATTATATTTTTGTTAAGTCATGCTATTTATAACAATGTTTTATATTCTTATACATTCAGATATGTATCATGATCATCATTATAGTGGGTTAAATATAATAAAAACTAGACAATTTAGGTAATGCTCTTCTTATAACAAAGTATTTTTTAATTTTAAACATGAGTCATGAATGATTCAATTGGTGCTTCTCTAATCTAATTTTGGAACATAATAGCTATCTGCTTGGCTACTCATGAATTGATTGAAATTGTAAAATAATTGTGTAATGTTTTGTTATAGATATGTGATGTAGTATCAGAGTTAGCCAGAAATCACATTGATGATGATGGAGTTAATCAATGGCCTGAATTTCTTCAGTTTATGTTCAATTGTGCCAGTGCACAAGATCCCAATATAAAAGAAGCTGGCATTCGAATGTTTACGTAAGTGACAACTACATGAAATAATATATGTGCATGGTAAACAAAAAAACCATACTAATAGTATAAATGTGAAAGTGTGTTTGTTTTTCATTCTTTCACGTCGAAACGGAGTGACGGATTGGCGTGATTTTTTGTGTGGAGATAGGCTACTTTTTACTGCGGGAGACCATCTAATTCCCATGGAAAAACACGTTATAATATGATCCAAAAAATATTTATGATCAGGATTACTTAAAACTTGGTATTAATGCTCTTCAATAAAATTAAATAAATATGTGTTTTAGCATGTTTCCAAATTCATCCTATAAAATAGGGGATGAATGTTTGTATGAAACTATCTTTTTAGAGATTTTTTGTAGTTTTAATGCGAGTGAAGCTGCAGATTCAGCTAGTATAATATAATTAGTACAGGATTTTATTTAGATATTACAAAAATATTAAAGTATATTTATAGATTCTCAAAACTATAAAATTTAGATTTTTTTTTAAATATAATGCACAGGTCTGTACCAGGAGTATTTGGTAATCGACAAAATGAAAACCTGGATGTTATCAAGAGAATGCTGCTCTCAGCCCTCCAGCCAACAGAGTCTGAAGCATTACGCATGCAAGCAGTCAAGGCTGTGGGAGCTTTCATTTTGCTCCATGATAAAGAACCAGCTATTCAGAAACATTTTAGTGATTTACTTCTGCCTTTTATGCAGGTATGTCTATATACATTGTAAAACTTAGTAAATTTTTTTTTTTTATAAGAAATAGTAGATCCTTATATAATAATCTTTAAGATTTTTGATAATATATTAACATTTATCTACATTTATTCAACAATTGAGCTATGCACATAAACTCCTACGTGTACAATTCCTAATGATTTGTATACTGCCATAATGTGCGAAAGCAAATAGAGGATTTCGCTAACACCGAACTTACTTATAGATCGGAGTTTGATAGTAGCCCTCAAAACAAATGTCTTCAATATAAGTAACAATAGCAGTATTAAAATTTTAAACAATTGCTTGTATTTAAAAAATGTTATATTTTAGGTTGTGGTACAATCAATTGAAAAAGCTGATGATGATGCAGCACTAAAAGTTCTTATTGAACTGGCGGAATCTGCGCCTAAATTTCTACGCCCACAAATAGAAACTATTTTCCAAGTTTGCATTAAAGTGAGTGACATTTTAATATTAAATCTATGAATACTATCAATATTATATAATTTGTTTTCTACTGTATTATAACTGTCATACCTTCAAGGCCTTATCAATCATATTCATGTCAGTGGTCAAATAGATGATAATGTAACTAACATTAATCTGTAGAAAACAGTATGCTTACTTTTACTACAAATAAGTTTATGAAGTATTAGCAGATAAATCAATAGTATAGTAGATTATTGATGTATGTATTTTAAAATTATTGTCAATGTCTTAATGTAATAAGTGTGTGTCCTATCTTGGAGTATACTATTGCTATATAATGTTGAAATATATCCTGACATTAAATTTGATAGTAACTAAAGTTACCATAATTAAACTCAGGTTATTGGTGATACTGATCAAGAAGACAACTGGCGTCAATTAGCATTAGAAGCCCTTATTACTCTATGTGAGACTGCACCAGCTATGGTACGCAAGGTTGTACCGAATGCAATTAGAATGCTTACTCCACTTATATTAGAGATGATGTGTGAATTAGACGAAGAACCCGACTGGTCTGTGCAGGATAATGCTGCTGATGATGACAATGAACTGTGAGTATAACAATATAGGTATTATAATATATATTACACATTGTATGGCAGTAAGATCTACTGCTGAAAATGACCTTTAAACATTTTTATGATATTATAATGCTAATATTTGATGTTACATTTTTAATTAATAATTTACTATTAATGATTTATATGGTTTAGGTCATTTTTACTTTTATACCTTGAGAATGATAGTTGTGACTTATTATAAACTAATTGATAGTTTTATTATTTGGTGACTTTTAAATAAATTTTAAATTCATACTAATTTAAAAAAATCTAAATTTCTGCAAATTTTGTAATAAATAACTTATTAAAAAAGATCCTTAAGAATTGAGCAGTTATATTATAGATAGTAAAATTATGGGCTAAAGCTGGCAATACTTACCATTAAACAAATCATTGTAAGAGTCTATCAATTAGCTTCATTATTTAGAAAAATGAAGCTTCAAAGAATCTTACAAGAGCAATTATCAAGATAATTAGCATCCTATGTTCCTTATACATTTGGATGTCAGTCCCTTGATTACATGTTTATTTCAGTGAAATATATTTGAGTAGCGGTCATTGTGTTTCGGTGACTTGCCTGGATTGTATTTGTTTTGATCAGTTTAGCTTTTAAAAATCTTTTATTTTATACTGCTATTTTTGAACATCTTAGATTCCAAAGAAAAGATCCTTTTATATACAAGAGATATAGCTAGAACTCACAAAATTATATTAAAATTTCTTTAAATTTAACTTGCTTTGGATTGCTATTAATGTTCCCTTTTTAATCATTTAAATTGACAATTCACAGTAATTATGTCGCAGCGGAATCAGCATTGGACCGTATGTGCTGTGGGCTTGGAGGCAAGATAATGTTAGGTCTCATTGTGGGCCAAGTACCTGAAATGTTGAGCTCGGAAGATTGGAAACGACGCCACGCGGCGTTGATGGCCGTCTCTTCTGCTGGTGAAGGATGCCATAAACAGATGGAACAGATGTTGGACCAAGTTGTCTCAGCTGTTCTTAACTATTTAACTGATCCAGTAAGTTTTAACATCTCTTTTCTTTTATTTAATAATTCCTCATTGACCTGATAGATGTACTCTTGTTCAATTTTTTTTTTGTGATTTTGGAGGTTTAAATTTTTTTTAACTTTATTTTTTTTTTTAAATAAAATTAGCCAAATCATTCTAGCCATTCTCAAGTAAAGCTCTTACCGATTAACAGCATTTTATTTTTATTATATGGATTATGATTACATTTATATTTTTACATATAGCATCCACGTGTACGCTACGCCGCATGTAATGCAGTTGGTCAGATGTCAACAGATTTTGCACCAATATTTGAAAAAAAATTCCATGATAAAGTTGTACCTGGATTATTGATGGTGCTTGAAGATAACGCGAATCCTCGTGTGCAGGTATGATATGAAAATGAAAATGCCCAAAAGTATTATCCATTATCAATTATTTTTTTAAATAAAATATTATTTCCAGGCCCATGCAGCAGCTGCTTTAGTCAACTTCAGTGAAGATTGTCCTAAGCCAATCTTAACACAGTATTTAGGACCACTAATGAACAAGCTTGAAGCCATCCTAACTGCCAAATTTAAAGAGGTTAATATACCTTTTTTTAATATTACTATTTTGATATAATGTCCAATGTTCGTTAATGGCGAAATCATTTCTTGATTCAGCCATTTCCATAGCATTGGTAGATCAAAAGTGACATTTGCTCCCTCTCTGTCTTTTATTTTGGTTAGTTAGGGATCTCAGTTCACTGACATACAACTTAATTAGATTGTCCTATGTATTTTTCTATATAAGCTGAACTAATGCATGCATTTATATAATATTAATAGAACTGTTAATATCCATTTTAGTTGGTAGAAAGTGGCACAAAGCTTGTTTTGGAACAAATCGTGACCACCATTGCTTCAGTGGCTGACACAGTGGAGAAAGACTTTGTTGATTATTATGACAGGTTGATGCCATGCCTTAAGTATATCATTGCGAATGCAACTACTGATGATTTCAAGATGCTAAGAGGCAAAACTATTGAATGTGTCAGTCTTATTGGTATGTATAAGTTATTTTTAGCTTATGTATCTCTAGTTATTTTACAAAACTAAACTATATGTGAACTGTTTCAAAGCTTAGAAACTAAGGGGATCTCAATCTTGCAAAGAAAACATTTTAAATTCATTTTCTTCATAGGTTTGGCTGTTGGAGAAGAGAAATTCATGTCAGATGCATCAGAGGTAATGGACTTGCTCTTGAAAACACATACCGAGGGAGAGCAGTTACCAGCTGATGATCCACAAACTTCCTACTTAATTTCGGCTTGGTCTAGAATTTGCAGGATAATGGGTAAGTCTAGAATTTAATTGATTCTTAAAAAAAAATAATTTGCTTATTTAAAAATGGACCTGTTATGATGTCTAAATGAATACTTCCATCCATCTCATATAACTAATTCGACATTTTTGTGTTGCAGGCAAGAAATTTGCTCAATATTTGCCAATGGTCATGGAACCAGTAATGCGCACCGCCGCCATGAAGCCGGAAGTTGCTCTATTAGATAATGACGACCTTGAGGTCATTGAAGGAGACCTTGACTGGCATTTTGTCACATTGGGTGAACAACAAAACTTTGGCATTAAAACTGCAGGTATTTTTTGTATTTCAACCTTTCTAATAGAGACTAAGAAGTTAAAATTATAGTTAATATATATATATATATATATATATATATATATATATATATACTATTTTTTTATTTGAACATATTGTTATTGTGGTGTTTTAATATTTAATCATCTAGTTCTTCCCATTCTAATTGAAGAATTAATCTCATTTGATTGAAAGTAATTGAGCAGATTAAAAGTTAGTTTTTAAGTGCAGCATAAATTTAATGGTACTTAAGATTAATTCTAAAATATTATGTCCAAGACAAATCATTATTAAGATAAATCACAAAATTGACCCTGGACAAGTAATTAGTGACTTTTTTAACTTTTAGGTCTTGAAGACAAAGCCTCTGCGTGCGACATGTTAGTGTGCTATGCACGAGAACTCAAGGAAGCTTTTGCAGAATATGCTGAAGATGTTGTAAAGCTAATGGTACCAATGCTTAAATTCTATTTCCACGATAATGTACGCACTGCCGCCGCCGAGTCGCTCCCTTACTTGCTGGAGTGTGCTCGCATCCGTGGTCCGCAATATATACAGGGAATGTGGGCATATATACTGCCAGAGTTATTGAAAGCTATTGATTCCGAACCAGAGCAAGAAGTGCAAGTGGAACTTCTAAACAGTCTAGCTAAGGTATTTTTTACGTTGTATCTCTCTACAAGCTATATTTGTTATGATATCAAATATATTCAAAAAATATACTGCTTTCATAATAAAGAAGGACCTAACTAACAATTTGATCAGAAATTACTTAAATGGAGATTCGGTATCAGTAAAAAAATGATACTTGAAAGTCTTACTCATAAAGCTCTTAAGTCTTATGAATCCAGACATGCCATAACCATTTCCATCGTAACTACGTTAAGTACTACTAAGTACTAAGAAAAAACTTCAAATGTCTTAAATACACCTTTGACGAAGTTGCGGCCTTCTTTTTTATGACGGCAGTGTACGTGAAGTATTGTTATTTGCTAATTAAATTTATTATTTCCAGTGCATTGAGCTATTGGGCACAGGATGCTTGTCTGATGAAATGATGGCTGAAGTTCTTCGCATTCTAAATAAACTTCTTACAGAACATTTCGAACGTGCCACTGAACGTCGTCAGAAACGGGCCGATGAAGACTATGATGAGGTATATTTTACTATTGATTTGAAAATCTGCACTTAGCAAATAGGAAAAAGTATAATTATTGACCGGGATGGTTGGCGCTCATTGGGGGAGGCCTTTGTTCAGCAGTGGACGGCGATAGGGTGATTGAAAATACTAAATTATAGCTATACATTCACGTGTAATAACTTTGTTATTGAATATCGACTAACCTTTGCACTTGTTGATTCTAATTTTGTAAAACCAGTATTTTAGTGTTCAAGTATGCATATTAACTTAAGTGGTTGAGTTGAATATGTAAATGAAGGTAGATTTTAAGCCTATGTTTAATACATATTCATGGCATTATTTATTTTTAAATGCAATAAAGAATAGTATATATTACCAATAATGGTGAATACTATAATGAAAATAAAAACTTAAAAATACCCGACTTCCAAGCACTAAAAAGAAAAAAATACGAAATGGGGGTTTTCATTTAGAATTGATACCTAATCAGATATTAATATGGGACTACCTGGGAAGTACATATACCCTTTGAAACAAAAAAAGAATTTTCCAAATCGGTTCAGACATCTTCTGAGTATATTTTGGTGAACATACATACAAAAAAAACATTCAGATGAATTGAGAACCTCCTTCTTTTTGGAAGTTGTTTAACAAAATACAATTTTGAATTATAGGTTGTTGAAGAACAACTAGCTGATGAGGATAATGAAGATGTGTACGGACTTTCCCGCGTGGCGGATGTTTTGCACGCGCTCATGTCCGCTTACCACGAAAGTTTCTTCCCGCATCTCGACTCTCTTCTTCCACACCTCGTACAACTGCTAGCCCCTGGACGCCCTTACGCTGATAGACAGTGGGCTATTTGTATTTTCGATGATGTCATTGAGTTTGGAGGTTAGTTGAATAATATACTACTTAAAATAAATAATCTTCATTTTTAATTCTCTCGTCAAAAAAGAAATCAAATTAAACTAATAATAAATAACCAAATACACATACACACACACACATATTATATAGTATTTTATGTGACTTCTCTTCACTTAGTATATTTTTGTTAAAGTTAATATTTATTTTACTTTTTTATTTTTATTTTCTTCTTTCACAAACAATTTCTAAAATTATTACTGTTAAACATGCTCTGTAATATTATTGACCTCCAATTATGATTAAAGATGGAAGAGGGCGCTGACTCCTGACATACAGGTTTATTCTAGTTTGGGAGTCAGAGGCTTCAACAGTCTGTTAGTAAACACAGAATTGTGTCAATAAAGATATATTCTATTCTTATATTCTAAATAATTAACTTAGTTTTATTGTATTGTAACTAATTTTAGGTCCGGCATGTGTAAAGTACCAAGACATATTCCTTGAACCTATGCTTAATGGATTACGGGAACCAGAACCTGAAGTAAGACAAGCCGCTGCCTACGGATGCGGAGTTCTCGCCCAGTTTGGTGGACCACAATTTGCTAGCGCTTGTGCTAGAGCTGTACCACTACTGGCTGCTCTTATCGCCGAACCTACCTCCCGTTCTGTAGAAAATCTAAACGCAACCGAAAACGCCATCTCTGCTGTCACTAAGATCATTAAATATAATCATTCGCAAATAAATAGGGACGAAATTATAAGGCATTGGTGAGAATGATTTAACTGTTTATATATTACTTTTTTTTCTTAACAGTGAAGGTATAATTTATTTACAGTAAAGAAAATTACAAATATACTTAATTATATATACAAAACAAATGTAAATGCAACTACTTACTATTACTTTTGTTTATTAATATGTAATATTAAATACTAAGGAAGCAATTGAGATAAAGTTTCATATAGTCAACATTTTTAAGTCAACACATTAATTTTTGTTATAATTTAAAATTATAATTAGCCTTATGTAAATTTAAGTTATAAACATATCAAATGATATTCCAGGTTGACTTGGCTCCCAGTAGTTGAAGACACAGAAGAAGCACCCCATGTATACTCATTGCTTTGTGAACTGGCAGCAAGTGGTCACGCAGCACTGGCGACTCCCGACGCGCCTCAAAGGGTCATCGCTACAATTGCAGAAGCATTCCTGCGAGACGCTGTGCCTGATGATAATCCCGTATTTGCACAGATGGTAGCCCTCGTCAGACAGATACAGGTTAATATATCTTTATAAAAAAATACTCGTAGATTTTAAGAACTATCGCTGCATCGCCAACATAGAATTTAAAAATATTTGAAAGTAGAAAAATAAATAAATCTATAAAAATATCCTACTAATATTATAAATGCGAAAGTTTGTGAAAATGTATGAATGTATGGATGTACAGATGTATGGATGTTTGTTATTCTTTCACGCAAAAACTACTGAATGGATTATAATGAAACTTTACAATAATATAGATGTATGACATCAGAATAACACATTGGCTAGTTTTTATCTCTGAAAAATGTACGGTTTCCGATGGATAGATTTGTTTTTGTTTGTCACAGGTAACAATATTTCTGCTTATAATACAATACTAATTGAATTTTAATTTTTTCAGAGTAATACTGAGCTATTCAACTCATGTGTAATGCAGCTGAGCAACGAGCACAAGGAGGCTCTAAAGTTGGCGCTTTCCACATAGTGCAGAACTCGTTGCTTCTATTTATTCACCAAACGCCCTCCCGCACTGCCTCCTCCGTTGCCAGTCTCGCGCTCCCTGTCAAGCCCCCACTATCTGTGACTAACGTATTTTTGACTGCCTTAACTATGCTGCGATAAATTACAATTCAATAAATGAACTCTTATGGCAAAAAATATATAAAAAAAGGAGTTTGTATACTACACACATAGTGTGTGTACACTAGTTAAATTCGAACTTAGTACATTAAATGACTGGTATGAAATATAATAATTATAGCCATCGTTGTTGTATATTACTATTTCCCTTCTGTGTTTTATTTTCTTCGATCTCATGAATATCTGTTGGGCTAAAAATTGCTGTGATAATATTTTATACTAATTTTGATGATCAGCCATACAAACGAAAAGTAGCTCCTCTTTGACCATGATTTCTAGACATGTTTTTTTCTAATGTCAATATTTTATTAAAACAAAAGCAATGTGGATGGTCCAATTTTAATATTTGTAATATGGGTTATTTTATATAAATAACATGAATACGGTATTGTCTGTATTTTTTAATATTTTACAGTAGTTGTTTATTAAATATGTGTAATGCATACTACACTTGGTATTGCACATACATATTTACATTTATTATGTTTTTAATTCATCACTTAATATGTCATTTATCATTGCATTTTATATTATTTCTGAACATTCTTAAGGTAGGTCATGAGTAAAATTGGGCTATCACATTCCTGTCTTTGTTTGCCATATTTCGGCTGCGTTGGGATATTGGTAGCTGTTTCTCGCAGTGGACGAGACCTATCTGTTTATAAGAAATAATTTTATTCATTAAAATATATATTACATATACATTTCTTTGTTTAACTAAAATAAAAGTTATTGGCATTGAAATAAGTGTTTTATTTGAATAATTACATTTATGTTATAATTATTATAAATGCGAAAAAAGTGAATGATGACTATGCTGATTTCAAACACGTTACTAAGTCAGCTGCATGGTTTTTTTCGAATTTTATATTTTGAAATAGGTGTCAAAATATTGAAGAAATTCAGTGAATTGCATCCAATATGGCCAACATGGTCAATCCGTACTAAATTATAAATGTGGAAGTGTGTTTGTTTGTTTGTCCTTCACGTCGAAACGGAGTGACGGATTGGCGTGATTTTTTGTGTGGAGATATTTGAAGGGCTGGAAAGTGACAAAGGCTAATATTTATTGTGGGAGTTTATCTTATTCGAACAGGAAAACGCTATATAATACAACCCAAACTAATATTTATGATCAGAATTACTTGAAACTTGGTATTAATGCTTTTCAATACAATTAAATAAATACGTGTTTTAGCATTTTCCGAAATACATGTCTTAAGGGTGTAAAAGGGGATTTTTTGTAGTTTTAGAGCGAGCGAAGCCGCGGGTTCTGCTAGTATATCATAAATCTTAATAGCGCTACATGGCTTTATCCCGGAAAACGGTGCTCGGGGGATATCTATACTAACCATTAAAACGCACGTGGAGACGAACCCGAGCGAAGCGAGGGTGAGTCGCTAGTCCTTTTATAAACATTATTCAATTTGGCAATAACGAAGCATTGAAATAAATATTTATCAGTTAAAAAATTTTAAAAGCTATAAAAAGTTTTGGGTTTATATGAATTATGGAATCATGTATTTAGACGCGAAGGCGCAGACCGAAGAATTTTATTAACAATAAGATTACTAGCGACTCACACTCGCTCCGCTCGGGTTCGTCTCTAGGGTGGACCACCTTTATCACTTAAGGGTATGAAAAATAGTTTACGTCCTATTCTCAGACCTACTTAATATACATACAAAACTTCATAAGAATCGGTCAAGCCGTTTCGGAGAAGTTTTGTTACAAGCACTTGACAAGAGAAATTTTTTAATTAGATTTAAGATAGTTCATAGTACTAATAAGTAATCTGTGATATTAGTTCTTTAAGTTTATGAACACAGAACACGTATTTTATTGGCAAACCACGATACCGATACAAGGCTTAAAAACGATTACAATACAAACTACCTATCTAAAACTATTTTGTTTTTGAGGCTTTGAGCCAGACGTATTAATCGTGTCCAAATAATGTGGAAGTGTCATGAAATTATTTTAATCTTAAAAGATATAATTGTATACTATCATACTACACAAATTAGCGAGCGCTTAAATAGTTTAAAATAGATTCAAAAGCAGTAAAATAATATAGTAATAATATTTTAAAAACAAAAAACAAGAAAACGGTATAACGGAAAACTTGACATTTCTCTTTTAATTTTTAACCGCACGAATCACGATTCACGTTATTCAGACACATGACATTGACAGCATTTTTTTTATTTCGATCTAAAACTAAATGCATTTGTTTCATTTTGGATTTCCGGCCGTGTTTTGTTGCCGTCACATTGTTTTGTCACTTGCTCTAAATAAAATAAAGAAAAACTAATAATAATAACGTTTCGGTGTGAAATATTTCTACATTGTTTGTTACGGTATACCGTTCAAATATTTGTTTGATGTTGTGATTCCTAATCCTTTAAGGTTATGACTCAGTAGTTAACGTAATTTTAGTGAGTAACTCCTGTAATTGTTGACATGAATTGAATTAATTATTATAAAAATATATAGATTTTTATACAAAATCTCTATCAACAATAATATATGTATATTGAGAAAGTGATTAAATTGACTGTGCGATATTTTCTAAATCGGCGTGCCATGAGATAATGTCCCGTAAGCGGTCACGGCTTGGAAAGGAAGAGGAAATGAGCTCGAAGCTATTAGATTCAGGTAGCGGGGAGGGAAGAAATGGCAGTGACACAAGCTTTGAAAGTAGCAGCCAATATTTTCTTGATTCTACACAGGTTAGTGTTTAAAACTTCCATACATCAACCCTGATATTGTATAATTATGTGTACAAATTAACATTATCATCACTTGAATTTATGACTGTAGTCACAGTAGTTAAATCTTCTAATGCTTAGTTCTTGAAGCTATTGAGCCTTAAACCCTTGACAGATACTTCTATCTATAATATGAAAGCTAACATGAATAATCTAATCCCATTAATTTATATTATAAATGTGAAACTTTGGAAGGATGAATTAATGTTTGTTACTCAATCACACCAGAACAACTGAAAGGATCTGGATGAAATTTGGCATATATATAGAGATAGATTATAGTCTGGAATAGCACATAGGTTACTTTTTATCTCAAAAAAATGTACAGTTTTCGTGGGAAAGATTTGTTTTTGCTTGGGTGAGTTGTAAGTAAAGTAATATTTATTAAGACTCCCAATTGTGGTGATTGTATCTTCCATCCTCCTCCTCCTCTATCCAAAAATATCACCCACTCCTTGCACCCCATAAATAAACATGTGCTCAATTGAGTACTAGCCACAGCTCGATTCACAAGTTGATAGGTACCACTTTCTTCCTACTTTGTAAATAAAATTACAAATACATCCCCACATATTATTTATTACATATTTAAACTTAGTATATTTTGAACCAGTCTCATCCTGTTACTACTTGTATTTTGTTTATGACATAAATTATATATTAATTGTATTTTAATAATTGTTATTATAAAAAGATAAATAAAATAAAATGAAATTTAAGGGTAAAAAATAAAAAAAAGGCTTAAAGAGATTTCATTACTTTGACTCTTTAAGTCAAAATATATATAATAAATAAATAATTATATTTCACTGCTATGAATACAATGGTTTGCTACTGCACTATTATTATTTGAACAGTACAATATCTTCAATCAATAAGAATGAAAATTTAAAGAATACAATAAAATTTACTTTTAATTTATCATCTATATATTATTATATCTATATGTATATATAATATATAGTCTTATCTATTCTATACTAACTGTTAAAACACACCTAAGGATGAACCCGAGCGAAGCGAGGGTGATTCCCTAGTTTACGTATAAAAATTAAGATATTAAAAATGTGTATTTAATTAGTGATAAAAAATATCAATTTTAAAAGTCTGGATAATTACATAATGCCTCTAATAGAGTTAATGTAATCCCTTGCTCTAGTTCAGTGCTCCACTTCTTCTGGTCTTGTGTGATTTATTTAATGGCCTTTGTTTTGATACCAGTTAATTATTATACACTCTTCACAATTTTCTGCCTTATACTATTTTAATAATAAATTTATTATTTATTTATTTAAAAAAATGTATAATTATTAAATACTAGCAGAACCCGCGGCTTCACTCGTGTTAAAACTTCAAAAATATCTCTAAAAAGGTAGGTTTCATACAAACTTTTTTCCTTTATTTTACCCCCTTATAGGATGAATTTCGAAAAATGATAAAACACGTATTTATTAATTTGTACTGAAGAATATTTATACCAAGTTTTAAGTAATTCTGATCACAAAATTATTGTTGGTTTGTATTATAATGTGTTTTCCCGTGGGAATAAAATAATCTTTCGCGGTAAAATGTAACCTATGTCACTCTCCAGCCCTCCAACTATCTTCAAACAAAAAATCACGGCAATCCGTCACTCAATTTCGACGTGAAACAAGGACAACAAACAAACACACTTTCACATTTATAATATTAGTGTGGATGTTATCTATGTTCAAAGTTTATATAATTTCTCGGCTACAAGCAGCTTCGCTTGTTTTATATCCAAACTATAAATTTCACAACTGCTTATTTCTATGAAAAAACAGGCAGCACCAGAAATCTATAATTTGCATTTTTATCAAGGTTTAATTTTGGAGATAATGCAATTTCAGTAAGTAATTTTACAAAGGCATTATTATAATTTAATTATATTTATTTATTTATGTATACAATCACATTATTATTATATCGACCAGAAGCGACAAATACCTCATATCTCATTTTAGTCAGTTTTACAGGGGAATAAAAAAACTTAATTACTTTTTTTTTAGCTGTTATATTGAAATATTGAAAATACAAGTTATTTAATTTTATTTGCTTCTTCTATTAATAACAACAACATTATCATTTTTTTAGTCTAAGAATATGTTATGATAGTTAAGAGTTATTGCTATAAAAAAAATCATGCAAATATTACAGATAGATTTTTTTGTCGCAAAGAGAATAAATAAAAGTAAGATATTATTGTCAATTATTTATTATGAATAATTATTAAGAATCACATTTAGGAACTTAAATTCTAATAATCAGTAAAAAAAATCAAAACAATAAAGTCAAGTCAGCCTCTTAATTAAAAATCAGTCTTCATTTATTCGTAGTTATTAATCAGTTTCAACATAATCATAGTATTATTAATCGTGAGGTAAATCATCATAAAAAGCATGACAATCCACAGGAATTACACTTTTCAATTCTTGCAAGTGTATAAATTTTGTATTAGTAATTGGAAGTTTATTATTATGAAGCTGTTTATATTGCGTAACAATAGGAACTGACTTATTCGATCTCTGAGGCAAACATTGCCAATCATCAGAGTGGTTGGTTTTAAACTGTATCTGACCCTCTGGAATATACATCAGAGCTCTTATGTCCGTCACCTTCGGGTCTCCTGGCTTTCTCCCGGGCCTAATTGAACTATATCGCCAAGTCGACGTATCTGCATAGTCCTTAATAAAATCATGATCAATAAGTGCAGCTTCGTACGGAAAAGGTTTTTGTCTAGCCTCTAAAGTTGCAGACAAATAGTCGCTAGGCAAATGGATCAAACGGTTTTTCAATTTTCGTTCTATAGCGCTATGGACAGAATCGCCTTCCATTTGCGTATGTCCTACTTCTAAATATTTTTGTATAATAGTAATATCATACTGCATCGCCAAATTAAGAAGCGCATTACTCAAAACATTATTCCGATTCTGTCCAGTGCATCCGTCACTGTAAACAATTATCGGGCGACGTTTAGGTATGCAGTGTTTTACAATATAGTCTGTCAAGAAAGTAGCGTAAGTAGAAGCTGTAAGATCTGCGTCGACTTCAGTAAACCAGTAACACATAACGTGATGCGTAGTTAAATCATAAACTGAATAATTATGTAACGCCAACTTCGTTTTATAATAAACAGCACTTGCTGTAACAAAAGGACAGACTTTAACGGATTGAAGATCTACAGTAAGCACAACACACTTACCCTCACTAGCCTCTTGCTTGTCTCTAGCTTTCTCAGCTCTTGAACTATCTTTTCGAATAAGATGAGCCTGATAATCTGCATCAGTTACATTTCCTGTCTTAAAGCCTTCGCAAGTATCGCACATATCTTTTTTTAGCTGATGTATGGCTAAATTTTTTTCCTTAAACATATTATTAAAAATTCTCATTGAGTATGGAATGGCATCACGAGTTTCACAGAAGATTTTGTAAATTTTGTAAAGATTTGCTATAGAATGGAATACAGGTTCTAAAAATATTTTATTTGTATTTTTTCTATTATAATGTGATGGCATTTTCGGTAAGGAATCGAAAAACTCATGTAACACAGCCAATCTTTCTATTCTTCCAGAGTCAATAAGCCTACCTCTGGATGTTTCCCTACTCTCTTGATATTCATACATCCCATATTCACTAGACTTAGCCCACGATCGCACTGAAAATGGTCCGATGTCAATTGTGCTCAAAAACATCTGTTTGCATACCTTTTTAATACTGGTAGTTCCACTAGAATCCGTTACAGACAAGCTATATTCAAAGGTAATCTTACGTCGGGAATCCTTCTCGACTGTGCATTTTTTCTTTTCTTTGCAGGTCACATGGTTAGCCACAAATACTCTACGCTGGTCCCAGTTCATTTCATTCCAAAATTTATTAAAAATGCATGTTCTGTCTTCATCTGTTATATCTGCACATTGTCTTTTATTGCTTTTTCTACAAAACTCCGAATCACATCGACTTCCCATTTTCCTTCCTCCTCGATGTTTGTTTTGTTTCATTTTATTTCCATTTGGACGCGAGTAACCCAAATAAGGTTTACCTTTCATGCGCAAATGTTGATTTAAATTCTTCTTCCACAAACTCTTATTCGCTTTGCGTCTACGACGAGTGCCATCGTTCATATCCCCGTAGAACACATCCTGATGGCTAGATGTGTTTGCTTCCAAATCACAGTTTATAATGGTGTCTGAATCAGAAAGGTCAGTATCGAATCTATCTGTTGTTATGGATAAAGTGGTGGCACTGTCAGTTGCTCGGCTATTACTGCTACGGCGGCTTGAACTACTTGAACTTGAACATGATGGCACTTCTAGCGAAGGCAATGTGTTAGGAACTACTGGTTGCAATATATCGTGTTGTGAAAATATGGTATCCGGAGATATACAAACATGTGGAGATATTATTGTGTCACTTATGGTTGATCCTATCACCTCGTTTATTGGTGATGAAGGATTTAACGAAGTAAAATCTTGCAGAGAACCGTTATTAATGATTGTTTCGAATACCTCGTTTTGTGGTGGAGGAGTATCAGGTGGGTCATTTGTGCTATCGACGAGACATAATTTTACCAATTTGAGCGCTCTTCTATTAGGCATTTTACCCTAAAATAAAAGAAAACGCATTATTAAAACTGTTAAAATGTTTACTTTTAGTGAAAATACCTTCTATCTTATCATTCGAGAGGAATAGCGGTAAAATAACAATTAAAATCTTTAAACGGAAATACCTCCTAACTATTGCACAAAACTCGTAACTAAATTTTATTATCTTAAATAAAAAGTTTTACAATATAAACAACGTAGTAACAACAATTATGATTCATTAATTAGGTTTACATTCAAATTACGACATTAAATTATAAATAAACAAGTGAAATACTTACTTTTAGTCAAGACGAACAGGCATCGACTAGTTCTCAGTACAAACTGAACTGTCAATGTGACAGATACGATAAATTTCTGCCACATTTATTCACGAATAAGTTAGACGTTATTTCTATAAGCTATTTTTTACATATTCCGGGTTTTGAACATTTACGAGTTTTTGTGAGAGAAAAGATACGTACTTTTCCTAACAGATGGCATTAAAACATATTTTTCGATAAAAAGTCAGATAGGAGGTATTGGTCGCATGCAGTCGATATGCCTGTGAAATTCTCACGACTATTAAAACTTACTCATTTGTTTGTGTACCTTTGTCATCGTCGTCGTCTCAGCCCAAACACGTCCACTGCTGGACATAGGCCTCCTCCAAAGATTTACACGAAAACCGGTCTTGTGCCATCCGCATCCAGTGGGCTCCAGCGACTTTGATCAAGTCGTCGGTCAACACTCGAGAACTTTTCAGCCTCAACGACCGTCCGTTCTACGAGCGATGTGCCCCGCCCACTGCCTTGAGCTTGAATATTCTGCGGGCTATGTCGGGGACCTTGATACTTTTACGTATTTCCTCATTCCTGATTCGATCTCGCAGCACCCCGAGCATAGCCCTTTCCATTGCTCTTTGTGTGACCTTGAGCTTTAACATCAGGCCCATCGTTAGCGGCCATCTCACCTTTATCAATTGCACTGATTTTTATTAAGTACAGTCTAAACCATTATAATTAGTGAAACAAGGTAGTTAAATAAAAATAATGAAAGTTTAGTTGTACACAAGTAATAAAAAAAAATGTGTGTGTATTTATGTACGACGTAAGAAGTTATACTTCTTTGGCGTTACAGAACAAAAATAGCTAAAGATTTCATCCCGTATGTCACAACTCTCTGTTGGTAAAAGGGATGCAGCTAAATTCATCATGTCTAGTGTCCGACCGAAGGTCTATTTTTGGCCGAAGCCGAAGCTGATTAATCGGCTATCGCCACAACCTTCGGCCGAAGCCGAAGGTTTATATTCTCTCAGCACTCAGTAATTAATTTTGTATCAATACCTCAAATAACTTCAATATTGAAGGTTTATATTGACTGTCTCATATAGAAGTTGATGATATATCATAGAGATGGTTGGTTTAGAGATAAATAAAAGTTTGTGATTTTGTGATTTACCTACTGGTAAAAAATAATCATTTCTTTATTACGTAATTCACAAATTACAATTAGATCAATCAGTCTTTGTTTTACTCGACTAGACCAAAACTAGACTAATAAATAAAATAAACAAACACTACATATAGTAAGTATAAACGACTCCGCAACCGATGCAATAAAGTATGTAGAGACGCTCAACGGAATTACATCCATACTGCAATAGATAATGGTAATCCTGCCAAAACCTGGAAGCTCTTAAAATCTTTTGGTATTGGTCGCAGATCTAGAAGCGTCTCTTACAATACACTTGATCTCGATGCTCTGAACAGATTTTTTGCCTCTATCACTCCTATGGATAATAATGTAAGACTTCGCACACTTTTTTTTTTTTTTAACGTTGGGAAATGCATTTACGCACGACGTGTGGGACTCACCGGCGTAATACAGCCAGTACTACCCACTAAAACCCAACAAAACCTTCCCCCGTCTTAATGGGGCGTCGCAGGATCGCTTACGCATTCAACTACGACGCCCCGACGGCAGGTCTGCCGAAGCAGACCACAACAACCATGGGGCTGCTCCACGGTCCACTCTGCTATCAGAGAAGTACCAGGAGCAACCCGCAAGGTACACCGCCCCCCGAAGAGGGCCACCTCCCACCGCCCACCGAAGTGGGCAACCTCCTTGTGCGTTTCTTAGCTTCGCGCCCGGTTGGATTGCCGGGCACTACTGAGCCCCTTCACCACGACAAGGTGAACGCACGTTGGGGCGGGGGGGGGGGGGGGGTCACTGAGCCAACTCCATTCAACACCACGTCCTAATCATCCCATGTTCAATTTTACCCCTGTTAGCACTTTCGAGGTTAAGAAACACATCCTAGCAATTAAATCTGATGCTACTGGCAGTGATGGTATAAATCGCAAAATGATCCTCTTACTTCTTGATACCATTACTCCTGTACTTACCCATATTTTTAACTTCTCTCTTTCCTCCAATGAATTTCCCTCTACCTGGCAAACTGCTCGCATTATTCCTAAGACGAAAAATCCCTCTTGCTTCTCCCACTACCGTCCAATTTCCATTCTCCCATTTTTGTCGAAAGCTTTAGAACGAATTGTGTTTAACCAACTCAGTGGCTATTTAGACCAGCACAACATACTTTCTCCGTACCAATCTGGTTTTCGAAAAGGTCATAGCACTGTGACAGCCTTACTCAAAGTAACCGACGATATACGATTTAATATGAGCGAGAAACTAATCAGCGTTGTAGCCCTGCTTGACTTCAGTAATGCTTTCAACACAGTTAACTTTAAACTCCTGTTAGCTGTGCTTGAATCCATTAATGTGTCAAGCGACGCCATCAGGTGGTTTAGCAGTTACCTGTACGGTCGTCAGCAGCGTGTACATATTGATAATAAATCCTCCACCTACTTTCCTCTCTCAGCTGGGGTTCCACAAGGTGGTGTCCTCTCACCTCTTCTGTTTTCTATATTTATTAATACAATTTCCACACTTCTTTCATGCCCCTATCATCTTTATGCTGACGACTTACAGGTTTACGCTGCGGGTCCCTCCAGTGAACTCAATAATATTATTGAACGGTTAAACAGTAACCTACACAAAATTTATTCCTGGAGTACGACGTATGGGCTCCGTGTTAATCCTATCAAGTCACAAGTCATTATTATTGGAAGTCAAAAGTTGACCAACAAGATCGACTTTAATACCTTGTCCCCTGTTAGATTTGGCAATTCCGACCTAGCATACAGTAACGCCGTCAGGAACCTTGGACTGTTTTTCGACAACTCCTTATCCTGGACTGTGCAAATTGCAGAGGTTAGTAAAAGGATGTTCGCTGCAATAAGTTGTTTGAGGCGATGGAAAAATCTGTTGCCTATTAAAACTAAAACTGCACTAGCTCACTCACTACTGCTACCAATTTTAGATTATGCTGATTGCTGCTACCTCGACGTTTCAGAGGAACAGCTTAACAAGCTCGAACGTTTGCAGAATATGTGCATCAGATTTATATTTGGTTTACGTAAATTCGACCACATCTCCGAATACCGTAAGCAATTAAAGTGGCTTCCAATCAGATTTAGGCGCAATTTGCACGTCTTTTCCATCCTTTTCTCCATCCTTTATAACCCAACTACTCCCTCTTACTTAAAGGAACGGTTTAATTTTCTAGGTTCGGACGTGTCTGGTTTGCAACTTAGGTCTCAGAGCGACAACCGTTTGAAATTACCATCTTGCACCACCAATTACTATGGTAATTCTTTTACCGTAAAAGCTGTAAGGCTATGGAATATGCTCCCCCATGATGTTCGCCATTCAAAGTCACTAAATATTTTTAAACGTCGTCTAACTAATTATTATCTGTCTTTTTAGTTATTGAGTATATATGTATATACTTTGTATTCATATGTAGTTATGTATCTATATGTAGTATATGTATGTATCTGTATGTATTTATGTATCTGTGTACGTATATATTATACGTGTATGTATATATTTTTGTCTTTTGTATGTACTCATGTTTGTAAACGTAGTTCATCATGTCTGTATTTAGTGTTAATTGTACCGTCCCGTCTTCGATTCTTCTAATCCTTTCACCAAAGGTTGTCTGTAAGAGATTGCTCGTAGCAATAAGACCGCCTTTGCATGCCTATTTGTTATTTATTTTTTATTTTTATCTTCTGTAATCTTTTTTCTTTTTGTGTGTGCAATAAAGAATTTATCTATCTATCTACATATACAATATGAATACGACAATAAATTAAAACTCAAACAGTAAATACCTAGGTACCTTCCTAGTCTTTATATAGGTAATTTCAAATTATAAATCCAATTTATTAATTTGGAACTATGAAATGAATTCTAACAACAAATTAAACTTTTTCTAACAAACTATATCCAATAGAAAAAGAAATAATGATGAGAGTATAACATACAAATCCAATACCTATGTTAAGTATCAGCTCATCCAAAAGACCTAAACACGGAGGATATCCCGTATGTAAGTACCTAACTATTTAAGTGTAGTAAATATATACATGTAGTAAATACCTACCTACTATACACTAGAAGTTAGAACAGATATTAAGTTCTAAAATAAAAACTCAAAATATTAATGAGAAAAACATAACGTATCCTAATTCATTCATTTACTGAAATATATCATTTATTTCATTTCTAATAGAAATTTTCTATTAACTAATAATAACTACCGTATACAAAGTAGGTACCTATTGGTTTTTTACTAAACAAATACTTACGTTAGTATTGTCCTTTTCACTAGTTCACTTGTAAATGTAATCATTACTAATGTATCACAATTTAATTGATAAACACAAATTCAAAACAAAACACTCGTTTAAATACACGTACGAACTTGTTTTGATGCATGCAATGTGATATTTTGACAGTGACTCCCCGCCGCCTCATGACTTTCGTAACAGTTCGTTCAATCTCGACGGTCGCTCGGACCTTCGGCGAAACCTTCGGCTTTGGCCGGGTTTTGGGCCGAAGCCGAATGTTTCGCCGAATGTAGATTTTTTGGCCGAAGGTGGCCGAAGCCGAAGCCAAAGCCGAAGCTTCGGTCGGACACTAATCATGTCGCTTTTTGACTGTCAGTGTACGCGCGCATCGTAAAAATTTTACTCTCGTATTTTTTTCAAACGTGCCAAAAGAAGTATAACTTCAAAAGACTCCGGTGTCAAACTAAAATTTCCAGTTTTTGATAAGCCAACAGTGGCATTTACGTTTTTATGCACTATTATTATTTATACGATGGGAATATCAATATATGTATGTTTTATATGTAAATCAATATCTGTACGATACTTAAACTATAATTTCTGATTGGATTTATAAGTAGGTAGTGTTATTTTTTATTTAAATATAAAATGATCTGTTTTCGTATGTGATATAAAAACGTAAGCCAAATACAAAAAGTCTGGGCTTGTCGCCAAGTATGTGGCGTGATCACTGACCATGCCACAGCCAGTCTACTTGCGAGTAGCGCGTAGAAGTAAATAACATATACCTACTCGCTTTACTTTAATAATATTTAGATTAATTTATTTTCTATATCTTTTAAAAGTATGTTTAGTTCCCAAATGTGAAAACGGCAAGATAAAAAAGAAGATTTTCTAATATTATTGGTATTATCCTAATGTATGAAACATAAGGGATGATATCAATTTAACTGCCTTTTAGTCTCGTGAGATATCGTTCAAAGTAATAAATCTCAGTCAAACACATTTGTAGTAGGTATATAGATAATAGTTTCATTCGTCTCGCGTATTGGTGTCTAGTTACGTTTCTTATATTTTTGTTGGCAGCCTGCCCGGCATCGCTCGGCTACTTCATTCTACATTGCCATTTCTCGAATTTTACCCCCTGTTACCTTAAAGGGTCAAATTTTGAAAATGGACACGTTTTGAGATCGGCCAAGCAGACGTTAACAAGTCGAGGAAAATGAAAAAATAATTTAGATTTTAGATATAAATAAAATTGTACGCTATTTATAATTTTGGATAAAATTCCGTCTAGATAATTTCCCGGATTTGGAGATATTGCAATATCCCCAATTCAATTTTATTTATTTATGTTTCTCCTAATATTCTTAATCGGGACTATTACGAATACTTTTAAAATTTTTCCAAATCAGTCCAGCCGTTTTCTAGTAACACACTAATCAACAGTACTTCATTTTTATTATGCAGATTTAATAATAATAATAATAATAATGAACAGTTTATTGCACACCACACAAGAAATAAATAAAGAAGTGTAATATATATAATAAAAAAAGATGCACAGCAGGCGGCTTTATCGCTAGAAGCGATCTCTTCCAGGCAACCTTAAATTGTAAAAGAAATGAATTATTTCTTAACTAGCATTGCCCGCGGCTCCACCCGCGTTCAGGTGACCAATAACCAAACTCTTAGTTTTTCATATTAGTATGCTCTTACAATGCAGTTTTTGTTTTTTTATATTTTTTCTCAGAAATGAGATATTTTCCCGCTTTAAAGAGTATCCTATATTATGTTGACCCCGATAACCAGCTATCGTCATAACAAATTTCATCAAAATCTGTCCAGTGGTTTTCTCGTGATGCGGTAACAGACAGACAAACAAAAATTCTAAAAACTATAGATTCGGACTCTGTATCAATAATAATGTCTATTTCAATAAAATTTTCCAAAAAATATTTAATGTACAGATTCGACTTAGTTAGAATTTTATTATATGTATAGATTTAAATCTTTTCGAATTTTCAGAATTCCGCTAGGTATTGTGCTACATATTTTTATGGTTACCTTATGCAGGAATTGTTTCTACGTCTAATGAGATTTTTACCGCAGTGTCGATCTTTTTACATATTTTCCATTTCCTGAATAGTTTCGTTGTAATTGTTAATTGCATAATCCTTCAAAATTAATGACGAAGACGTAATATGCTATTGCTTTTTTCTGTTTCTAATTCATTTAATAAATTCCACAATAAACATAAAGGATCAATCAATTTTAAAGGATCAAATAACAATGCCCTTTTAATTATTATGACATGAAATGAAGCAGTTGCTCGTATAATTTACGGTTATTATTACATATCTATACATATAATAAAATTGTAACTAAGCCGAATCTGTACATTAAATAATTTTTGGAAAATCTTATTGAAATTAACATTATTATCGATACAGAAGCCGAATCTATAGTTTTTAGAATTTTTGTCTGTCTGTCTGTTACCGCATCACAGAAAAACCACTGTGGATTTTGATGAAATTTGGTTTGATGATAGCTGGTTATTCGGGTCAACAAGGAAAATATCTCATTTCTGAGAAAAAATACAAAAACTGCCATGTAAGATTATTAGAGTAATTAGAGTATACTAATATGTAAAACCTAAGAATTTGGTTTTTGGTCATCTGAACGCGGGCGGAGCCGCGGGTAATGCTAGTATTATATATGTATGCTTTATTGTAGAGTCGATATATACAACGAGTACCGTAAACAACGTTACCGTATCGCATCTCATCTAATGTACAACTGTTGTACTACAACATAAATGATTCTTTCAACAATAAATAAAATATCTTATAATTACCGGTATTTGGTGAGCTTATACTATACTGATTACTGAGGTTAAACTATATTCCAGTATTTTATAATTTCGAAAGTAATAAGTTGACGACGACCACTTTCACGATCTTATAAATGAAAAATTAGTATGAAATTGTCAAAAAAATCATTAAGAGTTCTTATTAGTTACCTCCATATTTTTAACGAAGGTTACGCATAGTAAACTTTTTCAATTTTAGTTGAAGTTCTTTTTGCCAGACATCAAATTGGTTAAAATGTCTAAAACAAATAAAATTCCTAGCTTCGAATGGACCAGGTATAAAATTGATCTTAAAGACAAAATTTACTTAAAAAGGTTATATAAAAATATCTTGCATTATAATTATGATGCATAAGTTTTGCCTTAAACAGTTGTTCAAATGAACGAAAGAATTCCCATTATAGTCTGATCAGAATCTGGTTTGGGAAAAAAAAATAAAACCTTATGTTTTATGTCTTTAAAACGTTAGAAGGTACATATATTAAGGAACAAAAATCCGTAAAATGTCCCCGATGTCCAGCTACCCCCGAGAAATGGGGGGATGAAAAAAGTTGAAAAATAGTTTTTTTCAATTTCCGGCTTACTGTGACGTCCTTTCGAAAAATGTTCTCTTCAAAAGTTGTTTATTAAAAATCTACAACTTTTATAGATGACACTTTTACAATAACCTCAAAATTCATATATTAATTTCATATATATAATGTATCTGCTTACGTTCTAAAGACATAAAACTTCAGGTTTTATTTTTTTTTTCTCTTAAAAATAAACGAATTTCGATCAGACTATTATATCCTCCAAGTTATGGAGCGTATGAATTTTACATAGCAATTCTCCTTACAGTTATTGTCGTGACTACGACTGTTCATTTTTAATAAACATGTTTAGTTATTAGTATGTAAAATAGATAGAAGATGGAGTGATAAAGCACGTCACAAATGAGCCCCCGCTCAAGTTAACGTGTGAACTGTGAAGTGAAGAGATACATTATTCGAAATGAATGATGACATTTCTTCGAGGACAGCTGGAGTCCCCAGTGAGTGCGCTCGTGGCGCATCGCGTCTCTGACGAGCTTCCACGTCGTCGTCGCGCCACCGCCGGCGCCCGCCCTCGCGCCTCTCCCAACACCCGCGGACCCCATCCCTCCCACGGTCCTCTCTCACTCGTTTTATATCAGCTAACCTAAAGTCAGTCGCCTACCCAACGTCCGCGTTAAGACTGTGACCGTCGCGTTTTCATAAATACATTTAGTATACGACATTGGTATTCTGTCATTTACATCAATTACATTTTACAAAATAAATAGACAAATTAACTTCAAGCTACTTTTCTATACGAAGAATTCCATTTGAAACTTTGGACTTTTTGCAAACGATGCGACAGTCGGTTAGTGAATATATGAATGTGCTAGCTTAACTTATAGTGTCCAGTTTACTTTAGAAAATCAGAACAATTCGTTAACGATGTCAGCCTTAACCATGACCACGACACTAACCAATGGACACCTTAACGGGAAATTGGAGAACGGCTTAAATGGTTACCGGAAGAATGGTTATGTCAAATCAGAAATGCCGGGTTCAAGTGTAAGTACCAAATAAAATTATAATATCTATCAAAGAATAATATTTTTGGCCACATTGAATTCTTATTGTCGCAACGATAAACAATACTTCTGTAACTAAAGTTCACTAAGATGATGTAACATGTTCAAATTGAAAGATTTTATTACAATGCGGTTCTAAATAAACAAAATATATTAATATTTCTATTTAATAGACATCACGATGTTTTACGTTACAATGAGTGAAAGTGATTCCATAGTATGTGAACTGGTATAGAAAGTTTTGCTCAAATACTTCGGATTTCTAAAATGAAGTGCACTTATATTACAAACTGACACTGAATTTTTGTAGACGAGTGTTTTGTAATTGTATGTATGTAAAAAACAAAAAAGTATTTTTAGATAATTTTTAACATGCGAAGTTGAAAACAGATTCTAGATAATGTTTTCTGATAAGAAATCGATTATACACACGTTTTTATTACGCCTGAATTCGATACAATAGATTAAGATTAAAAATCCGTAAAATTCAATGTACGTGACTCTACATCTTACTGTAATTATGTATATTTAAATATATTCTACGCTACGCCCAGCAAGGGCGCTAAATCATTTAAAGTTATACAAACACACAATAGTTACCTTGATTTTATTATGTCATCTACTGTAGTCATCATGACAGACCAGATTTATTTTATATTATGTAGGTTATATCGCTGGCGTACCAAATGTACGATATATACCAATGTTAGATATTCTGAATGATTGTGTAATATTTATTACTAGCGGCTCACGACAAACAAAAACAAATTTATCCCACGGGAATCGTACATTTTTCGGGGATACAAAGTGGCCTATTTGTAATTGTGATGTATGAACTATATTATTGTAAAGTTTCAATAAAATCCGAAGCTGTATAAGTTACTATAGTTTTTTAACTATCCCACGGGAACTCTTTAATTTTCCGGGATGAAAAGCATCTAAGATGTTGACCGGGGATATAAGGTATATCACTATGCAAAATTTCATTCAAATTGATTCAATAGTTTCGGAGGTTAGCCCCGTACAAACAGACAAACAGACAGAGAAACAAAAAAAAATAAAAAAGTCTGGATTTGTTCTATTACTCTTCTTACGTCCCCCTGACTCGGTTTTTAGCATTTTTTTTTTCTATGTACATTGTCTTACCTGACTGAGTATGTCTTTATGGCGTGATTTATTTTTACAAGTAGTCGTATTCTGTAATTTCTTAACAAGATAATATTAAACAAAATAGGTATGTATTTATATTATAAAGCAACTGATTTACTTGCTGCTTTTGGTCAAAAACAAGCCGGACTCGCGACTCCAGCAGTCGCCCTTTCAATCAACATGCTCGTTTTACAACTTCATATTACAAGGAATTGAATATTTTAATTATTTAGTGTTTTTTTTTTGGAGTTGGCTCTATAGTCATATAATGTAATAACACGTCTTTTTCTCTTATTTTTTTGTTCTCTTTAATTATTTATTTGTTAGAGTACCTATCCTCCATAATAAACCAAATCATATTTGTAAAATAATTGGTACCCACTACACATACATCTTAAGAAATAGTCTAGTCAATAAGTGCCTTTTAGGTCAACTTTTCAGCAGTCTCGGGAAAATATAAACGAGGTGTCATTCGATTCGGAATGACATGTAGATGATTTTTGAAAAAAATGATAAAAGTTATAAACAAATAACTAAAAAAAAGAGGGTGTTTAGTTTTTTTCCAAATATCTCAAAAACTAATTGAGATTTTTCAAATCTAAAAGAAGGTTCAAAAAGGGAATGAAATTTCCTAACAAAAAGTCTCAACTCTTAGAACTATAGGACCAATATTTATTATAATCTTTTTAGAGGGATAAAAATACGGCCTAAAACGAGTGCTCTGGCTTGCCAACTTCGGACACTTTATCAATAAAAAATATTTTAACATAGTAAATATAAAATTTAAAATATGACAAAAATCACGGGCTTACTGGATAGATAAATGAACAATAATCCTAATAAATCTTGAGCTTTCAGAAAAATAATTAAAATTAAAGTACATGTGGTTCAAAACTGAGAAACATGCTTAGTAATATAACAATAATTGAATTGCATGGAATAATTATGATTAAATACATGTATTCAATACATTGTACCTATTGTATGCAAAAAGTTGTGCAAACAATGTTATGCATACGATGAATTTTTACAGCGAAAGATACATTTAAATTAGCTTTTGGATTGGTTGTAAAACAGCGAGATTTATTGTATATGCTAAAACAAGTAAAGTAGTCTCGTCTAAATGAAAAAAAAAAATTAATATTTATTTGAACTCTGTCGTGACTCGTGTGTAATCAAACCGGACTCTTCTTTCGGTTCTTGAACTATTCGACTGATAATTTTCCTAAAAAAAGAAACGATAAACTATGACTGCAAAGTGTTATCACTTATTATGCGACTTCAAAAAAGGAGGAGGTTCTCAATTCGTCGGAATATTTTTTCTATACACAATTTAGTAACTGGAAGAGGAAGACTATTTTATTCTAGTTTATTTCATATGCATTAATTATCACACAAATTAAATAGATTACTGTATTTTTGTATTAAATCATTCTTAAATTTTAACTAAAATTACCTAATCCATTTTTATCAAGGTTACCAAATCATTGATTGGAATTATTATGAATTTTATTCAAACAGACAGATTGGACTTTCTATTGCTGGATAAAAAAATATTTTTTAAATGTTTTTTATCTGTGAATTTATTGAAATGGGGAAAAATTTTATCATTTCTCCTGCCACATGTTGCGATCACTACGATCCTCGGTATATATCGTGGATGGAAATTTTTCATTTTATTCAAAATTTAATTAAAATGACAAATTTTGCAGTGCCAGGATGCAAAGAAAATGGATATCATTTATTTCCAAAAGACAGAAACTGAAGAAAATATGGGCTAAAGTGATAGGCGACCAAAATTAGCGAAATCACAATCTTTATATTTAAGGCTATGTGTATATCTTTTTCACAAAAAAATTATTCCCCATTGAAAGAAGTTCAACAGTGAATGGCGACCTTAAAAAATAGTTAATGTGACATGACGTCAAAAATTTGTGACATAGGTAAATCAAGGATGAAAATAACTTTACCAAGTTTATTAATATTACTAATAAACACCAAATGTTATTAGCCCTTGTATTTAGTCCATTTATTAAAAAACTAGTTAAATTTATAGTAGATAATAAAATTAAATTATAATATAGTTCTCGTTTTTATATATTTTTTCATTCTCAATCAATGTGTCATTTTTGTATTACGTAATTATTTTTCTATTGTTGTAGGTTACTCTTGTAGACCGATCATTCATTTATAGTTTTAAGTCCACAATATAGTTACCAAATTTCAAAATACCGCTCAATCTCATTCGTGTCTTCTTCACAAAACGTGACACTGGCAGAATGGATTTCGTCTGTTAACGCAACTATATGTCATATATGTTTTTTGCTTTAAGCCTCGATAACGAATACCTTTAAAAATCGTTTACCTTTTAAAATTATTTAAAATAAATGATTGTTTTTTTATAATGCACATTCATTACGATAAAAAATCAAAATTCATGTTTACATTTAAAAAAATCAGTAATGTGTACTGTGTGTTAGTATTGCATTGTAGGTAATGGATATAACCTAAATATCTAAACTTACTATTTCGAACGAAACTTGAGAATTCAAGTATCCAAAGAACTCTTTGTATTTATATTATAACTAGCATTGCCCGCGGCTCCTCCTGCGTTCAGATGATCAAAAACCAAATTCTTAGGTTTAACATATTCAGTTCGACGCATACTTGACCCAGTAATAATTAAGTGGTAGGGTACCTACATTTATTGAAGTTATACTTCTTTTGGCACGTTTGGAAAAAAATATGAGAGTAAAATTTTTGACGACATGATAAAGTTAGCTGCATTTCCTTTACAAATAGAGAGTTGTGACATATGGGATGAAATCTTTAGCTACTTTTGTTCTGTTACGCCAAAGAAGTTTAACTTTGTATGTGCGTACATACACACGTTTTAATACCCTCGATATCTTATACATCTCACTATCAGGCGCTGGTTTGATTCATAATAATAACTGTAATTATCGTCTAGTGTGTCAATAAAAACAAATACCCAAGATAGAGATCACTCGAACGCTCTACACGTGACACGCATATTATACAAGTCTTGTTTACGTGTGTAAGTTGCCAGGTTTTGAGCCATGTAATTAATTCTGACTTGTTATATTCACGTTAATTAACATGTGTAATGTGTATAGTTACTAATAATTCGTATTAGTCGTGTCCATTTTGTAGCGTCGATTATTTTTTAAATTCTAAAATATTGAATTCAATAAACAAAATCAGTTGCACGTTTAAATATAATTACACTTTATCGATATTTAATTGAATTATGCATTTGTATATTGTTATTTTGGCCTACTCTACATTGCAAATGAAATTAATGACCGTTAAAAATAGAACACTTGCGAAACAATTCAATGTCATCGCATTGCCGCCTAAACAGTAAACACATAGATGACACGGTTTGACATTGCATGCTCATCACTATCAGATACTTGTACACTTCATAATTAAAACATGATCGTGTTTAACTAGTGCTTGTATAAAATAAAACGAATTCTTATTATGTCCATGTAGTTTCGTATAGTTAAAACAAACTAGCCATTAGAGTAATACTACTAGATCTGCAGTATTATTTACTTAACCGTAACTTTTGTAATAACTTTAACGTCTGAAACCGAAATAAAGTTAAAATTCTTTAATAGATCTCCTTTGAAGGTTTATATCTATACATATAATGAAATTGTAACTAAGCCGAATCTGTATACGAAATATTTTTTGGAAAATCTTATTGAAATAAACATTATCATCGATACAGAAGCCGAATCTATAGTTTTTGAATTTTTGTCTGTCTGTCTGTTACCGCATGACAGAAAAACCACTGGAGGGATTTTGATGAAATTTGGTATGGTGATAGCTGGTTATCCGAGTCGAGTCAACATATAGGATACTTTTTACTGCGGGAAAATATCTTATTTCTGAGAAAAATTACAAAAACTGCAATGTAAGAGTATACTAATATGTAAAATCTAAGAATTTGGTTTTTGGTCATCTGAACGCGGGCGGAGCCGCGGGCAATGCTAGTGATATTATAACATATTTTGTTTAATGAAAATGTTTTACAGTTATAAATCTTTAATTGTTTGAAATGAAACCTTAGATCATGTACATAATAAATGTTATAAAAAGTCATGTGATTTTTCATTTTAGCTTTTAGTTCGTTTCATCCAGTTATCAAATGTCTTTTGTATTAAAACTATTTATCCTGATTTATCAACGCAAGGCGATTTTTAAGGCAAAATAATAAAAGCAGTTTGAGTCGAGACGGACTGCAATTTCGATATAGAATTAATGAATAAAAGTAAGGGTGAATTGCGCATATAAGGTTACAATGAGTAATACATACTTACTTAATTAAATCAATACTCCTGCGGAAATATCAATTTCAGTAAATAAGAGTAACTTGATAGTTTGTTCGATCCAATTAATTATTATTACCAAGATTATGAACTTATTTATTAATAGGTACGTTAAATGAAATCTGAGAAGATTGTTGTTACTTGTTAAAATACAACAAATAAGGCAAGTAAAAGTAAATAAACAGAGGAAACTGATGAATAAAACTAATTTCTATCGAACCTTATTCAATTTAGAAAGTAATATATGACACCAACCTTGTCCACACACGAGGAATAGTGATTGTTAGATTGTGAGCTGTGAGTCTTGGCTGTGAAATTCAAAGTGTTGCATTTTTAAAATATGAGCCTTAAGTGGGTGGTTAAATTACAATTACAAGGTTAACCTATTTTCATCCGATACCTCTCTAAAATGTGCATTGTACATATAATATGTTCATATAATTTTGTTTATTTTTATCAGTGTGGTAGTATACTTTATAAGCAGGTACTTAATTTACAAAGATAATATTTAATTAACAATTACCTATATTTTTCGGGGAACACTTATTAGCTTATTTAATTCGAAGACGAAATGTTTATTAGTCATAATTCATACATTAAGGTCAAAGACGAATAGTATTTAATGTTTATTATTATTAATACTTAATAGGCATCTACTCATCGAGGGTCATTACTTAGTTGATATGGGTCTGGTACAAGAATGCTTACTAGGGACTCCATCAAATAAAAGCAGGATACGGACTAAAAATATGTAGCTTTAATAAAATATCATTCATAAGCAATAAATCAAAAAAAGAGTTAAAAATGAACTCAATTGTGTACTACAAATTATTTCCTATATGTAATTACTGCTCATTTAAATTTAAGAGTTTAGTATTAAATTAAAATTAATAACGTTCATACTTTATCCTTGTTTAATATCCTAATTTTGTGCTTAACAAGACTTCCCTTCAATGTAAAGCGGATCAAGCCACAACCCATCAGGCTGGCTAAGTATGGGTTCAAGAACAAATTGGAATATTCCCATATTAAAATGAAAAAGATTTTTATCAGCGTATTCGATTAATCCCTCAACGATCGCGGATACGCCAGCGTTACAGTTAACAATAGATTTCTTAGAAATTTAATTAATTTCTTAGAAATTTAATTAATTTCTTAGAAATTTAATTAATTTCTTAGAAATTTAATTAATTTCTTAGAAATTTAATTAATTTCTTAGAAATTTAATTAATTTCTTAGAAATTTAATTAATTTCTTAGAAATTTATCTGGAGGTGTTAAAGTGTCAACATTAGTTCCAATGATTCATCATACAGTCTCACAATTGACTGTCGCCTGGTCAGCGTATAGATGCAGTCATGCATTTTGCACAGGCACTGCAAGCACGAGGCGGCCAGCCGAAGCGAGATAAGGCGCGATAGGGCCCGACGCCTACGTCACATCACGCCACCTCACTATCGCATAATCAGTTTTGAACCCTGTTGCCGTAAAGAATGACTCATGATACCCCGCCTGCAAATTTTATCAACAATGCCCACTATTATTATTGTTTTCGTAGAGTTCATTCGTTTGTATGTAGGTTTAGAATTTGCGGTTATATATATGTAATTTTATCTCGCAAATTTCGATTTGTAACTTTTGCTAACTATTTTTTGTATTATTAACGATTAATTTTAAGTGATATTAATATTAAAAATAATTGTAAGTAATATTAAGGAAATCTGCTTTTCCTCAGATTTAATTCTTTATGAAGCGTAACGGAGTGTTCTTATCAACGTTTTTCCTATTAAATATAACTACAAGGTCATATGATAAAATTGATATTTTAATAAATCTTAGTCTGATGCAATAATTCAATAATATTGTGTCTTATTTAGAATAAACATTTAAAGAAGTGTAAATATGTCTCTTTTGGCATATAATAAAAACTTCTAGTACCAGTAGGTATGTAAAAACGTTACTAATTCATTCCAGTAGATCAAGAGATACAACTAAACTTCTAAAACATCGGGTCCTAATTGCTTACATGCGAAGCGAGATCTTGTTCAAACTCTACGGATAAAATATAAATTTGTGTGTGGGTAAAACCGCATTCAAAAGCTAGTCAAAATCATAATAGTGTTGTTTAAATGGATGAATAGATATAATTTGTAAAATACTCTCGACGATGACGGAATAAGGAAAACATTTCCTTATTTCGTCACACATTATTGTATCAGGAAATTACATTGTAGTAATAAACCACAAATACTATATGACCGCAATATAGAGCAAAAATGTTGAAATAAATTTGCTATTTCATTTACAACTTAAATATCCAAAATTGTTACATTTATTTTACCGCAGGATTTTGAGAAGATAATATAATAGCCACTTATGTACCTTTGCTTCGCTCTGGTGCCTTTTGTATTTATAATTAATATAAATTACGAATATCAATTTTCATACCTTCTTACTTTTAAGACGATGAATCGATGAATGATATCTAATTTTACATCGTCATTTTTTTAAGTCTGAACATACCTACGATTATACATTATAACGAATTTTCAACGTCTTTTTTATCCCTTTAGGGATAAATTTCCAAAAACCCTGTCTTATATTCAAAATTGAAGTTTATAGCTATTATATATTTATACTTTAAGATCATACTTTGAGATTTCGTGATGAATCAGTGGATGGTATTTTGTTTTTATATAAATACAAAGATAAAGATATAAGAAAGATTAAACGTATTGTATCTTTATTTTCAGTCACTACGAACAGCAGCACCCTTCAGCACGGATCCTGCAGCGGTAGCAGAGAGGGACAGATGTACATACGGCCGCATACCCAGAGCAACCGCGCTAGCTGGCACAGCATCCCGAAAAGTGCGTGTATACTCTGATGGCATTTACGATATGTTCCACCAGGGACACGCCAGACAGTTGCAGCAAGCGAAAACCGTATTTCATAATGTATATCTCATTGTTGGAGGTGAGTTTTAGTTACACGTACGGTAAAAATTAATAATTTAGTTTCGTATGCATATTATCGATTTGTTACGCGATAACCATGTTTTCGTAATTCTAATTTGTTTTTTATTATTATTTTAGTTTACCTCAAGGGTAAACAATATCCATACTCAATTTTATAATTGTGCAAGTGTTGTTTGTTTGTTTGTTTGTTTGTTTGTTTGTTTGTTTGTTTGTTTGTTTGTTTATTTGTTTGTTCTTCTTACACGTCGAAACGCAGTGTCGGATTGGCGTGATTTTTTGTGTGTAGATAGTTGGAGACTTACATATGGACATAGGCTACTTTTTACCACGGAAGATTATCTAATTCCCACGGGATAACAGTTTATAATACAATCCAAAAAAAAGTATATAGATCAGAATTACTTGAAAGTTTGTATTAATGCTCTTCAATACAATTAAATAAATATGTAATTTAGCATTTTCCGAAATTATATATAATATAATAAAAGAATTATTTATTTTTATTATTTATTAATTAATAATAATAAAAGAAAACAATATCAAATGTGCATATTACAAGAAGTGCGCGATAAACAATAGCATTCCCAAGGAGGGTTGACGTCAGGCAGGCGGCCGGTCGTAAAACTTTTGCCAAATCCTATCAGCAGTACATAAGATGTACTGCGCCGACACAAAGTGATTGGGTAATGGAGACACACACATCCTATAAGGGGCTAAAATAGGGGATGAAAGTTTGTATGAAACTACGAGATTTTTTGTAGTGTTAGCGCGATCGAAACCGCGGATTCTGCTAGTTAAAATATAAAAAGATTTTTTCCAATTATTTGAACGAGCTTGAATCATGAATGGCGCTTAGAGAATTTCATTTCGCCAAATAGAGATGTCGAAAGCAAAGTGAGGGCGAGTCGCTAGTCCCCTTTAGTTAAAACATGCCTATTATATTATGAAAGAGCTAAAGAGATAGACGCGGAACGTACAATATATTGTTCTTGTAAAGAAACGGTGCAGTAAACGTTTATTCTCAAGAACCTTTTGTATTATAACAGTTGTTATGCAAAATGGGACCAGTCCCATTGTTAAGAAACATAAATCCAGTTTTTCAGAACACGTTCTGCCCACTTGTTTTACAATCTTGAAATGCGGGTTTTATTTTTATTGAAAACTTTAATTAATCTTATTAGAGGTTTTTGGCAAATGGTCTTGGCGATTTGGAAAAGATGATGAACAAGTCATTCTATGCGTTAAAATTATGTGTGATAAATACATATAAAGAAATTACCGTCGACAAAATGTTTTTAATGGTATAACAACAACACCTTCCGCAGTAATAATACTTTAGAGGCCCATTCACATGAACTGAAACAAGCAAGTGATAGCGCGATTGGCTAAGCAAGTGTGGTACGATGTATACGATATCGCTATCAATGCTGCCTGTATCGAACTTTATACTCGATCGTACGATTTTAATTACAATATACGCAAAACGCTACTATCGTCGATAGTGTAGTGATTTTTGTATTATCTCCATGAATTAGCCACCTTGCGCCGTTCCCTGATAACTGCTGACATAAGACGAGTCGCCCTGATAAGATAAAATAATTTATTTACCTCTATACGTGTAATTATGAGTACTTGTCTTAATATAAACTTTACATTTATTGATTACTCGCATATTATATTATGCTGTGGTCTAGATGTTATAATATAAACGTATACATTTTAAAATATTATTGTATTTAAATTACTATATTATAGATACTTCATTGTTGATCCCATTTAGTTTAATACCAAGTTGATAATTTACAATGTAATGAATATATATGTATGTTTTAAAAATATATTTCACGCAGTGAATGTAACAAAATGTCACCAGTTGCTTGAATAATTTATAATTCAAGTTGAACAAATACAAGAAACGTGATCCTGCTTCACAACGAGCACATTCTTGTCAATTCATTATATTAGATAAGAATAATAAATTATAAAATAATACAGACGTAGTTTCACACAATAATCATAAATGCGAAAATTTGTATGTATTTTTGTCACTTCACGCTAAAACGGCTTCACAGATTTGGATGAAATTTAGTAAATCGATAGAGTATCACCTGGAGCAACATATAGGTTACATTAGTACTAAAATACCTATGCAAAAACGTGATGGTACCCGAAACCTGTTTATAATATTACTAGCGACTCAGTAATAACGGTTAGTATGAAATACAAATCTTTGAATCTTGACTTTTCTGTACTATAATATGCATGTATTATACATATAAACCTTCCTCTTAAATCACTCTATCTATTGAAAAAACCGCATCAAAATCCGTTGCGTAGTTTTAAAGATCTAAGCATACATAGGGACAGACAGACAGTGGGAAGTGACTTTGTTTTATACTATGTAATGATCTATATAATATATCTGTTTGCACCTAGGAATGGACCCGAGCGAAGCGGGGATAAGTTGTTAGTACACTATATGCTGCGGAATGTGAATAGTGTATCTATATTGCTGACGTATATACGTCCCGTTAACGTTTAAACATTGACAGACCATACTCCTTAAACAAATATTTATCATCTACATGACGAAACCACACGCTGCTTACGGAATTAAAATTTTTATTCTTTTGCACTCAGTGCTATTCCGCCCATATCCTCAGTGATCATCTATACTAATATTATAAAGAGGTAAAGTTTGTGAGTTTGTGACGTTGTAGGGGTTAATCTCTGGATCTACTGAACCGATTTAGATGAAACTTGGTAAGAAGATAGTTTGAGACCTTGGAAAGGACATAGGATACTTTTGATCCCAAAAATCAATCTTTAAGGGGGTGAAAATGGAGATGAAGGATTGTATGTGGAATCAACCTACGGAAGAACCCGATAAATCCAGACTCGTTACTCAATGGTTAATAAAGGCCAATCGTTGAAAATTAAGCTCATATTAAAGCCTCGCATGCTCGTACAATGGAACACGCGTCTATCTATCACTATCTACATTGCCGGTGGCTGCATTCTAGCATGGGGCGAATCGCGAATGTTCATTTTGGTTTTATATGTATCTATAAAGCCTTGCCTTGGTCTACTTAAAAACACTGTTGCAATATATACCGCTACCTAAAAAACAGCGTACTACATAATAGTAAAATAATACATGAATTTTATGTGTATGACTCATATAAAATTGTGCAAACATACATTATTGTATTAAGAAGACAAATAATAATACATTGCAATACGCTTACGTGAATCATACGTAATTGACGCAGGACTAAATTCCCAGTCAGTAAATGCCCCTGGAATGCCTAATAAACTAAGTGTTCATTTTTTACCTGTTAAGTGTTAAAGTACCTATACCTATTTTCAGTCAATTTCAATTTATTTCTAATTAAATATAGGACCAGTAAAACCTTCAAATTAGTTTTGTCAGATGCATTTCGACAAATCCCACAGATAACAGTTGATCAAAAATTAAATTAATATTTAAAATTCCGGATAAGTACGAGTCGAACTCGGACACCGAAGGTTTTGTAAAAAACTGTAGGAACTTTTTAGAAACTTTAATTTTAAACTTTTTTTTATTTTTTGGAATTTCTCCTTTATTTGTGCTGTAAGTAAGACCTTGCTTTTTGCCAAATTTCATGTTTCTTGGTTAACGGGACCATATAGGTTTTCGACCCAAAACCTATATAGGGTACTTCCGGTTGACCTAGAAATGTCAATTTTGGTTAAAAGCAAGAACCCTAAAAAAACTAAAATTATTACTTTCTTACAATTACGCGAATATTTGACATTTTAAACAAAATTATATTTTCGGATGATTACGCGGATCTATTTTGATATTTGGTTCCCGACGCGGACGATTCGGACGAATTACAAAAGCATATTATTAGAGATTACAAAGAGAATGATCAAAAATTAGGTACTCACTACTCACATTTACATGACGTGCTGAATGGTCGTGATGAATCCGCTTATCTAATGTCACATTTGAACATAGATAGATAACGTGCAACAATTTATTCTCGCATTACTCTCACAGATTAAATTTATCATGGCTTAACTAGCTAGCTTTGCTAATATAGGTAATTCGTCAACTTACGTTTTTAGTAAGAAATGGAGGAAACTACGAACTGAACGAAACTGTTCTTGTTACATAACGAATCCTCGAATCACAGAACCTAATTCATAATAGTAAGTCCACATGTTAAGTTAGCTCAAATAATTATCTAGAGTCTAGACTTATCTCAGCTAGTCACGTGACCAGGAATATTTGAACACGCTACATAATTATTGAAGGATGAATAATTGGAAATTAAAAATTAAAAAAAAAAACTCCTACACAAATTGTCATTTAACGATTACACTGGCACGCGTGGAGCACTTAATCGAGTAATCATACGCCAAAATGTCTTCCATCAGTTTGGAAAAGAGCTGATACTCTTACACTGCTGGACGGATATTAACCAAACATAGCTAACAACCACCGCAAAGAAACTGGCTTTCAAATGAAAAAAACCGCATTGAAATCGGTCCATCCGTTTGAGAGTTACGATGCCACAGACAGACAGACATCGATGTCAAACTTATAACACCCTTCTTTATGCGTCGGGTGTTAAAAAATGGCGCTCTATGAAGAACAGCTGGTTTACACCGACTAATAAAATCTTTCCCAATAATAGCGAATCTCTTTTTATTAAATCAAGTGAGTGTTCCTACGTGTTGTTTTATCCTCGTTTATAAATCATTAACGTCAATGCCACGCTTTCAGCTTACCTATTATTATTATTATACGATCAAACCTAATAGAGACTAATATTCGGTTTTTACCAATGAAAGGAGATTATTTTTTAATCAAACCTGCACTGACAGAGCCTTACTTTTTAGTAACAACAAGTTAACCTAAATAATAAAAAGATAGGCTTTAGACATTTTATTTATTATTGATTAATATTTATATATAATTATAAGTAGCATAAATAAATGAGAAAAAAAAGACACAACACAACTTTCTAATGTGATTATTATATTGTGACGTTTCTTAGTATAATTGTATAACTACGTATAAAAAACGCAATGGACACTTGCGTAACTCGTTGAATAATTACAATTTATGCAAAATTACCTAGTTTTATCAATCAAAGTTAAGTAAATGCATTGTTTTTTATTTAATGTTATAAAAGCTATTCTTTTTCATAATAACTCTTTTTAAAAATATATTCATATGGCGTAGTTGCGTTTGCCTGTACATCGTAGGTAGCGGATTCGAATAAGGCGTTGAAATATTTGTATTGACTTTAGAAGTAGTCATATAGCTTAAGGGCACTCGATATATTAATAATTAAACGTATTAGACCTGAAAACCTCAAATATTTCATATATTTATGTTCTATCAACAGTTTGCAACGACCAACTTACACACAGCCGAAAGGGGCGCACGGTGATGACAGAAGACGAGAGGTACGAGGCCGTCCGACACTGCAGATATGTTGATGAGGTATGTCATATTATTATATTTCAAGACAATTTATATATTATTATTATTATTTTAATATAAAACTCTAGTAAGTTTTCCTATATCACTTGCTCATATGAGTTTTTTTTTTATTTTAAAAATGAAATAGAAATGACAGAAATTATATTTTTATTTTACATCCTCAATTTTTTAAAGTTATACTTCTTTTGGAACGTTTGAAAAAATTATAAGAGTAAAATTTTTAAGATGCGCGCGCACACGAACAGCCAAAAAGCGACATGATGAAGTTAGCTGAATTCCTTTTAGAAACAGAGAGTTGTGACATACGGGATGAAACCTCCAAGCTATTTTTGTTCTGTTACGCCAAAGAAGTATAACTTCTACGTGCGTACATAAGTACACACACACTTTTTTATTTGAATAAATTAGTTTTAAATAGTTATCTAAATTAGTAATTATATTTGCTATTAGCAGAACACAAAAACTACCGTGGAAAAATGAATTAATAAGGAGTAGTTACGTAGGAATTTTACGAATATTTTTGCATATTAATATGGGTTTGTCATTATACATATATAAAAATACCCGATAATGTTTGCAAAAAAAAAAAATTGTTTGACCTTGTGTTTAATTTAAATATTGTGCTAAATTAAATATACAAGGAGACATAACGTGTTTTCACCTGAAGTGTTACGCTGAAACCGTCAAACAACAATTTCACATTATGTCACTAATTGGAGTGTCACACGCTATATATAGAACTCGGGTAGAAAAAAATTGTTTTTAGAACACCTATATACAACACTAGGCCACGGCAATTCTCCAAACTGCTAATTTCGTTAATTTTGTTATTCAGTACATACTAAATGAGTCCTTTTTAGTTTGCACTAAACGTTTTGAGAAAGAATGAACCTCTAACCTGCATAGGATATATTAAACATAAGATAAAACCTTTAGTTAAGATAAATAAATTCCACTATGATAATTAAATCCCAGATACGTGATACAATTATATTGTGAAACGTAAGTGGGATTATGGCACACCGCATCAATACCTTTCGAACGACATAAGTTAAGAGCAATAACCTTTTGTAATAAAGTAAATACTGAAAAAGTATACATTTTTCGAATTTTAATAATAATCAATAAAAATAATTTATGAACTAAAACTTGTACTTTATGAGTGAGCAGAAATAAATGCGAATATTTTATTTAAAAAAAGAAATAAATTCAATATACTGCAAAAAATGCAAGGACGATCTATTTGAGAATTTCCAGCGCATCCATGCGATAAGCATGAACATGCTTTTTTTATAGTTAGAAATATTTTAATTGCTAAATTGGTTCATTTTATTTGATAGAGTTAGAGATAAGGTATTTTATATGTTAATCAAGATATTAAAAATTTGTATTTTTTCTCTGCTAACAAAAAAATAACATTATATTCAAATATGTAAATAAAAAATATATTAGATAAAACTATTATAATTTTATATTATTGTGTAAAATAATAGATATTTATTTTATTTTCAATTTTTCATTTAAGGTAGTACGAGACGCGCCGTGGGAGTATGACGAAGATTTTTTAGAGAAACACAAAATTGACTTCGTAGCACACGACGACATCCCGTACACGACTGAAGACTGCGAGGACACATACGCTATGATCAAGGCCAAGGACATGTTTGTCGCTACAGAGAGGACGGAAGGTAAGTTAGCTGCTCTATTTCATAATTTGTACATATTATACAATATACATAATGCATATATTATACTCGCACGTATCTTCTAAGGCAGTGGTAGCCCATGCGTCTCGCACCTCTGATATTTTCATGTGCGAATCATTTCCAACAAGATTAATACTTGTCTTACGGTAAAGTAAAATATCGTGAGAAAACCTGAAAGCACCTAGCAATGTGAAATACATGTGAAGTCCGCCAATCCGCACTTGGCCAGCGTACATAAAATTTTATTTTCCATCATGTCATTACGATTATTTATAACATTTGATAGATAATAATTAATAAGTATAAATATTTTTATGACTAAGTACTTTAGGTACATAGTTAATAACTGGCATTATGAGATTATGGAGTGATATGCGATTCGGAATTATCGTAGATTTTCAAAGATATAGGTAATTGCCATAGAGTGATTTATTATTTATTTACTTATTTTATTTATTTTTTATATAATAAATGAATGTTCCATTTTAAATGTAACTATCTTTTCGGATTATTGCGCGGATTTATTTTAATTTTTGGTTCATGCGCTGGAATGCTTTACAGCAATCATGGTCACGGGAGAGACTAGGGTAAAAGAGAGGCTGTAAAATGTAACGCATATGAAACGTCAGGAATTAAAAATCAAAATAAATCGGCAAGATAATCCGAAAAGATAGTTTTATCTAAAATGTCAAATATTCGCGTAAATCTAAGAAAGTATTATTGAATGTTCCATATTATGTATTGATATTGAATTAAAAGAACACAAAAAGTGTCTTATGTAACAACTAGAGCAGCAGTTCTCATATCTAAATAATACATTTATGTAATTAATAATTATAGATATTAATTTTATACACACCGTCGATCAGGAAATACTCAAATTTTCCTTTTAAAAAGCAAGAACTTCATATAAAATATAATAATTATATTTTACAAACATCGTCGACTATAAAACACTTGAGCTTATACAATAAATATTAATAATAATTGTTAAACTTTGAAATATGCTAATTTCAATTGACGTCGTTCTAAAAATTGTCGCCTAAAGTTGAAGGTTGCCCAATACGCAGGTAGTGTAATTTTAGAATCCTTCATTGTAAATGACGTTCCGCGCTGTGAATTCACTTGATATCTGAGTCAGTCATTCCAATAATGGATAATTTTGCCATGCAGAAAAACTTTGCTATTGTTTTTTTTTTAATTGAAAATAAGTTTTATGATATGCTTCAAGTTTAATTTTAGATCTAGAGTTACGTTATGTAACAAAGTAAATGGAAAGAAACTTGATGCTATCTACATAAATACAAGTAGGTACATTGTATAATACGTATACAAAAAGTAACATTGAAATCTTATTCTTTTATTCTCACGTAACTCGTGCGCATACGTACAGTCAAAAAATCGACTTCTCCAAAGAATAACATTCAGGGCTGGATTATGGATATAAGGCAGTGTAGGCAACTGGCTGGGGGCCCTCCGAAAGAAAATTTGAAAGAGTTTGAAAAAATACATAGAAAAAAAAACTTTAATTTGATAAATTAAGTGAAAATTTCCCTATGTGAACAAATGCAACAGTAATATTTCTATGAAATCTACCTAATAGCGTGAGAGAAAAAATGTATTTCAATAAGTTGGAAAAGGGTGAAGAGGCCTTGAGAATTTCCTTGCCTAGGGGCTCCCGACATAGTTAATTCGGCCCTGACGAGATGATAACAATTGAAAAATAGAATTTAATTTCTCATTTAATTTATCTGATACATTTGAAGACCAATTTAGGATTGCTACAATGTCGAATTGCAATGTTATTCTATGTAAGAATCGAATTATTTCTTTGAATAAATAGTAACTTTGATCACATTACCGCTTTGTCTATGGACAGTAGTGGGGCAGATGAAAAGTCTTTATATTAAACATGACATATTACAAGCAATTATTATATTTATCGTAGAATTATATAATAACTCCCCCCTCCCCTCCTCCTCCTCTCCTCCCCTGGCGATCTGATACTAAATAAAACTAAATAAAGTAAAACTATCGTCTATTTATTAGTTAAAGCGTTAGCTTGTCCAGACTTCATAAAGCAAGTTATTTATGGCAGCATCGATTAATCAGCATTGGGTTATCTGGCACTTGATGACACGACCTAGACTTAGTTATATTCTGTAAACATATGTACACATTCAGGGAAATGTATCGATAAATTAGTTACGAAACAGTAATGCAAATTATAAAATCTACATTCTAAATGAAAAAATTACCTGGATTTATACTATTATAATTCACTGTGCTTTAATCCCTTCACGACCGCGGACACGCCGGTGTGTCAGTTAACAATAGATTTCTTAGAGTTTTAATTAATTTCTTAGAAATTTACCTGGAGGTGTTATAAGAACTTTTTCTAACTTACATTTTAATATCAATTTAATATATTATTATCCCGAAATAACTCAACTGAATAAGGAGTAATCATGTAGAAATATAGCGATAACTTAGTTTTCTAATCTAAAAAAAATGAGCTTTCCACATACAAACTCACATACATAACCATTTTGGTGGCGATAATAATACATAAATATATTATTATTATAATTGACATGGTGAATTAAATACAAAATATAATATTGTTCCAGGTGTTTCAACGTCAGACATCGTAGCGCGGATAGTGCGGGACTACGACATCTACGTGAGGCGGAACCTCGCCAGAGGGTACTCGGCCAAAGAGCTCAACGTGTCCTTCCTAAATGAAAAGAAGTTCCGGTTACAGAATAAAATGGACGAGCTCAAAGACAAAGGAAAGAAAGTAAGTGTTTGTTTTGTTTTATTGACCGACTTCAAAGAGGAGGATATACATAATATACCCATTTCGGGTATAGTTCGATGCAGACTTAATGGCGGCTTGTACATTAACTGCGAGCGCAGATGCGCAACGTTTCGTCCTCTAAGCCCCGCTGAACCTAATATTTCGTTCTGCGCATCGGAACGTACGATGTGGAGAGCCGCCAATTGTTTGAATCGTACATGGTTTTTGTTTGTATTTTAACTGATAGGTATATTCGCTAATAAGTAATCTATATAAATAAAAATGAATGTTGGTAAGCGCATAACTCAGAAGTCAGAAGAATGGCTGGACCAATTCGGCTAAATTTTTTTTCGTATGTCCCTTAAGGTCTAGGGAATGTTTTAATAAAGAGAAAAAATGAAAAATTAACAAAAAAAAATAATTAAAATTTATATAGCTAACCCTGGCTAATAACTATTTATATATATTTAAAACGTACCTAGCGACGAACCCGAGCAAAGCGAGGGTGAGCCGCTAGTAATGATATAAATTAAAACTATCCATTTCTAAAGGTGGACTAATTACTTTTTTAAATAATTTGGAAGTTGATGTACCAATTTTAGTAAAAAATAATTATGTTATTCAAACCTCCCTAACAGATAGTTTACTTTACGACATCTCTTTCGAGAAAATCACTTGATAAGTACAGTTAGTATCCTATCCTACTCTCCTATACATTAATTGTCTCTGAGCAAAAACATATGTCGATTTGTCATTTGATTACTAAGTGAAAGAAGGCCAAACCAGTAAATAGACCTTTTCTTTCATAATATTAAGTGTATGAAGACACCTGCTTTTATATTTGTCAATATTTTGTAACAGCATTAGCACATAATTTATCACTCGGAGATAATAACTGTGTACAGTGTGATATATGATAATATACTTACTGATAAAGCTGTTGCCAAAAAATTATATCTTTTAATAACATATGACGTTATTGCGTTTTTGTTAAATGAATGATAAATTATTTTATAAGGTAGGTCTTAGTAGGTAATAACATTAGAATTATTTTAGAATTTTATATATTGGATATTTTAGTCGATTTTTTTCCATATCACACACAATATTCTTGACGCACAAAATCACAGCTAGAACACAAAACGTGTGTAATCAGATTAAGAAATGGATGTACGTAAATGATTGTCACGTCCATAACGCTTTTAGAAAATTAAGTGTCGAATGTAACGGACATGGCCATATACAGTCGCAATTAGTAGAACCATGGCTGTAGACGATAGTCTTGTTATGGAAACCAATCGTACTTAATGAAATGTAACAAATTTGTTATTATGGATACATTATATATTATGTATCTACCGTGGGAACGAAGCCACGGTGAAAACTAGTTAGAAAATTTGAAAATACTTCTATTTTTCGGGTTTTTTCCGCGGATATCTTTTTGGTTCCCGACGGTTATCATGGTAACGGAAGAGATTGGTTTTAGACGTCTCACCTTTGACTTTTCGTTAAATAATTGTTCATTAGATAATAGTTACAGACAGTAATACCTTTGAAACATCTAAAACCTTAGTCTCTCCCGTTACCATGATTGCTGTAAAGCATTCGAAACGTCGAGAACGAAAAATCAAAATAAATCCGCAAAAAAAATCCGAAAAGATACGTTTTATTATAAAATATCAAATATGATGATGTTCTCCTGACCGATTCCGGCCACGGCGGCCAACCTCATTGAGACTAGCCAACTGCACAGGAGATATTATAGTGCACAAGTGTACGCGCAGACACAACGTGCACTCTCTATTCCTGTCACTCTCATACTCCGGTGAAACGACTATTCGACACGACCAGTGAGAGTTAAGGCGCAGGACCGACGGCTTTACGTGCTCTCCGATACACGGGGGTGAAACACCGCCAACTTCCTAACTCCGGACTATTACTGAGTCTTACTATACATAAAGACTCAATAACTAAACTTGGCCCGACCCGGGACTTGAACCCCGGACCTCTGGGTGTGCAGCCGTATATGCTACCCACTACACCACCGAGGCAGTTTTAAAAAAAATCAAATATACGCATAAATCTAATAAAGTAATCGTTACAAATATATAATGCACATTTCAACGCTATTATCACCAGGTAATGACAAACATAGGCGAGAAGCGAGTGGATATACTAACGAAATGGGAGGAGAAGTCGCGCGAGCTGATCGACGCGTTCCTGCTGCTGTTCGGGCCGGACGGGCGGCTGTCCAACATCTGGAACGAGTCGAAGGGGCGGCTCATGCAGGCGCTGAGCCAGCCGCCGTCGCCGCGCGCGTCGCCGCCGCCCAGCGACGCGGACGACGCGGATGACGGGGACGACGCGGACGCGGACCACTCGCCCACGCATAGGTCAGTTCAATCTTCACTATACCAACTACCACACTATAAAATCCTTAATTTTTGAAGTTATACTTCTTTTAGCACGTTTGGAAAAAAATATGAGAGTGAAATTTTTACGATGCGCGCGCACACCGACAGCTAAAAAGCCACATAATGAAGTAAGCTGCATTCCTTTTACAAACAGAGTGTTGTAACATGCAGAATGAAATTTTTAGCTATTTTTGTTCTGTTACGCCAAAGAAGTATAACTTCTTACCTGCGTACATACTCGTAAGTACACGCACACTTTTTTTTCAATTCAATTTTAGTTTTAATTTCTTTATAATGGACCAGAGCTACAGTTTTTTTACGAATTGATTTTGACCCACCTTCGTTGACGACGTACATCGATTAAATATCAAAAAAATAAAAACCGACTTCAAACAAAAGCACTAAAAAGTAAAAAATAACTTATTGGTAGTTTACATTTACTATACATACCTAATCAAATATTTTCGACGTCGGTGTGCTTTGCTTTGTACGGGCTGGCACCGATTTCGAAAATATTTGATTAGGTATGTATTTAATAGGTAGGCTTTAGTTACTTAGCCAAAGCACACCGACTTCGAAAATATTTGATTAGGTATGTATAGTAAATGTAAACTACCAATCAGTTATTTTTTACTTTTTAGTGCTTTTGTTTGAAGTCGGTTTTTATTTTTTTTGTTAAAAAGTTTTAAGCTATTGCATAGCTTCTATCGCGGGCCTTTAACGTGGGGACCGAATCCAGAAATTCCGTAACGAAAAAACCTGACTGTGATACTTTTTAGTTTTTCCATCTATCGCTAAATACCAGAACTTTTAATGACTTTTTGAAATATCACGCTTGTCTCTTTAGCTCAGCAACCCGCCTTTAGGTGGCATTGGTTGTATTGGAAAACTATCGTAATCAGCTGTTTGTGAGAAAGTATATAGGTGTATAGGTATTTATCATCTATGTACAACAGTGAATATCTGTACGCGTATAATTTGTGTACAAAGTGTTTTAAATATGAATAAACAAAGTGCATTTATTAATGAAGAAAGTCAAGGAAAAAAATACTGCATTAATAAAATAAATAATTATAATTGCATAAGTTGATAAAAAATGCTATGCAATAGCTTTAACGCGGCAGTCTCCGAGTGCCACATTAATTTTTTTTATTTTTCCCTTTTTAGTCTAGACAGTAGTAGCAAAGTAAGAATTCTTACGTGTTAGGCTTGTCAAATCAAACAAAATAAGCCCAAACTCAAAGTATCTACTATTAGCCGTTGAAGAGTTCCACCTATCCACCTTCTGGCCTTACCATCAGATCAGGTCAACAATACCGAACCACTGTACTATCAACGGAAATAGAAACACTTGCAAAGTTTCAAGTCAATATGACAATTAGAAGTAGGTTAAATTCACCATTAGCTATTTTTCCACCCTTAGGAGTGGTATTTTTTTTTTGAAATGTAAATGGGACCAATCTGGAAGTATACACTTTCAAACAACACAAAAATTGTCCAAATCGGTTAATAAATGACGGAGTTCTGAGGTAACAAACATAAAAAAAAATACAGTCGAATTGAGAACCTCCTCCTTTTTGAAGTCGGTTGAAAAGTACAAAAAAGTACTAGATACACAATCCTAAGCAAAAGTTCTCTTAAAACTGTCAACGCTGCTGTTTAGGTAATTAAATATTCCAGTTGAAATAAATATACAACAATATAAATTAAACCTTAAATGCATTGCTTAAAGTTGTTCACACAAAAAAAAATAAAGCGCGCTCAAATGTTCAAATGAGCGCTTATTCGGTGAGAACATTATTTGTCGCTGATTATGTATCTAAATATTTTTGATCGATGTTAGATGACTACATTATGTAACTGTTCTACTATTATAAATTAATTAACTGCCTCGGTGGTGTAGTGGCTAGCATGTACGGCTGCACACCCGGAGGTCCTGGGTTCGAGTCCCGGGTCGGGCCAAGTTTAGTTATCGAGTCTTTCTGTATAGTAAGTCTCAGTAACAGCCCGGAGTTGGGAAGTTGGCGGTGTTTCACCCCCGTGCCTCGGAGAGCACGTAAAGCCGTCGGTCCTGCGCCTTAACTCTCACCGCGAGTGTCGAGTGGTCGTCCCATCGGAGTATGAGAGTGATAGGAATAGAGAGTGCACTTGTGTCTGCGCGTACACTTGTGCACTATAATATCTCCTGCGCAGTTGGCTAATCTCAATGAGATTGGCCGCCGTAGCCGGAATCGGCTAGGAGAACATCATCATCATCATTATAAATACGAAAGTTTGTATGAGTGTATGTATGTTTGTTCATACTGCTGGGCCGTTTTCCTAACTTATTCTGAATAAGGTTTTAAAAAAAAAACGAAATATTGCCGGGAAAATTGGAAAAAAATCAAAAGTGCTTTTCACGACCAAAATATGAATTTCGACAGAACCACGTTTAAACATTCTATTACAAGCTAGTTTAAGTATATTATTAGACTGTTGATTGAAAATTCATTCCATTATTGTCATTGCAGAGGGTCCGCATCACCGCCGCCGCCCAAGTCACGCCGCTGCGACGCGCTGTGGGAGCTCGAAGCAGGTAACTGGGTAATTATTTGTAGCTTTCTTAGCTTCATACAACTAACTATACATTATATCCCCATAACACATCGCGCTATCGCATGTCTAATATGCACGCAAGAATGTTGTTTTAACATAGTATGTTACAGATATTAAACGAATGTAATAATGCAGTGTAGATTGTTCGAGTGTCAAATGTAAATATTTCAATATTACCTTTTTATAACACATTATTTTTTATTAATGTAATGATACAAACCCCGTTTTCCAATTACAGAGCATAATGTCGCACTTTGGCACACAAACACGAACAACGCGAAAAAACACTTCTTATATTTTCTGCTATTGAGTTGGTTGATCACGCAAAATCAGTACTTTTCAAAGTGCTTGATTGTGCGGAGCGTTACTGTAATTGAAAAATTCGAAAATGATAATTGTACCGCATAATGCGCTTTAGTTCTGTAATTGGAAAACGCCCAAAAGTAACTTAGTAGTACATATTAATACTAATGTGAAGAACGAAATTTTATGGGCCGTTTTATAGTTAGTGCTACTAAACAACAAATGTTTTTTGGCTAAATAGTGCAAATGTAGGTCTTCATCTAAGGGCTTATGCGCACGATGTATATATCTATATATAGAGCGCACCGAGCTTTTTATTTTAGTAGGACGAAAGCGGGCAGGGGGGTGTAGCTAGGATGGACGGAAGCGTGCGAATTTAATTTTTACTATTAAAAAAAATACACATTTGGAAAATGTTAATTATATACGATATAGAAAACATATAGTTTTGTTATAATTAAAAAACTGATGTACTTCCTTGAATTATTTACGCCGCACTAAGGGGTCTATTTTGTTTTATAGAGATCATTTTGAATTTTTTTTTCTATCGAAGAAACTACAAACGATCGTGTTTCTAAACTGTACGATTTATATAATAAATCCTAAAATATCCTACATATTAATTACATAATTAAAGTTTTAGTAATAACAATACAGCGAGAGATCAAACGAACGCAATTATTTCGTAATTGCCTCGGTGCGTCCTTAAGGTTTAGCCAGCGTTAGACATGTAAATTTCTAAGAGCAACTCGATAGAACCAGTTATTGTGATATCCCGTGGGAATAAAAGATTTTCCTGTAGTTTTTGCGAAACAGAAAAACATTTTAATATCGTTTTGGGGTCTTTATTCAGTACACAATACGTTACAGTAATTGTTTTTAAAAAATATTCCATGTACAGATTTCGCTAAGTTACTGTTTTATTATACAGATAAAAATATGATTTTAGATTAAAATGCTATTGAAAGTTAATTTGTCGTAGATGAATCGAGCTCTGAACGCATGGGGCGCTCAGAAGAGGCCACACAGCGCCAGCTGACGGACGACGGCTCGGACAGCGACGAGGAGTATCAGGACACCAGCCCGTACCTCTAGGGCTCACCGAGCGCCTGTATCTGTATACAGTATGTGCATATCTACGGTGTACCACGTCCGTCGTCCATACCACATCGAAGCGCGAGACGCGCTGCATTTCTCAACAATTACCGTATTAAATTATTTTAAATCTAGTGTATGTCACGGCTTGAGTTGTATGTCTACCAAATAATGAGTGAATGTATTTAATCCTATTAGTTATAATCATATTTTATTTATAATTTTGTTTATTGTAAATTTCGTCGGAAATGTTTGCAGGATGCCTGCTGATGTGTTGGCACCACAAGTGGGTGCAGAGAGTATGGGACAGATATTATTTGTATAGTACTTTTTGATGGTTGATTAAAGAGGTGCTTATATATTATGCTTGGTTTCTTTTTTTGTGACCCTGAACGTTTTTGATAAATATGTTTTGTTAAATTCTTAGGTCCTTTCATTTAGTCCATAATTTTTTTTTATAGATACTTGTTTAAAATAAATTTATTTAATGTTTTTACTCAATTTAATGAAACAAACAAATTATCTTATCCTTGTTAAATTTCACTTCAAACAAAAACGTTTATAGTGCACAATGTAGTGTGTGGATTTGTTAAATATTTAGTGTACTACAAATTTTAGCAGAAAATTCTGTCAGCTTTTTAAACTGCCAATAGCATACATACAATGTAAGAAATTGCAAAAATATGTAGGTGTCAGATACCTATATCTTCTGTTCTTTATACTCTGAAACATAACTGTCCCTTTAACACTTACAGAGTGCTAGTTTCTTCATATTTTGTATATAGTGACATTTTTTATTCATTTATTTTAAAATTTTCATGTATGAAAATGGTATAGGATTCCCTTAAATAAAAATTGATGAGAACAACAAATTCCACAAAGAAATATTTTAGATATTATCTAAATACTCATAAATCTAACACAATTACCTACAATATATTTTTAATTTCTCATGAATTGCCTTTTGCATCTAAAAAATATGGGCAGAGTGTACTTGAACATAGTTTAGAAGTAACTAAAAAAGTATCCCAAAAATAAATAAATTTATTATAACATTTTTTTTTAAATGTTTTCTTATTGTAATCAACTTTCTGTTTTATCTTTGAAATATACATTATTTTCTGTGGATAAGTATTAAAGTAATTAAAAAACATTAGGTACCTATTATTTAAAATGCAAGCTTAATTTTAATGCACTTTACGTGAGGTCAACAATTGTCAAAAATAATCACATTTATAATTGAGTAAGGAAGTATAATATTATTAAAATCAGTACACTGTAACAATTAAATGCATCATTAGCTATATATTTGCCATATCAAATAACAATTAACTTCTTAAAAATATGTATGATTACATATAATCAACACAAACAATGCTTAAGAATAATTTCACACACATAATCTATTTATATAAAAATCTATTGCCATTCATTAGTCTCACTAAAACTCGAAAACGACTGGACTGATTTGAATAAGTCTTTTTTTGTTTTGTTGGTGTGTCAGGGGTGGTTAAAGTATAAAAAAAAATAGGAGAAAGCCCAAAAGACAGCTGAAAAATTGAAAAGTTCAGAACTATTTATTGTGTACTTATGTTTATATAATATAGTCTATCTATTCCATACTAACTGTTAAAATGTATCTAGGGATCAACCTGAGCAAAGGAAGTTGAGTAGCTAGTTAATATGATACTTAACCTTATGCTATTATACATTTATTGTTTACTTACTGACACACACTGAATAATAACTTCACATATAAAATCTATCAGATATCATAGCTTATAATGTCATCATTAAACCACAAGAGTTCATTAAAATCTTGAATTATCATAAGTACTACAAATCTTCTCGTACGCTTGTGTCACCTTTAAACTCCTCAAATAGACAAGAGTTGTCTGTATTTTTCAAAGCATGTTTTGTACACAAATGATGTTTTAAATCTATTTTTCCTTGAAAATTCCAATACCAATCTTCAATTGCCATTTCATTTTCCTCTAAGAGACTTTCACACTGGGTTTTCATCTGTGTTATTTCTGCAGATGGCTTATCCCAAAGTTCTAGAGGGATACCTAAATCAACCTTCACACCTTTATCCACAAGTCCATGAAGAGTCTTAAACGTTTGACTCATACCTTTAGCAAATCTTGTACTGTCCTGGCGTTCTTTATGTATATTATACTCTAAAATTTTGTCGCATACACCTTCTAAGGATTCTATAAGCCGCAGTTCCGACTTTTCATATTTCGTCTTCTTTTTAGGTTTTACGTCATCTAACGAGTATCCAATTTCAATTACATCGTGAATTTTACCAGTTTCTTCTAATCTTCCTTGCAATTCAGTAGCTAATATTTTGCACACTTCACAACGATTTGCATATTTGACACCTAAATCTTCTTCATTTTTTACGTCAATATCATTACTACATAAAATAAAAGTTATACAAAGTAAAAGACAAAATGCTACATGCCGGGAAGCCATGTTTTTGTTGAATCCAACTTTTAAAATGAATAAGTGTTATTAGTTAGTCTTGTTATATATTAAAATAAAGTAGTTTATTTGGATTTATCTTCAAAATTATGTACAGGCAAATATTATATTTTTGTAGGCACTTTTATGTAAAAAAAAAACCGATGTCATTGCACTTCACACTCACAGTTCATGACTCATGTTATCTGACATCTGTAAGCTGTCAATACTCAATTGTCAATTATCATCTGTCTACTCTGGTACCTCTACTGTCTATGGGTATTTCTCCGAGATTGCGTTCTTCGTCTGATTCATCTGGCCAAAAATTATTTCCACTTTTGGCTCTATTCAACATACTCTTACGATTAAAGACAAGCCAAATAACATATATTTGAATTACGCACTCATTTTAATCAAATAATTTTGGAGATATTTAACTTGAAATTTTTAGGGCCCATATGAATCAAAATTCGTGACAGATGAATCAGAAACAGGAATAAAAACAAAAACCAAGTCTTTACAATATAATATTACTCTTTTTTTTATAAATTATAACTTTTTTTATTATTTATGAATTTTATAATAATAATAAATCTTTATGTCGGAACACTTTTCCATACAATGTGAAAAGTAGGTGAATCAAACTAAAATTAAATAAAATAAATACAAAGGTTTCCTACAACGTGTACGTGACTATAGGCCTTAAAGAATGTAATTTTAACCTAGTCTGTACACGCAGCAAATCTACGGGCCAACATGTTTCCACGTATCGGCAACGCTCTACGTTCCCTCTCTATGTCGTCCTCATCTGTTAACATTTCATTTACTAAATTTACAATTTTATAATACGATCAAGCTTAACATTATTTAGAACAACGTTAGGTACATAGCCAGATCCATTTTTATTTTTAATTAAATACCATAGTTACTGATGTTTTTACTTTTTTTTTTATTAAAAGTCAGCCCTATTTGAAAACTGAAATATTTGTAATGCGAAGATTATATTTCCCTAGTTACATGAAAATCAAAAGATTATTGCAGAAATTAAAAATACAAAACCAAAAAAAAAATTAAAAACAGAGTTTTTTGCTAATATCTCGAAAAGTTTGGATTTGGTTTGATTTGGTTATTGTAAAGTGTTTTTTATAAAAGTTGTAGATTTTTACTGCAGAGACCTACCTTAAGCAGGAAATTGAAAAAAATCTACTTTTTTAACTCTTTGCATCCCCCCATTTCTCATCTAATTTTACGACTTTCTATTCCTTATATCGGCTAACGTTTTAAAAACATTAAAATTCAGGTTTTAATTTGTTTGTTCCCAAACCGGATTCCGATTAGACTATATTAATTTCATTTAGTTAATATATTTCAAACAAAGATAAATCCGAAAAGATACCTAGTTTCAACTTTTATTTAAAATTACTTAAAAATATAAAAGATAAAATAGTCGAAACTTGTTTTTTTTTTTATTTTTTTTCAGGAGAATTTGTGGGGAATCAGTACATTTTTGTCCTCAAATTGAAGAATTTGAGTTAGACTTTCGGGAAATTTGATAAATTGGTATTGGCAACGCTGATTATGTATAATCAATAATGTTTATTAGTAGGGGTGTGCGAATATCGTTTTAATTATTTCGATTATCAATATTCGATTCGAATAATTCGAATTATCCGAAATTCTTCGAAAAATTTCGAATAATTCGAAAGTTTTCGAATAATTCGCGAATTAATGAAATATCTCTGGATCTTCAATTGTATCCATTTAAATTCCTTCAAATCGTGTGTCAAAATAGTCTACTTACGAATAATATACTTTTCGTTTAAAAATCAATTACCCAGAGAAAACAAATGCTCATTTTTAAAACTTGCAATTAGGCATGGAACATTTCACGAGTAGCAAGTGAAAAATCACATGAAATGCGTTATCATACGTCACACCTGCTACTTAAATTCACAGTGACTGCTACAAATCACCATAAACTTTATAGTCGATTTTTGATTTTCTTCGGCTTGTGCAAATCGGCAGATTATTGAATTGGACACTTTTCAGGATGTGACTAGCCTACCACACCTTAATCTGACGGTTTCAAGTATTTCTACCTTATCAAAACATTTTTTAAATATTTTAATCGGCTTCCCTAGACGCGCCCCTTTATATAGAAGACTTATATTATGGTGAAAGTACTCAATAGAGTGCAAGGTAACCTCTTTTATGTTAATCTGCCGCGCTCGAGTAACTACAGAAAATCCCCTCTTGGGCTCCCCTACTAATACTTCATTTTAATAGCAAATAATATAAAGTGTGACACCAGACCGTCGAAATAAAAAATCATTGCCTGTGAAAAGTAGCAGGTGAAATCACGTGAAAAAATATACGTAATTTTATCATATGATAATGATTTAAAAGTAGCAATCATTTCCATGCTTACTTGCAATATATGTTTATTAGGGGTGTGCGAATATCGTTCGAATTGAATCGAATATCAGTATTCGATTCGAATAATTCGAACTTTCGAATTATTCGAAATTTTTCGAATTATTCGGGAACTTTCGAATAATTCGATTCGAGTTTCGAATCGAATATTGATATTCGATTTGGAACGAATAATTCGTAAGTTCGAATTATTCGCACACCCCTATTTATTAGTATATTAGATTAGCGGCTCACCCTCGCTCTGCTCGGGTTTGTCCCTAGTTACGTTTTAACGTTTAGTATAGATTTCTCAGAGATATTTTCCCGTAGTAAAAAGTATAATATATGTTGACCCGGATAGGCATTATCATCATATCAAATTTCATCAAACTCTGTCCAGTGGTTTTCTCGTGATGCGGTCACAGACAGACAGACAAAAATTCTAAAAACTATAGATTCTGCTTTTGTATCGATAATAATAACTATTTCAACAAGAGTTTTCCTAAAATATTTAATGTACAGATTCGACTCAGAATTTTATTATATGTTACATAGATAAATTTAACCCGCCATTGGTGACGTCAACTTTAGTTACATTCTTGTTATGACTACTTACCGGGATTTTCTACCAAAATTATTTTTAATTATTTTACATACAATTAGTTTACTTTTAAAAATGTTATTTTTTGATAATAAATGAAATATTTTATCTATCATAGTTTATTTTACAATTTAAATTTATTTAATTATTTCATACTAGCATTGCCCGCGGCTCCGCCCGCGTTCAGATGACCAAAAACTAAATTCTTAGGTGTTACATATTAGTATACTCTTACATTGCAGTTTTTGTATTTTTCCTCAGAAATAAGATATTTTCCCGCGGTAAAAAGTATCCTAGGATCGCGCGCTACATCGCCCGGTTTATATAGCTTGAGCAGGCGGTCGAGCGATGCGGGGCAGAGGGGATGGACTCGCCGTAGGCATCTCAATGCTCGCCAAGCATTAAAAATGTTTCGCTACTAATTACTTCTAACAACGATATCTCAAAAACTATTCATCTGATTGATTTAGTGTAAAGAGCAATTTTAATCTGCATTAAATGACTAAGCTAACTAAAATATTCATTTGGATAAGGATTAATACCGAACTAAAGAAAATAACTTTGAAAATAACGTAATGTTTTTAATTAAAAATGTTAACATAAAAGTGGTTATTGTAAGTCAACCGTAAGAGATAGAGATATGCTATCGCGGACTTTTTTGTAGCATTTTTATAGATTTTGAATTCTCTAGTACATTACTTAACTGTATCTTTGCTAGTTTACGCGGCGTTCGCGTGGAAAGTTCCCATTTGGCGAGATTTTTTGCGACCTCTTCAACATTTGTCGCCGTATTTCAGCTAATTTACATAAAAGCATAATAAATTATATACCTAAACCTTCCTCAAGAATTACTCTTTCTATTGTTGAAAACCGTATAAAATCCGTTCAGTAGTTTTCGAGTTTATCGCGTACAGACAGACAGGAGGACAGACAGGAGGACAGAAAGACGCGGCCGGGGGACTTATTTTTATAATAAGTATAGATAGATAGATAAAACACAAAAAAATAACATGGGTGACTGACAGAGGATTGCAACCATACTGTCTGAGAATTGACAATGTCATTTCTAATATTATTCCTTATAAAATATACAAAAACTGAGCTATATACTTTAACAAATTTGAGGAGCAATTTTATACAGCTTTGCTACCTGTTACTTGCCAAAGCAACCATAAAGCAAGCTTCATAGTCAGGGACCATTCTTACCTGTTTTCAGCTTTTATAAAATAACGAAGGTCTGATCGCCGTGGGCTCTTGGGCTATTAGTAAAAAAGAACAATGAATGCTTGATTTTATTAATGATTTGATAATCCCCCTAAATTAATAACTTTGCAATTCATATGTCACTTGATTTTGCAACCAATTCAGCCATTCTGCATCCACAATTTTTTCTAAAGTTATTTCTTTAAATATTTCACTTCGTGATTTCTCAACAAATCCTAATTTATTAAACATTCTTACACTGATATCATTTGTAAAAGATATTTTTGCCTCTATTATTTTTAAATGAATGTATTTTATCCCGTATAATATCATAAGTATTACTGCTTCCCAACCAAATTTCTTGCTTCTTGCAGATTTTTCAGCTATCATGATCTCTATTTCTCCGATGCAGTTATCTTTGTCTAATAAAAATATATTCGTGTCTCCAATCATTGATTCTACAAACACAAAAAATACATTAGGCAGGGAATAATTATAAAAGATTATTGAAAATTATTTTATACATACCAATTTCATTTTCATTAGCTTCGTAAGTACTTTTGTCTAGAATAATAAAAGTACATTCTGTAAACAAATATTTATACTTGTAGAATTATTATTATTGTATTTATATTTGTTAAATTGATTTTTTTAGTAGTCAATAATTTATTAAAAAAAATATTTACTATCTTCATCTTCTCTCCAAGACTTTTGCATATTATATTCTTCTTCTAGTGTTAATGGTTCAGATGCTGTAAGTCTCTGTAATTCCTCAGATTTCATCCAATTATGATACCTAATAATAATGATTTTTTGATGACATTATAATATATTTAGATCTATATTTTAAAATAAAATTGCGACTTTATTAGAAATACTTGCTTCGGAACGTGAGAATCCATGTAAGGAACTAAAATGGTGTTTGAACCTATGATTTTAGTTCTTTCATTTATTTTCATTTTTCTTGTTTCTACTGTTAACTGTTTATCCACAAATAAATATTATGTACAATGTACATATTATTGTATCAATTGACACATAACACGTTAATATTATATCTGCGCCCGGTTAGCACAGTAGCAATATACTCTATGGGTTAGCACCATAGACGACAAATGTGTATGTATGTAGCAATATACTCTATGGTTTAGACTTTCTCAATTCTCGGTTCTCCGGACTCCCAGAGTTCCGACCCCATTTACAATTTAAAAAATAAATCGTCTGTTTATTATTCACCTGTGATTAGTATTCTTATTAGTCCTCCTCTCCTCCATGATTATTGATTATAGTTGTGGTCTGTTAAAGTGGCGTATTGGTATAATTATTATTTATCTCCGACGATGATATTGAGTGTTAACTGTTAATTAATAGGTAGTAAGTACCTACCTACCTAAAACTTGATTAGAAATTCACTCAAATCGTCTTTGATTAGAATGTTATGTTTGCTTTCTTCACAAAATAAGACAAAACCAAACTTTTAAAATAACTTTTTCTGTATAATTTCATCACAATTACTGGTTTATGTCGGATATTTACTGTTTCAATTACAAGTTTTATCAAGTCCAGTGAATCATAATGAATCAATATGAGACAGAACGTCGTCTTGGGTGGTGTTATGGTTTATTAACAGTCCTACTTGCAATATCAGTCATATGTATAGCAGTACCTTACAATCATTGGAGAGCTACTCTTGATGTTTGTCCTGGTAGTTGGCTTGAGAACTTAAGCTGTGGTTGTATATTCTATGGAGTAAGTACATTCCAGTACTTCAATGGAGGGCGCAATTCATATTGCCTTTATTCTATATTTGCACCTTTACCATTAATTGTGTATGCTCTGATAATGACTCTATTCCACATGTATAGAGTTTGTATTAACAATATTGGGCAATATGAAGGAGAGAAATCAACAACTGTGGAAGAAATGTAAGTATCTACTAATTAATTATAAACTTATTTTGTCTTAATATTTAGGACATTTAGTTATTTCTCCTGTTTAATACATATTTACAATAACTTACACTATTTTTGAGAACATAACAAAAAACATAACTTTGCAGGGCATCAGGCATTATAATATCTTGATTGATTCTAATTCAGTTATGTTTACATTATTCCAAAGTGATGTCTTAAAATGTTCCAAAATATTTTATTCCAGTGAAGGAGAAACGATAATAGTTTCATCCAGAGCTAGGACATCTCAAAAGGATGATGCTGTTATATACTGTTGGATACCAACCTCGTGTATAGCAGCGGTGTTTGCAATTTATAATATTATACATACAGCTATCATGACTGATGGTTTCTTTAAAACTTGTCTTCAATACAGAGGATATTTAGTAAGGGTAAGGTTTTTAGAAATGATTACATAGTTAAGTTACTTGAATGTTGCTTTTGTATTGTATTATTTATTTACTATCTTTTTTTACTATTTGTGTGGTTTTAATTTTGAAATTAAGAGATGTAATGAAAGAATAATGCTAAAACTTAAAAAAAAATGTAAACTGACTTCCAGGCACCAAAATGTAAAAAATAACTAAACGGGGTTTTCATTTAGAATAGATACCTAATCAGATATTTTCGAAGTCAGTGCCAGCCGATTCAAAGCAAATCAAATATATTTCGATATGAAAACAAATAGTTATCTATTAGATATTCATATCTTAAAATATTGTCCGCTGGTACCAACTCAGAAAATATCTGATTAGGTATCTACTCTCATTGAAAACCCCCATTTAGTTATTTTTTACATTTTAGTGCCTGGAAGTCGGTTTTTTTTTTAAGTTTTTATTTGTCCATTTTTAGTGTAGACGTAATAAGCAGGTAATTTGTTAGAAGAAAGTTTTTTAATAACATGTTCGATTAAGCAATTTATTTAAAAACATAATTTAATTGTTGATTAAAAAAAAACCGCTCGACTGATTTCTATAAAATTTATATGGGACCACCTGGGAAGTATACCCTTTAAAACAAAAAAAATAATTTCCAAATCGGTTTAGGCGTCTTTGAGTATTCGTATTGAGAACCTCCTGCTTTTTGGAAGTCGGTTAGAAATGTAGAATATTTTTGTGTTTTAAGATGCAACACTGGATCCTACACTAGCGACTTACACTTGCTTTGCTTCCTTTTATTTTATTATCAACTGACGCTTCAGTTTTATATACCTTTATAGATTAAGACACATGTGACATATCTTTATATATATAATTCTTCTGTGAGTGTGTATGTCACTGAACTTCTCTCAAACGACTGGACCGATTTTGATGAAATTTTTTGTGTGTGTTCAAGGGGATCTGAGAATGGTTTAGATTCACAATTTGAATAATAATTTTCATCAAAATGGTCCAGAATGTTTTAGCTTATTAAAAAAAGTTTGAAATTTTCAAATTAAAGACGTGTAGACAGGACAACGTCTGTCGGGTCAGCTAGTGTAGTATATTATTGATAGATATTGCATTAAAAACAATGTGTAAAATTTATTTAATAAAATGATATCATATCATGAATAACATAACAACATTCTCCATTACAGGAACTTCATGCCACTGGAGATCATGCTACTGCAATACATTTTCGTTTAACTTGCCAAGCAATATTTGACTTCATGGATTATATTCAAAAAGATGCACCAAACAGTCGCAGGGGAGATTTTATTAACACAGGGATTGCACTACAAATTGCCTTACTGACATCTTGGCTTTCTGTTTTTCTGTGGATAGTTGTTGTTATTCACACAGCTATAAGAGCTTATAAAGAAAGAAATGTATTAACTTGCTGTGGAAAGTAAATTGTTGGTATAATTTATAAGTATTTGGACTTGAACACTTGTGGGTGTTTAAAAATTCCATTTAATTTTTTTTTCTAGAATGCAATTTACTGCAATATATTTTTTTATGTTTATCAGTAGTATATTACAATAGTTATTACATAAGCTGTAAAGTAGTAGAGTACTTAATTATTATACAGTTGAAGTACATATTTTATATCATTACTAAGATAATATTTTCTAAGTATAATTATTATAATAGTACAAACTAAAGACTGAATACAACACGACTTTTCACAAAGCTATTACAAAGTTACGTTTTCGTAATGATTGTTATTGTATGAAGTTTTTTAACTTTACCATTTTATAGTCACTTTTACAATACTATGCCATATTTTTTTTATATCTTTATGTTAGATTAGATATTAATTAGAAGTAAGTTAAATGTAAGCTAAATAATTGTGCCGTCCATTTTTGATGAATAAATATTGAATTAAATGTTTATTTTTTATTTAATAATCATTCATTTTTAGGATTCTGTACCTCAAAAGAAAAAAATGAAACCTTATAGGATCACTTTGTTGTCCGTCTGTCTGTTTGTCGTCAAGACCCTTTTCCTCATAAATTCGTAGAAGTATCAATTAAATCAATATCAAATATTATATAATCAATTAAATTAATATCAAATAGTCAGGTCTGCAATCCCTAGGAACTGTGGAAAAATCAAACTTCTTAGTCAACGCAATCAAAAGATACTGAGTCAAAACCTATAGGGTATTTCCCGTTGACTTAGACTCATGAAATTGGCAAGAAGCAATACCTTAGAACACTAGTAAACGGAAAATCCGAAAACCGTTAAAAACATTTTTTTGCGATTATAAATTTAATATCTCATGCTACGGAACCCTCGGTATGCGAGTCAGCCTCGTACTTGTCCGATTTTTTATTTTTAATAACACTAACGCATAAAGGATAAGATTATTATTTCATTAGAATTAAGGTAATTATAATTTAAGGGTAGGGTTTTAATTAACAAAAGTATCCACATAAAACTTTAATTATAATAAGAAACAAGATTATATATTATATAGATGTAGATATCTATGTATATATACTATTAATAGTAAATTTAAAAAATCTAACACAATATACATATAAAAATCACAATAAAATAACAACTTACTATAATGGAACACTGGAGACATTTAAATATATGCATGAAAGAAAAAAATCTATCAATCACACATATCGTCAGTGACGTTTTGAATATACAAATTGTACATTACATAACACTTAAAATCATTTATAAAATAAAAATAGTGGAGACCTGAATAATCCTGTATTTTCCTTATAATATATTTAATAAAGGCTGTCTACACAACATCATCGCTGGCGGCTTCACCGTGCGATACATGGATTACAGTGTACAAGTCCATGTCTAGTACACGTTTATTGCAAATTAGTTATTACAAACCGTAAAATATTGTTTACCATATAATTCTGTCATTAATTATGACGCCTTTAGGTTTTAAATTTCGAATTATTTATTCTTGTATTTACATTTTATTTACTCATAGCACAAGACTACCGATATAGCCTTGCGGCCTAACATTGTGATCTGTGGCGCCATCTTCGATGTGTAGACACCTTAATATCATTGGTAAAAGTCGCATAATTAATTCGCGATTTGTTAACTATTATTTAAAACTTTTATTGGGTTCATATAAAGTAAAATTGCATGACCCCATTTAATTTGATATTATTAATCAGTCTAACTTATAGCACATCTGCTTTGCAGAGAATGTAAATTGAACATTATTATTTTACAATCGGAAGATAACTAAAAACTTCATGTTCCATTTTAACAGCTAATAGAAATATACGACAAATACGAACAACATTTATAATATCTAAATACCACATTTATTTCATATTAAAGACTCATTTTCTTAGAAATAAAAAATATATAAACTATACAATAACAGGAGACAAATTACAATAGAAATTTGAGTACAGCTGTGTATTATTCATTTGTTTACAATAATTACACTTATTAATTTTTTTAAGTGCGCGTGGAAATTCTTAAATCTGTAGAAGATTAGCAAAAATGCTTAAATAGTATCGGTTAGGATTTCAATAAAAGTATATCAAAAGATATAAAATAATGTAAAACGTAATCGAATCTATAATTTGTGTTTTTCTACGACCACTTAAAAAACACTTTTATGACATTTTTAAATAGTGCACGTACGAGTTATAAGTTGTGAAATTTCACTAAGTATCATTGACTCTTAATTTTCTAAATAAAATCACTTTTTAATTATTATAATAACTGGACGAATGTATATAAATATAAAATTATACACAGTATGTTATTGATATATTGTAGTAAAAATAAAGTTTTTGAATTTAGCAGGTAGTAACATTATGGCACATAATATTATTATAATAAAAGTTAAAGCAAATATTTGGTTTTCTTTTATAAGATATTAAAAAAAATATATAATCTCTGAATTTGTAAGAAAATCTCTTCATAAATAATAATTAAAAAAAATCATCCTTATAACGAGCATAAAAATGTACACATAATAACTTCTTAAAAGCCTATTTACATAAGAGGAATGTTAAAGTATCATTAAGTACTTTATTAAACACAAGAACAATTTTAGATATATTTTGCAATAATTACCGTCAAATGGTTTAAAATTATTTATTTAATACATATTACGTGTATTTATATTATTTTCCTTCAATTAGTAGGTATATATTTTTAAAGCAGATATATAGTGGGAGAATAACTTGATAATCGAGTATTAGATATACGAGTATAAACAGAAGTTTATTGTTGTAACCATGGCGACCTTAATATTTTAAGATAATTTTATAGGTGACTGATGTAGTTATTTAAATTTGACTAAGATTTTTTTAAATAATCAAAGTATCTATCTGTTTCTTTTCCATACATTGACATTCACAACTTTGTGTTTTATACAACCACTTACCAGTTACTTTGTTCTATATTTTTAGTGATACGTATTTTCACATATTATTTTATATTTTGGCATTCAGCTTCCCAATCTTTTAGAATAATACTATTAAGATGCTCCTCGAACCTGTTGTATGTGCATGGGACATCGCAGAATGGAAGGTTCAATTCCATAGGGACCTCTACTTTCGTGTTATTTCTATAGAATATCTGTTGAAATAAAATAGTATATGCTTTTAGATTGAAGTGTTTGAAATTACCTCATTCTTGCAGAATGAAAATAAGATTTCGATGTCACGCCGCATTGTATTCTAAATGTGTAAGCCAATTTCGTGTATTGCATTAGATGAAGTTTCTGTTGAAGATAAATAAAATTTAAGTGTCTGTTTGTAATGTAAAAATAACAGCTTTTTACTAAATGCATATGGAATTATATACTGTACATAAGAAAAACATATATGTATTCTTAAAATTCATGTCTATTTGTTCCGGCTAATCTCTGAAACGGCTAGACTGATTTTGACGGGTCTTCCATTGACAGACAGCTGATGTTATAAGGAGTAACTTAGTCCACTTTTGTTTTAGAAAAAGAATTAGCATTCAGAATTAGGTGTTACAAAACACATAATATATATATATCATCTGCGCATATTCTTCTGCGAACTGGCAATGTAGATTGCTATCGTTCTTTCGATATATAAACGCGTCACAAAATCACGTTGGCAGTGGGTTAATTGCTCATCGATAGTGAGTTAAAAAATCGTTGTGCATAGCAGGCTCTTAGCAATTATGTATAGATAACATGTTGTAAAAGATAACAACTTTTTATTCAACACAACTTTTTATTCGACACTGTAAGCCTACAAAATACTAAAAAAGGCGACACCTATGAAACTAATATTTAGCATCAAACTTAATTTCGTTTGGAGACAGAAAATTAAAAAAATAAATGAGAGCATTTAACAAATATAATACTTACCCGTATATAAAAGTCATCCCGTTCAACCTCTTCATGTAATTCAATAGCAAAACTTGCACCATAGTCTGGCTGCAACAGTTCTTCAAAACCCAGTGCGCGCCACAGAGATACAACATTCACGTCATGGCCAGAGTAGATGTATAAAGATCTCTCTTCATTATGGGATACACTGTCTCTAAGATGCTTCTTTATTTCACCAAGGAGTGGACCTGTAACAATATAAAACTTTTTCATTAAGTTTCAAGAGTGTAAACCATCGATCAAAAAAGTACTAAATACACAGTCCAATGCAAAAGTTCTCTTAAAACTGTCACCAATAGGAAATATGAATGATTTTTGAAGTTATACTTCTTTTGGCTGGTTTGGAAAAAATATGAGAGTAAAATTTTTACGATGCGCGCGCACACCGACAGCTAAAAAGCGACATGATTAAGTTAGCTGAAAGCGACATGATGAAGTAAGTTGATAACTGTCTCTCCGGTTCCCGTGAAAAGTCATAACTCATAACTGTATTTGCAGCAGTTTCTCAAATATTCATAAATTATAACACCTGTTTTATATCAGTGGAGATAAAAAAAAATATTTATTTTTATTTATTTATCATCCCTTTTACAAAGTGACATAGGGGATGAAATTTTTAGAAATTTTTGCTCTGTTACGCCAAAGAAGTATAACATCTTACGTGCGTTTTTTTATTTTGTTATATAATAGTTTACATTGGTATATAATTGTAATAAAATATCCAGCTCCAAAGAAATTAAAGTTTAGTATATACATTTTTTAAACATAATATCATACTGTTATGGATACTTTAAACGCTCGCCATTTCGCGCGCTTGGCGTGACGTCACAGTATGATATACACAGACAAATTGATGTCCTCCTGACCGATTCCGGCTACGGCGGCTAATCTCATTGAGACTACCCAACTGCACAGGAGATATTATAGTGCAGCGTGTGTACGCGCAGACACAACGCGCACTTTCTATTCCTGTCACTCTCATACTCTGGTGAGACGACCACTCACCAACACGATCAGTGAGAGTTAAGGCGCAGGACCGACGGCTTTACGTGCCTCCGAGGCACGGGGGTGAAACACCGCCAACTTCCCAACTCCCGGCTGTTACTGAGGCTTACTATACAGAAAGACTCAACGACATAAACTGTGGAGTGGTACCCAATATAACCTGTTATTTGACATAGACCAAAAAAAAAACAGCTGTATAATAATAATTCATTAAGTATGACATATCTTGACCCATGATCTATGGTGTAGGAACTAGGAAGTAGTAAACAAAGAAAGTCAGGCTAAATGATTTTGTATATAACTCACCAGTGTGGAATTTTCTTAATGTTTCATTATAAGAAAGCATTGCCAGACTCAGCATAAAAGGGACTTGCATCTTATGGGGGAATACATTTTTAGTCCACTCAGGAAGTTTCAAACCAGCTTCCTGCTCTGTTTGGAATGTACTATATAGAAAGTCTACCTCAAGAATACTGCGCATGCTTTGATTTGTATGTTTGCTTAAATAGTCAAATAGCTCAGTAAATTTTGGGTCGGCATTCATTTCTTCTAATAATTCATTATACATAGCTTTCCAAACCTTACATGGCTTTGTTGCTGCCACTATCTATAAACATAATATATCAGATTAATAAATAATATGTGCAAAAATGGAGGCCCGTGCCCAGCAGTGGGACGTTAAAAAGGGCTGAATACATGTGCAAAAATTAAAACATGTGTATTAAGTATATTTAAAAATAATTATATAATAGAAAAATAATTTCCTTACATTATCTAGATCTCTTGGCAAAGAATATACAGGAATTGGCTGCCATGGTATTTCAGGATGCCACATCTGTTTCTCAGAAGGAGGATATAAGCCAGCTAAAAATGTGTATGCACTCATCATACACCTAGACTTATCACTACTACGAATCAATACATCTTTTTCATAGTAATCCTCTGGTATAAAGTTTGCATAGTAGCTACGATATTTTTTTCCTAATTCATATAGCTGAAGCTTACCCACCTGTAATTTCATAAAAAAATGTAAATTAATAAGTTAAGGAATCACTGCTCATTTTTTGGAAATTATAAAGTTTTGCTTACATTTGTTAGGCTACCGAGACCATCGGGCCACTGGTAATTTTTAAATGGGTCACTTTTGTAAGAACTTACGGGAGTTCGTGCGCCATGACGAAAGAACTAGGAAAGGAACAAAGTTATAAACAAAACATCAATTTCGCAAATTAAGGACTCATAAAATTGAAAAAACTTACAATTATCACAAGACGTAAAGTTTTAGATTCATAAGGTAATGTCTCGCTTAAAACACAATAACCAAGAAGGCAGCTCAAGACTGCTAGACCCAAGACGACTACTGCTGCTGTAGTCGATTTTTTTGGTATTGGGTGACACATTTCTTTAGGCGAATTCGATCTTCGCCATGTATCATTGTTTTCATATTCCATTATTTACGTATGTGTAGAAGGAAAATAATCATTTATCGCAAAATATTATTTGTATCTTTGACTAGCGTTAACAGAACTGAGGGTTTTATATTATGTAATATTTGTTATTTTATAGTATTTCCAAAATTAAATTATTTATCAGTCATATGTAAATATTATATAAAAAATAGTCCTTCATTGTTACAATAATAATATTAAACTACTTTTCAATTTAATTATTTGTATTGTGGGCACTTTTCTGACATGATAAATGCACTACTTTTCGTCTGTGCAAGAAAACATTTTTGTGAATAAAAATGATGTAGGTCTGAGAATTGAGATGATCACTATTGACAATGACATTTGACAAGTTTCAGGCAGCCAGGTTTTAAAGCAGGGTTGCGGGCTGCCAACTTAATTTTTTACTACTTGGTAAAATTATATTTTACTAAAAAATCTAGAAAAAATCTACATCGGTTTTTTTTGGCGGCTGCACACTACCATTGGTTTAACGTATTATTAACGTGAACATCAATTTCAGCGAGTCGCTTTTAGTGTTAAAATTTGGAATGATCAATGAAAGCAAAATTCACTTCGTTCTAAATGTTTTACTACTATAATAATAGTTTCAGACATTACCCCTATATGCATTTTTTTTTGTTAATTTAGAAATTGGCATATGTGACATAATTTCAGGGGTGTTGTAGTGAATGCGCAAGCGATCCTGCAACGCCCCATTGCACTGCAGCGACGGGTTCCGCTGTGGGTTTTAGTGAGTAGGAGTCTCACAGTACCTTGTCCGTTATGACGGCGGGCAGGGTTCCCATGGTGGGTTTCCCCAGCGTCAACAAAAAAAAATGTGACATAATTTACGAGCGATCTGAGGTCGGGAAGTGGGAGGGGGTGAGCCTTTTAGGGTAAAAAACGGTTTATCTCGATTTCCGGCAAAACTACAGTCCTATGGAAAATAGTTAAATGGCGAAGTTGTAGGTAATAAAAAGATCTACAACTTTTGTGTTTACTTTTTTTTACATAACCTCAAAATGTATGTGAAAATTTCATATAACCAAGCTTTTGGTTTTTTATTTTTATCTTTTACAAAAAAAAACCTTTTTACGAACATTGGTAAAAACTTACCTTTTTATGTCTCTAATATACTATATATTTTTTTTATTTAAACTATTTATTTTTTCACCTTATTTTGACTTATTATCGAAAAAGCATCCTAATTTTCAATTGAAAATTCTCGCGTCAAAACATCTGCTTTTTTAAAAAACTTGGTGGGCTTTTTGTTCGTTGAAATCTCTACTTTCTGATGGTGTAAAAAAAAATACCTAACTAAGGTAAATTTTCTCCGAAAATGCAATTAATAAAGTTAATATTTAATAAGACATCTACAATATTTTGAGATAGTTGTAGAATCTTGTTTAAATTATATAAGAAAAATCTAGGTAACATTATCAAATCAAGGTTTCTATATATTGTACTAGGTATATTCTATATATTATAAAACACAAGTTATATAATATGTTACATAGTCTGTACGCACCTTTAAACTGTTATTTCGAGTTATCCTAAATATTATGGTACTAATTACTATTATTTTATGCATCGTAAGTCTTTCAAGTAGCTCCAGCATTATAGCATTTTTTTAAGTAAAACTTTTTACGCACGCTTGACTTGGGGAGTAAGCTGGTGAAATTGAATGCGTTACGAAAAAATGTACGTAAGTTTGTTGCCAATTGCCATGGTAACCGTTGTATTTGTCTGACAAATGGAAATATATAATACTAGCATTGCCCCGGATCCGCCCGCGTTCAGATGACCAAATTCTTAGGTTTTACTTATTAGTATACTCTTACATTGCAGTTTTTGTATCTTTTCTCAGAAATGAGACATTTTCCCGCGGTAAAAAGTATCCTATATGTTGACCCGGATAACCAGCTATCACCATACCAAATTCCATCAAAATCCCTCCAGTGGTTTTTCTGTGATGCGGTAACAGACAGACAGACAGACAGACAAAAATTCTAAAAACTATATATTCGGCCTCTGCATCGATAATAATGTTTATTGCAATAAGATTTTCCAAGAAATATTTAATTACAGATTCGGCTTAGTTACAATTTTATAATATGTATAGATTGTATTCTTTCCTTAAATAATATTCTATAAATATATGATTGTAATATGCCTAATATGCGTTATTTTTAGTATCTCACCTATCCTAATTATTTAAAACATAAATTGAATTTCATAAAGAATACCGATAACCTACAGAAGTTTTACTTCTTGCGCGTGTACACATTCATACACGCACTTTTTAAGTATTTTTTTTATTTTTTCCCAAAACTTTGTCCCTTTTTTGACTACAGAATGTATGAAGTGTGTTATTTGTATGTATTTTAATTTCATTAAGTAATAATAATTAAAATTATGAACTTAGATTAAATTTATGATCGAAAATAGTAGTTAATTAAATATAACAAGTATTAAGTTTTTATGGTCTATATAAATATATTAATGTTAATGTATGTAGGGAAGCAATAATTGTACCATTTTTAAAAAAAAAGGGTACAGTGGAGTTATAACTATAACTTAATAGCGGCCTTGCAAAGAAAAATAAAAGAGGTTATAAACAAAGATATAAAATATTTTTTAAATCTTTATTCGTGATCGTGTCACAAAGTTTATAATAAGAACAGTGTAAAAATATGTTTTCCATGTTAATAAAAAATTTTATAAGCATGAAATATAACAATTAAATAGTACGGTTTTTATAAATAAATATCTTCTCCCTGCCCATTTTCCAATCACTTGGTGTCGGCGCAGTACATCTTCTGTACTGCGGAAAGGATTTGGCAAAAGTTTATACGACCGGCCGCCTGCCTGACGTCAACCCTCCTTGGGAATGCTATTGTTTCTTTTTGTCTGAATGGTGTTGCGGTAGAAGCCTTGTAATTATTATGCACTTTCAATGATAATAACTTTATTTTGATTTGATATAATTAATGAACATAATTATCTCAAATCAAAATGAAGTCATTAATAATATATTTAAGTCTGCCTTCAACTGGTTATTGTGAAATATGACTTTATAATTTTATGCAATCTAATTGGTCAGGGGGCGTGGCTACGCCGATGGACACCGATGACTATTTTCTTAACGCGAATGAAATAGGTGGCGAGATGAGCTGAACAAATTCGATCTAAATTGGCCTATTCTTGCGCAAGACCGTAAAACTTGGAAACGTAGAGGGGAAGCCTTTGCCCAGAAGTGGGATGATATGGGCTAACTGTAACTGTAATAATTGTGCTACTATAAAATGTATAATGTTTAAGTAGCAAAGATTATTGCATAGGCATTGTGCACTAATTTAATATAATAAGATAGTGTAAGCATACAGTTTGATAGTGACACCTCCAATGTGAGTGAATCAACCTGTCTACTTGCGCCATATACTTAATGCTTGTTAGGCATATATACAGAAATTGTATTATATCATTACTTTAAATAGGTGTAATTGAAGTATTTTATATAAAATAAGTTAAATAACATCAAATAAATACTAAATATTATAATATGATGTGACATCAATAATTAGTATACCAATATTACAATTAAAACAACAATTTTTTTACAGGATTATTTACTAGCAATACCGGTATCAGTTGCTGTGAATGGATTATAATTTCCCAATTTAACAAGTTCCTCTGACATCTCCCATAATTTCTTGGCATATTCATCATCAAGAGCTTTTCTATTAGGGGTTGCTACAACACAATCACTGCAAAAAATATTATATTATTAATCTTATAGTAGGTATCTCAGCTATTCCCTCCTCAACGTGCGTTCATCTTATCGCGGTGGTGGGGGGCTCATTAACGTCCGGCAATTAAGCCGGGCGTGAAGCTAAGAAACGCACTGGGAGGTGGCCCTCTTTGGTGGGAGGTGGCCCTCTTTGGTGGGCGGTGTGCCATGCGGGTTGCTCCGAGTACTTCTCTGATAGCAGAGTGGACCTTGGAGCAACCCCGTGGTTATTGTGGTCTGCTTCGGCAGACCTGCCGTCGGGGCGTCGTAGTTGAATGCGTAAGCGATCCTGCGACGCCCCATTAAGACGGGGGAAGGTTTTGTTGGGTTTTAGTGGGTAGTACTGGCTTTGCCGGTGAGTCCCACACCTCGTGCGTAAATGCATTTCCCAACGTTAAAAAAAAAATGGTACTTCTCTGATAGCAGAGTGTACCGTGGAAACAACCCCTCGGTTGTGTGGTCTGCTTCGACAGACCTGCCGTTAGGACGTCTTAGTTGAGTGCACATTAAGACAGGGGAGGTTTTGTTGGGTTTTAGTGGGTAATACTGGCTTTTCTAGCCATCGAGTCCCACATAACCACCTGTAGGTCTATAGGTGGTATGTGTAAATGCGTTTCCCAACATGTATCTCTGCTATAATAGCTTAAGTAATTATGAAATGAAATAAACTTTATTCAATTAGACTTGTTACAAGCACTTTTAAATTATCAATTTAATTTAAGCATCAGTGTAGTCAGTCCGTGAGGAAGCTACCACGGGCTTGACAATTGTTATAATGAAGATGAAGATTAATATTTTCATTAATAATATAAACATAATTTATATTTTTTTGTCCTCCTACTCTATCGGTTGGCTGTAAGATATCACTTATAGCGATGAGGCTGCCTTAGCATATCTCTTTAATTGTATTTTTTTATGTATTTGTGTTTAAAAAATTATGGAATATAATTCATTTTTATTTATAATATAATATTATTTTGTTTTATATGAAATTATGCATTACCTATAGTACAATCCTGTTTCATTAGCACATTTTTCATCAACAGAACAATATATAGTGGTCTGTGCACCTAATTCTGGACTTTTCATGAATGGATAAAATATCATGCCTATTATCCTTCTTGCACCTCTGAATAAAACCTTATCTAAATGTCGGCCAAGCTCAGTTCTAATAACTCCAGGATGAAGACTGTATGTATTAACACCTTCAATATTGTAACTCTGAAATATATGTATAGATACTCTTTATTTTTAGGAATAAAAGTATAAAGAATATTATTAATTTCTTAATCATAGTGTTTGAAAAATTGATATACTTTTATAAGTGTTATTATATATTACCTTTAGCCTGCAAGCTAGTTCTCTTGAAAACACAACATTAGCAAGTTTGCTTTGTGAATAAGCCTCAGCAGCATGGTATGGTCGTTTTTGGTAGTTTAAATCATCAAAAAATATATCGTGTCCTGGAAAAAAAATGTAAAAATGTTAGTTAAATATTTTTAATTCCTTTATTAAAAAAAACTCTTCAAAATTGTTTTTTTTTAATATTTACAATAGTGTGGTTGATAAGAGAATAAAGATTATAAGTTTGTTTGTCAAGAACAGTGTTTCTTGTATTGGATATTGATTGTTAAGATTCACTATGTATTGTAAGCAGAAAGAATGCCGGTTAATATGATTTTTCTTACTATAGTGAGCAGTGGATGATACTGTTACTATTCTAGCCGGTGTACTTTGTCTTATGCGTGGCAATAGCAACAGAGTTAAGAGAAAATGTGCTAAATGATTTGTTCCGAATTGCATTTCAAAACCATCTTCCGTAAAGCTCTTGGGACACATCATAACTCCTGCATTATTAACTAGAATATTTATTTGTGGTTCTGTATCCAAAATTTTTTTAGAGAACTCTCTGACAGATTTAAGAGAAGATAAATCACATTGCTCAATTACAATATTTCCCCTGCTTGGTAAATCTTTACAAGTTTCTTCAATGTCACATTTAGCCATCTCTGCCTTCTCAACACTTCTGCAAGCCATTATAACTCTAGCTCCTAAAAAAAATTAACAACAACAATATATTTAAAATTTAAATATTAAAGTAATATAATGTTACAGATGGTTCAAATAGGTAGTTTACTATTATGTAAACATACATTAGAATTAATTTTAATTCACATTAAAGATTTAAAAAGGTAATTTAAAAAGAAAGTGTCATTAACTTTACCTCTTTTATAAAAGTCCAATACAGTTTCTTTTCCAATTCCCGTATTACATCCCGTTACTATAGCAGTCTTGCCTATTAATTTAATATTACTATAACAACGTCCACTAAAAATAGGCATGTTTATTTTTATACTAACTTAATAGTCTTAATTTAAAAAAAAGGAAAACTAACTACGCTACAATTCAACAAGTGTTTTGTTTTTAAAAACTGAAAGCTGAAGCCGAAATCGAATGACGAATCACGTACAGCTAACCACAGATGAACACACAAAGATGAAAGAGGTCTTTGGTCAACTAGTCAGCCGTGTGAAATGCTCTGACTGAGTTAAACTTAACTGTAAACAGCAATGATGTGCGCGTTTGGTATATGAAATGTAGCGTTATACGGTTATTAGTCGTGAGTCGTGACACATAAAATAATACTATTAAATATAAATAAACTAGCATCTCAACCTTGCTTCGCTCGGGTTCGCCTCTAGGGAAAAAAACAAATCTATGCCACGGGAACAATACATTTTTCCGGGATAAAAAGGTAGTAGCCTATCTGCTATTCCAGACTCTAATCTATATCTGTGCCTTTCATCCAGATCCGTTCAGCCGTTCTGGCGTGATTGAGTAACAAACATCCATCCAAACATCTAAACTTTCACATTTATAATATTAGTAAGATTGTAATTAATTAAAAAAAACCTGACTGCGAAAAAAGCAAACTAAAATGATGAGGAAAAGTTAACGAAGGAACATAATAATAGGCAATCGGAGACATATTATGTATGTAGCATGGATGACAAGTACTTATGTAAAATGTAGTATGTGCATTATCAACCGACTTCCAAAAAGTCAATTCGTCGGATTATTTTTTTATGTATGTTCACCAATTACACGAAGACGCCTGAACCGATTTGGAAAAGTCTTTTTTTGTTTCAAAGGGTGTACTTCCCAGGTAGTCCCATTTAATTTTTATCGAACTTGGTTGAGCGGTTTTAAAAAATTAAAAATAAATTATTTTAAAAAACGTTCTTCCTACAAATTACCTGCTTATTATGTCTACACTAAAAATGGAAAAATAAAAATTAAAAACTATATAAATTAAAACCAACTTCCAGGCACTAGAGTCAAAATAACTAAAGGGGGTTTTCATCTATATTTATCTATACTATAATAAAACTGTAGAGATCGAATGTCCGCACATAGAAAAAAATGCTAAAAACTGAGTCAGGGGGATGTAAGAAGACAAATAGAACAAATCTAGATTTTTTTCAAATTTTTTGTTTCTCTGTCTGTTTGTCTGTTTGTACGGGCTAATCTCCGAATCTATTGGACCCATTTAAATGAAATTTTGCATGGTGGTACCTTATATCTCCGGGCAACATCTTAAATACTTTTCATCGCGGAAAATTAAAGATTTCTCGTGGGATAGTAAAAAAAACTATAAAAATTTATACAGCTTAGTACACAAAAACTATTGATTGGATTTTAATGAAACTTTACAATAATATATAATTATTAATTATATTCATACTCCATACTCCAGATTAAAAAAAAAAGATACATTATGTTCCAATATAAGATTAAAATTAAATTAATTTAAGATATTAGTTATGAAATGATGTATAGTATAAGTAGATTGACGGTATGTCCGTGTGTGTGTGTGTATGAGTGTGTGTGGTGAGTGTGTGTGGTGTGTGTGTGTGGTGTGTGTGTGTGGTGTGTGTGTGTCAGCCATATAAAATGTACCTATTTTAGTAAGTTCTCGGTTTCCTCATATGTCAAGTCTAACAACCAAGCTGTAATTATATTAATGCATACATGTAAGGTTCGGGGATATATATTAAGAACTTTGATTATTTTGTTATATAAATTTGGGGAAAAGAAATCATAATGCTGTTTAGCCAAAGACGATGTAATACGAATTGTTTTGCAAACTAAATCTGATCTGCGTTTATTAAAGATCATGTGGTAATCAAAAGGTGTTTGTGAGTGCTTACGTAGTATGGTTTGGAGTAAAAACAATTTTCTAACAGAAAGTACTTTAGAAATTTTATATAGTTCAACAGTTGGGAAATATATAGGTTTAAAGTTCATTGTTTTGAGTATAGATCTTTGAGCCCTTTCTAAACGCAATAATTTACTTTTATCAGTGCCTCCCCAGGCAGTGATGCAATATGATAAGATCAATTGTACGAGGGCATAATACACGTTCTATAGTGTCAAATGCTTTTGTTAGATCCAAAAATATACCAATAGTTTTTTCTTTCTTAGTGAATTTTTTTACTATAGAATTTGTTTAGTCCAAAACAGCATCTTCTGTAGATTTACCACTCCTAAAGCCATATTGGTTAGCCGCAATGATATTATGTTTATTCAAATACTTAACGAGTCTAGTATTTAAAAGTTTTTCGAATATTTTAGATAACGTAGTTAGAATCGAGATAGGCCTGTAGTTTGAATCAGAGCTTTTTTAAAAACTTTGGGAAAGCTACCGGATTTAATCGCCAAATTAAAAATATGGACCAGCATTGGTATGAAGGTATGTCTAGCCGACTTTACCAGCGAGGTAGGTATACCATCCCATCCTGTCGCTGAGGTATTCTTAAGATTTGTTATGACATTTTCAACTTCAGTATAGTCAGTGCTATATAGTGAGATAGATGACAAGGAAACAGTTGTGGTATATAAGCTATCAGGTAGGACTGGATCATTAAAATTCGTAATTTGCGTGGCTATATTTCTGCCAACGCTAGCAAAGTACTCGTTAACAGCTTAAACTGCCGAAAATGGTTCATCAGCTAACATAAAAAGGTCTGTAGATGCTTTAGCTGACTTTTTGAGATAGCCTACATTTTTTATTACATCCCATGTAGCTTTGGCTTTATTTTTAGCTTTTAGGAAGTTATTATGATCAAATTCTTTTTTTATTCGTTTAAGAAGGTTATTGCAAAAATTTTTGTACCGGTTATAAATTATACAGAGTTCGGTAATAACATATTTCACATGAATAAATTATAACTCGTCTAATTAATTATATACTCGTGTTAATACTAGCATTGCATTAGTATACTCTTACAATGCAGTTTTTGTATTTTTTCTCAGAAATGAGATATCTTCCCCCGGTAAAAAGTATCCTATATGTTGACCCGAATAACCGCTATCATCATACCAAATTTCATCAAAATCTGTCCAGTGGTTTTCTCATGATGCGGTAACAGACAGACAGACAGACAGACAGACAGACAGACAGACAGACAGACAGACAAAAATTCTTTAAACTATAGATTCGGACTCTGTATCGATAATAATGTCTATTTCAATTAGATTTTCCAAAAAATATTTAATGTACAGATTCGACTTAGTTACAATTTTATTATATGAATCTGTATCTGTTTATATATGACTTAGTTACAATTTTATTATATGAATGAAAAATCTTGAATATTTAGATAGTCTTCCTGTTGTTTAGGTAGATTGCGTAGTACATTCCTGGTTTTGAAGGTTCCGGTAGCAGGTTTTTCAAAAAAAACATATAATATGGAACTTTGCTATTCTCAGTAGCCAATTAACTGCTTCGTTTAAATCCACCGCAACGATCCTCTGATGCTGTCAAGTTACCACTTGAAATTCTTATCCAATTGGTTTTCTTCTAGACGTTCATTTAAAAAAAACTGAGTGTATTCTGAGCTCGTGGAATATTTATAAAGTACCTATATTATTGATGTCGTTAGTTCAACTATGTGTTGATGAGATATTATATACTTAGTGAAAATATAATTATGATGGATCTCTAGACTGTCTGTGGTGGTTTTGCAATAAAACACTTCTTGAGATTACTTCTTTTATTTTTCCTTACTAATACTTAATACTGAACACTGAACACTTGAATGAACACACACACACTGAATAGATAAAATCCCTTATCTTTATACAATTTTAACGCGTTCATTCTACATACTACTGAATGAGCAAACATGTGTAAATCAATTTGATTTTTATGAGTCATACAATTACTGCGTCGTAGCTAAATCTAATACGTACAATAGTTCATGCGTGCACATAGTAAGACAAAAGGGGCGTGACTTAAACTACTTAGATTTTTCGTCGGGGCTCGTTGGGGATCGTCGTCTATAACAGTCCTCCCGCCCGGCGCGGCGCAGCGCTGCGAGCCTCTTCTTTCATCAGCACGACGAGCTTTGTAACGGGACGCTTTAAAACACCAGTTTGGTTGAACTTGCACGCCGCATCGGGACCCTGGTAAATGCGCTCGACGATTTCTATCGGCCACATGTTGCATGGCAAGGTGTGGTCGACTACAACCACGATGTCTCCCATCTGCAGCTGCTTTGACCAGTGTCTTAAAAATGGAGAAGCGCTCAGGATCCGGCAACCACTCGTCGCCCTGCTCTGCCCTCAGTGGTCACGTGCAGTAGAACTTCTTCCTCTTCTGCGGGTGTTACTTCGGCTGGTCACAGTTCCTCTGGCTGTCGTAGGAATTGAATTCGACCTCTACACTTTTATTATATTATAGATAAATTTCGATTTTAGGTATTTAGCAAGCTCCATTAAACATTTTTTGCACATTTTATTACACCATCTTTCTAAAGAATAAGAGAGTACAAAGATACAACTCACATACAATATTTACGACTTTAGAATCGTGTAACTCGGCTAATACGGGCTTTTTAACTAACATACTAACAGGCTAACATCTATGTTATTTTTATAGACATCACGTGCACATCTTTTTAAGTAACATATATATAAAAAGTGCCATTCTTATTTTGCTATAGGTTTTTGGCAATTATAGTTATATCCTCCTAGCGCCCAAGGATAATTTAAGGAGAGTAGCTTAAGCACCCAATGTTCTTCTACAAGTACATAATTAAGTATAGTGCTTGCAGCCCAAACATAAAAGAGTCATAAAAACAAGGATACAGTGAATTTTTCAACGCAATTTTTTTGACGCTTTTATATCATAGAATAGAATCTATTTTTGCTATCAGAAACTTAAAAAAAAATGTCCATGTCGAAGAAAATCGGGCTGCTATCCTTAGAGGAGGTATATTCTTTATGTCTTACGGTAAGTACATTGGGCTATTACGTAAATTAAAGCACTAAATAGAAATTATTGTATTTATTGTGAATATTTCGCACAGTTTTATTATACAAATCAATCAGTAGATACAAATCAATCACTAGTTCATTCTCAATATTTTTTGGCTTGGCTTACCACTACAAAAATATATTTTATCATTTTATGACAAAAAATTACAAAAACTCTACCTCTTCGTAAATAAAGTAAATTAAAATTTTACCAGTACTCAAGATATTCAATTAGTAACAGAATTTATGTTTTTAACTGTTAAGAAAAATGTAGTTTTTTCATACATAACAAAACAAAAACTTTTATCAAATACAGTAAACAATTTTTTTTTAAATTAATCTGAGAACAAATTAGGAACCCCATACATTTTATCTTTGGACTAATCACCATCTTCACTCTCGTTGTCGTTGTCGCTTGAGCTGGACGGTATATTTTCTAGTGAACCCATAAAAGGAGGATCGTCTAGATCTTGTTCGAATAGCAAATAATCTTCTAAGTCTGATTTTTCCAACAAGTTTTCCACGTCTTCCGATTGCAACTCTTAAAAAATAAAGTATGCCTTATAGACCAATGTTCTTCCATAAGAACATAAAATTACGGAAAATACGCTCGCTGTTCTCACACAAGTACATATGGCTCAAGAGTGAAAAATAAACACTTTTTCAAAGGTATTTTTCAAGAATATTAAGACATACATGCAATTTAGTATTCTAAATTACATACTTACTTACTTTAAAACTTATTGGTTACTTGATTACATGCATAATTAGAGATTATAAGTTACCTTTACCAAGTCTGCGCTCCATGTTCGCCATTTTGATTACTAATGACAAGTTTTTTCTGATTGGATTAGCTTAGTGTCGTATGATTATGGTCACTTACATGTCCACCAATCAAAGAGCATTAGAAAAATAAATCCATGCGCAGCAAAATTTAAAAATATTAAACAATAACTATTATGTTTTTGTGGAAGTCCACTGGGCCGTCAAGAACATGTTGTATCATATTTATCTGGGCGGTAATCAGGTTCGATATTATGTCCTAGTGCGAGGTCATTGGGGCTCACGAGGATATAACTTAGCGAAATCTGAAAATAAAACATTTTTAAAAAAAACATAGTGTACAGAATATAGACCCCAAAACAATCTATACATATAATAAAACTGTAGAGGTCGAATGTCTGTAGGTACATAGAAAAAATGCTAAAAACCGAGTCAGGGTAAGAAGAGAAATAGAACAAATCCAGATTTTTTCAAAGTTTTTGTTTCTCTGTCTGTTTGTACTTTGTACGAACTAATCTCCGAATCTATTGGACCGATTGCATGGTGGTACCGTATATCCCCGGTCAACATCTTAGATACTTTTCATCCCGCTAAATAAAAGTTCCCGTTGGCAGGGCCGTGCCTGGGTATATGGCCGCCTGCGTGCCAGTCTGTATGGCCGCCCCCAGGATAACATTAAAAAAAACTACTTTAATTTTTAATGTTTATTATTATACACAGGGCATCAAACCGGGAAAAAAATCAGTTTTTGGTTAACCGGAATCGAGAACGAAAAAAAATATTGGTTTTGTTCCCAAAACCAAAAATTTTGTGATAAATAACAATAAATGTAATAAAATAATGTATTTACAAGTAAAAAGAAATAGTGCTGCTTCCGCCGTTATAGTTTTTACACCATTTAACAGAACATTTAGTCATTTTTGGGAGATGTTTTGTTGACAAGTAAGTGCTTGAGACTGACACAAAAAACAAACGACCTAGGCTAAAATTCCCTGGTTACAGACATGACCGTTAAAGGTACGTCCGCTTATATGTCTGGTCCAGTGGTTAATTCGTTCATGGACTAGGTATATAAATACTACAACGACCTAATCAGTTTTTATACATTTCTTATTTCTGAGAAACTCTTTTTAGATAGATTAGATTAGAGAAACTGTTTTTACTTCGTATCTTAATGAAAACAAACCGATTGTATTTTTGCCCAGTAAACAACTTGTAACGATTTGGCCGCCTCTTCATTTCGGCCGCCTGCGTGCGGTGCACGCAATGAACGCCCGTCAGGCACGGCCCTGCCCGTTGGATAGTTAAAAAACTATAGTAACTTTTACAGCTGAGTACACAACAACTTATACACCTAATTTAATAAAATTTGGTATGCTGATATCTTATATTGCCGGTCAAACAACAGATTACTTTTTATCCCGGACAAATAAACGGTTCCCGTGGATTAGATCTATTTGTGCTTTTGTAGTTAATAAAATGTTTGTCTATGAGTGCGTGTTTCACGCAAAGAGTATGAACCAATTTTAACTAAATGTGTAGCGATAACTTATTACTGGCATCAACATTTAGGATTCCTTTTGCTACAGGAAAATCTTTCATTCCAACGGGAAAACACAATAACTGGTTTTATTGCAAGTCGTCCTTAGAAAATAACATTTTTTTAACAAAAAAATAAAAACCGACTTCAAAATAGCACTAAAAAGTAAAAAATAACGGATTGGTAGTTCGATACATATCTAATCAATTATTTTCGAAGTCGGTGTTGCTTTGCTTTGTGTCGGCTGGCACCGACTTCGAAAATAATTGATTAGGTAATAATAATACGTATTTTAATAAAATATTCGCCTAAACCGTTTTAAGGTACCTACTTTGACGCCAATTTTTATACGAAGACTTACAAACTAAAATTCGCTTTTATTAGAAACACTAAAAGTTCTGGCAAAAATCCGATTCTAACGTGTTAGGCTTGTCAAATTAAACTAAATAAGCCCAAACTCAAAGTATCTGCTATTAGCCGTTGAAGAGTTCCACCTATCCACCTTCTGGCCTTACCATCAGATCAGGTCAACGATACCAAACCGCTGCACTACCAACGGAAATAGAAACACTTGCAAAGTTTCAAGTCAATATGACAATATTAGAAGTAGGTTAAATTTATTATTAGCTATTTTTCTACCCTTAGGGGTAGGTAATAATAATGTTTTGTTTTGAAATTTAAATGCGTCCAATCTGGAAGTATATTCTTTCAAACAAAACAAAAAAAATTCCAAATCGGTTAATAAATGACGGAATTCTGAGGTAACAAACATAAAAAAACATACAGCCGAATTGAGAACCTCCTCCTTTTCGAGGAAGTCGGTTGATAAGGCTAGTGCTAGGCAAAACCTTATGGGAGTCATCAAAAAAATGTACTCGTACTAGAAAATTGTAGGCTTTGCAAAGGCTCACAGAAAAGACATACACGCTTACAGAATAGTATAATATGTCCATCTCCTAAATCGCTAAATTAAAACCTAAAGCACAAATGTGATCACCGTTGTGACATTTATGTCGAAAATTAATTAGAATATTTGATTAAAAAAATCATGTCTATGTATACAGTGTAGGTATATATCGATTTTTGATAAATTAACTTTACCGTTTTATAAAACCTTCGCCCATTTTAATGATAGATGTGAAAAGGAAAACTGTATATAACACAAATGTACCTGCTACCATCGTCCACTCTGTAGTTAAACTTCGGGCGGTCAAACGGTGCGGGTGGTAAAATTTATACTTGCCTAATCGATCTAAAAAGCATTGGTACAAAATAAAATTTGCGCTTTGGAAGTACTTGGTGAGTATTATTGAAATATTTCACTTAAATTATAATAGTAAAATACAAATGTATAATGCGCGTGTCGTGAAATCAAGATTAGTGAAAACTAAAAGAGATTCAGTAATGCAATCTATTCTATTATTTTTGCTATAAATTTAATTTATTTAATTCTGGTAAATTACTTTGATCGTGTGGAAATTGTAGATGTATCACTCTTAAGGATTTCATTATTATAAACATTGACATACGCTTCTTAATAAAATGGTCTCTAAAATTAAATTTATATCTATCGCCAAATTCAAAAAAAATGTTAAAGAACGTTCGTGTGCTAAAGGCTATTATTAAGTATACAATAAATGATTTTATAGAAGATGGCACACCTTGGGAATGAAATGATCGCCTCCAAGCTAATTCAACTTGATAGAAATATTGTCAATTATAATTTTACTTTAAAAAAAGATAACAAGCCAATATTAGTCCCGCTGAGTTTCTTTCGCCAGTTCTTCTCAGGTCTGAGGCTTCTTCTTTCCGAACTGGTAGTAGTCATGACGGTCAGTAAAAAAATGTAATAATTAAATGTTGAATAAAATATTTTGAATTTTTATAAGTTTTAAAAGTTATATTAGTAAGGGAATAGATGATTTAAGTAGGTACACACTTTGATAGATGCGTCCTCAGAGAAATTTAATAAGATTGCGGGATAGCCAAAGGATATTTATTATTTAAGCTGTACCTCTAACAAGCAGATAAAAATCTTATCTATCTCGAGAAAATAAATACAGGCCTATGTTAGTACATTGTACCATCCAGTCACAACGTCTATTAATTATTGTCTATTGAGTCTGTACGTAATCCAATGTACAGTCCTATTATTGTTCAAAATAGAGACAAGAAACAAAAAAATGAACTTAAATTTAGTAAAGAACTAGCGACTTACCCTCGCTTCGCTTGGGCGTCCCTGGGTAAGCGGATTTTGTTCACGATTTCGTGATTTTTATTATTTTTGCGCGGTACCCTGATTTTTTTCTAAAATAAAAGTTGCCTTAGTTACCCCTTATAATATTAGCTATGTGCGGGTGCCAGTAAATGTTCTGTCAAAATCGGTCCAGCCGTTTCGTAGATTAGCCGGAACAGACAGACAGATAGACAGACAGACTAATAAAAAAAATATTTTTTTTTCCTTATTAGTACCATATATATGCAGCTTTCATATGCATTTCGTAAATAATTGTTATATTGACATTATAAACAGACACTTTAATTTTATTTATCTCTATAGATAAGGATTTAACTATAAGACGATGACGATTTTACGATTGTAGAAGAAAGTCGTAAGATAATAATTGATAATTTTATTGGCACTGCTAAGTTTTATCACTGTTAAGCGGTTGCTGTTTTACCTACTGCAATTTGCCTAGAGGCTAGCGAAATCCATTTGTATATTCAGATAGTGACAATATATTGAGATGGTGTCACAGGAAGGAAGTAAATTTTAAAAGGCATCAACCAATAGGAACAATAAGAGTGCAATATAACGATTCGTATTATATGCAGGTGATTTTCAAAATAATGAAAGTCACATTCGCTGAATCGGGAATGCTATATTTTTTGCAATTATTGGATCTAGATTCGTTAAAACATTGCCATAAGGAAATAATGATGATGATGATAATGATGTCCTTCCGATCGATCACGGTCACGGCGGTCAATCTCACAAAGACTAGCCAAATGCTCAGGAAATATTATATAGTGCAAGTTCCTTTTCAGTTCAAAGTCGACGGCTTTACGTGCTCTTCGGTTTAGGTACGGGTGAGGTCATCTTCCAAACTCTATGCATTTACTGAGAATTCCACTCAATAAGTAAACTTGCCTCGACCTGGCACTCGAACCCAGGGCCTCCTGATCTACAGTGGTAAATGCTAGCCACTAGACCATCGAGACAATTATAATAATGTTTTAATGAAATATTTTTAAAATATTAAAATAATGACTAAAGCACCAGAAGTACATTATTATTTATCTCAGAAAATTAAAAATCTCGAATTCCATCCACTCCACCAAACTATCATTTCTTTTTTATTTATTCTTTTTACTTTTTTTTTTTTTCGGGCCTGGCCATTCTCGTAATTTTTACTAGACTTTATGTGTTTGACCTGTATGTATGTATGTACATATGTCCTACACTATGTTCCCTCGTAAATACTAAACGGCTCAACCGATTTTGATGATTTATACGTCGTTTGATTCGTCTTGATAACGCGAGTGTCTAAGGATACCTATATATGTATGTAGATATCATTAAAATAAATCAATAAAAATCAAAATGGCGGATCTTAGTCGCCAATTTGTGTGTCTCGTTAAAAACTTTTAGTCCGAATCAATCGAGTGGAATATCAAAATACAGGTTTTTAATACGAGGCGATTACAAAAATATACATACAAATGAAATGTTTAAAAGTAATGTACCTATTTTAAAAAAATGTTAAATAAAACTAAAAATCTGTAACTGACCAAAACTAAAAAGCTGTAAATTTAAAAAAATATTACAAAAAATAAAATATCCGACTGCTGTCGGAGACATACAAACACACCCGCAGCTAGTAACATGTACCTACATACATATATAGCCTGGAAGATCGGCGTGTTATATCAGATTTATGTATCCTCCATAAAATAGCCAATGGCGATTTCAACAGTAAATTACTAGAAAAACTGGAATTTAAAATTCATACTCACTCGATTCGTCAGCCACAACTTTTTAATATACCTTCGGCAACTAATAACGTTTCCCAAAACAACCCTTTACACAGAATGTGTAAAACATACAATAGTTTAAATGATGAATACGACATTTTTAATAATAGTTTATTATCGTTCAAGAAAAAATTAAATAAATTATAGTTCTTACTTTACATTTTCGATAATAAAGATATATTTTCTCTCTGTTTCTTCTCCTTTATCTTTTTTACTTTTCTTTGTCTCTTTTTCCACATGAAATGTAAATATTATTTTGTTTTTGTTTTTTAATATTTCTTATGTACTCGTTATTTTAAATGCACAGACTCATACTGTATTAATTCACCTTTTTGGTTAAGTTTGTTTATATAATTATTATATGTTTTTATTTGAATGTTGTACAGACATAATTGGAGAACAAATTTAATATGATATTTTTAGTTTTTAATACGAAGATGTAATTTTTTTAATTTGTTTTCTGTTTCTGTACCTAAATAAATAAAATAAAATAAAATATGTATGTATTTCCCCGACTGCATAATACTATATTTCTACATCAACTTATTCTCATCTTTTCGAGTCGAGTTTTTTATTTTTGTAAATTATTTTTAACTGCCTAATTCATAAAGGTATTATTATTTGTACATTCGCATCGTCAGTGTGGCCAGTATAATAAATTTATATCTGTAATATTGTTAAACTAGCGAAACCTTACATGTGTATGTAATCTTATCTTAAGCCAATAAGGTTTAGCCTATAGCCATAGCCTCGTAATTTTGTATTACACCTCGTACGTAGGTATCAATTGATTTACTAAATTATAAAAATATTAGTATTTTATAATAATTTAATTTCGTTTAGTTTTAGTGCATCGTATATAGATAGATCGCTATTTATATATGTACATAGGGACTGCTTTATTGTTGTGATGCAGTTACAGTTGTGTGACCAAAAAACTTCGGTATGTACCAGTAGGTATCTAGAATGTACTTTTCGATACTTAGGCAACCACTATATATAAGTCAAGCCATAATAAGAATGAAAAAGTAGATATTTATTTGTTTTGAAAGACAATTAATGGTAAGTGTACCTGTCATAAAAAATGGCAATCTTTTTGTACTTGACAAATTAAACATTATAAAATTGAATAGTAAAAGAAATAATTGTAAAAAATCATTTCATTTTCTATAAGAAGGATCAGATCAAAATTAAATATCAACATACAGAATCTCAAATGAAAAAATTTAAGCTTGGCTCTCAGCACATTCTCGTGCTCGTATCACGGTCTATATGTATATCTGCAGTAAATTCTTCAGTGATGCTTACGAGCGAAACAAAAATAAATAATTATAATTTAAATGTTAAAAGTTTCAATTATAAAAACCTTTTAATACTAAAGAACAGAAAGAGCACGGAGAAAGGGATGCTATTTTCATTCAGAATCAATATTGTATCTACGTATTTTTTTAAGCAATTGCTTAATGATCATTCATTTCGATCTTAGTAGCTTGTAACTAAGTAATTATTAACTTAAATGCATATTAGTAGTTTATACTTATTTGAAGTAGATTATTAGCTTCTTTATTATATTTATAACCTATCAATCCTTACGTGGGTGTTTTTCTGTAAACTGGGCTTAACTCGCTGTCTCAGATACAACTATTATAAATCATAGTACCTATTTATTATATGTATATTTTAATTAGTTTCTTAGAAATTTACCTGGAGGTGTTACCCATCCACGTTAATAAATGAACTACAACGTAAACGACCTTAAGTTCCCACCTATGGTACTAGAAGTACTCGATCGCCAGTTTATTTATTGCCTTACAGCCGACAGTCCCTTGGGATTTTTATTTTTGTTTACGTATTGTATTTATATTTACGGGCATTTATTTTGTTATACTAGATACATCCGCGTTATATAAAATAACAAAACTTAATTATATTTTGTGCTACTTTCCTATAAAGTCAAATCCAACAATCCCCTGGTAGCAGTCTCCTGTCTCACACTTAGTAAGGGGACTATTTACGCCTTCGGGGAACTATATAAATATATGTTTTTTGATACTTTACGCACACTCATATGTTTTTAATCTGACACCAAGAAAAAATAACAGTCAAGAGGACTGCCTATAGAAGTGAAAACTTAAAACTATAAACAAACAGTTGTTATTTTTGGATATTCAAATTAATTGTAAGGCAGTGGTAGCCCAGTGGTAACGCGTTCGCTTGGGAAACTGAGGGAAGCGAGTTCAAATGCCGAGACTCGCACCTCTCATATTTCCATGTGCGAATCATTTCCAACATTATTACCACTTGTCTTAACGGTGAAGGAAAACATCGTGAGGAAATCTGCATGTCTGAGAGAACCTAGCAAGTTTTCAAAAGACATGTGAAGTCCGCCAACCCGCACTCGGCAAGCGTGGTCGGCCAGGGAGTGCCCAGCAGTGGGACGTTAAAAAGGGCTGAATACAATACATACAATTCAAATTAATTGTTTGATCTTAAATTAAATTTTGTAAATTAAAACTGTTGACATTTTATCTGGTTTTGACATTTATCGGCACTCTGACTGTTACATGAATTTACTCCCCATCCAAATCTGCCTATAGAAGTTTTTATTAAAAAAATATCTTTTTTTTAAATCTCTTTTTTAAGACATTCTACTTGTACTGAAACTCCAAACTTGTTAACAACATTATTTTACGACGATACTCAGAAGCAAAAAAGTGGAAGAAATGCAGCAAATACTGTTAAGAATTTAAAGAAATGTAAATTTCCCTTATATGGGAGAAAAATTCCCGCCTATTTCGCCTTTTTTAGAAAAAGCTCAATATTTTATATAATACCTAGTGGAAATATTTTTGGTTCTTCTGCCTTTTATTACTAAGTATTTAGATATTTATTCCCTTAATAAAAAAATTTCATAATACAAGCAAAAAAGTGACATAGACACTTTTGTTACGAAAGTTACCCAGTTTATAGAGAAATACCCACGTATATTTTGTCAAGTTAAGCACCGCGAGAAACAATATATGTAGGTGAAATATTGATTCAAAACTTCGCATAAGTAAATCTTTCATTTATCGGTGCTTATTGAGTCTGTTCTCATTCTTTGTTATATTTTTAGATGATAATTGACATCATAGACAATGGATTACTTTTGTTATTGGTGTAAAAGTCAAAGGACTTTAGAGGGAGTTACGGTGATAATTACAGGATGCAATACTGGTATTGGAAAAGAAACATGTTTAGATTTGTTTAAAAGAGGTTCGGTATTATGACAATAAAAATAAACTAAAAAAAACTCTGTTATAAATCTATCTTTTGTGAATCTTATATTTATTTTAGGTGCTAATGTTATAATGGCATGCAGGAATATAGAGAAAGCTACGGAAGCCCGCAAAGATATTATAAATCAAGCTACTATAGAAGGTCAAAATGGCTCTATACGAATTGAGGAACTGGATTTAAATAGCCTTAAATCTGTTAAAGATTGTGCTTTTCGTATTTTAGACCAAGAAAAGAATATTAACATTTTAATTAATAATGCCGGAGTAATGATGTGTCCTAAAGGTACAACAGAAGATGGATTTGAAATTCATATGGGAACAAATCATATTGGACATGCAATGTTAACTTTACTGCTACTGCCAAGAATTATAAAAAGTGCTCCTTCAAAAATAATAAATATTTCATCCGTTGCCCATTTTAGTAAGTAAATTAATATTAAACTTATTTTAATTTATACTTTAAATATATCAACAACAGCTTAAAAAGCTTAGCATGTTTGCAACCCGATTAAGGTGAAGCCCTAAGGAGAGTTATGTTACATACCTATATGTTTGAGTATGTCCGATCTTATGTTCCCTTGTAATTACGAAACGGCTAAATAGATTTTGGTGATTCAGACGCCGTTAGGTTCGTATTGATAACGCAAATATCATAGGGTACATTAATATTTAAAATCAATGGCGGACTTCAGGTGCTAATTTGCGAAAATGTTATGTAAGTAATGTGTAAAATACTACAAGTATATTCCTTCGTCAATTTGACCGCATTTTTTGGCTGACCCTATTGATACGGTAACTGTACGAATAGTTTATTATTAAGATACACGAGTAATATTTTTTATCAATACAGTTACTGGACAAATTATATAGATTTAGGACCGATCCACACTATAGTGCTGATCACGGTTCGCTCTCAGTCCGATATCGCTCTGGTAAAGCATTGTTATACAAGGAAAAATGAGTACATTCATACTATCAGTAAGAATCACGTTCCGGTCGAATCCCACTCCAGCAACGTTTTTTGTATAAAAAAACTTTACCAGACCGATATCGGACCAAGAACGGACTGTGTTCGTCCAATTATCTCTTTAATTAATTTAAATTTGAAATTTGTTAAAACGTACATCTCAAGTGATTGAAAATTGAATCTGGACGAATAAAAATATATTAGTCGTAAAGTAACCGGATTAGTAGTCACTTCCCATCTTTTTAATTAGCTTATTACGGAGTCGGATTTTTTAAGTTATTTGTAATGATTTATCACTTCTACAATATTCGAATATTTCTAGTATGTTTATCCTACGTTATAGTAGTTCTAAATATATATTTGTTTAACTTTTAAAAACAAACTAAAATAAATATTATTTATTATTTTCGAATTCCATATGGAAGTTGTTTTTATTTATACCATAAAAGGTCCTTTTTATTTTCAGTTTCAAATTTGGATCTTGATGACATAAATAGCGAAAAATGCGAATATTATGCAGCTAAAGTGTATAGTAACAGTAAAATAGCAAATATTTTATTTGCTAGGGCCATTCATCTCAAACTAAGAGTAAGTGTCTACAATAGATAATTTGATTTCGTAATCTCAAAAACGTTCACAAAGTAAAAAGAATGTTACTAAACATTATCTAGAAAAATAAATCTAGAAAAAATTAGTGCGAAGGAGTAACAAACTCACATACATATAAAATTTTGTATTTAGGTTCCTAGTAGTTTACGTACTGTGATAACGAAAATACAAATTTTGCGAAATAATTTATAAAATATTTTTTGAAATAGGACTACTCTATAGAGAACGTGAATACATACAGCTTACATCCCGGTCTAGTTCGGACGGAGTTGAGCCGACACTTCAGCGATACTATGATACCTGGTGGCACTTGGTTTTTTAATAATATTATAGGCCTGTTTATTAAATCTGCTCGATGCGGAGCGCAAACTACTATCTATTGTGCAGTAGACGAGGCTTGCGACAAGGAAAGTGGACATTACTATGAGTGAGTACCTATAGGCTGGTTGGTATTTTTAATGTCATACAAATTTTTTTCGTAACATTGGCAAGTTGTACTAAAAACATTGCTTGAAGTCATAATAAAATAATAATATTGAAATTTTTTAAGGTGCTTTTGTTTTAGCATCTCTCTCTAGTTAGAAGTCCGCTATATTTAAAAGAGTTTAAGATTTTATTCTTAATCTTGTACCCATCTTTTTAGATACTTAATGGTATTTACCATTTACCAATCATTTTAAATACCTAGGAAAAAATATAGATATTAAATTTTATAATTTTATTTCAGTGACTGTCACATTGCGCAACCCAGTCCGCAGTGCAGAGACGACGAAACAGCGCTAAATTTTTTTGATTTAACTGTTAAGATGCTAAAATTGGATAATTTTAATTCATTTGGCGAGCTTGACCCAAGTCCAAGTCTTTTTAGCTAAGTTATTTAAAACATATTTCACAAGAATAAATTATAACTCGTCAATTTAATTACATATAGATATATTAATGTTTAAGAAAAATCTGGAATATTTAGGTAATCTTCCTGTTGTTTGGGTAGATTGCGTAGTGCGTTCCTAGTTTTGAAGGTTCCACTAGCAGGTTTTTCACAAAAAAACATATATGGAACTTTGCAATTCTCAGTAGCCAATAGACCGCTTCGTTTAAATCCACCGCAACGATCCTCTGATGCCGTCAAGTTACCTGGACACTTGAAATCCCAATCCAATTGGTTTAATTGCAGCCGTTCACCTTGTACAAAAAATAATTGATTGTATTCTGAGCTCGTGGAATATTTATAAATTACATTGAAAGTTGTTAGTTCAACTATGTGTTGATGAGATATCATATACTTAGTGAAAAAGTAAATAAAAATAATAGGTATTTCATTATTATAAATGTTTTCAATATTCATGTTTTTAGGTAGGTAGATCGCATTAGTTGTGTTGCTAGTATACCTAGTATTAGTGATTATGTGTGATATTGGTTAGTTTATTATATTATTTTTTTGCAATTAAGTGATGTTTGGTTACTTCTTAGCTTACCCCCCACCATATTTTCTACCTAAATAAGTCTATAGGAAATTAAATAAACATTACGCTTACCGCCAAACATAGTTATTTATAGAAGTCGGTTAATTATTTATTTTTTAATTAATAACTTATTACTGTATATGTTAAATTATCTATGAAGAATGTTTAAAATAAATAAAATTTTAAAAAAGACTCATAACTCTTTTCTTAAAAGTCAAACACTCAGATAATAAAAGTTATTCATAATACTATTCCAAAAGCCAGTTGGGAATTTACGTAGCGTAATAAACAAAAGTATATGAAAACAATGTTCTACTCTGCCACAAAAATTAAAATGAAGAAAATAAACTTACAAACAAGAACAAATAGACTTACCAAGAACCGTCCGGTAATGATATCTCTGAAATAAATCGCTAAAACCTAAATATGCAAAATCTCCTGGTGTTTTGTGTTGGTCTACTTGTTTGAAAACATCTCGAATATACTGTGATTCTTCTCTAGAGTTTAAGATTGCAAGATATCCACCCGCAGAGTAACAGGTAGAATATGCCTCGTACCATGTTTGTGGTTCTAAGTGAGTGATGTAGCAAGTACCATTTGGTCCCAATTTCCAACCTAAGTAAATATTTAAGTATATGCTGTAATTTTCACAATTGAAATATAATAAAAAAATATATAATAAATTATGTAGTTACAGAATAGTTATAAAAAGTTATATTAAAAACATATACCTACTAGACACAGAGAAGATATTAGGTATAAATCTGGTTTTTTTTACACCAATAGAATAATTTAGGCAAGTGGTTGCGGTGTTCATAAAACGATTAACCACTAATAAATTATGTTTTGGAATTCAACCCCTCAAAGAGTTAAAAGGTCAAGTTTTATTTGGGAAACTACTAACAGATTTAATTTTTGAAGTTACATCGTCAATATTTGCCCAATATCTGAAGTTAATCGGTATCCTAAAATGTTCGTAAAGTAGCAGAGAAAGATTAAAATCGTGCTTACGTGAGTCAAACGTATCGCAATCTGGATAATATATTGTTTTAGAAGCCACTATTTTACACGCAAAAGGTAAACCATCTAAACAAGGATGTACAAAAAGCCGTCCGTTTCTGCGTGTTGCTACACACCGTCCCCCGCTGTGTAACGGCTGCTTCAACTCCCACAGCAATTCTAAGATACTATCTTGTATGTAACTACCTAAAAGTGGTGTATTTACGAATAAGTAGGTACAAAATAATTTGTTAGGTAGGTACTTGCGACCGAGCCAACTTCGATTCACTTAGATGTGTATTTGGTGGAGTTGGATATGTATGTACTAAAAAACCAGAAGCAATTGAACTGAATATTTTAACTTTTTTTTCAGTTGACTAGCTTAATAAGTGGGTGTCTTTCTGTAAGCTGGGCAACGATCTCTCTCTCTCTCAGATAGATATAACATACAACTATCGTAATATTATTATTATTTTTAGATAGACCTATTCCATTTTTATTACATATTTGTAAAAACGTGAAAAAGGAAAAAGAATTCGGTCTCAGTATTTTGAAAACAGTCCACATGTCCACATTTTGAATTACACAGTAAGTAGTACTCTATTGCTTAACCATCCACGTTAATATGTGAAATACAACGTGATCGTTACGTACACCTGAAGTTACCATATCGCCAGTTTACTACATGACCGTCGCTCCGAAAAAATCACATGGTTACCTTACAGTCGACAGTAGTGACAGGGGCGGCTTATTTATATTTAATAATTGTATTTATATTACCGAGCATTTATCTCGCTATATTGGATACGTCCACGTTATGTAAAATAAAATAACAAAAGTTAGGTCGTGCTACTTTCATATAAAGTCTAACCCAACAGTCCCTTGGGGACAGTCCCCAGTATCACACCTAGATAGGAAACTATTTCTGCCTCCAGGGGACTGTATAATTATGCGCGTGTAATATATTATATGGCATATGCATATCTTTTTAAAGTGGCACCAAGAAAAAAAGGAAGACATTTTACGAAGAAAAATGAAAGCCCAAACTTGTAAACAATTTAACTCCACGAGGATCCTGAAATGCAAAAATACTATCAAGATTTTAAAGAAATGTAAATCTCTCTTATATGGGAGGAGAGATAACATTTGTTATGAAAGTTGCCCTATTTAACATCGGTATCTTTAATTATAAGAAAAAAATAAATATTTTCCCGAAAAATGGCTCCAAAGTATTTATTCAATCTATTTACTTGATATCTAAGGGGATGATGGAAAAAATAAATGGACCAACAAACTTTCCGGTAACCTCCAGGATCATAATTCGTAATCTTCAAGCGTTTTTAGCTTAAAATGAAAACTTATTTTTTTTTAAATAAAAGCAGACTTTCAGGCACTAAAATGTAAAAAATAACTTAACGGGGTTTTCATTTAGAATAGATACCTAATCAGATATTTTCGAAGTCCTGCGTGCGTAAAAGTTCAAATGTTACTGAAAATCTCTCATTTTGGACAAATTGTTAGACCAGTTACCATAAGGTCGAAGTTTGGCATCTCACAAGTAGTATTTATTGCAATTTTTTTCTCTCATAAATATATTATCTTATCAAATATGGTCGATAATATCGTGGTCAATTGGCCAAGGTCCAAGATCAAAAATCATCAGGTGTCCAGGTTCGAATCTCGGTCGCAATCGAAGTTTTTACTTTTGTTTTTTTTTTTAATATTTATTCAAGTTTTTAGTTTAAAAAAGAAAAAGAAAATTGTACTTTAGGCCAAAAACTCCGAGCGAAGCTCGGTAGCCCAGGTACTGTAAAGATCAAATCGTATGATGTAATTTTTTTCGTTAATCGGGCCTCGGGGGCGGAAATAAGGCTTTATCGATCGATACCCTTCCTTTTTCTTAAACCTTCATGACTTTGGTCAAAGACTGACAGTATATTAGGGAGCTTTGTTAATCTGACATTAAAATATGCTTTTTTATTTCCATATTCCTTTTAACTTACCTTTAATGGTAACGAAAGTTCTTTCTGAGTATAAATCATGTATGCCGACGTATACACCGCTATATTTAGTAAGTATTGGGGCTATGAGCAAAGGTATACTGTCTGCTTCGTCCAGACTCTCTGGTACAAAGAGTTCGGTCCCTTCGGCTTCACAACGCATACGTGCATGGTACCAATTCACAGCTTCAGAGTGTAATTTGTAAAAAACCCCAAATGCCTTTTCATATCGGTAGTCTTCGCGAAACTTTGGCCTTTTTGATTCTGATATGAGTTCAAGGAGTTGATCTATTTTGTTTATTTATAAAACTTAAGGAAAATGACGGCTACGAGTACTATGAGTTATTTTTTGTGTAATATTAGGTATTTATACAAATCATTGATAGTAAATTCCAATTGGATAATCTTAATATATTTTTTTTTATTCTTTATTAATATATTTCTTCTGTACGTGTGTTTGTCACCTACCTCCTCCTAAACGGCTGGACCGATTTGCATGAAATTTTGGGTATATACTACAATGGGTTCCTGGATGGTTTGAAAACACAATTGGACCCGGTAGGTGGCGCTGCTGTCGGTGTATCATCAAATTATTATTAGTTATAACATAGTCAAATACTTTTTTTATTACTTTTTTTTAGTATTAGTTTGAACGCGGGCGAAGCCGCGCATTATGTTAGTTAAAAATATTTATTTTGTATGTGCTAATGCATCAAAAACTATATTTTCTTACCAATAAATGCAATAAATATTAACAGAACACAGAAACGGAGTTTAATAAAAATATTATTTTTCATTGCTCTTTCCTCTCATCAAACACGTGCGTAGGCACATTTTACGACCCCGAAAAGAAATTTGATATTTATTCGATTATTCTGTACTTCATAGCTACATGAAAATTAAAAAGAAAACAATGTGTTTAATTACTAGAAATTTTATTTCCTTTTTAAGATCTACTGAAACAGAATGTCATAAATAATATTTAGCAATATAAATAATGGATTTTTTAAATATGTAGGTATTATTTCAATTTTGTCAACTATTATAAATCCAGAAACATAAGTACATAATTTTTTTAAGTTATACTTCTTGTGGGGCGTTTGGAAAAAATTGTGAGTAAAATTTTTACGATGTGCGCGCACACCGACAGCCAAAAAGCGACATGATGAAGTTACTAGATAGCTGATAACTGTTTGTTGTCATATTAACCGTTGTTATTATCTGACAAATGATATATAATATTATACTATTTTCTAAAATGATATTCCTTAATTAAATGATTGTAAAATGCCTTATTTATTTTATTAATTTATCATTCCTTTTACAAACAGAGACTTGTGACATAAGGGATGAAATCTTTAGCTGTTTTTGTTCTGTTACGCCAAGGAAATATAACTTCTTATATGCGTACATAAGTAGACACACACACACGTTTTTTTTATTCTTCTTTAATCTATACAGATATAATTTATAAATTGCATAGAGATTGATAATATTTATTTAAACCTTATCACAAGCTTACATTAGATATCTATCACAATACTTGAATAAATAAGCACATTTTAAATTTGTAAATGCTGTACAAACTTAATAATAAAAAATATATTTAAAAACACTATAATAATACTCAGTTAACCATAATATACATATCTCTAAATGAGAAATAATATTAAAAAACAGATAACAAATAACTTGTGACAAACAATGCATGACTAGGAATATAGAATTTTCCTAAAAACTTCATATGACGCATTTATTATGCCCCAGCTTAAAAATGCTCGCGATATATTTAATAGAGCGCCATGGTAGAAATTTTTAAATTTCGATCCACGTTTGTGTAGAATATAGTTAAATTCATAAATAAGTGTACGATGGGGTCCACCAAGTTGGCATTGCATGGTTATTTTAATTACATTTAGTGGATAGAAGAGAGTGCTTAAAAGAGCACCTATTGTAGCACCAGCTATAAAATTTTGCAAACTATCATACAACATGTTTTCTTGCTTAGGCAATCTTTCACGCACTTCATCACGAATAATAAAAAACATAGCATTAGATGGTCCATTTCTCAGCAGAATTGGTACCAGTCCTCTATAAAATTCTTTTATTCCATAGTGTCTAGAAATATGACTAGCAGCATGGGCAGTATTCTTGAACTCCTGGTGGTATTTTGGGTGAATGAGCAAAGTTTGAAGCCGCTCAAAAGGCAAAAGTGTTGCTTCAAAACATCCAGCAACCATACCCGCAACAGTTTTGGCAAAATATGGATTAGTCTTGTAATCTAAGAGAGGCTGTAAACATTCATCATAGACACCAAACATGAGTGACATAGACATTGATCTTTGTAATAATGGTGGGAGCATACCACGGTATAAATACCCTAAGCCTTCTTTTTGCAATTGGTTTAATGCAAATGTAGCTTCTACTCCATGCATCATCTGCAATTATTAAGTTAAAGAAATAATTATTTTTATTTTACTTAAAATGTTATACATTAAATTTTTTTAAAAAATGGTTATTAATTAAAAAACAAAAAAGCCATATTCTTTAATGACCCTATATGCATTGACATATAAAAGAAATAAAATTGATACCTGTCTAAAGATGAGTTTGTTGAGTGGGTAACTAATAAGAATATTACAAAATGCTGCTCCTCCACCACAAACAAATTCTTTCCAGTGCTGTTGACAGCTATTGGTTCTAACTGGTACAGACATTCTGTCTTCATTGAGAGTTGAGACAGCTTCTTTGAAGTAATTGATATTTTGACATTTCAGAGTCTCATTCACATAAAATTTATTTTATAGCCATTTTCTAAAAAAATTACACATTTTATAATAAAAATTGAATAGGTTAATAAAATTGTTATTTATTGTAAATGAATTATAATTAATAAAATGTATAAAATTACTTGGGAAGACACTAAATATACTAATACATAAAGATTAAATATAAAGTAATCTTAAAAAACTTAAGGCTAAAACATCTACTTCATTTAAATATTATACATTTTTTTTGAGATTGTAATCCATTTAAATAATAATAAATAAATATTAATCATGTTTTCATTTTTATAAGCTAAAAACTTTAAGTAATGTTAAATTCAAGACTTACCTACATTCTTAAATAATTAAGTATAATCAGGATTTACAGTCTCCATCAAGACCATTCTATAAGGTTATCCTATATTTATGAAAACCGATCAGATTTTAAATGAATCAATACCTTAAGTTATTTATTACTAAAACAGAGTTAATATATTTTAATTAATTACTTTAGGATAAGAAAATTTGAGATTATAACCCCTCGTTCTTTTCACAATTTAACCTAAAATGTCAAAAGTCAAAACGACATTAAAATTAATGATGTAATTTGACAATTCATTGAATGACACTTGACAGTAAAGATGTTTATTCAATATTTTGAACAGATTGATTCCTGAACAGAGTTACACTTACACGCATTGACGAGTGATGACAGTACAGACGATTCATAATAACATTTCTGCACGATATTGCCCCTAGAGCCACTAAATAAAAGAATTGAATTGTATGAACTTAGAATAATATTTGAAAGTAATATCACTTTCATAGACTACTTATAATGCGAAGACGTAGTTACTAGAGTGTATTAGTTGTAGTTAGTAGTTAGTAGTTACTCTGTACCATAGAGTATATTGCTATTTGCTCATGGTACTCACACCATGGATGACAAATAAAACTCACACTAATGACTAACTACTCAGTTACATTTTTTATTTGTCATCCATGGTTACATTTGTCATCCATGTCAGTTACTGTTTACTTTGCATTGGTGTTTTACGTAAAAGACAAATACTTAATTATTAACATTATTTCTTAGTGAATTTGTTATTATATTAAAATGGCAGCGGTTTTAAAAAAAAGAGCTTTAGCTGAATATAACAAATCATTTCAGGTATTATAATACCTGAAATTATAATATTACATGAGATATTTATGTTTATAGTTTATCTTCTTCTCCTTATGTTTCTTTCTTCCATTTTCCTCTCTAAGCCCTCATCTTGAACAGCACAACTTTCACGGATATATACTATTTGACACCGCCCATCTAAACCTTCATCTCTGTATCTCTTCTACATCCATTCAAATCTAGTGCAGGTTTTTAACCTTGAACACACTTGCTTATATGACTTTCTTTCTTCATGATATACCCATGCCACCCTTAGCTATCATTCCCCTGCTTGTCTGTCACTTTATAACTATAAACACAATACACATAATATGCTTCTAATATACTTTTTGATCATAACATTTTATTTATTAGGATGGGCCCTCTTCAAAGAAATTGCATTTAGTAAAGAAACCTTTAATAGGCAGTTCTGCTGCAGCATTTGTTGGGTTATTAGAGAAATGTAAATCAAGCGATGAGGCTTTGCAATTGTTGCTGCGGATATCAGACTGTCTCCAATTTCAAGAATCAGATGTGGAAGAAGCTATTAAAAAGCTATCAGAACATTTTCAAAGTCAAGAAGAATCTGTAGTAAGGGTGAAGATACTGTGGTTGTTCTGTGATATAGGATTAGAGTGCCCTGGAGCTAATTTAAATAATTTAATTGATGAAACCACACATTTAATTAAGAATGAAACTTCACATAAGGTATAGCAATTTCATCATTATTATAAAATTTATAGGGTTTCTTCTTAATTTTTTTTATAATAACATTATTTTTTGTTTAGGTTATAGCTCAAGGCATAGCAACATTACTTAAGTTAGGTAGCAAGCTGAGTGATGATAAAATTCTTATGATGAGACTGGTAACAGTTGCTAAAGACAATCTTAAGGATACCAGTCATCAAGTAAAATGCCGCTGTTTACAACTTATAAGTGAGCTGTATCCAATATGTCCTGAACCAGATAGAACAACAGAAATGATAAATGAAGCAAATACAATTGTTAAATTACTTGGAGACTATAGCAATGCTGAGGTAGATTGATATTTAAATATATTTCTAGTTCCTTATGTGACAACAGTAACATTAATGATATTTAACATGATAATAATAGTATAATAATTGAATTGTTTTAATGTATTAAACACCATGCTAATTTTGCATTGTTTTATTCGTTACTCGTTTAAGCCTATGGTTGATAATAACATAAAGCCTCAAAAAACATAGTTGACTGCTATTTGTATTTCCATGAGAGGATTCTGTAAAGTATATTACGATATATTCTATCTCCTTATAAATGTATGTATTGAGCCCTTTTTATCGTCCTACTGCTGGGCATGGGCCTCCCTTCAATACAAGAGGGATCAGGCCATAGTCCACCACGCTGGCCAAGTGCGGGTTGGCGGACTTCACATGTCTTTTTGAAAACTTGCTAGGTTCTCTCAGATGTGCAGGTTTCCGCACGATGTTTTACTTCACCGTTAAGACAAGTGGTAAGTTTGTTACATTTATGTTATAAATGTACCAAACTTTAATGTTTCCATAGAATTTCATGGAACCCCTTATATATTATATACAAGTGAATCACCCTCGCTGCTCTCGGGTTTGTCCCTATTTACGTTTTAACATTTAGTATAGATTCTCAGAGATGAGATATTTTCTTGCAGGAAAAAGTATCTTATATGTTAGTTACAATGGACCAAAACTGGTCGACGTAGCTAGGGCCGACCTCGGCACCACACCCAACATAAATAATAATAATCCTATATGTTGACTTGGATAACCAGCTATCATCATACCAAATTTTATCAAAATCTGTCCAGTGTTTTCTGTTGTGATGGATTCACAGATAGGCAGCCAAAAATTCTAAAAACTATAGATTCTGTGTCTTTATTGTTAATAATGTCTATTTCACTAAGATTTTCAAAAAATATTCAATGTAAAGATTCGGCTTGGTTATAATTTTATTATATGTATATTTAATTACATATTACAGGATGCTAGGGTTCGTTGTGAAGCTTTCCAATCTTTACTAACATTACATGAACGTGGTCTCACACTCAGCGCAGATTTGTATGACCCAGTATGTGCTGCACTCTCAGATGATTATGAGATAGTCAGGGAGGTGGCACTAAAACTTGTGTGGTTGTTGGGAAATAAATATCCAGAGAAGTAAGCAAAATTTATGTTCAGTATAAATAAATTTTATAAATACAAAATATGTGCTTAATATACATAAATCTGCTTGGCTTGGCTGCTTATTATTAATAAGAGGTATTTTGATTAAACCCTTTTGATAGAGCCTGTGCAATTAAGAAGTGAAGTAATTTTTTTTTGTGTAATCGTTGCAGGCATATACAGAATAAGCCACCAGAGTTTCATCACAATTGGTCAATATAAAGAGAACAAGAAACAAACATAAGAAAATTATTTTTATTTATATACATTATGTAATCCTATATAAATATTGTTAAGCTTTTTCAGTATGCTAAATATTATACTCATTACACAGCACAGCAACATTACAAGATGGTGAAACAACAATACGCCTAGTGGACGATGCGTTCATACGCATCTGTTCTGCGGTCAATGACCTTTGCATGCAGGTGAGAGCGCTGGCCTGCTCTCTACTGGGCACCACTCGAGCTGTCTCTGACAGGTTCCTGCTACAGACCCTGGATAAACAGCTGATGAGTAATATGAAGGTATTTCGTTTTTTATCTTATTTAAACTCAATTTGGTATTGTTACAATAATGTCTTATATGGCTTATTACATCTGATTTATTTTTAAGACATTATGTAGAATATAAAGAATAACTTCACAGAGTATGTTAATTTTGTGTCAATAATAGCTTCATAAAGATGGATAGATGCTCCTGGTTTGGCCTCTGACATGAAGATACTGAATCATCCAAAATTAAAATAAGCAATTGTGTTTAACTATCCCTTCTGATTAAGTTCAAGTTCAATTTCTTACTCTTCGTTTTTGCATATTTACTAACAAAGGTCTAGCCGGATAAATTGGACGGAACGAAAATAAATAATGTATTCGCATGATAATCTCATAAATATTATTTTCGAATGCGCTTTCTTTTTAACGCAATTATTATAATTATAAAAAAGTAATTTAAGTTAAAATAACGTTTTTTTTAAAACACTTTCCACAAGACAATTTCGGTTAAAGATCCGGAAGTCCTGGTTTCGAGTCCCGGGTCGGGCCAAGTTCAGTTATTGAGTATTTCTTCAGTTATTAAGAAAATCTCAGTAACAGACCTGAGTTGGGAGTGTCGCGTCGGTCCTGCGCCTTAATTCTCACTGGTCATGTCGAGCAGTCGTCCCACCGGACTATGAGAGTGCACTAGTGTTTACGCGCATATTTGTGCACTATAATATCTCTTGCGCAGTTGGCTAGTCTCAATGACGTTGGCCGTCATAATCGAAATCGGCCGAGAGGAAATTATTATTATATTTATTTCATCTCGCTTCGCTCGGGTTCGTCCCTAGATCTTACATTTTAATTGTTTTGAGCGGAACCCTATTTCTTTTACTGAAATAAAAATAGCCTAAGTTACTCCTTACAACATCAACTACCTGACAGTGAAAGTTTCGTCAAAATCGGCCCTGCCGTTTCGGTGATTATCCGGAACAAATAGACAGACAAATATTTTAAAAATTGTGTTTTTTTTATAAATACCGTATATGATGATGTTCTCCTAGCCGATTCCGGCTACGGCGGCCAATCTCATTGAGATTAGCCAACTGCGCAGGAGATATTATAGTGCTCAAGTGTACGCGCAGACACAAGTGCACTCTCTATTCCTATCACTTTCATACTCCGGTGGGACGACCACTCGACACGACCGGTGAGAGTTAAGGCGCAGGACCGACGGCTTTACGTGCTCTCCGAGGCACGGGGGTGAAACACCGCCAACTTCCCAACTCCGGGCTGTTACTGAGACTTACTATACAGAAAGACTCAATAACTAAACTTGGCCCGACCCGGGACTCGAACCCAGGACCTCCGGGTGTGCAGCCGTACATGCTAGGCACTACACCACCGAGGCAGTTATACCGTATATAATTCCATATGTATTTAGTAAAAACCTGTTATTTTGACATTACAAACAGACACTTCAATTTTATTTACTTGTATAGATTCCCATTGGATATCTGATCTGATATCTACATTATATATCTGATCGTGTAAACAGAAAAAGCGTACAGCCCACGAGCGAGGCGCGGAGCTGGTACGGTCGGGCGCGTGGGCGAGCGGGCGGCGCTGGGCGGACGACGCGCCCGGCCAGCTCATAGAGCAGGCGTCCGTGCAGCTGCTGCCGGGCGGGGCCGCCGGCGCCTTCGTGCACGGTCTCGAGGACGAGTTTTTGGGTAAGTAGATTAATAGCAATATTATCTTATATATATTATATATAAGTAATATTTACATATGTTTTGTTTGTGTATTTTATGTTTGTAATAATTATAATGAGTAGCCTACAATAACGTTTTTCGAATCCTCATGGACCTGAAGCGTTATTGTAGCGCTTTAGAAATGTACGCGGAGGCTAGGGTCGATTCATTCAATGCCATATAACGTAAGAGGATTGCATCGTTCATGTCCAGGGTTGATACGTGTAATAATGGCATTTTTAGAAGTCTGTCTGCTAGGCTGATGCTGTCAGCAATGTACCGACGCTGGGTGGATATTGCCACCTAGTATCTATTTGTAATTTATATTGTTTATATTATTTTATTTTTATTGTATTATTGTATGTGTACTATAGATCAAGGGTCTGAAATAAAGAATTATTATTATATTATTATTATTATTATAATGTAGTTAGTGTAAGTGGCGTCGCCGTTCTAATTGGATGTAAAATAAATCAATAAAATAAATAGCATTAATAACTTGGATATTTTTGACCATTCAATAGAATATAATAGAAGTATTAATTTTATAAATTAATATAATTGTAATTAAGCACTAATTTAATTATAATAGTAATTGTTAGCATATAAGGTATTTAATTTATTGTTTAGTTTAGTTTTTTTTTATTAGACATTATAGTAAAAATTTAAGTTAGATTTTATTTTTACCGTCTAATTATAATATTTAAGTGATACATGTTGTGTTTACCCAAGTGGCTTTGCGTTATAGATTTGTATTTTTAATGTTGTTTCTTGTGTATGTGTGAAATGTAAAGTTGTTGGTGAAGCTGATAAACAGAAATAAAAAGGTTGTGGGTTCGAGGTCTGGATCGGGTTATATAATTTACATTTTACTGCTACGAATTATTCAGTAACAGAACATCACATCGAGAACGAGTTGATGGAAATCGGTCAGAAGGATGTTTGTTTTTATTAGAGCTTATATGGTGGTATAAGTAAAAATTAACAGTAAAACATATGTATATATAGTCATTTTATTTTATTTTTTGGTTACCGGCGTTTTAATTGCTTTACAGCAGACATGGCGATGTTAATATTTTAATGCGAGTAAATCTACGGATTTACTATTAATGTCGCCGTATTAGTATTTTATTGCGAGCAAAGCCGAAATGTATAGTACCGTACAGTTAATATGTTGTTTTAAATAAATATTATTTTGCAGAGGTCCGTACAGCGGCAGTTGAGGCTGTTTGTCAACTGTCGATGGAAAATCCAGTTTTCGCTACAACATCCCTCGATTTCCTTGTGGACATGTTCAACGATGAAATAGAAGATGTGAGGTTGAGAGCCATTGATAGTTTGACCAGAATATCGCACCATATCATACTCAGAGAAGATCAGTTGGAAATCATTTTAGGAGCGCTCGAGGTAAGATTTATTTTATTTCAGCAATATATTGTGTAGACTGTGGAATTGAGAGGTTTTTGGCGACATAAATTGTATTCAATTTATATCTTTAACATAAAAACAAAATTATACATTAAAGTGTCTAAATAATAAAATTGTTAGAAAATATTTTAATATTATGTGAGAAGTAGCTGGTGGTAGCAATAGCATTTTAGATATTTAGTTAGAGACATACTCAGATATATCGATAGTCGATTATATTTATTGTTATTTTTGTCCTATTGTAGGACGAATTCGTCACACATACGTAATAAATATGTTGTGTATACAACATATTTATTACATAACTAGCGACTCACCCTCGCTCCGCTTGGGTTCGTCCCTGGTTACATTTAGTATACACTTCTCAGAGATGATATATTTTCCCGCAATAAAAAGTATCCTATATGTCGACCCGGATAACCAGCTATTATCATACAAGATTTCATCAAAATCTGTCCAGTGGTTTCCCCTGATGCATTCCCCGACAGACAAAAATTCTAAAAAGTATAGATTCGGCCTCTGTATCGATAATAATGACTATTTGAAAAAGTTTTCCAAAAAATATTTAATGTACACATTCCACTCCGAATTTTATTATATGTATATAGGTACTAATATTTTTGTCTTGTTTTGTGTTGTTGTATTATTTATTTTCTATATATTATTTAATGTTTACCAATTTCATTGACATAATATTGTGACATACTGTATTCCCTTTATTATTCCCAGGATTATTCAATGGACGTCAGAGAAGGCTTGCACAGAATGTTGGGCTCCTGTACTGTGGCATCTAAAACGTGCCTTGAAATGTGCATTGATAAAATTCTGGAGAATCTCAAGCGATATCCACAGGTGAGTAGATTTTTTTTCATATTAGTATCTTATTGGTAAATACAAATCGGGTGTCTGCGCCGCCACATTGTTCCTAAGCCACTTCTACCGCGGTAGCTTACATGACGTTTGAGATTTATTAGTTTAACATTTCTAGATATTTACTTGTGTTTGTTACTTCTTTGGCTGAAACGACTGGACTGATTTAAACGATATTTAATACTATTGGGAACTTACAGACGCACCCAAGCGAAGCAAGGAGAATTAGTAGTCGCTAGTATATTTAGAAGATTTTTAACATTTCCAGGATAAAAGATCGACATTTCGATGCGTGCAGCAAATGGGCAGCAAACACGCGACCCTGGTGCTGCCGCTCACGACGCGCCTCCTCGCCGTGCACCCGTTCTTCGACATGCCCGAGCCAGACGTTGAAGATCCAGCTTGTATCCTTTTTCATAGATTTAATCGATTTTGTAGGCTTTAGTGTTGTTTTGGAAATCGATTTTAATCAAAATATATAAAGTCATATAGATTTGAATGTTTGTGGATATATAAAAATGCATGATAATGCATTAATTTGATTACGTTCAGCTAATTTGGGTTGGGTATTGACGAACTCTTTAATTGTTACTAGTTATACCTTTGTCCTCATTTTATTTATCTGTCTAAGTTACTCAAAAATGACTTTTTTTGTGGTAAAAAGTCTATGTGAGTGTATAATAATAGGATGTAAATATGATCAGGTTGATTTTATGTGAAAAATTTGTTTTGTTTTGATAATTGAATGTTTTTTTTTAAAATACTACTGCGAAATAGGTTTATCATATTAATACACACGTTATCACGGATACTTAAAATAATATATAAAAGTGCGTTCAGAAAAGTAACCTACGAGAGAATGAGATGAATATAGAGTATCAGGAGTAGGATAATTATAAGGTTTATTTTTTTATAATATTTTTACCAACTTTAAAAGTTATTTTACATTTTATTTGACATAAATATACATTTGTCAGACAATAACAACGGTTACCATGGCAACGTGGCAATGTATTCTATCTCATTCCTTCGACGGCTTAATTCACAACGATTCTAAAAAAGTCTCACTTCAAAAAAAACCATAAACCTATATCTTATCTTATATGTTAATCTTATATCTTTAAACAATCAATTTTTGTATATAAATATATATATTATAATCTGAATCTCGGAAACGGCTCCAACGATTTTCATGAAATTTAGCATCCAGGGGGTTTCGGGGGCGATAGAGCGATCTAGATTAGTCTTATGTCTGAGAAAACGCGTGTTTTCGAGTTTTCATGCAGTTCTATTTTGCATTATTCCACGCAAAGTATGGTCGGTAATTTGCACGCTCTGGCATAAGCATCGTGGTCAAGCGGCCAAGATGCAAGATCAACAATCACAGGTGTCCAGGTTCGAATCTCGGGCGCATACAAAGTTTTTACTTTTGTTTTTTTTTTAATATTTATTTAAATTTTTAGTTTTTAAGAAACAAAAGAAAATTGTACTTCAAGCCAAAAACTCCGAGCGAAGCTCGGTAGCCCAGGTACTGTATAAAATAAAGTCGTGTTAGTTACACCATTTATAACTTAAGAACGGCTGGACCAATTTTTATGATATTTGATTTTATGGATTTTTTTAGTCCGGGATAGGATAATAAGTATTAAAACATCATAAAAAATAACGAAAAAAACATATTAATATTTATATGGCTAACGCTGGCTAATAACTATTTATATCTATTTAAAACGTGTAAAATAATATAAACAAAATAAACCTTTAACGAACAAACCAAAGACATGTGCGTCCTAATTCTGGTGCTGAACGCGGCGCAGCACTGCACCACCATGCTGCCGCTGTTCGAGGAGCACACCGTCAAGCACTACACTTATCTGAGGGACACCATGCCGCATCTGGTGCCTTATCTGCCTATTGGTGAGATTCTTTTTACTTGTGTTTTCTAATAACTGTTAAATTATAGTTTTATTTAGAAAAATATTACTCTATTCATTTATTTCGTTTATTTTATATTGATATAAATCATTATCTATACATATAATAAAACTGTAGATGTCAAATGTCTGTACATAGAACATTTTTTTTGCTAAAAACCGAGTGAGGGGGATATAAGAAGAAAATTAGAACAAATCCAGATTTAATACTTTCTTAGATTTACGCAAATATTTGACATTTTAAATAAAACTATCTTTTCGGATTTTGTCGCGGATTTATTTGTATTTTTGTTTCCCGACGTTTCGAATGCTTTACAGCATCCATGGTCACGGGAGAGACTGAGGTGTTACATGTCTTAAAGATATAGTTGTTACAGACAGTCTACCCACAATTAACAAAATGAAAATTGCACCAATTACATTACAATATTTTAACTTTAAACATTTTTATAATTTTAATTATAATTGAATATGGAAAATTATTTATTTAATTTTTGCTATTATTTTTATAATTATTACAATTTTAAAAATATTAATTAGTAATCTATATTTAGTGTTGCCATTATTATATTTATAACCATAAGAAAAATATAAAATATAGTATTAATTATTTAAGCCACAATTGATCTATGTGTAATTTGAAAAAGTTAAGATTAATTAAAAATAATAATTTTAATTTAAATTTGCTATTATTTAAAAAAAATCAGACATTATCATACTACGCGCAGACAAGGGAAATGCCACCGTCGTGATGGATACATCAGATTACAATGAGAAAATTAAACAACTTTTGTCGGATGAAAGTACATATAAAAAGGTCAAAACAGACCCAACCACCACTGTGTTAAATAATACTAAAAAGCTGATTAAGAAACACTCCGATGCATTGAATCTTGATGTCAAAAATCTTGTTCCATCTTGTGCAAAGCCGCCTAAACTGTATGGACTTCCAAAGATACACAAACCTAACGCTCCGCTACGTCCAATTGTGAGTCAAATCGACACACCGACTTATAAATTGGCCCAACTAGTAGCGAAAGTAGTACACTCAGAGGACAAACATCAGCGTTCACAAGGGACGGACCAAACACAGTCAGGACCGCCCAAGCCATTATATTCGCTTCGATAGACCTCAAATCCTGGCGAAAGAAAACCGATATCGCCCTAGAATGATTCGAGAAGCCATAGAAATTAAAAAACATCCTAATTTCAATAGGGAAGATGGCTGGGTACTACCATCGTCATGGGATCCTGTTATTAATATAATAAAATCAAATAATAAATCTAAACATAACAGACAGGTAGATGTAGTAAGTTCTTATTGTGTAGATCAAAATGATAGCATTTCTGATTAATAATATTTTTTTCACTTTTTCATTTGTAAATGTATGTAGTAATGTGTTGCTTAATAATTTGTTTTTTTTTTTAATAATAGCAAATTTAAATTAAAATTATTATTTTTAATTAATCTTAACTTTTTCAAATTACACATAGATCAATTGTGGCTTAAATAATTAATACTATATTTTATATTTTTCTTATGGTTATAAATATAATAATGGCAACACTAAATATAGATTACTAATTAATATTTTTAAAATTGTAATAATTATAAAAATAATATCAAAAATTAAATAAATAATTTTCCATATTCAATTATAATTAAAATTATAAAAATGTTTAAAGTTAAAATATTGTAATGTAATTGGTGCAATTTTCATTTTGTTGATTGTGGGTAGGCTGTCTGTAACAACTATATCTTTAAGACATGTAACACCTCAGTCTCTCCCGTGACCATGGATGCTGTAAAGCATTCGAAACGTCGGGAAACAAAAATACAAATAAATCCGCGACAAAATCCGAAAAGATAGTTTTATTTAAAAAATCCAGATTTTTTCATTTTTTTTGTTTCTCTGTCTGTTTGTACGAGCTAATCTCCGAAACTGTTGGACCGATTTAAATGAAAGTTTGTATGGTGGTACCTTATATTCCCGGTCAACATTTAAGATACTTTTCATCACGGAAAATTAAAGAAAAAAGAGTTCCCGTGGCATAGTTAAAGAACTATAGTAACCTATACAGCTTAGTACATAAAAACTACTGATTGAATTTTAATGAAACTTTACCATAATATAGTTCGTACATCAGAATAACAAATAGGCAACTTTTTATCCCGGCAAAATGTACGGTTCCCGTGGGATAGATTTGATTTTGTTTGTATTATAAAATTAACTCCCCCCGCCGCGTCTGTCTGTGTGTCTAAACGCGATAAATTCAAACTACCAAGATGTGCTAGATTTAATTTATTTATATTATAAGTTAATTTATTTCATTCTAATTAAATTATCTAATGATCATGATTCATTAAATGATGATGATGATGATTCATTAAAAAAAATATAATGTTACATAAAAATATTCAATTAATCAAATCAAATAATTGTTAAACCAATTGGGAAACCGAGTGAAGCGAGTTCAAATCCCGAGTCTCACACCTCTGATATTTTCATGTGCGAATCATTTCTAACATGATTACCACTTGCCTTACAGTGAAGGAAAACATCGTGCATGTCTGAGAGAACCTAGCAAGTTTTCGAAAGACATGTGAAGTCCGCCAACCCGCACTTGGCCAGTGTGGTGGACTAGGCCTGATCCCCCTTATATTGAAGGGAGGAAATAAGGCTAAATACATGCAAAATACATACATTCAGAAAATAAAATGCTTATTATCATTATAATTATTATGACGGTAGGTGACACACAACAGTCGAGATGCGAGAGGAGCGAGGCGGAGATAGACGACAGCGCGGTGCGGCGCTTCTTCGACGTGGTGCTGCAGCACATCGACAACACCGCGCTCTCCACCGCCGTGCGTCTCAAGATGCTGCACTCTGCTGAGGAACAACTCAACAAGTGTGTACATTAGGATGGAGCGAAAAATAAATGTTTTTTTTTTATTACCTTCGGGGTAGCATTTGTATGTAAATTTTTTTTTAATAAAAAAATACTCAACACTTTTAGGTGGCCCATTGATTTTTTAAAATAATTATTTATTTGAATTTTAGTTTATAGTTTTGTAAAACAATTTAATGTATCGTTTCATTATACGGTCTCATAGTATTTAGAAACTTACATGTATAACTAATTTTGGTAAAATCTTATTTTTTTAAACAATGTTATCAAGATTAATTATTTATTATTATTAGAAAAAGGTACACCATATTCACATTATTTACACACATTACGTTGGAAATCGGGTCACCGTTCACAATCATAAAAACACACACCTCCATACAAATTTAGTACCTCATTTTTTCTTAAAGTCGGTCAAGCAACGTTTCATACGATAAATTTAAGTAAAACTTAAAGATATCCCATAACTGTTATAAATACTAAAAGATTGGATGGATGTTGACTACCCAATCACGCCAGAACGGCTGAACGGATTTGGATGAAATTTGACACAGAGCTAGATTATAGTCTGGATCACACAATCACGGGATAGATTTGTTTTTCACTAGAGACGAGTGAGTAGGTAGTGTATAACAATAAGTGTAAAACCAAACAGGCTGGCGGAGATGGAGCCGCTGGTGGCGGGCGCGGCCAACTTCACGGCGCTGTTCGCGCGCTGCGTGCTGGCGCTGCACAGCGCGCTGGGCGCCGCCGCCGGCCCGCCCGCGCACGCGCTGCACCAGCTCACGACTGATTGTCTCAGGTATTAGGTGTAGCGGTCTTTATTAAATTGTTTTTACCCGACTCCGTCGAAGCCTAAAGGAGGGTTATGTATTTGACCTATATGTATGTCTGTCCGATGCTATTCCCTTCCTATGTTCTTATGTGATTTGCTAAACTGATAGGTCGTTAGACTAATCTTGGTAATACAATTAAAAATGCTTTGGTGACACGACGTGACATTGACAGTATTATTTATTGCGTCATGATATTATTTAATAATATCTTGTTTAATAATATAAATGTGATAAGTGAATCGGAGTGAGTAAATAGAATATTGTTTTAACCTGGTACATAGCTTACAATTATCGTTGGAGTAAAACAATATGAGAAATAAAAACATATACATCTGTGTATATTACTTTACATAATATTGCTGTTTGTTACTATCAATAACAGCGCTGCCAATTGGCGGGTAAATTACCGGAAAAGCGGGTAATTTTGACGGGTACTTTAATAGAAAGCAGATATTTTAGTTTAGGTAATTAATTCGATATTTTATCTTTTTTTAAATGTTTGATTTACATAATTTAAAGCTGATTAATTGAGAACTGGTTAAAATGACTTTTTTTAACATTAGTACTTTCTTTTATTCTATATAAAACATGAATAAATTACTTTAAAAATCAATTTTCGGGTATTCTCCTCATGGTTGGCGCCTGCGGGATAAATTGGGTATTTTCAGGTTTATTGCTTTCGTAAATCAACGACTGTTATCTGGCAGCTCTGATTAATAAGCAAATTTTGACGACACGTTTGGCTCAGTTTGTAGCGACCCTACATGCTATGTCAGTGGTTGCGGGTTCGAGTCCCGTTGGGGGCATTCATTTGTGTGATAAACACGAATGTCTGTACTCTAGTTTATATTCTTAGTATGTAAGTAGTTAAGATTATATATATATATATATATATATATATATATATATATGTGTAGTGTATCAATCTGGTATCCATAACACAAGCCTCGTAGCTTACCATGGAACTAGATGGTGCTGTGTGTTAATGTCCCAACATATTTATTTATTATTAGTTCACATAATATTGCTATATTCATTATTATTAATAAGCAAATATTGATACTGGCAGATTACAACACCAGTTCAGCGGTGTGACGGAGCAAGAGAACGCGTGCGTGTGGCAGCTGGCGCTGCGCGTGTGCGGCACGCGGCTGGTGGCGGCGGCGCAGCGCGCGGCGGCGGCGCGCGCCGGCGCCGGCCTCGCGCCCGCCGCGCCGCCGCCGCCCGCCGCGCTCTCCGCCGCCGCCGCGCTCACGCACCACGCCGAGGTGCTCGACCGCCTGCTCGCGTCCGCAGGTACGTTGCTTACTGGCGGTTCATCCTCGCTTTGCTTCGGGTTCGTCCTTAGACAATAACAAATTATCCCACGGGAACCGTACATTTTTCCGCTATGATAGCCTATAGGCTACCTCAATAAACGGGTAATCTTTGGGCAAAAAGATTACTTTCATTATTTTTAAATTTAGGCGAATATTTTAAATGAAACTGTCTTTTTAGATATTTTTCGCAGATTTATTTTGATTTTTAGTTCCCGACGTTTCGTATGCTTTACAGCAATCATGGTCACAGGAGAGATTCAGTCTCAAAATAAATCCGTGATAATAGTCGAAAAATTTAATTCGTCATACTATTTTTATATTTAAAAAAAAACATATTTTCTGTTTAGGCGTGGAACCAGATCCATTCACAATAGCAGTGTTCCAGCAACTGTCCCAGAGCGGGGATCACAAGCCGTCGGCGCTGGCTCGCGCGATGCAGCCCTTGCTGTTGTCGGCACCACTCCCTGTTATACCTAAGCCTAATCTAAAGGTTGGAATGTTTTATATATCTTTTTAATATATAACTTGACTATAACAAAGATTTTTACGGCTCAATTTTAAGGTAATTTAAAAATAGAAGTTAGATAAAAATCCAATATTAAAATTGCTATAATTATTATATTACTAGCACAAAAAGATCTATCCTACAGGAACCGTTCATTTTTCCGGCATAAAATGTAACCTGTTGTTTGACCGGCAATATAAGGTATCAGCATGCCAAATTTTACTAAATTAGGTGGATAAGATGTTTTGTACTAAGCTGTATAAGTTACTATAGTTTTTTAACTATCCCACGGGAACTCTTTAATTTTTACGTTAGCCCGTACAAACAGACAGAGAAACAAAGAATTTGAAAAGATCTGGATTTGTTCTATTTCTCGTCTTACATCCCCCTGACTCGTTTTTTAGCATTTTTTTCTATGTACAGACATTCGACCTCTACAGTTTTATTATATGTATAAATTACAATGGTAGGCTTTACACGGGTTTTAGTGTTTTGTTTATTTTACAACCATTTACTAGTTGTTCTAATTTTTATAGAAGTTCGTAGAATAGCGACTTTAATTTGTATGTTTAAATCTATCGGATCAATTAGAATATTTTTTATTTAATTTAGACCTTTACAATTAAATTTATATTCATATTCTGAACGAATATGAAAACAAAATAATGCTCATTTAAAGAGAGAAAATTTATTAATAATAACTTTCGTTTTCTTAATCTATACAAATAAATAAATTTGAAGTGTCTATTTGTAATGCCAAAATAAAACTTTTTACTAAATGTGTAGGTATATACGAAATAACCATTTTTTAAATTTTTTGTCTGTCTGTCATAGCTTTTTACTAAATGCATATAAAAGTATATATCTCCTGTACTTATAAGAAAATACAAATTTTAACATTTTTTGTCTGTCAATCAATACATTGCCGGGCGAAGAAAAACAAATCAACAAACACTATCGCATTTATAACATAAAGTAGAGAATTATCTCCGTTTTGGATTGGATTGATAATATTTATTGTGAAGTTTGATACCAATCGGAAGTTAAACGCGGGCGAAGCGAACATGCTAAAATTTACTTACTTAATTATTATTTTTAAATACACTCCGATACAAAAATCTGGCGACACCAATGTCTAATGTTGGTAGCAATGGGGTGCGTACCAATTTGATAATATTTGCGTTTCATAAATCCTTTAAAATTTTAATATATTGAACTTGTGACAAGTAGTACTCGACACAACGAAGACACCCTTCCCCTACGCTAGTCTATACTAATATTATAAAGGGGTAATCTCTGGATCTACTAAACCGATTTAGATGAAATTTAGTAAGAAGATAGTTTTAGACCCTGGGAAGGAAATAGGATACTTTTTAACCCAAAAATCACCCCAATCAAGTTTGTATTGAGAAGCAAGCTAGTAGTCTCTAGTATATAAATAAAGCTTGTCACATGAACAGATCCGGATGTGCTCAGCTCGCATCATCGAGCCGGCCACGGACAACGACACGGTGCTGCGGTTCTGCGCGGGCCTCATCACGGGCGTGGCGCTGGAGGCGGAGGTGGCGCGCGTGCGCGACCCCGCCGCGCTGCGCGTGCGCGTGGCCTACCCCGACACGCGCGTGCACGCGCTCGTGCCGCCGCGCGACCACCTGCGCCGGCTGGACCACACCGATACCAGTTGCGTGTTTTGTTTTTTTTTGGTTTAGTTTACGCTTCGCTTTTACCGGCGCCTGTAGTTTAAGAGGGCACTGAGCTTTTTATTTTAGTATGAATGCACTAAGGGTTTTTTTTTTAGAGATCATTTTGAATTAAAAAAAATCTATCAAGGAAACTACAAGTAATCGTGCTTCTAAAGTGGACGATTTATAGAATAAATTCTTAAATATCCTACATATTAATTGCATAATCAAAGTTTTAGTAATAACAATACAGCAAATAATCAAATGAACGCAATTATTTCATAATTGCCTCGGTGCCTCCTTAGCTTCACTTCGCTCGTTCGTTATTACGCTGATACTAGTTGTTTTTTTTTTTGTTTATATTATTGATAGACTTTAAAAGAATAAAACTCAAATGTCTGGATGTCCAATTATAAAGCGAGTTTAATTTAGAAGATTGTATTTTATTTTTAACTAGAAACTTGGTCTCCTACAGTAATACTAATAATAATCTTCTGACTGATTCTGGCCATGACGGCCAATCTCACTGAGACCAGCTAGAACTGCAGGAGATATGATAGTGCAAAAGTGTACGCGCAGATACAAGTGCACTCTTTCTTCCTTTTATTCTTAAAGTCCGTTGGAATGATACTTTGACACTCGCGGTAAAAGTTAAGGCGCAGGACCGACGGCCTTACGTGCTCTCCGTGGCACGGGGGTGAAAAACCGCCAACTTCCCAACTCCGGGCTGTTACTGGGAATATCTTAACAGAAAAACTCAGTAATTAAACTTGGCCCGACGGGACTCGAATTTAAAACTGAAGCAGTACATGCTAGCCACTAGACCACAAAATTTGGTCCTATAAAAATGTCAACTTAAAATTCCAATTTTAAAGTGCCGCTTAGTAAAAATACATGCAGACGAACTAGGAACGTCCGCTTTTTCTGATGTCGATTAATTAAGAGCGCACACGGAATCTACAATATGCGTTGTTACTTATCCTGCGTAAAGATAATTTGAGCGCGAAATAATTGAAATAGCACACTGATATGACTTGGTTTTTTTGGGTTAGATGTGTTCTGGGTCTTAGTATTTGAGAGAGTGGAGTGAAGTTTTGTATTTGTGTACATTGAAAGCATTTAGTTACTATTAAATCGTGGAAGTAGATAGAAATTTAGGCTATGTGAACTTGGCACCCGACTTTTCAAAAATTGTTCTTTTTTAGGTTTATTTGAACGATTTCGGTTAGTAGTAGATAGTAGTGAAGCTAACTTCGTTTGTAGTAGTGCCAAAAAAAAATACAGACAACAAAAAAAATGTCATCCACCGAAGTTGGTAAAAAAAATTTTTTCCGCTTGATTCGTATAGAAAAACGTTAGTAGTGGTTTGTAGTGCAATTTTTTTCGTTTGTAGTAAAACAAAAAAAAAATATTTTTTTCGAGTATTTTTGCAGAACGATTTTTACTACATACATTCATTGTTTCGTTTGTAGTACCATTATTTCATTTGTAGTAACGTTAATTTTGGTTTGTAGTACCATTACTTCGTTTGAAGTAACGTTAATTTCGTTTGTAGTACCATTACTTCGTTTGTAGTACCATTATTTCGTTTGTAGTACCATCATTTCGATTGTAGCTGTTTGTAGTAACGTTAATTTCGTTTGTAGTACGATTATTTCGTTTGTAGTTGTTTGTAGTAACGTTAATTTTGTTTGTAGTACCATTGTTTCGTTTGTAGTAACGTTAATTTCGTTTGTAGTACCATTATTTCGTTTGTAGTTGTTTGTAATAACGTTAATTTCGTTTGTAGTACCATTATTTCGTTTGTAGTTGTTTGTAGTAACGTTAATTTCGTTTGTAGTACCATTATTTCGTTTGTAGTTGTTTGTAGTAACGTTAATTTTGTTTGTAGTACCTTTGTTTCGTTTGTAGTAACGTTAATTTCGTTTGTAGTACCATTGTTACGTTTGTAGTACCATTGTTTCGTTTGTAGTGCCATTATTTCGTTTGTAGTACCATTATTTCGTTTGTAGCTGATTGTAGTAACGTTAATTTCGTTTGTAGTACCATTATTTCGTTTGTAGTTGTTTGTAGTAACGTTAATTTCGTTTGTAGTACCATTATAATAACCGAAACACCATAAACAACAACAACCATAAACGAAACAAAGGTACTACAAACAAAATTAACGTTACTACAAAAAACTACAAACGAAATAATGGTACTACAAACGAAATTAACGTTACTACAAACAACTACAAACGAAATAATGGTACTACAAACGAAATTAACGTTACTACAAACAACTACAAACGAAATAATGGTACTACAAACGAAATTAACGTTACTACAAACAGCTACAATCGAAATGATGGTACTACAAACGAAATGATGGTACTACAAACGAAATAATGGTACTACAAACGAAATAATGGCACTACAAACGAAACAATGGTACTACAAACGTAACAATGGTACTAAAAACGAAATTAACGTTACTGCAAACGAAACAAAGGTACTACAAACAAAATTAACGTTACTACAAACAACTACAAACGAAATAATGGTACTAAAAACGAAATTAACGTTACTACAAACAACTACAAACGAAATAATGGTACTACAAACGAAATTAACGTTACTACAAACAACTACAAACGAAATAATGGTACTACAAACGAAATTAACGTTACTACAAACGAAACAATGGTACTACAAACAGAATTAACGTTACTACAAACAACTACAAACGAAGTAATCGTACTACAAAGGAAATTAACGTTACTACAAACAGCTACAATCGATATGACGGTACTACAAACGAAATAATGGTACTACAAACGAAGTAATGGTACTACAAACGAAATTAACGTTACTTCAAACGAAGTAATGGTACTACAAACGAAACAATGAATGTATGTAGTAAAAATCGTTTTGCAAAAATACTTGAAAAAAAAAAATTTTTTTTTTTGTTTTACTACAAACGAAAAAAATTGCACTACAAACCACTACTAACGTTTTTAGCATACGTATACGAATCAAGCGGAAAAAATGTTTTTTACCAACTTCGGGGGATGACATTTTTTTTGTTGTCTATATTTTTTTTTTGGCACTACTACAAACGAAGTTAGCTTCACTACTATCTACTACTAACCGAAATCGTTCAAATAAACCTAAAAAAGAACAATTTTTGCAAAGTCGGGTGCCAAGTTCACATAGCCAGAAATTTACAATAATTAAAATTTTTGTTTATTTTAAAACAGCAATTTTCATAAATTATAATATATGTAATATTTTCATTTTAGACGACGACGGCACACAAAATGTGAGACTCCTAACAAAAGTCCTCATATCGCATGGTGTTTGGACTGAACCGTGTGGTGTGGACATATCAGTATGTCTAGCGGTTGAAGAGGGTGGTGGTCGTGATGCAGCTCCTCTAGTGGAATTGTGTCGACCTGTTCGTGTCACTGTTGCTCCTAAACCTATCAAACGAGGAATATAGGACTTGCTTTTAAATCCAGTGCGAAGACGGGTACCGGTGTTTGAAGTTGATAATCCATAAAGAGCAAATAAACTTTTTAATTTTTATAAATAACCAAGTGTTGATATAATAACAGTGTATATGTCATATCAAATTGTATGTTATAAACTCATCAGTTGTCAAAAATTAAAGCTAACAAATGAATAAACTGTACAGTACATTTAGACTAACTACATACTACTGAAATCAATGTATTTTAAAAACTTTTTTTTACTTATAAATGAAATAGATCTCTCTTTCTCATAGTCATGTCCTAACTATATAATTACATTAAGTAAAAGATTAAGTAAGTAAAAAATTTGTTTTTCATTCTGTAAAAAGTAATGTCTTATTATGTGGAGTTACGATAACAATGTTGCACTGAAATGGTATAACTGGAAAGTAGAGATTTGTGAATATTATAATAGATTATATTTATAAAACAGTAAACAAATTATGGAAACATTTGTATATTTTTATTTACAGTTCATATAATTGTACATCATTTTTATAACATGGCTATGAATTTGTATTTAAAATACACTTACTAAGCACCTACAGATGTGCAAGGTTAATAATAATATAATGAATTAATCATTGACCACATACAATTATGAAGGTACTGATAAATTTATTTATACTTAAAATAAAAAAAAATCACTTATGACTAGGCTTAAGTTATGATTTTTTTTGTAATTTTAATAATACAATAGCCTTTATATTAATACTAGCGATTCACCTTGTTTTTCCAATGTTTTAATAGTTATTCTGCTATTCTATATTCTATTATATCTGCGGGGTGAAAGCATATCCAATAGAACAAAGATCATTAAAATCAGTCAGCAGTTCTCGAGTTATAACTGTTGTAACAAACCTGACTTTGTTTTATATATAAATATAGTTAATATCTTCTAATCTTTATCCATCGCAAGTAATTCTGATCGGGCAATGCAGTGGTATATTAGTTGTTTTACTCCTGGCATCCAAGTACAGACAGCACTCACATGGTCTACCATTAAGGCTTTATGGATATCATCAGCTTTACTTGGATTATCGTCTCTGAGTGCTATAAACAAAAATTATTTATATTTTATATAATTACATTAAACTTTAAAGTATTATTGAAAATTAATTCTTAACATTAAACTTAAATCTATGATGGTTTCATTTATTTACAACTTGTTATCTGTTCAGAACTTAGATAACACTCTTATTAGAGGAAATACATAACAATTCTTACCATATGCCAAGTCTCTCATTTGTAATTGAATTAGATTATTTAGTTTTCCACTAAGCCACATGTCTTCCATTGTTCCTATCCTTTTTTTGATACTATCGGCTTTTGGACCTAGTTCACTACTGGATTCCAAAATTCCTAATAAAAGGCCTTTTACTTCCTGAAGTGCACTTTCACTATCAATTTCAACATTGCCTTGCAATTTTGCTTGTGGTATCATGTTTGGCTTAGGAAGAGGAGATAATGTAGGCAATGGTGGTAAATTAACAGAAGGTGATGTATTTGTACTGGTACTACTACCAGACAAAGGAAAAGCCACGCGTTTGTTTAGAAAATTTCGTGGCCGATTTGGAGTTGTTTGTTGACTGTTGTAAGCAAATTTTGGTGGATCATTCCAACCAGGATCATAAGGTACTGAAAATAAAAACATAATTAGCCAAAAGTGAAATTAGCAATATTTATTATGTATTGATAAAGTGATGTTTGAAATAAAGTACCTTTACTGTTTGTAATTGAAGAAGTATCACAATTTTCCATCGTTTCTATATTTTCTTGTATTACGAACGTAAAAGCTTTGTATATTAATCAGTAACACGTTTTGTTAAAAAACTAATTTCATTAACTTGGACGTTGTAATTCCAATAAACATTAAATATGATACTTGACAAGTGCAAATCTGTCACTAAAGCCTGAAACTGAAAAAAAAGTGAAGGACAGTTGACAGGTGAAACGAAGAAAGAAATGTTATTTATAACTGGCAGTTTCAAATTAGTAATCTTTTAGTTATCTAAACAAATTTAAACCTAAAAATATTGGTTTAATATAAATAAAAATAGAGACAATAACATTATACCAAATAAATTATAGTTTATAATTCAAAATTATTAATTAAAGATGCTTGAAGCAATGGTCCTATAAAACTTCATTATCTGTAATCGCTACATCATCTATAAATTTAGATTTTACAATAATCTATTTAAAGTATATTCAATTCAAAATTTAATAGTCTGTGATTCGACATCAGTTAATAAAAACGTCAGAAGAAAAACATTTAAAAAACCTAGAAATGGCATTTCATAAAGGCTTTAGTGGTTATTTAAATTTATTTTCTATGTTATTGTTTATGATATCATTATGGGCAGCGCGACTTGTTGAAGGTATATATATAATTCTAGTTAAATTATTTTAATAGATGTCGTACTTCAATAATTTGGAGGAACTCATTACGATTGTTTATCTCCTTCTATGCCTAACAATTACGTGGCCTTATATTATGGGAGGATAAAATAAATTAATTAAATAAAACATATTTTTTTGTGTATGATATTGTTTTTATTTTAAACCAGGCTCAAGGGCAGAATTCGTGACATGTGGAACTATTTTAAAACTAATGAATACAGATTTACGATTGCGGCTTCATTCACATGATGTGAAATATGGTTCGGGATCAGGCCAACAGTCGGTGACAGCTCTTGATATATCTGACGATCATAATAGCCACTGGCTAGTTCGACCTGCCATGGGAGAAACATGTAAAAGAGGGTGAGATAGTTATGACTTATAAGTTTTTAAAAATTCGCTATCTGTATTGCACTTACAAAGAGTTACAAATATTCTATTTCAGAGCTCCAATTAAGTGTAATACTAATATTAGATTACAACATGTGAGTACTAAAAAGAATTTACACTCGCACTACTTTACATCACCCTTGTCGGGGAACCAAGAGGTTTCTTGCTATGGAGATGAAGATGGAGAGGGTGACAGTGGTGATAATTGGACTGTTGTCTGCAATAATGACTACTGGAGAAGAGACACTCCTGTCAAACTAAAACATGTTGATACTGCAGCGTAAGGAACTTTATTTTTATATATGTACATAATTTATATACAGTATAAAATAAAATAAAAATAAAATAGTCTTTATTACAGGAGTCAGAGTTACAGAGTTATTCAGATAAAGTTGTTTTAGGGTTTACAAAATATCTCTGATTTCTGTGTGCCTTTTGGCAAAGGCCTCCTCCATCTGTCTCCATTGGACTCTATCTAGCGCCACTCGTGTCCACAGTGGCCCTAGAGTTTGGCAGATTTCATCCTCCCATCTCCTTATCTGGCGCCCTCTTTTGCGTTTACCGTTTACCTTTTACCGTCTCTGGGGGACCAGACCGTTACACGTTTGCTCCACTTCTCCAGGCTACTTCTTAGTAGGTGCCCAGTCCACCTCCATTTTAATTGGTCAACTCGCGTGAGTATGTTGGTAACTTTTGCTTTAGATCTGATATCATCGTTGCGGATCTTGTCTTTTAATTTCACTCCTAACATACTCCGCTCCATTGCACGCTGACACTTTGTAAGTTTTTCCCTATGGGACTTTGTTAGCGACCAGGTCTCGCATCCGTAGGTCAAGCATGGTAAGATACATATGTCAAAGGTCTTCCTTTTAAGATGGATTCCCAGCACTTTGCTCTTCATTACTTCCTTCAAAGACCAATATTTCTTCCAACCATATGCTATCCTCTTGTTGATCTCCTTAGTCATTTGGTCGCTTGGAGAAATTATTTGTTCTAAATAAACATATTCGGTAACATAATCGAAAAGATCACCATTGATTGTTATGTCTACATGTTTTGAGTTGGTCATTGTTTTAGTTTTGTTCTTGTTCATTTCTAGCCCTACTTCCTTGCTTTTCGCAGCCAGATCTTTGATCATAAGTTCTAGTTTCTTGGGATTCTCTTCGAACAGAACAATATCATCAGTGAATCGCAGGTGGTTAAGACGACAGCCGTTTATATTTAGACCTAAGCCAGCCCAGTCTATACTCCTAAATATACTTTCTAAAACAGCTGAGAAGAGCTTTGGGGATAGTGGGTCCCCTTGTCCTTGTCCTTGTCTCCTCTGTTAATAGGGAATGGGTGACCAGTTTCTTCCAGTTTTATGCTACTTTTACTTATACTATAGATGTTTTTAATTATATTTATATAGACTTCGTTAACACCCTGCTGTCTTAAGCTTGACCATATGTGGTTGTGGTTGAGCGTATCAAATGCCTTAGAGTAATCAATGAAAGCCACGTATAGGGGTTTCTGGTATTCATTCTATTTCTGGATGATCTGTTTCACAGTATGTATATGGTCAATAGTGCTGAAATTCTTTCTAAACCCTGGTTGCTCCACCGGTTGATTCTCGTCCAGCGTTTTTGATATTCTCTCCTGTAAGACTTTGGCAAACACCTTATATATATTAGACATTAGGCTTATAGGCCGGTACTTACCTATCTCATCTTTAGCGCCTTTCTTGTGTATAAGGATTATGTGGGATTCGCCCCATTGATTTGGAATGAGCTTTGTGCGCAGGATGTCGTTGAATACCACTGCTAGTATTGGGCTTAATTCCTCAATTGATCCTCTCATTAGCTCATTCGGGATTTTATCAGGTCCCGGTGCTTTTTCTTGTTTTTGGGAATTTATGGCCTTCTCGACCTCTCCTGCAAGTATAGATGATATTGGGTCTTCTTTGAGTTGAGGATCACATTTGTCTTGCTGATTTACGTCGTTAGCATGGTCTTTGGAGTACAATGTGCGGAAATAGTCTGTCGCTAATCTCTGTATATCTTTTCGTTTAGTAATGCTAGTTTGATTCTTTTTCATTTTGGGTATCCATTTTTTCCCTTTCTCTCTTAACTCTTTTAGTGCTTTCTTTATGCCTTCTGTTTTCACTATGTGTTTTTCTAAAGTTTGAAGTCTTCTTGTTTTTCTATCGTTTTTCATACTTTATATATTATACTACTAATAATACTAATACTACTTTATATATATACAGTATAATTGAATGTAAAAACTTCATTTGGCTTAACCATAGTAAATAAATTAAAAACTTCTAATAGTTTCATAAGGTCTCACCCGATAGCATTATAATGATTGATGAAACAATAATGGTCAAGAATGAAAAGAAAAAGATTTTTTTGGAATATTATTAATATCTAACACATTTATTTTTGCAGATATCTAGCAGGATCAGGCAGAACTTTCGGTAGACCGATTAGTGGTCAGGGGGAAATAGTTGGTGTAACTTCCCCATACGGTGCATATACAGACTGGCAAGCACAAGAGGGACTTTTTGTCCATCCAAGTGATAATCTACCACATATTCAAAATGCAATTCACACTGAGTTATAATATGGAAATTGAACATATATAATTTAATTTATTTAATTTCTATTTAAGTTCATAATGTTCCTTGAATAAATGTCTTGAAATCAAATAAAAAAATTGTTCTGTAAATTTTTATTTACAAACAATATAGAAAAATGCTATATGAAGCCTATCCTCAATGTTGTATAAAATACAGACATAATTCTATAAAGTTGAAAAATGCAATTATTTGCATTTATATTGACACTAACACGTGACAAGTGCATGTTGATATCAGGTTAGGTCACCATGTGCTTAGGCAGTGCTAAGCTATTAAGTAATTTATGCTGTCATCAATTTTTTTTAGTTTGATTTTTTTGTAAAATGTATATAATTGAATTTTATGAAATACAATATATCCACTATAAAATATTTATTACCTTATAGTATAATAGAAATATCTAGCTCAAAATTTTATATATTGTTTTTAATAATAGTCAATAATATTATTTACATAATATAATAGCACTCAATATCGCATAAGTCAGTGTGATCTACATACATTTTTTTGTTTATTTTTCTTTGCGAGACTTGTAAGCTGACATTTTTCTTTATAAATAATTCACATGTTAAATAGCCACTAAAGAAGCATGTTATGTGAATGTGAAATAAAAGAAGTTATTATTGAATAAAATGCATTTCCTTTTACTAAAAAACTTTATTGTCAATGTTAAATGGGGTGAGAAATGTTCAAGTTACAAATTTGCAGTGCTTCAAGAGCATCAAATTTATAATAAATAATACTGACAAAGATACTTTTAGTAAATATAGATGGGGGATTTTGCATCTTATCACATGTATTTAATTTTAGAATATTTTTTTCAAACCTGAGAACAATATATAAAAATCTTAGAATAACATCTTTTCTGCCAGCTAGTTGCGTTTTTGTTGAGAGATTTGATGATGCTACTGAAGCACAAAAATAATGTTTAAAAATATTTCTAAAACTAAATAAAAAGATACAAATAATCAAAGTTGGTAGCACCCGGCCGCTCAGTCATGGTGCTTTTACTTTTCTTACAATGGTCAAACAAAAAAATCTAAAATTTTAAGTTTCTGTTCAAACAAAACATTCTAAGGCACATGTAGAATGCATTTACTACTAAGTACGATCATGGGCAAGTGTAAATATTATATTTGGAAATTAACCACAGTCTCAAAATTCTTCTAACATATGTACATCTATGTCTCATAATTTTATCTGTTCCTGTGCGTTTTTGCTTCAATTGATTATGCAATCTCAGAAAATTGTAAATGAATGACTTTATAATAAATAAAGAAACAGTAGAACTAAGCCATCCATTAGGATGCACTAAGAAAAGCATTTGGCTGACAAAATGCTATGTTGCTTAAGAATGTGATAGAATACAAAACGATTTGAATACATAGAGTGCACAAAAAGCACAATTGCTTTAATAATTTTTGTGCAAATCAATTCATTTAATAATCATATAAACTAGGTCCTGAGTCAAATATTATTATATTATGGGGAGCTAGCATAGTTTATTAGCTAGTACACTGTTGAGTTTCTCTAGTGCATATGTCAGGTTGGTATACAATTTTTTATCACAGCCATATTCCTCAATTGTGCTGAAGCGGAATGTTCGGAAGTTCTTTTCAACATCAATATATGTAACGGCTTGCATCAACGGACATAAGATAATTTTCGTGTGATCTTGGAAGTTTATCTGTAATGATAAATAGGATTTTACTATTTTTATCCATTAAAATTAAATGAAGTCTAAGTTACTAGTTCTTTTTATAAATCTTAGTATAAATCTTTAACAACTTCATTACTGTTTTTAGAATTATAATAAAGTTTATTTAGAATTAGAAGGCAGTGGTAGCTCAGTGCTAACGCGTTTGTTTGGAAAATCGAGTGAAGCGGGTTCAAAGTGCAGGTCTCCTCTGATACTTTCATGTGCGAATCATTCCAACATAATTACCACTTGTCTTATGGTGAAGGAAAACATCATGAGGAAATCTGCATGTTTGAGAGAACGTAGCAAGTTTTCGAAAGGCTAGCGTGGTGGACTACGATCCCGCTCGTATTGAAGGGAGGCTCGCGCCTTACAGTGGGACGTTAAAAGGTCTGAATACATTATTTAGAATTATACTATTTTAGTTATTTCTAAAGCCTTACCTGTAAAGTTCCATTGGTCAGGTACATAATGACAGCCAGAGTGGTTCTGAACCACTGATGTAAGTGCGGCAACCGCGACAAACCGTCGCTCTCTCTTACTTGCACTGATGCACCTAAATTGTGATATTTAAATAAATTACAGGACTATCTATATCGTAAAATTTAAAATCCAATTATCTTTTTAAAAAGAATCTTATTAAAGCGAAGGTAAAAAGTAAAAGAATAAGTTTTTAAATTTTTGTTTACAAAATGCATCAATGGCTAGATTGAATTTAATTGGACTTTTTTAATTGTTTAGGAGAGTGTGAAGAACACATTTACACGTTCATAAACTCTCACATACTACTTACCAGCTTTCATTAGATGTTCAGTCATGTATCGTCTGAAGTAGGTGAGGAGTTTCATCTTCTTGTCTAGTTCCTGTGGATATTCACGCATGGTCATGTACTGCTCCTGGCCCTGCCGGTTGATGTAATGCACATTCCTGCAAAATGCGATTGATTAAAATCTATACATGTAATAAAAGTGTAACTGATCGCTGTTTGTACATGGAAGATATTTGAGAAAAGCTATTACTGGGGTTATTTATTAACGCAATAGAACTTAAAACAATGACTAGAATTTTTGCCTGTTTGTCTATTCGTTTGTGCACGCTAATCTCAGAAACGGCTTAACCGATTTGGGTGTGATTTTCACTAATATATTGATAATACTTAGATTTACGCGAATATTTTACATTTTAAATAAAACTATCTTTTCGGATTATTTCGCGGATTTATTTTAATTTTTGGTTCCCGACCATGTCTCTCCCGTGACCATGATTGCTGTAAAGCATTCAAAGCGCAGCAAGTAGTGGTCACTATAAACTGAGCCAAACGTGTCGTCAATAATTATAATATGTACAAGTATATAAGAATTTATTTACTTGATAATATACATATATGTATGTATGTACTTACACTCCATTAGCCAACATGATGAGTTTAGTAGTATCATTGAACATAACGCCAACACTCTCGTCGCACAACTGGTAACCAAAGCCGTACTTGTCGCTGTAGTCCACCCACTTACCCACCCATACGAGTGGCTGGGCTGCCGGATCGCTCATATCATCATTGAGGCATTCGCGACGGCATTTCAGCTGGAAAATTGTATGTATAAAATAATACCCACAAAGTGAAACAGATTACTTTAAATTAAATGTGATGATGATGTTCTCCTGACCGATTCCGGACACGGCGGCCAATCTCATTGAGACTAGCCAACTGCGCAGGAGATAATATAGTGCACAAGTGTACGCGCAGACACAAGTGCACTCTATTCCTGTCACTCTCATACTCTGGTGGGATGACTGCTCGACACGACCAGTGAGAGTTAAGGCGCAGGACCGACAGCTTTACGTGCTCTCCGAGGCACGGGGGTGAAACACCGCCACTTCCCAACTCCGGGCTGTTACTGAGGCTTACTTATACATAAAGACTCAATAACAAAACTTGGTCCGATCCGGGACTCGAACCCAGGACCTCCAGGTTTGCAGCTGTACATGCTAGCCACTATATCACCGAGGCAGTTAAATTAAATGTATAAATAAGAATAAAGTTAGAAGTGGTAGAAAAAACACAATACTCTTTTAGTTGTGTTTTTATAGTATAACAGACACTAGACATAAGTTATATAGTTGACAAGTTATAACAAGAATTAATAAATGACGTAACCTTAAAATAATCTCACAATTTTCAGATTTAATGCAATATTGCCTTGAATGATTATTTCAGGGGTCTAATAACAAAGGCCAATATTCAGGCAAAGTTCCATATAATGTTAAACATCCATTAATCGTTTAAGTCCATCACGTTATTTAAGTTTCTTAATTAACCGACTTATATTAGCATTTAAAATAAAAGGTATCAAATTCATACTTATATAAATACATAACAGTAAATTTGTAACATATTTTAAAAGTTACTATTTTTTTGTAAATGACTTTAACTGGACTTTGTCGCCTTCGTCATTAGACCCCTGATTTAATACTGTAAGGTTTCTGGATAGAAAATTACCACCCAGATTGACCCATCTACACTGTGATGCAGGCTGGATGGTCATTTTTTAAAGTAGATGACTCCCATTCGATCATTGGACCAATACCAGCTCTCAAACATCTTTACCTTAAAATCATTTTAACTTTTTTATACCAGAAAGTAGTTACCTTATTAGTAAGCAAAGCAGACAGTTGATCTCGTAAGGCGAGGAGGTTCCGTCTGTGAGACGTAGGCTCGACCGCTCGCGGCTCAGCGGCCGGCGTGCGTTTCACCGGCGAGTCTACAGACATCATTTGTTCTGTAAGATTGAAATATAATTTGCTTCAAATGCTAAATGAAATACATTTAACTTTATATTAGATATTTTTAAAAACTTTTGTTTATATATATATATATATATATATATATATTTATTATCCTGTTTTCTGATTTTTTTCGAGTTCGATTTTTTACATATAAGGATACTTGTACCTATACAATTTTTTACATGTTACATTTCACTATCCATATGCTGTCCAAATATTGGCTAATATGATATCAGCCATTTGCGTGTGAGCTATAAAGGTTGCAAAAACATACAGACATAAAACGTTATTTGGCTTTTGTATACTTTTGAGATCATTTGATACTGATATCTACCCCAGCAAAGTTTGCTATTCAAAATCCAATAACTATTTCGCCACACCCGGGATTCAAGCCCATAGTGAAGCTGTAATTAATGTACAGGTACCTGATAGACCACATAGACTTTATTATTATATTCTTTGAGTAGCACATAGGATATTGTTCGTAATAAAATTAGCACCTTAGCGAAGAGAAGGTAAGTCTCTTATTATAAATAGTACCTGAGCGACTGAGCTTAGCTCGGTGGTATATTTTTTTTCCGATATACATGAAATAAATCTAAATAAAAACAAGAATGTGTATTTGATGAATTGGCCTGATCCCCCTCGTATTGAAGAGAGACCCGTGCCCAGCAGCGGGACATTAAAAAGGGCGGAATACACAAGAATTGCTCATTGAATATTATAAGATAACTGACCATTACTATTAACTTCAATGAGTGGTCGTCTATGTAGAGATATGCCCTCCAACTGATCAGTCCGAGGCGCGGTGGTAAGACAGGAGAGCGGCAACGCGGCCGGCATGATACCCGACGTGAAGAACTCATGTTGTAGCAATTTGTCTACCGATGGTCGGCTCGATGGGTTGGATTGTAGCTGGAGGACAATCATTGATATTGCTGGCTTGCGGAGTGTTGATGGGATTCTGTAATAGGAAATTGTATGATTAATAAAATCTATAAGGGGATTTATTTAATCCATATAAAATATTTGTTCCTATACTGTTAGAAAACTGTGTATAGTCTTTGATGTTATTGGGGCTTATAAGTTGTGTTTTCCATTTAAATATGTATGTATATTAAATTATTAGATCAATATTGACCTATTAATTAATATATTATTATTGTAATAAAAGCTTATTACGCTAAATAAGTAAAATACAAAAGCTTTAATAAACAATGCTTACTTAATAAGCACATCCTAATTTAGGCACAAATGCATGTTTTTAATAATATATCGGAAACGATAAAATAAACTCTATATATAGTAAAAGTCATACAAAAGTCTGTTAGTACATAATTAGACAAGCCATATTATTAAGACAAGAAGAGGGAAGGTAAAACTAGTATTATCATTATGGAATTTTTTTTGTAAATTTTTGTATCTTTTTTTAAAAAGACTGATTTTGAGTGAAAAACAAATGCACAACAAATTTAAGTTAGTATGTACTATAAAATTAATTGTAAAATGTGTATATTTTATAATTTTTATAGTTTTTATAATAGTATATGATTTCATAATAGTATAGTTAGTATAACATAAATAAAGCAGATTTATGAATTGATAACACATAAAATAATGTATGTAGTTTTAATTTTCTAATTATTTTTTCTTCTAGTTTAAAAACATGAGCAGTTAACATTTTTAAGTTTGTTATTTAACAAAAATATAAACAATATAATATCGATTTTCAATTTATATTAGCCACAGACAGAATTCCTGTCATCAAAATAAAGATAAAGTCATTGATATTAATAAGAATTTTAAATTTTTGGTAATTGAATAGCTTTGCATTCATTTGAAAATGAGACACTTTTTCAGCCATTTTTCTACATACAAAGCTTGGTAAAACAAATGAATTTGTTACTTTTCACATTTTAGTATTATGAAATATGAATGGCGAGTACATCACAGACAAATTGTATGTTTGTCCATCACCACAACACAATGATAACCTGTAACGTTGTTTGAGCGTATTATCGTTGATAACCGCCTGCGCGTATCTAGAACCAATTGCTTGCCATGGACCAGCGAAACAAGCATGCAGGGCTATGTTTATCCCCTCACTATGAAATTCAAACAATATAAACTCATTGAAAATTATTGAAATTCTACAATATTTGTACATATATTTTTTGGATTTTCAAATGAAGTAAATATAACAAAAAATAGGACTTATCATGTTCACTAATAACAGTTTTACATGAAAAGACAATAAAATAATGATGTCACTACGTTATAACAGAAAAAGTAAAATAAAAAAAAAATATATGCAATATTTAATATTTTGAAGGTGTAATTTAACATTTATAAAGAAATAAAATTTAATATACCTATATTCACATTGCTTGATCCTTTTATATGTGTCTCTGAGGGTGGATGTCTCAAACGGCGGCTTGCCAACAAGCAGAGTGTACATGATGCAGCCCAAGCTCCAGATGTCCACTTCAAATGAGTGGCCCTTCTTCGTCAATATTTCTGGTGCTATATAATTTGGTGTGCCGCATAAAGTCTGCTTTCTCTCTCCTAAAAATATTTGCACATTAAACCATTTATACTTAATTATATCAGAATAGTTATCAAAAAGAAAAAACACTCTTTATTTGAAGATATTAATTTTCTTTTCCATGCAACAATTACAATAATGTGTATGTGTTTTTTTTTATGACAGTGGTAGCCCAGTGGTAATGCTCGCTTGGGAAACCGAGTGAAGCAGGTTAAAACCGCAGGTCTTGCACCTCTGATATTTTCATGTGGGAATCATTTGCAACATGATTACCACTTGTCTTACGGTGAAGGAAAAAACATCATGAGGAAACCTTCATATCTGAGAGAACCTAGCAAGTTTTCGAAAGTCATGTGAAGTTCTCCAACCACACTTGGCCAGTGTGATGGAAGGGAAAATATATGGAATAATTTTTTTTTGTCATCTATCGTCATCTCTTAAACATTATAATACAGATTAAAGTGTAATGTAGAATGATATTTTGTATACTGGATGAACACTTACAATTAGATAAACTTATAATCATCAAAGAGATATCAATTAAACCAATGGAGAAATGGAAAATTGTTACATATATGTTTTATAAAACTTATTAATAAAATTATGATATGAAGTTCATATATATGAAAAAAATACAATATTTTATATTACCTTCAAATTCAATCTTAGCTGCAAGGCCAAAGTCCCCAATCTTAACATGTAAGTCATCATCAAGAAACAGATTTCCTAGCTTGAGATCTCTGTGTATGATCCTCTTGCTATGCAAATACTGTACTCCAAGAAGGATTTGATGCATATAGAAACGAGTTTCAGGTTCTGAGATAGCTTTTCTACGCTTGTGTAACTCCATCATTGACTGTTTGTATAAGAAAATAGAACAATATATTTACTTCTGTACCTTTGAAATTGTTGTTACACAACAAATTTATACAAATGTTTTACAAGTATATTAAGAACATTTACTGTTTTATTTTTTTTTCATTTATGGAATAGAAGATGACAAAGATTAATTTAATATGCAAGATGATATATTGATTGATTGATAGATATTATTAATTTAATATGATAAGTAATAAAAAACTATATAATAAGTAATTAATGCATCATATCTGAAGTATCATATTTACCCTTCTTTTGCAAAGTTCAAGTATTATATAAATATTTAAAGAGTCCTCAAAGAAGCTGTGGAAGCCAACAACATGCTTATGTAGTAGAGATCGGTGAATTGATATTTCCTGTGCCATCTTTTCTTTTTGACTTGATTTCACCATCAGTTTCTTTGATACTATTTTGCCAGCATACACTTGGTTTGTAGCGATGTCTTGTATTTCGTAGCATTTTGCAAAGCCACCCTTAAGATAAAGAAATTGCACTTCTTAATGACCATATGAAAATATTTTATAAATTAATTGTTAAATGAGATTTGATTGATTGAATCAACAGAAAACATTATCATTATGATGCTATAATTCATTAAGAAGTTAATAACTGACATAAAACCGTTAACGATTATGTACACTGGTCAAATTACTTAGTTTTACAAAAAAAATGAACTGAATTATATAACAAGTCGTAAGTATGTATTTTCCGGTCATTTTAAATATAAATTTCCCATTGAACAAATACTAGAATAAAAAAATTAACTCACCTTTCCAAAGAATCTCAATCTTTGATATGTACAATTGGTTTGGGGATCGTGTATAAATTCAGGAATTTCTTTCTTTTCATCTTCTTTAATAGACGTCATTATAAATTAGCTTAAAATGTAAATAAAATCAAATAATATATCAGTTAACAATTACGAGCAAAGACATAAACGATTGTTGACAATCCACAAAGACGATTTCAAACAATTCAAACGGCGAGGCGTTTGAAGTTTGAACATAAATGGCAGTTGAATTGATATTTAACGGTATATTATTTTGACCAATAGCAACTCTTTATTTGTAAGTAATGTTGCTACCTTAAAAATATTATACAATTAATATAATAAATATACCATAGACATAATATTGTAGTATTTTTATAACATAATAACAGTTAAATCATTTTGAATAAAACAATAAAAAAAAAATTAAAAAAAAATCCCATGTATATAGTAGAAAAATGTAAAAAAATATGTTTTTCAAGTATAATAATATGTATGTATTATGTCCCTAATAAGTTTGTCACAATAATTTGAACCTTTTTAATTTTCTTCTGATTATGTCCAGTTTTAGATTTTTTGTGTTTTATTCTTATTCATAAGAAGACTGAAATGGTATTTTAATAAGTTAAGTAGGTAACGTTAAAAATCAATTATAGGTTATATATTCAGTTTGATAAATTTATATTTTCGCGTTCGATAATAAACGTGTCATAAATGGTATTATTACTACTAATAGTAGGGGAGCCCAAGAGGGGATTTTCTGTAGTTACTCGAGCGCGGCAGATTAACATAAAAGAGGTTACCTTGCACTCTATTGAGTATTTTCACCACAATATAAGTCTTCTATATAAAGGGGCGCGTCTAGGGAAGCCGATTAAAATATTTAAAAAATGTTTTGATAAGGTAGAAATACTTGAAACCGTCAGATTAAGGTGTGGTAGGCTAGTCACATCCTGAAAAGTGTCCAATTTAATAATCTGCCGATTTGCAAAAGCCTAAGAGGCAAAAATCATCATAAACTTTATAGTCGATTTTTCGTTTATAGTAATTTTATCAAATGATAATGATTTAAAAGTAGCAATCATTTCCATGCTTACTACTAATAATATAAGCATTCACAGAAAAAAATATGACCTTAAACATTCTGAACGGAGATCATAAATACGACAGACTTTTTCAAAAATGAAAATAGTGTACCAAAGAGTATAGATATATACTGTAGTGTACACTCACCATAGAGTATATTGCTACATATATAAAACACTCACGGAAGAGAAAAAACACCGTTAACTTCTGTGAGTTGAACAGTTTGATAATAGTAATAATAATTATTATCATGTATATTTTGATGTTATAGTATGTGAATGTTACAATTATCACATTAACTGGTACAGAATTCGCCCTCGTTTCAACATGTCATTATCTTGCAAAACTTGCACCTTTGCGAGGCAAGTAAACAAACCCTCGCCAAACTTGGTTAATTCTCCTCGTGTAAAGCATTTACGCGTTTGTGCTAATAACAGATACATAGGTATAGCTAAAATACATAATGAATTAAATTATATTAATCCACGCTTGTTACATGTTTATATCGATACTTCATACAATAGCAAGTAATGTACACTTTTGTTCGCTGATAACGTACGTTCATGATATGCGTTTTATCTGCGCGTTTATCCATCGTAGTGCACAAGCTCAGAGTCTCAGACCAATAAAAAAGTTTAAAGTACTTTTTTATTGGTCTGAGTGTACAAAGTACCTTTGATATCAAGTGGTTTGTGGTTGTATTATTATTACTAGGTTCAGTTATTTTAGACAAGATTTTCTTAATTATCAACTCACATGTAAATTTTATTCTCAGACTAATATGACTACATATCTATCTTCTTCTTCTCCCTGCCCATTTCCCAATCACTTGGGGTCGGCGGAGTACATCATCTGTACTGCTGAGTGCTGACAGGATTTGGCAAAAGGTTTATGTCCGGCCGCCTGCCTGACGTCAACTCTCCTTGGGAATGCTATTGTCTCTTTGTCTGAATGGTGTCGCGGAAGTCTTTTAATTATTATGCACTTTTCGAAGGCAACAACCTTTTAAAACATTTTTATCTCGTATTACTTAATTTTTTTTTTCATGTTAGGTACATATCTATCTATAGGTACATATAATTAAATTGTAACTAAGTTGAATCTGGACATTTTTTTTTTTAAATCTTATATTACGAGTCTATATCAGAAGTAGGTCAGGTAGGCCAAGTAACCCCCCCAACGTGCGTTCACCTTGTCGTGGTGGGGGGCCTCAGTAGTGCCCGGCAATCCAACCGGGCGCGAAGCCAAGAAACGCACAGGGAGGTGGCCCACTTCGGTGGGCGGTGGGAGGCGACCCTCTTCGGAGGGCGGTGTACCATGCGGGTTGCTCCTGGTACTTCTCTGATAGCAGAGTGGACCTTGGAGCAACCCCGTGGTTGTTGTGGTCTGCTTCGGCTGACCTGCCGTCGGGGCGTCGTAGTTGAATGCGTAAGCGATCCTGCGACGCCCCATTAAGACGGGGGAAGGCTTTGTTGGGTTTTAGTGGGTAGTACTGGCTTTGCCGGTGAGTCCCACACCTCGTGCGTAAATGCATTTCCCAACGTTAAAAAAAAAAGAAGGTAGGTCAAGTAAAATTCAGTGTAACAGCACACAGTTTTTATTATTTTATACAGAGTCAGAGTAACGCCTCAAACGACTACAAAAAGGAATGACGCATTACGCATTATTTTAAAAGTCATGAAACAAAATACAACGCTGCTCCCGTCCTTTTTCCACTCAAGATGACAACATCAGAAAACCTAAATAAGTTTTTATTTGTCATCCATGATAAGTATTTTATATCAGTATGACAACATGAAGAATAAAATAATGAATCTACAATAATACATATTATAAGTCCTATTTTATATAATTAATAATTTATATTATTTTAAGTATAACACTCATTAAAACATTATTATCGATACAGATGCCGATTCTATAGTTTGTAGAATTTCTGTCTGTCTGTCTGTGATCGCATCACAGGAAAACATATAGGATAATTTTACTGCGGGAAAATATTTATCTCAAGCCTGCGAAATCAATACTAAACATTAAAACGTAAATAGGGAGGAACCCGAGCGGAGAGAGGGTGAGTCGCTACTTATAAAATAAAATATCTACTACATAATATTATAAAATTAAAGTCCCCCACCGCGTCTGTCTGTCTGAAAGCGATAAACTTAAAAACTACCGAACGGAATTTCATACGGTTTTCACCAATAGATGGTGTGATTCATGAATGATTCATAAAGGTTTAGGTGTACAATTCATCAAGATTTCATGTAAATTGGCTGAAATATGACGATGATTATTGAAGATGTCGGAAAAAATCATGCTGGCTGGGAACTTCATTAGCGTGCAGCGCGTGAACTAATAAAGTTATATGAAAGTAATGTATTACAAAATTGATAACTTATTACTCGGGTCAACATTTAGGATACATTTTACTACAGGAAAATCTTTCAGTCCCACGGGAAAACACATTACACAATATCTATCGAGTCGTTCTTAGAAATTTATATAGCGAACGCTGACAACCTTAAGACGTAGGTACATCAAAACAATGTTTTAGATAATTGTAGGTCTTAAAAACTTTTCTGTAAAAAGTCTGTAATAGTATATTATGTCTGTTTGCTAAGGTACATTCGTAATACCTACCTATTTTTTTTATTATATGCAAAAGGCAGTATCGCGACCCACTGACTCGTTTATCAACGCCGAGCCCAAATCAATAACAATGGAAGTTTAAAATTTTGAGAGGATATTGATTTTATACTGTAGGTGTTATAGCAGGTTTTTTGAAATTCGGGTAAATTATTTAAGGGGTAAATTGGGTAGGTAAAGTTTATATAGAGAAATATTATTTATGATCAGGATTACTTGAAACTTAATATTAATGCACAGTAAATGTACAGTAAGTAAGAATATCTACCATTTTTATTGTTAAATTTACGTATTCAGCTTCAAAATTACATACAAAGATATAATGTATACTTACCTGTACGTACAGATTATTTGAAATTCATTCTTTGAGAGGATAACAATACTTTAAGGGTGTACTAGTAGTTTGCTTAAAAATCGCTGATAATGCGTTCTGACGCTGAATTAACGAAACATTAAAACAGTTTTTTTTGTTATGCATAATAATAATTATAATGGGCCCGTAGGGCAGCTTGTGGCGAGCTGATGGTGAGTGGCGACGCTACGGACCTGAGGTATCTCGGGGGAAACACCATCTGTCCCTCGCCTCTGCTTCTCGCTAGTCTTCATTGGCCGTCCAGCGTGGAGCGCAAGAGTCAGGTGTTCGAAAGGGTGCAAGTGCTCAATCTGCGTAATAATAGGAAAACCTGCTCACTAGCACTCTCGCGATGGTGAAACGGGTGAACACCTCTCGACACCCGACTGGTCGATACCCTTAACCGACCACGCCGATGTTGCGTCTAACGGACTATGCTGCTTTGTAGGGGCCCATCTATTGGGAGGTGAGTCACCGTCCGCCAAATATTCAATTTGAGATTGTTGAGAAGGCGGACCTCCGATGTCTTATCCAATAGCCCAGTTTTCAGTCCAACCAAACTCAATTCTATAAACAAACTTGAATCTCTGAAGGGGCCTATATGTGTTGGAACAACTAATTTAAGTAGCGTAAGATAGGTCGTATTTATTATTGTTTTTTTTTAAATAATAAAAGTGGTAAAACTTTAATTAAAATATATATAAATATATATAAATATGCTTTTACAAACTAGAGTTGATCGCGTGTATCTTATTTATGTACATCACTCCGCTCTTTACAAACGGGTTACGTAGACCTTTCTCCAGGCAATAATATCCAAGAAGGATTTTTCTCCTAAGGTATAACACTCGCAATAACTATATATATATATATATATATATATATATATATATATATATATATATATATAAATTGTAATCACTTAGGGACGCATCCGAGCGAAGCGAATGTAACGAGTCGATAATGTAAATAATAAATGTATCGAGTCATAAAATCATCTCATATTATAAATTTCTAAATAATTATCGTGCTTGTTTTTTACATTTTGTCCCCTAAATTAATCGTAAATCAGGTAGATTTCATGGTCTAAGACAGACGAACAATTAGTATATCCTCATAAAAGTAACTGCTTTGACATGATAGATATAATTAGGGCCTCAACCGATGGTGAGTCTTTCAATTTTCAAAATGGTTTTTACCTTTAATAAGCCACGTCATATTGTGGTCAACAATAATTAACCACACCGTTAAAAGCACAGAATTTTTATAAATACATTCATTACTATAATTTATGTCGTTAGATTTGAATGAAATTAAAATAAATTATAAATTATCAATTACCTTATCTAAAACTTATAAAGTAATCTATTCAATTGTTCAAATAATAAAAAAAAAACAAAGTGAAAAAATATAAGTATTTGTATGTATTCAAACTGACATATTGATAATATTTATCGGTTCCAACCAGGAGTACTTCCTGGGTAAAGGGGCAAATCATATTGTTAGGATTCGCAAATTATTATGTAATTGTGTCGCATTTAACTGAACACTAGATAAAAGAACAAATCTATCACTTGAAATAGTATTTACTTTTTAATTGTGATCGCGAGAGCAGAGCACGAATTGCCTTAGTTTTGCAAATTTGTAACACAATGGAAAATTATTGTTCAAGATTATTTTTAATTATTGTGTTGTCAATATTTGGATTTAAATTTATAAGGGCTGGAAGGCTCTGGGTAACTACGGATGAACGTAAGTATATTAATTTCTATTTTTTTTTCAATATCTATCTACAAGAAGAGATTTCTAATAATATATAATATGATTTTAAAATTATTGTTAAAATACAATAAATATTTTATGTTGATAAAAATATTTGAATATACTTTGGAAAAGTATTATAAAAAAATAGGAATTGATATATATATATTAACACCCTTACCTTGTTAATAGTATGAAAGATCCATTCTCATAAAAATAATAAGTGCAAGAACGTTTAAAGTTTTCCATCACTGAAAGTATTTTTATTCTTAAATTTGTCATTTTATATTTCTTTCTCGTTTCACCTCGACATTATTAAAGATCACATTAACGTTCGATATTTATAATTTTGTAAGGCACTATTTCATTTTCATTAATAAGTAGGTAGTATAATAATACATCGCGTGCAGTCGGTGGCACTTGCTACTATTCATTGAGTTCTATCAGGTCAGGTTGATGGGTTACCTTGGAGATAACCGACTTACTATTATATGGGTTATATAATGAATATATAATAGATATACGCCGATATTGTTATATATTCGATAAGTTTAAAAATATAATGTAAATGCAGTAACAAAATTTTGTAGCTCTGTGAAATGATAACGATTTTCATTGGTGGCTAGATTTACTAAATTAAATTGCTAACCAAAAGACAGTGTTGAATTACTACATCATATGTAAGCCTAAGCTTTTTATTATTTAGTACTAGCGACTCACCCTCGGTGACATAGTCAATGCCTGACTCGCCATACCTCCCATGTTAAAAAAAAAGAATAAAAAAAAATTCACCCTCGCTACGCTAGGGTTCGGTTGATTGGGTTGATTCCCCATACAAACTTTCACCTCCATTTTCACCCCTTTAAGGGATGATTTTCGGGATAAAAAGTATCCTATGTCCTTCCCAGGATCTCAAACCATCTTCTTATCAAACTTTATCTAAATCAGTTCAGTAGATCCAGAGATTACCCCCTACAACGTCACATATTCACAAACTCACAAACTACCTCTTTATAATAATAGTATAGATTAAATGCAATTTCAATCAATTTTATAAGAAACTAGTGACTTACGCTTGTTTCGCTCGGGTTCGTCCCTAGGTCGCTCATGTAGTGTTGATACAGTTTTATATACCTTTTTAAAGAGGAATAACCCCGTAATACATACATTGTTTTCATAATATAACTTTGTTGGTTCCCACGGCGCACGCCAATAAAACTCTCAGTAAACATATTTTTTTCCGACGTCTTCAACAATCATCGACCTATTTTCACTAATTTACACAAAACTTTAATGAATTATACACTAAAACCTTCCTCATGAATCAATTAGTCTATTGGTGAAAACTTTATGAAAATCTGTTTGGTACTTTTAAATAAACAAAACAAAAATACAAATAAATCCGCGACAAAATCCGAAAAGATAGTTTTATTTAAAATGTCAAATATTCGCGTAAATCTAAGAAAGTATTATATACTGTTTGGTACTTTTTGATTTTATTGCGTTCAGACGAAGTTCAGAGAATATATATATATATATATATGTAGTTATGTGTCTAATTTGTAGTATAAAATATAGCTATTTACAATAGCAGATACACTTGACATACATAATGTAAAGGATACACTGACCTAGAACCAATTTCATTTATTATCATGGACAAATAGAATATGAATCATCGCTGAAATACAATTGTGTAATATTAATGGTTTCTACATTCATGTCCTTAATAAAAATTTATAAAGGTCTAGGTCTAATAATATTATCCTTTGCTCTTTCCCTCCTTTTATAATTATTGTGTATAGACGAAGGCACTGCTCGGCATCTAGCAAGCAAAAATGCTTAGATGCCGACATGCGCACAAATCATAGTTATATTTTCAACCGACTTCCTCAAAAAGAAGGAGGTTCTCAATTCGGCTGTATTTTTTTTTATGTTTGTTACCTCAGAATTTCGAAGTTGGTGCTAGCCGATACAAAGCAAAGCACACCGACTTCGAAAATATTTGATTAGATATGTATAGTGAATGAAAACTACCAATCAGTTATTTTTTACTTTTTAGTGCTTTTGTTTGAAGTCGGTTTTTATTTTTTTGTTAAAAAGTTTTTATCAAATATATACCGACCCTTTTCTGGCTTCCAGATTGCTATACTTTATAGGCTCTACTTGTAGTGATTCACTTCTTACTTTTGTTTTCTGGTATTATTGAGCATAAACGCATTATTTTTTCTAAACTTGACCACAATACAGCTTTCATCCAGATTTTAAATGATATTTAAACTCGGTTTGGTTATGTATTTCAATTTTAAATAAAATAAAATTAATTAAATACTAATTAGTATTAATTAAGTGTTTAACAATAAACAATAGTATACTTACGCGGCGTAAGTTTTTTAAGGAACGTCACGTTGCTTACCGATCTGCGCCATCTCTTCTGCATTCTATTAACTCTTGAATATATCACTTTTCTACAAATTTTTTGACTTTTATATCTTTTATTTCTGTGCACTGCAATATTCAGGTTTTTCTCTATTTATGAATAAAAAGTTAAAAAAATATAGGGTATTAACAACAAAATTGATTGAATTGAAATTACAGATCTAAATATGATTTAAGAAATTGTAGAACAAAAAATATAGAACGAATTTTTAAACTTCTACATTCTGTCTTTATCGTCAGAATATCTGGTGTTTAAAAAATATTTTTTATTATTAATTTTAGTTGAAAATCACATAAGTCCAGAAGATATGAACGAGTTTCTTAAATGGAGTGCAAGAAGTAACTCATCTTTAACAACAACTGTACGTTCTGATGCAGAAGTGTATGCTAATTTTGAGGTATGAAAGTATAATTTTATTATAAATTTATTATAGCGTAAAAAGTTATCTTTATTCAGGAATATAATGATGATGATTGTTCCGACCGTTTTCGGTCCTGGCGACCACTTCGACTCCTAGTCGGCTCGGCGCTGATGCGCACGAAGATGGCTATATTATTATATATTAAAGTAATGTGTGCTAAAATCGTTAGATAGATTTATTTTAAACCATATTTTTTTGATTGACCCTTGTTTTAATCATCAATAATATAACGGATTGACGTGATGAAATGCGTGGAAATAGACGATGCTATTTTTTATCGTTTATGACGCGAGAACACTATTATTTTCAAAATTAATAGAGCTCTATATCTTCTCGTTTGAATTTTATAGTCGCTAGTGAAAGTTTAATAGAAATAGGTTCAGCCGTTCTCGATGTGGGTCACAAACAAACATACTGATAATATTTTTGTAATAACTGTATATTAAATATTTTTTGGAAAATCTTATTGAAATAGACATTATTATCGATATAGAGGCCGAATCTATAGTTTTTAGAATTTTTATCTGTCTGCTGTTACCGCACCACAGAAAAACCACTGGAGGGATTTTGATGAAATTTGGTATAATGATAGCTGGTTATCCGGGTCAACATATATGATACTTTTTACCGCGGGGAAATATCACATTTCTGAGAAAAAATACAAAAACTGCATTGTAAGAGTATACTAATATGTAAAACCTAAGAATTTGGTTTTTGGTCATCTAAACGCGAGCGGAACCGCGGGCAATACTAGTCTAATTTATTCATAAAAATAAGCAACTTATTATTGTTTCTTTATATATTTTTTCTTTTAGGAAACAACGACTATACTTCCAATCCCTGATATAGTGGATTGTTTTGGGTTAGGCTCTTTAACTCGCCAGATATGGCTGTTTAATATGCGGCCAGGCTCTTCCAATGATGTTAATACACATTACTATTTCTCTTCACGCCTTAAACCCAAGAGAGTTCAGGTAAGATGAACCATTTAAAACCCCTATCAGATACTACTAGATTTTGGGTCAAAAGTATAAAGATTTCCTTCGTCGTAAAAGTTTATACGAGTATAACTTTGTTTACCACAAGAATCACCTAACTTTAACAAAAGCTCTTTATGTTTGAGTTTTGTTTAAGATATATGTTATATTGAAGCATTATTTTACTACATGAGTTATACGTACTCCATTACGATCACCGTATTTACTAATTTGCATTTAAATTGTATAAAATCATAAACAACTTTTTTTTAAGCTGCCAGATACATTCAAATATTATACCTGCGTATGACAAAAGAATGATTATAATTAATGATTAATTATATAATTATAGTTTATTTAACGGATCATTTTTTAGAAAGATAGATTTAATAAGATTTTTTTAGATTTAATACAAATTATAGATTGAACTTTCAGGTATATGCTGGATCACAATTTGGATTGGAGTGGGTTGATTTCAATCCGAATAGAAAAACTATATTAATTGTCCACGGGTTTATGAGTCACAGTAACGCGTCTTGGGTATTGGATATGACAACTGCATTTTTAGAATGGGTAAATATGTATTGTCTTACTTTGGTTCTGTACTAACCTAATAATATATTATATGAACACCAACAGTTGTTATATTAAGAATATCTTTATAAAATGGCGCTGCCATTTATGTTAATTTGAAAAATATAGGTACTATTTAATCAAATATGGCCTTATCATATGATAAATTTCTGCTAATAATACGATATGTGAAATTTTGATAGTTTGATACTTATAAAAGCGCATTTTTATATTTTTAATTAAAAACATGATGTAATATTGAGTTACACTGTTTACAAAAATGTCTTACTAATAAGTTTCTTTTTGCTTAAAACATTATATACAAATAATACTATGAATATAATTTTAGGACGATGTAAATGTGATAGTAGCAGATTGGAGTAAAGGTGGTAACACATGGAAGTACTGGCGAGCTGTTGCCAATACGCGGACTGTTGGATCCGATATTACCGGGTATTTACTACTATTTAAAGTAAATATTCAAAATATCCATATAAATATCATTATATATTTTATATATATCTAGCGACTTGTCCTTTCTTCGCTGGGGTCGTTCGGGTCGGGTCTTACTTCAGATCATATCTTTGTACCTACTTAATTTCATCCAAATCGGTTCAGCCGTTTCAGCGCGAAGGAGTAACAACCATACATACACATAAAAACTTTTGCATTTAAAATAGTTGTCAGATAATTACTTAAATAAAACATTTTTTCTTAAAACATGAAATAAATAAATCTTTTTATATAAATTTAATATATGAAAGTTAACTATTAGGTTTATGAAGCAACTTATAGGAGCAACTGGTGCAAGAGTGAAAGATTTCCACTTTGTGGGACATAGTCTAGGGGCCCACATAGCTTCTTATGTATCATATCATATTGGGAGAGTTGCGAGGATAACAGGTAATGTTTGTTTTTATTTAATAGTTACTGTACAGTTTTTGTATCAATTTCTTAAGTTTATTTTCAATTTCTAATTTTTTGATGTGAAACATCTATTCCCGCGAGTTAATAGTAAAACCGACTCGTGGTGTGACGGCAAACGGGGTCGTGACGTTGTCATGCCATCATGCTCCTTCTACGCTACCGCTATCATAAATTAAAATAATAAGAAAAATAAATTGATTTTATTAACGAAACTCTATTTCTCATTATTTTACTCCATATTTCGTTATCGGTATTTAATAATAATTATGAATTTTTATATAAATCTTAGATGTTTCACATCTGCCGGGCGTCCCGTGACGGCCGACTTTTTTACAGTAGTTTATTATTTACCAACTTATGTAATTTTGTTTAAATATACTTGCTAGTGTGTAATATTAAACAATAATGAATACTGATATTTAATGACAAATATTTGTATAGTAATGTTCAAGGAAAGATTCAAAAAAATAATGGTTTAAGAATTGTATGTAGCTAAGTGTAATTTTATCTTTCTATAGTTTTTAATTAAATCTATATAAAAACTAGCGACTCACCCTCGCTCCGCTCGGGTTCGTCCCTGGGGTGGGGTCTGGGAGGACCACCCTTATCCTTATCACTTAGGGGTATGGAAAATAGATAGTAGCCGATTCTCAGACCTACTGAATACGCATATAAAATTTGGTAAAAATCGGTAAAGCCGTTTCGGAGGAGTACGGTAACAAACATTGTGACATGGAAATTTTATATATAAGATAACAATATATAAATTAATTGTAGGCTTAGACCCAGCTCAGCCATGTTTTCGAACATCCAATCGAGTTGAACGTTTAGACGAGACAGACGCTGATTTTGTAGATGTTATACATACAAATGGAAGGTTGTTGCAAAAAATTGGTTTTGGACTGCCGGATCCTATAGGTAAGTGTAGAACGATTTTGTTATATATAGAGCTGTTAGTTTTAAGTGTGTCAGTAGGTCACCTTTCCATATAAGCGATTCGCCCTCTTTATTTGAGCTTTCTAGTTTCTCTACATACATGGTTTACAGTAGGTACCTACCTATTACCTACTATTCCCAGCCATGTCTAACAGGAAGAATAAAACATTATAAAAGACAGCGACTCAACCTCGCTTCGCTCGGGTTCGCCCCTAGGTTGATTCCCCATAAAAACGCTCATCCCCATTTTCACCCCCTTACGGGATGATTTCTGGGGTAAAAAGTATCCTATGTCCTTCCCAGGGTTTCAAACTATCTTCTTACCAAATTTCATCTAAATGGGTTCAGTAGATCCAAAGATTACCCCCTACAACATCACAAGCTCACAAACTCAAAAAAATTTCTGTCTGTCTGTTTGTTCCGGCAAATCTCCAAAACGGCTTGACTGATTTTGATGGGACTTTCACTGGCAGATAGCTGATGTTATAAGGGGTAACTTACGCTACTTCTATTTTAGAAAAAGAATTAGGATTCCGCTCAAAAAAAATTTACGTACCCAGGGGCACACCCGTGACCCGAACGAATCGGGTAATGCTAAATAATTATTATAAAATATTAAAAATAATTATTATTAAATTTACACATTTTCTTAGTGATATTAATAATTAGTCTATGTATTATTTATTGTTAAATTACGTTTCGGCTATCTTAGTGTCTTACTCAAGGTCTAGAGTTAGAAATGTTACTGTAATGTATTTATTAAATTCAATTATTTAAGGTCATGCAGATTTTTATCCCAACGGAGGTATGAAGCAGCCGGGCTGTGCTAACAAGACTAACTCGATATGGGCGAGATTGCTGCCAATTTCACCGTCAAGTAAGAGCTTTTTTTATTTTCAATAAAATAATTTCAATTAAAATAAATATTTAAAGATTTATAGAAATCTTAATATATAATTTTTATGTACGTGTGTTTGTTACCTAACTCCTCCTAAACGGATGGACCGATTTGGATGAAATTTGTGTGTATATTTAAATGAGTTCCTGGATGGTTTGAAAATACAATTGGATTTAGTAGGTGGCGCTGCAGTCGGTGTGTTACCAAAATATTATTACTTATAACATAAAGCCAAAGAGTTTTTTTTAGTAGTTTGAACGCGGGCGAAGCCGCGGGTACTACTAGTAAATTATAAATTTTGAAGTATAACTTAGAACTGGTATAAATGTTTAAGATTATATTTTTAATATTTAAATTAGTAAATTAAGTATGAATTATATTACCAGTCAGTATTCAAATAATTTGATGGTATAATCATTTCTCTTATAAAATTTGCTAGATTTGCAAATCTGACAAATATATGTAAGTGTGTTTCGACCGAGTGTCGTTCGTGTATATGCTGAGATCGTTATACATGCAAAAGCTTTTTGCTATATGAAACAATAAAGATAAGAGCTTTGTAGTAATACATAATGAATACGAAATATAGCCAGATTATTATAAGTATTTTCTAAGAAATAGGTAAAATTCTTAGAAATATATAACAGTAGCAGTAATAAAAACTTAAAAATAATAAATAAATACGTTGGGACATTAACACACAGCACCATCTAGTTCCATGGTAAGCTACGAGGCTTGTGTTATGGATACCAGATAGTTGATACACTACACATACATATATAACTTTAAATACATACAAATTATAAATATAAACACCCATGACTAGAGTACAAACCTTCGTCATCACACAAATGAATGCCCCCAGCGGGACTCGAACCCGCGACCGCTGGCACAGAAAGTAGGGTCACTACAAACTGAGCCAAACGTGTCGTCAAAAAAAACCGATTTCCAGTTTCATTTAGAATAGATACCTCATCAGATATTTTCAACGTCGCTGCCAGCCAGGTGAATACATAAAGAAAAAAGATTCCGAGAAATTGACAACCGCCCCTTTTTTTTGGAAGTCGGTTAAAATAGAGTAGATTACTAATAAAAAGAGGTTTTGTCTATAGGTTTTAGTTGTAGTGAAATGATATTTGATTTATTTGTTTAGAACTTCAACAAGCTATATGCAGTCATGGGCGTGCCTATTTATTATTTACGGAATCTTTAATAAATAACAACTGTACATTCAGAGCGCATCAATGGAATTTAACATATGAAGGGTAAGTTATGTTACGTTTTTTTATACAAATACATAAAAATGAATTATTGCTAAAAATTGACAAAGTTACTATTAATATTTCAATATTGGTAACATTTTAAAGATAAGAATTTGTCAGATTTACGTGAATATTTGACTTCGAATGCTTTACAGCAATCATGGTCACGGGAGAGAGAGTGAGTGTCTGAAACCTGCGGATAGTTTCATTTAAATTCTATTTCTTTATATTGACTTTACCTTCCCGCAAGGTAGAGTTGAGCTTTGTAAAAAAAAACAATATAAAATTTAACTTTATATATATTAATATTTTCTTATATACATTTTGTCACATTTTATTTTGATTGTAGAGTCCTCACATTTTAGTTGTTCTCAGCAAATACCAGTCTCTCCCGTGGTTATTTTTGCTAATAAACACCCGGAATGTCAGGATAATAAAATTCTAGAAGCGGTTAACTTAAATTATTTATTCGATTCATGTGGATTTATATTTAATTTTAGAGTTAATGCGAGTCTGTTAGCGCCTTGTAATCGTTTAATATCGCCATGCTCAGTAATGGGTATAAAAGCGGTCGGAGGTTCAGGGCTGCGTCGCGCCAATGGCCCTTATTTTGTATTGACTTCTGAGAAACAACCTTATTGTCGTAAGTATTGTCCTTTTTTAACTAATTTTTAAAAAGGGATGTTTTTGTGATTATTTTTATTAATTATTGTAAATCGATTTTCATATTTAAAAGATACATTAAGGAACAATCCATATAAATTTGAAAAACTTATTCTAACCTAAACGTGAATAAAACTCATTTTTATTATATATAGGAAGTCAACAATTTTATTCTAATTTTGTTCCTTTTTTAAATGTGTAAATTATTTTATAATTGTGTGGGTTATAGATTAATTTTATTATCTGTATTGTAAAAAAATGTAAAAAAGAAGACAGTAATAATTATAAAAAAATATTAAATTCCTTACCATATAAAGATCTCTTTTGATTTTAGAGTTCGATAAACGTCATCCACTGCCTGAGTTGCTACGAGACCTACGTCAAGGGTTCCGCTTAGACCGGTCGACTAAAATAAGACCTACGCCGACATCAGCGTACGCTGATCCCGATCTAATATTTGATGATGTTACTACCACCACAATTAGTCCTACTACTACTAAGAGTTGGTTCTGGGGCCTTATTAGTTCTTTGGGATAATGTACCTGATTTACTTAGTCTTCGCAGTATTGTAAATCATTATTGTAAATTATTGTATATATATAGGTTTTGATGAAATAAAAAATCTGTGAGTTTTTATTTCTATTTCTTATTGTTACTGTTTATATTTATAAATTTCTTAGAGATGAGATATTTTTCGCAGTAAAAAGTGTTGACCTGGGTAACCAGCTATCATCATACCAAATTTCGTCCGGTGGTTTTCTCGTAAATTTTTTGAATTTTGCGGTCACAGACAGACAGATAGACAAAAATTCTAAAAACTATAGATTTGGCCTCTGTATCGATAATAATGACTTTTTCAATAAGATTTTCCAAAAAAATATTTAAATTTGTACCGAGTCAACTCAGTTAGAATTTTATTATATGTATAAATTGTTGTGATAAACAATCTGAAATTCTTGTTTCAAATCCCTCATAATTTTTATTCGATATTTCATTATTTGTAACATATTTGGTTTTGTTTATATTATTAATCTGTACATATATGTATATATTTATATATACATATATATATATATATATATATATATATATATATATATATATATAATTTTATTTAAAATTCAGTTAAAATGACAAATTGTGCAGAGCCAGGATGCAAAAAAACGGATGTTATTTGTTCCCAAACGATGAAAACTAAAAAAATTGTGGGCAAAAGCAATATGACGATCAAAATTACCGAAATCACAATTTTATATTCAGGGCTATGTGGACATAATTTTACAGAAAGTGATTTTAAAACTGTTAAATCGTCTACAGATGAATATATATATATTATATTGTTGGGCACATAATTTTTGTTCAACTGAATAAATAATATAAAAAAAGGTAAATTATTGTTACATTTTAATCATAATTTAACACTGACTGCCGACGTCTATTTCTGCACGTGTATTTTATTAATTTTATTAATAAACAACAATAATAATAATAATAATAATAATTGAAATGAACAAGTTTATAATGCGCTCATATTTTCACCTCACAATGTTAGATACCGATAATAACAAATATCTTTTTCCACTTCATCAAAAATTTGTTGAAAAATTTCCGCAAATGCAAGTTAGCCGTCAACGTGTTGGAGATCAAAGAAGAGCCATTGTTCGTAATAAGTTATTACCACAAATCGAAATAGATAAAATATATGAGGAAGTAAAATGTGAACTTCAAACCACTAATACACTAGAGCAAAAGAACATATTATCTTTACAAATTGGACAGCGAATGAAATGGACCGAAGAATTGAACGAAACTATAATTAGAGCATATTATAAAATAACAGAACTGGAAACCAACAAAACAAGTTACAGAAAACAACTTCATCACGATTTTTTAAGTAAATTTCCTCACTTATCTCATATTTCAGAACAAAGGATAGCTGATCAAAGAAGATCAATCATAAAGAATAAACTTATGTGCAGTAATAAGATTGAAAAAATAAAACGCGAAATAGCTACTGAATTACAAATTAGGGCTCTAGAAATAGAATCACGCAATAATGTAGACATTAATTTAAGTCCAGAAGTACAGGAGAATGTAGAAAACCAAATACAAGTGCAGCCAAATATAATAAAAAGAAATGAAGACATAGATAAGATATTCAAAGCATGCTTAGAGTACTATATAAATATTGACCCTGTTAAGAGAAATTTTATTCCAAGGCAAAGATCATCTAAAAGGTTAGCCGAAATAGTTGACTACATAAATAAAATAATATTACCAGAAAATTTAGATTCTACTATTAGTTTTAAGTCTTTTCAAACAGTATTGTATTGTGCTGCATGGACAGCTGCTAAAGCAAATGGTGCAAAAATAAAAAATAAGCCAAAAGACAACATGTCAAAAATTTTGAAAAGGCAAAAACCAAAATGGCAACTTCGACTAGAAAAAAAAGTAGACGATTTAAGAGCTAAAATAGGCAGATTAACACAATACATACAAGGTAATCGCAGTAAAAAAGTTGTTAAACATGTAAATTCAATACGGAATCATTATAAAATACATTCTACACATGAGGAGCCAAACACACAACTGTCACATTTTCTTGATACATTAAAACAAAAACTTGCATTAACAAATAGTAGATTACAGAGATATAAAATATGTACACTACGTAAAAATCAAAATAATCACTTTACATCTAATGAAAAACAATTTTACAGAGATCTTAAATCTTCTACGTCATCACAAATTAATCAAACTAATAATTTTGAACATTTAACAAGTAGTGCACCACTCCAAGATAGTTTTTACAGATATTGGTCTTCAATATGGGAGAACCCCGTTAGTCACAACCATAATGCTGAATGGATCACAATTGAAAAGTTAAAAAATTCATCAAAACCAAATATGGAATATAATAGTATACCTTCGGAAATATTGCATACAGTCATCAAGAAATTAAAAAATTGGAAAGCACCTGGTTCTGATTTTATTCATAATTACTGGTATAAGCATTTTACACACGCACATTCATATCTTCAAAGTTTATAAATCATTTTATTCAAAACCCTCATGATATGCCTGAATACATAGCTACTGGAATAACATATATGATACCAAAAGATTATGGTGATCTTGGAAATCCGGAAAAATATAGACCAATCACGTGTCTTCAAACGATATATAAAATAATAACGTCTTGTCTCACTGAAGTTCTTTATAAGCATTTAATGGATAATAACATATTGACGGAAGAGCAAAAAGGATGTAGAAAACATAGTCAGGGCTGTAAAGAGCAATTAATTATAGATTCAGTAATATTAAAACAGGTTCAAAAAGAAAAAAGGGATATTTTTACACTATACATAGATTACAAAAAAGCATATGATTCAGTTCCTCACTCTTGGCTGCTACAAACATTAGACATTTATAAAATACACCCTCAAATTATAGATTTTTTGAAGAATACTATGGCTAATTGGAAGACTACATTAAAATTAAGTATACAAAATAATAACATTAACACTGAACCGATTAAAATACAACGCGGTATTTATCAAGGTGACGCTTTAAGTCCATTGTGGTTTTGCCTTGCTTTAAATCCCTTATCAAATATGCTAAATCTTACAAATACTGGATATCACTTATGGTTTAATAATAGTTTAGTTAATAGCCCTAGATCAGAATTAAAGATAGTTAATGACCTTTTATATATGGATGATATTAAGCTCTATGCGGAATCAAAAGAAGAATTAGACACACTAGCAGACTTAACATACACATTTTCACAGGATATTAATATGGAATTTGGTATCGATAAATGCAAGATAAACGCAATTAAGGCAGGACAGAATTTAAAATATGAATATCAACTAGGGAATGGCGAATGTATATTGCCATTAATCGAAAATGAAACATACAAATATTTAGGATATATTCAATCAAAACTAATACATCACAAAGAAATCAAATTGAATTTAACACAACAGTTTAAACACAGACTTAACTCTATATTAAAAACATGTCTTAACTCAAAAAATACTATAAAGGCGATAAATACATTCGCAATTCCTGCCCTAACCTATTCGTTTGGAATAATTAACTGGACCAAAACTGAATTAAAAAATCTTCAGCGTGTAATAAATACAACTATAACCAAAAACCGGAAACATCACCCACGATCATGTACACAAAGAATGACACTCCCGCGATTAGATGGTGGCAGAGGATTAATCGATATATTAAATTTGCATAACAAACAGATAGCAACTCTCAGAAAGTATTTTTACTCCAAAACTGACACATCTACCCTTCATAATGCAATAGTTCAAAATGATAAAAAGCTAAGCCCACTTAATTTGATACAAAAAGCTCCACAAAATAATGAAACACAAACTGATAAACTTAGCAAAATCCGAGAATGGACCCAGAAGTCATTACATGGAAGACATCAAAACGAACTGAACCAGAATAACGTCGACAAGTTAGCATCGAACGAATGGCTCAGACGTGGCGAACTCTTTCCAGAGACTGAAGGGTTTATGATAGCAATTCAGGATCAAGTCATAGAAACTAGAAATTACCAAAAATATATAATGAAAAAACAAAACTTCCATACCGATATATGCAGAAGATGTAACTGTGCCTCAGAAACCATTCAACATATAACCGGTGCTTGTAAATCTATTGCTCAAACTGATTACAAGCATCGGCATGACCAAGTTGCATGTATCATTCACCAAAAGTTGGTTATTAAATACAACCTTACTTCCTCATCTCCATTACCCTATTATAAATATACACCAGAATCTGTTATTGAAAACGAATTGTATAAGCTATACTTTGACCGCGCCATACTGACAGATAAAACTGTACCATACAATAGACCAGATATTACATTGGTAGATAAATTAAACAACACAGCCACGATTATAGACATTGCTATACCTAACTCACATAACTTACATAATACTTTTACAGAAAAACTAGCTAAATATCAGGATCTTAAAGATGAAATTATGAGAATGTGGAAAATAAAGACAGTTACAATAGTACCAATTGTTATATCCACCACAGGTGTTGTACCCAAGAATCTTCATCAATCTATTAAATTGCTTGGGCTTCCTCCATTTACTTACGTACAACTACAAAAAGCAGCTATACTTAATACATGTCGTTTAGTGAGAAAATTTTTAAATAATAATCCGTAATACATCGGCACTCACTTGGTTTAGGCCCGTGATTGTTGATACTCCGGTACCGAGTACTGAGGCTTATGAATATAAACAAATAATAATAATAAAAACTCTTTATTGCACACACAACATAGGAAGAAATATAAAAAAAAGAAGAATACAGTAGTAGCAAAATGAACAATATAACCTGTTACGTATATTTTTTTAAACTAGCAATGCCTCATAAATAAGACTATTGTCAGACCTAATTGTAGGTCTCTAAAGATAAAGAATTAATTAATTAATGTATAAAATTCTTCAAATTATTTATATAACTTCTATTTTACCCCTACAACAACTAACCCAAATCAAATACAATATAGTATATTAATATTAAAAAAGCTTTTAACATTTATAAAAAAAGTTTTCATTATTTCAAATCAGTTAATAGCAGCTTTTAGTTAGATTAAATTGTAGTATAAGTAAGTAGCTATTAGTGTACTACGATTTATAACAACATCATGCCGCGTATAGGAGTATTGGTGAAGGCTACTTCAAATATTATTGGGAGAGTGATATTTTTTGGGCAAAATAGCAGTATTCATGGCCTTAAATACGTTTTCGAGAAAAGGGGGTCAAAAATCAGCAAGTAAATGCAATTTATATCAAAATAACAATTTTACTGAATTAGAATATCCAGAATATTCAGTTTTGCGCCAAATTTTTAAACGTTATAAAAGTAGGAATACAATTCCCACAAACTTCAAATCCTAAAATATAAAATACAACTTTAGGAACTTTGATGGTTAGATTTTCATATAACTTGTTTGTAAATCACGTAATATTTTTCTAGATTCATTTGGTTATTGATTCTTCTATCTTTCACTGGATGTTTGTATTTACAATTAGTACCGGTGTTAGAGCGAGGTAACACTGTCAGCTTTACTCCAGACACTCGCTATTTGGATTGGACTACAACATTCCCAGCCGTCACCGTCTGTGAGACTTATTCCCCGAAGAATGTACTGAAGAAATTGTCTACGTTGTACCGTTTGTAACCATTTCATTATATGATTAATCTATATTTACAAAATAGTAGAGTGTTTTTGTTTAGTTGTTTTTGTTTGTCTGGTAGTAGTAGGTAACAGTGCAAAATTTCTTTTGCTTTACATACATTGCTTGTTTGTTGAGAAAGGTTATTATAATATGTTTGTAAATATTCAATATACCTTATAAGATACATATTATTTAACAGTGGCCATCTCGTCTAAATGTAGGCTAAAGAAAGTTAAAATCGGTTGAGACGTTTCGGAGATATGTATGTATGTACAAAGGGAAAGACAAACTACAGATATTTAATTGGACAATTTTTTTATAATATGAACTTAAAGATTGGAAAAGTATCCAACATTTTAGTTACTTTTCTTACAACTTAAAGTTATTTTAATTTTTTAATGTTATATTAAGAATGTCATGCTTATTATCTATCCACAAGATTTTTGATTTTTTTACTTTATTTATGGTGTTTTGGTATTAAAAATTACAGCGGAATTATTGGAATCGCTAAACTTTGACTTTAGACGATATGTGGCAGATTTGATTTACGGACGTGGGTCGTGCAGTCGATCTCTTTGCATACCATGTGGTACTAAGGTGCCTTGTGATGTGCCTTGGAGAAATATAATAGAAAATGTAAGGAAATGTATTAACCGCTGTTTTAATTTTTAATGTATGTGTGTTTATATAACAATATATTCAAAATAATTATCACTAGGCTTATGATAAATTAACACTTTGTGGTATATTAGTTGTTCACTTACTCTTCATCATCTCGAGATTTTTCAGGTTCATAAAAATTGCACTGAAATGATATCTGACTGTCGTTTTAATAATAAAGAAATCTCTTGCTGTAAGCACTTTCGTGTAGTAGATTCTGAATATGGAACATGCTTCTCATTCAACAGTTTACAAAGCAGGTACAGATTTTTGACATAAGATTTTATTGTTCTCTTCACAGATTTTTTTCAGCACTAACTTTCACTTCCCACTTAACAATTTTCTCTTAAAAGACTATAGACTGTGGTGTTTTAAAATGTCATGTTATAGTTACTGTACTATATGTTTGCCTTTGACAGTAATTTCGATACTAAAGCGGAGCATTTCTGTATACCTATCTACTAAGATAATCACCTGATAGCTGTTGTCATTGTTTGCACTGATAAGATCATCGTATTTTGGCTTAACTCGGATAAACAACAAATTATAATTACCTTTGGTAGGTACACATTAATTCAATTATTGATTTTACAGGTATAATGAAGTAGATCAGTTCGTTGTAAATAGGACTTCTGGACCTGGAACTTTGACTTTCCGACTTTTGTCTGATTCGCAAGTAAAGAAAGTCTTTTACTATTGTTTAATATAACACATGTTTTATATTATGTAGTTTTGATATTTAAGTTTTTAATTTACCCATATTTATTATTAAGTGAGCGTTCAAATACATTACAGCGATGATTAATAATTAATTAATTTTAAAATAAAGCAAGGCTAAGACAAACACTTAAGTACCTTTTTCTCTTTTGTTTATCGACCAATTATTTTTTGTTTAGTTGCTATTGACGAGCATTAATGTTATCAATTAAAAAAAAATGTTTGAACACGTGTAAAGTTAATATTGTTATTAATAGAACACTTGTGGATGTTGCCATTATTAGATTCGTTTTTTTTAAATATTTTAAAATAGTAATATAATTGGTAAGTTTTTGATTTTTTATAATAGCATGGTAGTTGATGATGAATAATATATCAGTATTTCACATTAATGTCTAATGTCTAGTAAAATGTCATTTATTAGTAACTAGGTTTTAAAATTACACACAATACTTCTAACCTTTTAAATCACAGGTTACATTACATAGTCCAGGAGAATTCTCTACAAATGTGTTAGATAAAAAGTTAAGATTCAATGTTAAGACAAACGTGGAAAACTATGTGGATTTTCATTTTTCTATTATTGAAGTAGTGAATGACCCACTTTTACTAGATGAAAATATTGATGTTAGAAAATGTCGATTCAACAATGAAATACTACGCGATCCTTTGCATACATATCAGGTAAAATATGTTTATTTTAAGCAACACCATCCCGACTGGAATCAATTCGTTTCAATTGGAAATCCATACTTTATTATTAATAAATGAGAAAGTGTTTGTTTGTCTGTTTGTCCTTCTTTCACGTCGAAACGGAGTGACGGATTGGCGTGATTTTTTGTGTGGAGATAGTTGGAGGGCTGGAGAGTGACTACTTTTTACCGCGGGAGTAAAAACTAGGTAAACCTAGTTCCCACGGGAAAAACGGGAAAACACTTTAGAATACAATCCAAAAAAAATATGATCAGAATTACTTCAAACTTGGTATTAATGGTCTGCAATAAAGTTAAATAAATACGTTTTTTTTTAATTTTTGAAAATTCATTATATAAGGAGGTATAGTACAGGATGAAAGTTTGTATTATTTTTTTAGAGATTTTCTTTAGTTTTCGCGCGAGCGAAGCCGCGGGTTCTGCTAGTTTCATATAAAATTCCTTCATTCATTTTTCATTACGTTTATGTTTCGGGTCTTCTTTGTTTGAAGTAAAATTTTCATATTTTGTTGTGCTAGGTTTACTCATATAGTGCATGTCGATCAGCTCAGAGTATTAAGAAGTTATTCGAACATTGTCAGTGCGTACATCCAGTTAGAGATATATCTTGTAAGTTTTTTTATATATAAAATTTATTTTCATAATAGATGCTTACAATAATCTTACTAATATTATAAATGTGAAAGTTTAGATGTCTGTATGTTTGGATTTAGCACAGAAGTCTAGAATAGCACAGAAGTCTAGAATAGCACATAGGCTACCTTTATCCCGGTAAAATGGACGTTCATTTTCAACCGACTTCAAAAAGGAGGAGGTTCTCAATTCGACTGTATGTTTTTTTTAATTAATTTATTTATTTATTTTTATGTTTGTTACCTCAGAACTCCGTCATTTATTAACCTATTTGGACAATTTTTGTTTTGTTTGAAAGGGCATTTAAATTTCAAAAAAAATACCACCCCTAAGGGTGGAAAAACAACTAATGATGAATTTAACCTACTTCTAATTGTCATATTGACTTGAAACTTTGCAAGTATTTCTATTTCCGTTGATAGTACAGTGGTTCGGTGTTGTTGACCTGATCTGATGGCAAGGCCAGAAGGTGGATAGGTGGAACTCTTCAACGGCTAATAGTAGATACTTTGAGTTTGGGCTTATTTTGTTTGATTTGACAAGCCTAACACGTTAGAATCCTTACTATGCTACTACTGTCTACACTAAAAAGGGAAAAATAAAAACTTTTTAACAAAAAAATAAAAACCGACTTCAAACAAAAGCACTAAAAAGTAAAAAATAACTGATTGGTAGTTTTCATTTACTATACATACCTAATCAAATATTTTCGAAGTCGGTGTGCTTTGGCTAAGTAATTAAAGCCTACCTATTAAATACATACCTAATCAAATATTTTCAAAATCGGTGCCAGCCCATACAAAGCAAAGCACGCCGACTTCGAAAATATTAGATTAGGTATGTATAAAATAATATATGTATGAAAACTACCAATCAGTTATATTTTACTTTTTAGTGCTTTTGTTTGAAGTCGGTTTTTATTTTTTTGTTAAAAAGTTTTTATTCCATCCAAACTTTCGCATTTACCTACATATATGGTAGTATAAGATTAGATCTGTTTTTTCATAGATATGATATTAAATATTATAATGTACCTAAGTTAAATAATTTCTATGTATCTATTGATGGAGTTGTAATATATATTAAATGTTTTTTTTTTAATTTTCAGATGAAAAATTATATTGTAATTACACTGGCTTAAACTGTTTAGTCACTTATGAAGGTAATATCTATACATATAATATAATTGTAAATAAGCCGAATCTGTATATTAAATATTTTTTGGAAAATCTTATAGAAATAAACATTATTTTCGATACATAGGCAGAATCTATAGTTTTTAGAATTTTTGTTAGTCTGTCTGTCTGTCTGTTACCGCATCACAGAAAAACCACTGGAGGGATTTTGATGAAATTTGGTATGGTGATAGCTGGTTATCCGGGTCAACATATAGGATACTTTTTATGGCGGGAAAATATCTCATTTCCGAGAAAAATATAAAAACTGCAATGTAAGGGTATACTAATATGTAAAACCTAAGAGTTTGGTTTTTGGTCATCTGAACGCAGGCGGGGCCGCGGGCAATGCTATTCTTAAAAAAATATATAAATTAAAGATTTATAAAAAAAATGGATGGACAGAAAGTCATACAGCTTAATATAATATCATTAAGGTTAAATTATTATTAACTATATTAACCCATACAGACAGAAAGAACAAAAATATGAAATACTTTTGATAATTATTACGATTACTCAGTAATAAGATTATCAAAAATGATTTTTTTACAAATTTATTGACAAAAGAAACCTTTTTTTATATTTAAACTATAACTTTATAAAATATTTTGCAGCTTTAAAAACAAAATTGGGTAAAGATAATCGTGAAAATTCAGAAGATTGTTTGCCTTCGTGCGTTGACAGTGACCTCAGTACTATCTACTTATCCAAGTAATATTTTATTTAAAGAATCAAAGTAGGTATTATTAAAAACTTAACATACGAGTATGTTTGACTTCTTAATAACTTAAATGTAGGGAGTTTTTATAACTTGTTATCATATTATTATACTTTCTTAGATTTATGCAAGTATTTGACATTTTAAATATATTTTTTGCGGATTTATTTCTCTATCTATTCTCTATAGACTATGTCTCTTCTGTGCCCATGATTGCTGCAAAGCATTTGAAACGTCGGGTACCAAAAATCAAAATAATCCGCCAAAAATTCGAAAAGATAGTTTTATTTAAAATTGTTATCATATTGTTGCACCATAACATCATACACCATACAAATAGTATGAGTGCTAAAATGTTTAAGTGATGTGATACTACCTTCTTTGTTAATCGACTTCCAAAAAGGAGGATGTTCTATATTCATTTATATGTATGTTTCACCGACTTCTCGGAGACGCGGACGGCTTGACTGATTTTGTTACTTTAACTTCTCTGGCTGGCACCGATTTCGGAAATAACTGATTAGATATCAATAGTAAATGAAAACTCGTTAATTTTTTTTGTGGCTGGAAATCGGTTTGAAATTTTTTTGTTTTTATATATTACGCTATATTATAGAGAAACTCGTAGACTACTTTTTAATAAGTGGAACGTACATATGTGCAGATGTACCTACTTAAGAATGTTTTCAAATTAAAATAAGATAATTTAAAAGTCAAATATTTTTAACGTACATTACGACTTTAAGTTGCTTTTTGCTATAATAATTCGTTTAAAAAACTTGTGTAACATATATATCCTTTATCATAAAGTTGAGTCTGATTTTTATGTTTATAAAGTTTAGGAATGAGATTTATTGATTCTCATTACAAGTTTACTTCACAAGCTTATGAATAATTCCACATAATTCATAGAAATAGCCGAAAAAACTTCGAGTGTAGCCGTAGACGACCTTTAGTATTATTATTATATCGAAATTTTATAAATCTTAAAGTATGGCGTTAAAAGAGAGATTTATAAGTCGTTGGGTCAAGATCATTCGATTTCTGCTTTGACTCATAAATCATTTCGTTTATTGGCATCATGACATTTCCTATATAATTATTATTAGTTGGGGTCAACTTTTTGAAGGTAATATAATAAATTCAATAAAATAATTTTCCCATACCTAATAAAATTATTTTATTGAATGAATTGAATAAATAAAAATTCCGGACAAGTGCGAGTTGAACTCGCCCACCGAGGGCTCCGTACAATGTAGGGAATCTGTTTAGCTTTAATTTTCATCATTTTTTATGTTTTGGAATTTTTCCTTTATTTATGCTGTAAGAACTTGCTTTTTGCCAAATTTCATGATTGTAGGTCAACGGGAACTACCATATAGGTTTTGGTACTTACAAGTTTTCGCGAAAATCTAAATTTGCCCATATCTTTCTATCATGTTAACTCAGCACCTTGATTATTATACACATAATAAGGACTATAGACCTCTATATCTGGTGTAGGTAATTTTCAACTTGCTTGGTCCACCCGTTCGTGAGAAATTCGGTGGTGACACACGGACAGACAGACAGACAGACAAGAAATTGATCTTATAAGGATTCCTTTTTTTACCATTTGACGTACCATTTACTTCTACTAAATAAGTAGAAGATTTTAACTTTTTTAATAATAGGATTTATATAAAAATTTTAGAAGGTCTACGTCAAATACATTGGAAGGAAGTCTTGTAAAAATAAAAATGTTGACTCTACCTACATTACGTTACCAGCAGAATTTATTACGTACTAAAACGGATTTAGTAGGTAAGTTAAATACTAAAATAAATAATGTAAATAAATTTTATTTAAAAATTTAAAAAGCTTTCCTTATAATATGGATGAAAAGTATAATTTATAAAGATGAAACCTCGTCATATTAAGAGTTAATAATTAAACAAGTTTCACATATTATGTTTTAAAATTTTTAAACTTAGTTTATTTGCGACATTTTCATTAATTGCAATTAAAATAACAAAATTTCCATGATAAATGCTTATCTATGATTTATGAATATGAGAGAACTTAATTATAAGCGACAGCCATCTATCAAGGCCGATAATGTATCTATCGTAAATTTTCTAGGACTTGGGTAATCTAAAAAATTTTTTGTTAACACCGGTCAGGTCAGTGTTGTTTTTATCGTAGACCGTTAATCTATACATATAATAAAATTCTGAGTCGAATCTGTACATTAAATATTTTTTGGTAAATTTTATTGAAATTATCATTTTTATCGATACAAAGGCCGAATCTATGGTTTTTAGAATTTTAGTCTGTATGTCTGTCTGGGAACGCATCACGAGAAAACAAATGGACGGATTTTGATCAAATTTGGTATGATGATAGCTGGTTATCCAGGTCAACATATAGGATACTTTTTACTGTGAGAAAATATCTCATCTCTGAGAAATCTATACCAACTGTTAAAACATACCGAGGGATGAACCAGAGCGAAGCGAGGGTGAGTCGCTAAATAGTTTTATAAAAATGCACCAAAATTCATGTCTTTTGATTAAGAAAAAGGTTCGGATGAAAGGAAAAATCTGCAAATAACAGAAATAGATTCATCAAATATTGACGACAACTTTGGCTCAATTTGTAGTGACTCTACTTGCTGTGCCATCGGTCGCGGGTTCGAGTCCCGCTGTTGGCATTCATTTGTGATTAGCACGAATGTTTGTACTCCAGTCATGGGTGTTTATATTTATAATATGTATGTATTTAAAGTTATATAATTTGTGTTTATCTGGTATCCATAGCACAGGGCTCCTAGCTTACCATGGAACTAGATGGTGCTGTGTTAATTATATATATTTATTATTATTTATTTATTTAAATACAGCTAAGAACTAACTTATGTAAACCTTGAATAAAAAAAATCTAAATCCATATTTGAATAATCGTTTGAGATTTATGATGCTACTGTCACTGTCAGACAGACACACAGATAGGCAGACGTCAAAATGAACCCTATTTTTGCATCGGGATTCGGGTGTTAAATTCTATTATATATCAAACAGATACTTTTGACTTAAAATATTTTATTTCTTTTCAGTAACCGTAGGTGGAATGGTTGGGTTGTTCTTTAGTGCGTCGATATTAAGCATTGTAGAAATATTCTATCTTATTCTTAGAAAATAAAATAAATATGAATCTAGTTGCATATTTTATTGACACCTTTTAATTATAATGATTGCATTTATACCTTTTAAACGTCCCACCGCTTGGCACGGCCCTCCTTTCAATACGAGGGGGCAACTTGTCATGCTGGTCAAGTGCTGATTGATGAACTATAGATATCTTTTAAAAACTTGCTAGGTTTCTTGATGATATTTTCCAATGAAAATGGTTCCCACATGATAATATTACAGGTGCAAGATCCGCGAACTGAATCCGCTTTACTTGATTTACTAAGTGTGTGTGAGTGTGAGACTACTGAGATATCACTGCCTCATTTTAATGGTTTACCCCAATCAATCATTAGCAACAAGTTCATTTAACTCTATAAGTCATATACGTATATAGTGGGATAAACATATTATAATAAGTTTAAGATTTTTAAAGCAAGAGCTAAGATGTGCTGAAAGCGTAGATTCAATTTTGTCTGTTGTGCATGGTTGGTCTAGTGCCTAGCATGCACGATGACAGGTTTGTAGGTACTGAGTTCGGGGCCCGGTTCTATCCAAGTATAGTTATTGAGTTCATGTGTTAATAAGAACAAATCTCAGTAAGCGCAGAAGAAAGAAGAAGAAGAAAGTTTTCAAGAAGTTGGCGGTTTAAGCCCCCTTGTCTCAACCTCTCAGAGAGTACGAAACGCCATCGGTCCTGCACCTTTAAACATAAGTAGACTTTGACAGTAAAAGAAATACAGAGTGCATTTATGCGCGCATATCTGTCTAATATCTCCTGTGCTCATACTGGCTAGTTTCTCATCCCTGTGAGATTAGCCGCCATTTTCAAAATCGACCAGGAGATCACTATTGCGCATAATATGGGTTATTGTACATATATTTAGGTGCAGAATTTCTATTAATATGGAGCTTAATGGTTTTTTAAAATAAGCCAATAATTTTAAATATGTATGAGGGCTTCAAATAGCTAATACAAACTTAAGTTAGGTCAGCATAAAGTATATCACGTAGGTAGTGCAGGTGTTCTACAAATTACGGCTAGAAGGAAATCTTGTTTGCTCGATTATTCATACCTGGTGCTATTGTTATAGCAACCGAGTCGCTTTGTCGATTTTACCAAGGTTGAATAGTTTCTATATGAAAAGGCTTTAAGAATACCTATGCATTTACACACTGCATATGAGAACGGATTCAATTTAATTCAAGGTTTTGCTTTTCTTTGACAATGGGTAATACTGAGAGCAACGTTACGAGTGGGGTTAAGAAACAAGCTGGAACATCTGAACAGAAATTGTATAAGCTTATAGATGTTAAAGGTTAGTTATTACATTTAATACTAGCGATTCACCCTCGCTCGGGTTCATCCCTGTGTTGCTTCTCCATACGAACTTTCACGCCCATTTTCAACCCCTTAAGGGATAATTTTCGGAATAAAACCATCCTATGTCCTTCCCAGGGTCTCAAACGATTTTTTACCAATTTCATCAAAATCGCGACAGTAGTTTCGGAGCCTATTCGATACAAACATACAAACAATTTTTTCCTCTTTATAATATGTATTAGAATAGATTTTTTTTTATAAATATTTACGAATGTTTTTTTTGTAATCTGTCTCCTCTTTATTTTTTACATTTTTAATATATTGTCTAAAATTAATGAAATATGTATTTGATGTAAACTTATTTATATTAAAGCGTCTTTGGTCTCTAATTTAGTTTCATAACAATAATATTAGTACCCAAACAGGTTAAACATCCAAAATCCGATAACATGTAGGTAGCGTCCCGAGGGACATGTTAATTTTCATACGATAATTGCCAATATAATAATGTTATATAGTTATGATATTCGATATCTATTTTTATTGTATGAAAGTTTACTAATAAAATTCATAAAATATCTGTATTTTTACAAGTTTTTATTTAACTCGTTAATGTCTAACGATACAGAAGCCGAATCTATAGTTTTTAGAATTTTAGTCTGTCTGTCTGACTGCCTGTTACCGCATCACAATAAAACCACTAGAGGGATTTTGATGAAATTTGGTATGGTGATGGCTGGTTATCCGAGTCAACATATAGGATACTTTTTATCACGAGAAAATATCTCATTTCTGAGAAAAAATACAAAAATGGCAATGTAAGAGTATACTAACATGTAAAATCTAAGAATTTGGTTTTTGGTCATCTGAATGCGGGCGGAGCCGGGGATTGCCCCCGGCTAGTAAAGAAATATAATAAAAAAAGGTAAAAATCAGGTAAATATATAATGAGTACAATCATCTTTTGAAGGTGGTGGATTACTTGTGGACATGATGAAGAGAGCGGTACAAAATAAACAATATGCGGAGATAGACCACGCAATTAAAACTAAAGTTGAACCCTTTCTGTACAATAAGGGAAAGGGTCGTTATATACCCATATCACACCTTGTACTTCTCAGAAATAAGGAAAGGTCAAGACACAAGTTGGTAAGACTGACTTTCATATATACTCGTATATACATATTAGCAAATACCGGTTATTTGCTCTTGGTTATTACACTATTAGCTATGTAGAAGAAATATTTTAACTGTATACCTATTATATTATTTACTAACTTTAAATTTTACTTAATTTTAAGTGCCACTTGCAACATAATATTATATTTAATTTAAACTTATTACATATAAAAAAATCAGTCACTAAATTTATATCTCAAATATATTTTATATAGTTTGGCTGAATACAAAAAAGAATACAATAAGAAACTACATATCTAATACTAAAATGATTTTTTTTCTAGAATACTTTAAATTCTAATGTCAGTAACTTAGTACAAAGTTTCTAGTAATAAGTGTTAGTGAAGTTCTATATTGTTTTTAGTTACCACCTTTGCGTGGTATGGAAAATCCCGACGAAGAGTTTGACATTGACAAGGATTGGCCTGCGGTTAGCCAAGAAGAATACGATGCTAATCCTATTGCTTATAGAGAACTTTGTTGGGACTTAAAGGTAAATTATGATGATATAAAATGATGTTCGTAAACAAACATTCTAGAACACCATGCTTTTATTTTTAAACTAACTAAACTAACTGCCTCGGTGGTGTAGTGGCTAGCATGTACGGCTGCACACCCGGAGGTCCTGGGTTCGAATTTCGGGTCGGGCCAAGTTTAGTTATTGAGTCTTTCTGTTTAGTAAGCCTCAGTAACAGCCCGGAGTTCGGAAGTTGGCGGTGTTTCACCCCCGTGCCTCGGAGAGCACGTAAAGCCGTCGGTCCTGCGCCTTCACTCTCACCGGTCGTGTCGAGTAGTCGTCCCACCGGAGTATAAGAGTGACAGGAATAGAGAGTGCACCTGTGTCTGCGCGTACACGCGCTGCACTATATTATCTCCAGCGCAGTTGGCTAGTCTCAATAAGATTGGCCGCCCTTTCCGGAATCGGTCAGGAGAACATCATTTTTAAACTAGAGTAGATGATTTCTCTATATGGCCACCCGGCTTCGCCATCTGGAAAGAAATGTAAAAGAGGAGTGTTCTATGCATGTACACGTCGACATAACTTTTATTTTAAATAGCGGCGCACGATGAAACTGATATGAATGGGTTCTCTCGGACACTTAAAAGCAGCTTAAAGGAATATGATCCCTAATCATTAATAGTATTTATAGGTCCCACGTGTATTGGCAATGCAACATTGGCTTTTCATCTTAACAGAATGCTCTAGCATGTTGAAAAATATTTTGCAAAATTTTGATAAGTAAATACAGGCATACAAACGATGTCAGTAAAATAAATATAAATAAAAAAATGTGTGTATGTACTTATGTACGCACGTAAGAAGTTATACTTCTTTGGCGCAACAGAACAAAAACAGCTAAAGATTTCATCCCGTATATCGCAACTCTCTGTTTGTAAAAAGGATGTTAAATTAATAAAATAATTAAATAAGGCATATTAGGCATATTACAATCATATATTTATAGAATATGATCTTAGGAAACAATATAATATTATATATCATTTGTCAGACAATAAAAACGGTTATCATGGTAACAAACAGTTAACAGCTAACTTCATCATGTCGCTTTTTGGCTGTCGGTGTGCACGCACATCGTAAAAGTTTTACTCTCATATTTTTTTTCCAAACATCCCAAAAGAAGTATAACTTCATAAAGATTCATATTTTACAGGAGCGAGGGGCTGTAGGTGAAACAATTCTACACCTTTGCTTGTTGAACGCTACGTCTCTGTTAGCCGACTTAGCTAAAAGATTGCTTCGATTCTATCCAAAATTGATCAACGATATTTATATGAGTGATGAATATTATGGTACGTTTAATTTGCATTATTTATCAAATGAACTCCGTATAGTGTGGCATTTTTAGTGTTTGTATTATTTAATATATTTATTTAATACATTTTAGTTCACGGGCTTAATTTTCTCATTCCTTAAAGCTCCAGACTTAAAAAAAATGAAGTTTTAATTGAAAACATTTTATTAAAAATGTGCAGTTTTAGTTAATTTGTCTTAAGTTTTTAGTTTTTACTTTCCATTATGTAATTCTTATAAGTAAACTTATTTTGCACCTAAGAAAATTATTATTTTAACTATAATCTCTTCAAAATCAACCGTACGACTCCTAGGAGTATTTTTCTTAGAGTTTCAGGTTTCAGTTTTCGCCAACTTTCGCCACTTGACAAATCTCTTCATATATTTGAGTATGCTTAATCTTTTGCCATATAAAGTTTCTATTTTATATTATAATTTAAATAAGTTAAAATCATTAATTGAAGTAAGAAGGAAAGTTTCTCTAGTTAGAGAGCTAATAAAATAAACTAGGTCGCGTCCAACCTTGAACTTTCATTTTTCCGGAACTAAATCATATTTGTGCCGAAATCGTTACCAGGTTCAGACCGTTTTGCCAAAAAAAATTTATATATATATATATATATATTATTATTTATATTTATAGTATAATACTCACATATATATTAAACAGCCTGCATAATAAGCTTGCAAAATATCCAATAAGGTTAGAATTTTCCATCTTCTAAAACCTGCTTCTTATAGCAGATTAATAACTATAGCAATATCATGGCTATCGATGGCCGCATTCAATTTCTTACACAATTGTCAAAAAGAGCTGACATTTTAACGGACTTTACGCAATGACCTTTGAACGTGATCCTACTTGTGAATAATAGGATAGAGTCGATCAATCAATAACGTTGCTTCCATACAGAAAATTCTTCGTTCACATGCTTTCATAATTTATTAAGAAGAGGTCATTTAACTACTGGAATCAATTAAATTGTTGTGTGTGGTTCTCATTAATTTTTCGAACTAATGAATAAGAATTGCATAACAGAGTTCCTCTTTATACATCTATCTATGCATATAATAAAATTGTAATCTAATTGAAATATATATTATTATCGATACAGAGTCCGAATCTATAGTTTTTAGATTTTTTGTCTGTCTGTCTGTCTGTTACCGCGTCATGAGAAAACCACTGGACAGATTTTGATGAAATTTGGTCTGATGATAGCTGGTTATCCGGGTCAACATTTAGGATACTTTTTACTGCGGGAAAATATATCATTTCTGAGAAAAAATACAAAAAACTGCATTATAAGAGTATACTAATATGTAAAACCTAAGAATTTGGTTTTTGGTCATCTGAACGCGGGCGGAGCCGCGGGCAATGCTAGTTACGTGATAAATGTAACTATTTTAGGACCATTCGTGGCATATAAATAAACTAGCGTTTTCCTGTGGCTCCGCCCGTATAGTACATTAATCACCAACATATCTTATACTAAAACCTTCTCCGAAAACACGCTACATCTTATGGTATGAATATTATTCCGATCGGTCCAGTAGTTATCGTAGTATAACCGAAAAAAAAATCGGCTCTCCATTTATTAGTATAGATTAATTCTGATTTTGGAGGTTATTTTAACTGGAAGATTAACAATAACGTTTGATCAAGTATAATGGTATAACTAATTAGACGTTATTAGAATGCCGAAATTACGAATTAGATGCTATATACCTATAAAAATGTATAGCTTAAATATTTCATTTAAAGTATTTTTTTTTCATGGTATGATTTGCGATCAGTCTTTCGACTGTAAGGAAATTTGTGGAGAGATTAAATAAATATGTGAAAGAAAGTTTTATAAATACAATCATATTTCTTTCCGAAACTTAAAGAAATTCCAACGTTTTCTAAGTTGGTTACGTTATTTTCTTTCCAAATCTAGATTTTTTCTTACGAAGGACATACTGAATATCATGACGCATTTTACTGATCAGTCCGAGATCTGCATGTACTATGTTCATAATATAAACGTTAACCACCGGCACCAGAATCTTTACTATATGCGACATTACTGTACATTATATTTTTCATTTTGCCAAGATAATGTTTTAAAATGTTGTATTATTTGTTTAATAATTATAATATACTAGCCGTCACGGATCGCTTGGCTGGGCGTACGTAAATTTTTCTTTTGGTTTTCAGAGACTTTAATTTACATTTAGGTTTTTCACTTAAAAAAGAAATATTTACGTTAAATAAAAACCAAATGAATAAAAAAAGTATAATGTTTTACGTTCTTTTTAAATAAAAAAATGGCGAATAGTGTATGTATTTAAAAAAAAAACTAGCTAGCCTATAACCATCTTCAGATGAGCCCGTGTGAATTGGTCAAAGTACCATGCCGATATTGTTAACGCTGGCTAATAACTATTTATATCTATTTAAAACGTACCTAGCGACGAACCCGAGTGAAGCGAGGGTGAGCCGCTAGTATTCTTATATTACTTTGCATATTTAATGGTTGACCTAGAAAATGTCCGCATATTGAATATAAGTTCAAAATATATCAGCTACTCTATCAAATTAAAAATCTCTCTAATATTCATTTACTTAAAGTACCGGATGACTAAGTAATGTAGAATGGCAGTGATTTATTATTTAACACTACGATACAACGATATATATCGTTTTTCAGAGAGCATCATATGAAAAAAATGTTACATGGTAAAGTTAATTAACTATGTTATGTAAAAAAAGAAATAATAGGTGACCTCATTTTTTTTTATTTTGATTGGATTTTGCTTTATAAAAGTTTTAGTCTGCCGCATGATATTATTTGTCAACAACCACTGAGCATGAATCTTGCTTCGTATGTATCACTGCCTTTATGTACATATATGCAGTGGTAACCCAATTATACTCGTATGTAAGTTTAATTGTATAATTTATATGCAAGTTAAATTGTAGGTATAAAATTCATTGTTCTTTTTGGAAGAATAATTAATCATAATAGGGATGTTTTTTCTACACTGTAATCTTATCCTTGAAATTATGTCAATTTTTTCCTAAAGTGACTTATATTACCTTCTTACATTAAGCTAACAATAATCTATACTAATATTATAAAGAGGTATGCAGTGGTAGCCCAGTGGTAACGCGCTCGTTTGGGAAACCGAGTGAAGTGGGTTCAAATCCCGGGTTTCGCACCTCTGATATTTTCATGTGCGAATCATTTCTAACATGATTACGACTTACCTTACGGTGAAGGAAAACAACGCGAGGAAACCTTGCATGTCTGAGAGAACCTAGCAAGTTTTTGAAAGACATGTAAAGTCCGCCAAGCCGCACTTGGCCAGCGTGGTGGACCTATGGCCTCATCCCCCTCGTATGGAAGGGAGGCCCGTGCCCAGCAGTGGGACGTAAAGGGCTGAATACAATTATAAAGAGGCAGAGTTTGTTTGAACGCGCAAATCTCAGGAACTAAGTACTAAACTGATGTGAAAATTTATTTTTGCATTAGCCTATTTATCGTATAGTATATAGTGTAACTATTAAATACTAATCATTAAAACGTACCTAGAAACGAACCGAGCGACGCGACGATAAGTCGCTAGGTATAATATACATTAGGATAAATACCGTTTTTAATGCATTCGTCACATGTTTTTCCTCTAAAATAATATGATATATACCTATTATGATTTATTGTTTTGGTTTCACTATCATCTTATTTTAGAGGAAAACCTTTACAAATGATATACCCACGAATATGTCATGTATCAAAACGCCTACTTACTCGTAATCTATACATAGTATAAAACAAAATCGATGTCAGCGTATGTCTGTTTTTTCGCTTACTTGTTCTAAACCACGCAACAGATTTTTTCACCAATAAAAAGAGATACAAAAAAGCAATGTACCTACTATAAAATCTAAGGCCTACAGAAAAATCAGCGATAATAGCATGTGGTCTACCTCCTAAGGTACGCTCACAATAACTATTTTTATCTATATAAAACGTAGCTAGAGGCGCACTCAAGCGAAGCTAGGGTAAGTCGCTAGTATTTTTATAAACTCTATAGTGCATATTATATTGCAAAATATAAATATACTAGCGAATCCAGCCTCGCTTCGCTCGGGTTCGTCCCTAAGTACGTTTTAACGGTTAGTATGAAACGCAAATCTTTGAATTTCTCGGCTTTTCGGTACTATAATATGCATGTATTATGCATATAAACCCTCCTCTTGAATCACTCTATCTATTAAAAAACCGCTTCAAAATCCATTGCGTGGTTTTAAAGATCTAAGCATATATAGGGACAGACAGACAGCGGCAAGCGACTTTGATTTTATACTATGTAGTGAAGTGTGATCGCGTATATATATATACAATATGTTTGGATTATATTAAATTTTTGCATTTTTTTTACTATAAAATGAAATAATGTGGGCATTATTAATAGAAAACAATCAGGACGTAAGAGTGGTAGCGTCACCTATTTAAAGCTTGTGAGAAAAGTTTTTTTTCTATTTATTTTAAGGGCTTTTATTTCATAAATATGCCAGCCCTATGATACCTTAATGTACATAATTATATAAACCGGATTTTAACAAAATTATATACCAACTTGGCCTATCAGAAGTAAGAAAGGACAAAATGGTATTAAAATTACTTACATCGAAACTATTTGGATTCAATGCTTTAATTAGGTTTTTCCTTTTTGGTCGTACCAGACACATTCCATTAATAAATGATAAACATGTAGGAAAAGTAAACATGTTCAATAAAAAAAAAGGTAAATAAAAACACAAAATAGCAACGCAGATTAAATGTTTGCTCTATTTTGCACACATTAACAAAATTAGATATGATAAATACATACACCCAGACAGAGAGACTAACAAAAATGTATACTACATTGTTGTTTTAAGGAAAAACAATATTATAAAACACATAATTATTTAAAACTAGCATTACCCGCGGCTCCGCCCGCGTTCAGATGACCAAAAACCAAATTCTTAGGTTTTACATATTAGTATACTCTTACATTGCAGTTTTTGTAATTTTTTCTCAAAAATGAGATATTTTCCCGCGGTAAAAAGTATCCTATATATTGACCCAGATAACCAGCTATCATCATACCAAATTTCATCAAAATCCCTCCAGTGGTGTTTCCGTATTGCGGTAAAAGACAGACAGACAAAAATTCTAAAAACTATACATTCGGCCTCTGTATCGATAATAAAGTCTATTTCAATAAGATTTTCCAAAAAATATTCAATGTACAGATTCGGCTTAGTTATGATTTTATTATATGTATAGATTAAAACTCTAGTTAGTAAATATATACTATTTATAATAATATTTAATATTTATAAATAAATATTTGAGAAATAGCGTAATAGAAGAACTGTAAAATTATGTAAATAAATAAATAAATAGTTAAAAATATTTTGTTATTAGGCGAAAGTGTCTTACACATGACAATAGTAAATGAAGATCCCACAATGGTAAAGTTCCTTTTGGATGCCGGAGCGGATTATCACGAGCGATGTTTCGGTAACTTCATGTGTCCTGAAGATCAAAAAGCATCTAGGACAGATTCGTTTGATCATGAGTGGGTTAATGTACAACCGGATACGAATTATGATGGGTAAGTTTTATAATTCCTTCCCACTGTCCGATTTCCGGTTGCCAATGCGAGATTGTCAAAATTGACCAAATTTTCGGTTAAAATTCACGATAGGTTAAAATAGTTTAATTTGATAATTTCAAATTCTTTAAACAGTTACAACAAATAAGAAATAAGTCATTGTTCTCAATTATATTTTTTAAAATTATATTATTTAGCTAACATAGGCGAATTCTGCCAAAACTAAAAATGTTACATCACGTCGCCCAATCGGAGTACATTTACGAAGATTGACATTTACATAACGAATGCTGGAGAAGTGAGGAGTGACAATCTTGTCTTTCAGACTGTTGAAAGTTAGGGGCGTGGAAAGTTTCGTCACGTTATTTAGGGATCAGCAGACAAAAATATCGTTTGATTTTGGTGTTATACTTATGTACTTATGTATAGTAATTGTATACACACAGCTTGATAAAAATAATGAAAAGTAACCTTGGCGTGATATCTCTTTATATTTTCTAATCACATTTATAATATTATATAATTTATAACGTATTGTTGATAAAAGTAATATCTTATTACTGTACTTGATAGCAGAATACCAAAACATGAAAAAATTAAAAATATAAAAATACGTAAAATTATAATAGTTATCAAAACTTAAAAATAAAAACTGTAAATTTTATGAGAAAAAATGAAAAGATCTTTTAATATTCATTTATATTTATAAATTCTTTAAAACCAAAGCGGCTTGAAGGTTTCAAATTTTGTTGTTTTTAAAAAGGCTTTACTTATTACACGAAGGTGGTACGAAATTTTGTATTTTTCGCTCATTAATTTAGCTCAGGTAATGAATTTAATTTGGAAAAGCTGTTAGGTGTGTAGGGCTCTCCGTCCTTCTTACTTTAAGATAATTCAATAGTTTTTTTAATTTTTTATATCACTTTTTCAATAAAAATAAAGATAATATTTAGTTTAAAAAGTTTATCTTGAGTTCGATTCTTATTAAGTTTATTTAACCTTGTTCAAACTTTGAGCTTTTATTTAAATAAAAAAAAAGATCTGTAAGCAAAACCTAGAAAAACTATAATGTAGGTTTTATAAAAAAACTTATTTCTTGAAATCTTTCTATATAAGAATATATTTAAGCTAACAATATTTTTTCGTATGTGTGTGTAAGTGGAGGAAGACTAGATTTTTCATTGTATCTTACATTTAGGTACGTGTATTGGGGAGAATATCCGTTAAGCTTCGCAGCTTGTTTAGGCCAAGAGGAATGTTACAGACTGATCCTAGCTCGAGGAGCTAATCCCAACAAGCAGGACACTAATGGCAATACTGTGTTACATATGCTGATTATTTATGACAAGATGGTAAGATATCTTTGTAATTAAGCATTCAGAATATATTTTTTTCTTTATTTTTATCAGGGTTTTTTTCACAAAGCCAATATGTCACCCTTATCATACTTTTTTTAAATAAGCCTTAATATCATATAAATCGTGTAATGTAAATATGGGTTTGATTTAATTAAATTTTTTTTTAGATTCTTATTTGTAATCTTCTCAGCAAACCTTTTCATTTGATAGCCATATCATAGGGGTGCATAAAAAATATAGTTCGCCATCTTTGGGAGTCCGCCATGTTAGATTTAGAAAGACGTCACTTACCTAACCATGCATTGTCATCTAAAGTAAACATGTATGTAAAATTTCAGCTCAATCGGTTGCGAGATTTGACCCGAACAAACATTCATACAAACATTGCAACTTAAATAAAAACTTGTAAAATTAGCTATGTTTGAAAAATCACCATGGTGACATTTAACCGCTGATACATGGATGCTACATTTACGCTCAATCGGATGCTAATAAGCTTCACTAATCAATTACAAATACTGGAAAAAAGAGAAATGAACAAGAAACTTATATAAAAGCTTGATAATAAAAAGTATTTATCTATATGTGTGTGTGGTTTGTATGTGACAATACATTATGATTTATGCCAGTTAACACAGTTCTAATGTTTATCAGTTGCAAAGTAATAAGTCGTGTTTTATTCACAAAATGCCCTTGTGACGTCATATATCATTCTATTATTACTATACTTTCTAAAAGCTTTCATGTAATATATATACAGTGTAGATTCTATATTTATTCTATCATTGGTACTAAATTATAGAAATGAGACAGGTGCGAATCAATTTACCCACTAATGGTATTTGCTAGTAGCGACTTATCTACACTTTTGTGCCTACCAATATTTATATGTTGCTTCTTACTGTGACTATAAACTCAAAGTTTCTGTTAAGTTTTATCTAAATCTGTCCAGTAAATATAGTTAAGTAACACATACAAAAAAATGAAATTTCGATGTAATAGTAGATAGATCCTACATATTAAGCTACACAAACTACATACCACGTTTATTAAAATAAAATGTTGTTTAATAGTGATGGTAAATATTTTATTTTTTCAATATACTCAAGTCAATGAATATTATTTTTATGTACATACAAAATAATTTCTAAAACATAGTTAATTTTTATAATATTCTAGAGCACTTTCGATATGGCGTATGAAGTTGGAGCGTCATTAAACATTCGCAATGTTCAGAACTTAACACCTCTAACTCTCGCCGCTAAATTAGCTCGAGTAGAGCTCTTTTTCCATATTTTAAATATCGAAAGGGAAATATACTGGCAAATAGGAGCAACTACTTGTGCTGCATACCCTTTAGGGCAGGTCGATACTATTGATACTGAAACCGGGTTGATAAGTAAGGACTCAGCTTTGAATTTGGTTGTGTTTGGGGTAAGTTCTGGCTATAAATGTTATGATACCGATAAATAAGTATTACAATTATAATATTTTATTAGAATACTTGTATTTGAAGGGCTGTATTAGAATACTTGGGCTACGGCAATATTATTTTCAGGGGTGTTTTGGTGCTTCCAGGCACAAAAATTTTGATGACTGATATTTTTGTTCTTTTTTGTGGATATCTCAATTTATTTAACTTGCTTGTCACGCGATAAACTTAATGAAATTTGAGGGTATTAGGGTAGTTATCGAATGCTGATCTTGAGGCAAGCCTATTTAGTAAAGTACGTGTAGTATTCATGTTAACATTTACAGATATCAATTTTACAGTACATATATTTTTACAGGAAAAAGATGAACATCTAGAGCTATTAGAGGGCATGTTGATAGATTTATTGAAGACTAAATGGAATACATTCGTCAAGTTTCGTTTCTATCGCCAATTCTTCTTATTCTTTTGTTATTTTCTTGTATCTCTCGTGTGTTTCACTTTGCGGCCGGGACCGCCTGATCGCTCGGTGAATGCTACTGTAGTAAATATTACTATAGGATCTGTTAATAATGATACGGAGTTGGTATCTGATGTAGGTGAGTTATTGTTGTGAACGCATTTTTTTTTCTTTTTATTTTGTTTTATCATTTCAAACATTTGGGCAGGCACAGATGTAATCGATCGATAGGTACGAGTATATCATTTAAAAAGAAGTAATTTATTTTAATATATGGATTTTTATTATTTTATGAGTCATTTTTGATCTCAAGTCTAGTTTTTTGATTAAAGAGACTAAATTCCTTGTATTAGCAAGATCCTAATAAAAAAAAATATTTAGAGTACACAGGTTTATTTTAATCTATTCTTTAACATAACTATTAAGTAAATACGGCAGGAAGCTACTTTATGTAATTTTCATATTATAGAGAAGATAAAGAAGCGGCCTGTCAGACCGCACGTCACAAGTTACGTTACATAAAAACCATGTCACCAGTTAAAGGTTAAATAAATTATAAATTGTCTAAAATTAAGTTTATTATTAAGTTATGTTAACAAAGGTAGCAATAGAGCATACATAAATAATAATTAAACTAAACATTGTATATTTTAAACTTATTTTTTTTAATATACTTTAATAATTTACATAGACACGAATGGTTGAACGTTACAATTCAGTAACGCACTCGTATATTCCGTCGCCCATTTTCCATGTATATTGAGAATTTGGGACGTTGTTTGGTGGGGATACTAAATGTCACTGACTTCATTTATCCCGAATAAACAATGTCTGTTCTAAAATAACTTATACCCCTTATGTAATCCTATCCCTTGATTCTTTGACTTTAGTTTAATGGAGCAATAAATATAATACCTCACTCTTCAATCATTTTTCAAAGTGTTTTTTTTCATGAAATTGACTAATTGATAAGCGATTTACGACAGTCTTAAAACTATAAAAAATATATATATTTTAATTTTGTTTTCAGAGAATTGTACTCTTCCACAGTCGAACACAGGGTTGGATCCAAGTGCTGTAGAAGTTTTCAATGTCACGAAAACAGTTCATTGTGGTCGTTTCAAGAGTCACCCTAAGGAAAAGGAAAAGCGTAATTATAGATTTAGTATACTTTATTTATTCCGATAAAACTATCTTTTCGGATTTTTTCGCGGATTTATTTGGAATCTCCATCATCATCATCATCCAAATAAATCCTCGAAAAAATCCGAAAAGATAATTTTATTTAAAATGTCAAATATTCGCGTAAATCTAAGAAAGTATTATTTATTCCGCTCAATAAGTTCATTAAGGAAGAATATTAATTATTATTACACATCTCATTGGCGTCTAATATGTATTCCAACCGAGTATTTCACTCTATAAATTCAACTTTTAGGAATTATTTTGAACTTGTAAGATTGAACTTTCTCAAAATCCTAAGGATTTTGGTACCTACGTAAGAAAAAAATGAAAATTTGTTTTGGAAAAAATACTCCATCATTTGTTTAATATATTGCGCTATATCTTGAATTATATGCCTTGCGAGGTGCCTCAAAAAATAGATATCTACTCATATTTTGGCTCGTAAAGGCCGTTCCCGTTGGCATTGAGCCAATCTTATAACAAGTATTCTAAGTAATTAAAAAAAAAAAAAATTAAATTATACCAAGCATTTCAGAGAAAAAATAATTCAACTAAAAACTTACAGCCACAAAAGCGCCAAAAGAAAATGATGTAGAAGGTTGGTGGGAGGATTTAACTGAAGAGTGTAGGTTGATGAACTTCGAAACTTGGCAAGCTAAAGTAAGTGTAGAATCCATATTTTAAACTTGTCTAGAGACTCCTAAAATTCTTCTAAAATAAAATTCTTTGCTATTTATAAATGAAAGAAATAAAAAATTAATATGTAGATTTTAGTGTTAAAAATTAAAATTTCTTCTATATTGTACCTATCAGATCTCAATATCAACCAAAATAATTGTTTTTGGTTTGTAATCGATAAAATCTAAAACCACTGAACCGATTTTATTAATACTTTTATCATTGTAACTGCTACATTACCCAAAAGTATCATTGTCTATAGAAACCTAGCAATGTGGGTAAATATTTGGGAAACGGGTAAATTAATGGGTATGGTAATGGTATCTACATATTTTATTAGTGGATTTAAATAATGGTAGAATTTAATAGATTTACTTTTATTTATTGTTAGTTAGACAAAGTTAATGTACATCTATACTAATATTATAAAGAGGTAAGGTTTGTGATTTTGTGACGTTTTAGGGAGTAATCTCTGCATCTACTGAACCGATTTAGATGAAATTTGGTAATATAGTTTAAGACCCTGGGAAGGACATAGGATACTTTGTATCCCGGAAATCATACCTTAAGGGGTTGAAAATGGGGATGGAAGTTCGTATTGAGAAGCGAGCTAGTATATTATACAATTTTAAACTGAAACATAGTCAACGGAAATATATACTTGTACCGTCAGTTTCAGTTGTAATTTAGTAAATAATGTAGAAATATATTATATGTCGTTGTACGTTCCAGCTACGTATAAGTGCTGAGTTACTGCTGTGGGTCGGTGCTCTAGCGTATATTGGAGCTGCCTTACGTGAGGCTAGGTTTCTAGGGATAAAAATGTTTATAGAAAACCTGAGTACTGTTCCATCAAGGTAAGTAAACTAGATAACAATATGGTATTTATATAATATGGCAGAGTAATAAATATTTACAAATAATTCAGTATAATATTAAAAGATACTATTGCTCATATATTATTCCAGAATATTAGCTAACTCCATTCTGAATTTAACTTAAATCTGTTGAGATATTACAGTAACATAAGTAAAAAAAATACATAAACGCAAGCAGTTATTCGCCAGACATTTATATAACGTACATATTTATATGTAGTATAGACACATAAAATGTTAATATTTCGGCCCATGTTTCATTGGCATATTTTTGCCTAAAGTTTCTAATGTTGTTATTAAGTTAAGTTACAGGTTAATAATTACAGAGTGAGATGAACTTAAAAAATCATCCAACTATTATCAAAAATTTAATTTCTCCAAAAGTATATTCGATAGATGGATATTGCCATCGCTACTGCTACATTACGTAAATTATCTTATCATAAAAATGCATCTTATTAAAATATTACTTAAAGTTCAATATTTATAAAACTTGACCTCACTTGTCTTGGACTATTTTTTTTTTTTTTTTTTTTTTTTTTTTTTTTTTTTTTTTTTTTTAACGTTGGGAAATGCATTTACGCACGAGGTGTGGGACTCACCGGCAAAACCAGTACTACCCACTAAAACCCAACAAAACCTTCCCCCGTCTTAATGGGGCGTCGCAGGATCGCTTACGCATTCAACTACGACGCCCCGACGGCAGGTCTGCCGAAGCAGACCACAACAACCACGGGGTTGCTCCACAGTCCACTCTGCTATCAGAGAAGTACCAGGAGCAACCCGCATGGTACACCGCCCTCCGAAGAGGGCCACCTCCTACCGCCCACCGTAGTGGGCCTCCTCCCTGTGCGTTTCTTGGCTTCGCGCCCGGTTGGGTTGCCGGGCACTACTGAGCCCCCCCACCACGACAAGGTGAACGCACGTTGGGGGGGACTTGTCTTGGACTAACTTAACACGAAAATTACCGCAAGAAGTTAAGAATGCTTTACAAGCGCGGTTTACGTCAAAGAAAAACCAGTTTATTGCTGTTCGTTTTATAGTGATATCTAAAATGATAAAAACGATGTAATTTTCAACTTATACTTTAATAATATATGATACATTTTACAGCAGTTATGGGGTATGAATAAAATATAAGTATAGGAAAAAAAAATACAAAAATAAATAATCCCGACTGCGAACTAAAAAGCGAACTCATAAAATGATGAGAACAAGTTGACGAAGAAACATAGAGTTATATTCAGACGAAAAAAATTTTTTTATGACACACAGATTGGCGCCATGCGTGTGTTGCCGTATAAATCGTCAAAATCAGTTAAGCCGTTTAGTAATTACGAGGAAACATAAGGTCGTACATAGGTACATACAATAATACAGGTCAACTACATAACCCTTCTTTGAGCTTTGCCACAGTCGGGTAATAAAGTATTACTCAGCAGTATTTACCTATCTTATGGCGTACTTGCACTTCATAGTTTAATTACGACGTTTCATGAAGAGTTCATAAGGACGTCATTAAAAGTGACGTTACGTACTATGGTATAGCTCCTGCAATAGGCACCACAGATATTCCTTAAAAAAGTAAATGCACTATAACAAAAGACAGCAAGAGATAAACTAGGTATTAAGTATAAATTAAAAAAATAATAATCTTATGTAATACTACTCCGTTCCATTAGAGGAACAAAGAATTGCCTATTTTCTAAGATTTTTTTGATACTTCAGCACTCCTCAGTAGGAACGTAGTACAATAAATAGTAGCTTATATATTAATCTAGAGTATAAGGTATCCTGCGCGTTATTTAAATGTGCTGAGTCCATGAACGAATTAGTTCGTTCATGGCTGAGTCCTTACAGCGTGGAGAAATAACAAGCACACTCATTCTCACTCACAACTCACAAATATAAGTATTTAAATAGTTAAAAACAAATTCTTTATGTAGTTAACAGTTATATCCTAAATAAAATAAGCTGTTACCAAAAGCTATCTTTCCAAGAATTGAAACAAAAATTATATTTTACTTTAATATAAATTGAAAGTACACGGGCGATTGAGCTTCGCTCGCCGTTTAGTCGGAAAAGATATAAAATTGCATTTTTTTTAAAAAGACATCTATATAAATAAACTTAAAAGCATAATCTTATCTAAATTTAAAAACTAAATTTAAAAAAAGTATCCTATATGTTGACCCGGATAACCAGCTATTACCATACCAAAATTTCATCATAATCCCTCCAGTAGTTTTTTTGTGATGCGGTAACAGACAGACAGACAGACGAAAATTCTAAAAACTATAGATTCGGCCTCTGTATCAATAATAATGTTTATTTCAATAAGATTTCCAAAAAATATCTAATGTACAGATTCGGCTTAGTTACAATTTTATTATATGTATAGATAAGTAATAATCCCAACTACAATATAAAAATACTCTCCGACAGTGCAGCAGTTCTGCAGGCGCTAAATAACAAACAAACCAACAACAAACTAATAAGTGAATGTCACAATGCCCTGGACTTGATATCAACAACAAATCAGGTCACCCTTCAATGGATCAGGGCACACAGTGGTTCACTTGGCAACGATGCAGATGACGAACTCGCAAAGAGGGGGTCAAAACTTGAAGTGACTGGCCCACACCCGCTTCTTCCCATACCCTTTGCACAGATTCGCACCTGGATCCGCCAAAGATCCACGACATTACAAAACAACAGATGGTCACAAACTGCAGACTGCAGACAATCAAGATCAGCTCTGCCTGCAGTAAACCCACGACTTACAAAACGCTTACTAAACCTCAATAGAACAAATCTCAAAATAATGATAGGGACGATAACTGGCCACTGTCCCTTGAACAAACACCTATATAACATCGGCGCAACGGACACCCCTCTGTGCAGAGGGTGCCTCGGCGCTGAAGAATCAGTTGCCCACGTAATCCTGGAATGCGTAGCGGTAAGTTCTCAACGTGAAGAAATCCTCGGACCAGTGAGGTCGCTCCGCAAAGCCTGTGAAGTTCCCAGGAAACTTCTGCGCTTCTGGGCGGAGCTCGGCTGGCTAATATAGCCAGGATTCGCACGCACAACGGACCAAAAGAGAGTCTAAGTGCGGAAAACGAGTCCACTTTACATTACTTTACATTACAAGTAATAATCCCATTGACAATGTCATTGACATACATTAACCCGATCCGCCAATTCACTTAAAATGTTCTTAGACGTTACAAGTGTTTACGGATCAGTCCCAAGACGCAATAAGCACACTGATTCATGTGGATTTGCCTTAGGGATGAAAATTAGTGAAAACTTTACATGTAATTTAAGCCTAGTTTGGTTGTTTATCGATAAATTAATTATCAGTGTCATTAATATTATTTGTGAGATTATAAATATAGCTTATTATTATTGTAGATACATTTTTACACTATCATATTTAGTATCAAATCAGAAGATAATAAATAGTTTTTTTACTAACAGAATGAGTACAAAATACATCAATTTGAATAGGTTTATATACATAAATCATTTTATTTAAAATTAAACTACAAATATGCCACAACTTAAATTTTATAATTTCATTGAGTTAAAAAAAAGGTTTTTAAATGGTAACATTTATACAATAAAAAGTAAATAGAAATGTTTTTCTTTTATTTAGAAATTAAAATTGTTGCAGAGTGATGTTTTTATTCTCGTGCCTACTAATGGTCGCGTTACCAACGCTACGTTTGTGGTGCGCTGATGAGGAGGAGGACCACTTGGCCGTCATTATAATGCTCACTACAGCACCTTACTTTTTATTCTTTTGTCGGTATGTAATTTATTTATAATTAACATTTTCGATGATGAATTGAAAATTAATTGACGCAAAATTGTTTATTGGCACAATTTAGTTAACAGAAATAGTTTTAATTAGGTATAATATTATGTCTATGAATGGCTATAATCATTTATCATCAGGTGGTTCACCTCGTTCGTTTTAAAAAATAAATAAAATACTCATCATATTTGTACAGAAAGGAAGGAATTCATCTGACTTGTACTATTTTTAATTTTTCGTTTGTTAGGCAGCTTAGTTCTTCTATTTTTGATGCTCATGAAATTAAAACAAAAAGTACAACAAATATTACTCGTGGAAGTTGAATTAGCACTTTAGCAAAATAAGTGCTTATTGTCTTTTACCCACCTCCAAATTATTTAATAAAAACATAAATTATAATATGTGACCATATTTTTAAAATGAAAATATATTTTAATTTAGGAAATTTCGTTTGAGCTAAACTATAATAAATTAAAGTGATGCTATATTATAATTATCAAAGAGATGTTCTGTGAATTTTTAATTTGAAATAAAGAACTATACCATGAGTTGGTGTTGTGAAAGGATATTTAGTTTCTCCTCTCATGTTATTAAAAATAAAATGAACCATTTTTTTTAATAATTCGGTTTTGTGTTCAGTATAAACTTTTGATTTTCTTCAAACAATTGATCTTTATAGGCACACTATCGATCAATTTTATGTTTTCAAAAAAAATATACAAAAAACCGTGTATTTGTCTTATGTACGCACGCACGTAAAAAGTTATACTTTTTTGCCGTAAGAGAACAAAAATAGCTAAAGATTTCATCCCGTATGTTACAACTCTCTGTTTGTAAAAGGAATGATAAATTAATAAAATAAATAAGGCATATTAGACATATTACAATGATATATATTTATAGAATATCATTTAAGGAAAGAATATCTAATCTAATATGTAAAATTCTCGTATCACAGCGTTTGTAACAAAGCTCCTCCGAAACGGCTTGACCGATTGTGTGTATATTCAGTAGGTAAGGATAGGACGTAAACTATTTTTCATACCCCTAAATGATAAGGGTGGTTTACCCCAAATTTATTTTTTATTTTTTGAAGAAAATTGATTGGGTATGAAAAATACATACAAACCTAAATTTTCACTTGGAACGAACCTGAGCGGAGCGAGAATCGCTAGTAATATTATACGTCTTTATCAGACAATAACATCGGTTACCACGGCAACAAACAGTTATCAGCTAACTTCATCATGTCGCTTTTTGGATTTTTTACATTCATATTTTTTCCAAACGTCCCAAAAGGAGTATAACTTCAATAATATAAAATTATTACATTTCATTTTTTTAACAGAGGATTTAAGACAGTCGGACCTTTCGTCGTGATGATTTACAGAATGGTGATGGGTGATCTTCTACGATTTGTTTGTATTTATCTTGTATTTGTTATGGGATTTTCTCAAGGTATAATATAATATATATTTTTTTTTCATTTTGTAGCAAATATATAAATACTCATTTAGTTATTTTTATCCTTTAATTTATAAGGCTATTCCTGTATTTAAAGCCGAATAAAAATGAGTTTTTGTTAACATTTTTAGCATTCTCAATTTTACATAATATGGTCAATATTTACCTTCGTAACTCTGAACTATAATATGTTATATACATAGATAGTCGAAAACCTTCGACCTTCCACGGAGGATAAGTATTTGATCCTTATCGTCCTTGCGTCTCAAGATACCCGGGGTGTCCTTCATAATTGACTTTATTGATAGCATCTTTAGACCGCTCTACACATTCCGTGAGACTTCATGCCGAATATTTCGGTCATTTCCAGGGTTTCGTATCCGAGGGTTCCAACAAAATCATATTACTAAGCCTCCGCTGTCCATCTGTCCATTCGTCCGTCTATCAAAAGGCTGTATATCATGAACTGTAATAGGTAGAGAGTTCAAATTTTCACTGTGTGTGTATTTCTATTGCCGCAAAAATAACAAATATTAAAAAACCTAGATAGCGAATTTCTAAAAGGCTGCCATGTAAATTTAAAAAATAATCGATTATGGTACGGAACTCTTCGCGTACGAGGCCGATTCGCATTTGACCGATTTTTATTTAGCCCATTAATCTAAGCTAACTCATGAAATAAGAAGATTCTTTCCTCCACAAGCTCTGGTTTTGAGCATTTGGTGAGTTTGGGCGATTGTGTAGTGCTGCCATTATAGAGTTCTTGTTTTTAGAATAAAGTGTAATCTTTATCAGTCCCAATAAAGCAATTAAAGTCCTTTCTAAATATGTTGTTAAGATATAATCTATACATATAATAAAAATGTAATTAAGTCGAATCTGTACATGATTTATTTTTTTGAAAATCTTATTGAAATAGACAGTATTATCGATACAGAGGCCGAATCCATAGATTTTAGAATTTTTGTCTGTCTGTCTGTTACCGCATCACAGAAAAACCACTAGAGGGATTTTGATGAAATTTGGTGTGGTGATAGCTGGTTATCCGGGTCAACATATAGGATACTTTTTACAGCGGGAAAATATCTCATTTCTTAGAAAAAATACAAAAACTGCAATGTAAGAGTATACTAATATGTAAAACCTAAGAATTTGGTTTTTGGTCACCTGAACGCGGGCGGAGCCGCGGGCAATGCTAGAATAGAATAAACTGTCATATTTATAGTAGTATGGATTCATTTAAATAATTGCTTTACCCATCATAATATCTATTGAATTATTATCATGTTGTTTATATATTTTAGCATATTACGTAATATTCCTATCATTTGACAACCCCAATACGCCGGAGGGTGTTGACGACTCTATATCGAATCCCATGCCTTCCCCCATGGAGAGTATCATGGCTATGTTTCTTATGTCAATGACTTCATTCTCTGATTACTTTGGTGCGTTTGAACGGACTGACCATGAAATAGCGGCTAAGGTAATTATTTAAACTATTCATAAATATAATTTTAAATTATCTATATTCATAAATATAATTTCAAATTATCATCCTATTAATATAATTTTAAATTATTCAGGCTAATCTTACTTCTTACTAATATTATACTAATATTATAAATGTGAAAGTTTAATTGTTTGGATGGATGTTTGTTACTCAATCACGCCAGAACGGCTGATCGGATCTGGATGAAATTTGGCACAGAGATAGATTATAGCTGGAATAGCACATAAGCTACTAACTAAACAATAAATTATAAAATCATATAAAGAAATCATGCTTACCACTATGTACAAATTGTTAGCCATTAGGTCTAAAAATAGAAAAAATATATTTATTATTATTATTATATATAAAATATCACGGGTCACAGGTTCGGATCCTGGTTCGAAAATACGTGAGATAGGCCGAATAGTTGGGAGCACTTAAATATAGTATAAAAACTTTTTAACAAAAAAATAAAAACCGACTTCAAAAAAAAGCACTAAAAAGTAAAAAATAACTGATTGGTAGTTTTCATTTACTATACATACCTAATCAAATATTTCCGAAGTCGGTGTGCTTTGCTTTGTATGGGCTGGCACCAATTTCGAAAATATTTGATTAGGTATGTATTTAATTGGTCGGCTTTAATTGCTTAGCCAAAGCACACCGACTTCGAAAATATTTGATTAGGTATGTATAGTAAATGAAAACTACCAATCAGTTATTTTTTACTTTTTAGTGCTTTTTTTTGAAGTCGGTTTTTATTTTTTTGTTAAAAAGTTTTTATTTTTCCCTTTTTAGTGTAGACAGTAGTAGCATAGTAAGGATTCTAACATGTTAGGCTTGTCAAATCAAACAAAATAAGCCCAAACTCAAAGTATCTACTATTAGCCGTTGAAGAGTTCCACCTATCCACCTTCTGGCCTTGCCATCAGATCAGGTCAACAACACCGAACCACTGTACTATCAACGGAAATAGAAATACTTGCAAAGTTTCAAGTCAATATGACAATTAGAAGTAGGTTAAATTCATCATTAGTTGTTTTTCCACCCTTAGGGCTGGTATTTTTTTTTGAAATTTAAATGGGACCAATCTCGAAGTATACCCTTTCAAACAAAACAAAAATTGTCCAAATCGGTTAATAAATGACGGAGTTCTGAGGTAACAAACATAAAAAAAAACATACAGTCGAATTGAGAACCTCCTCCTTTTTGAAGTCGGTTGAAAATATATACTATTTTTGCGCAAAATAACATTTTATTTATAAAGGTGGTGAATTTACGGGCATAAGTTTTTGTATGTATTGACTCTATTGAAATCTATTTAGTTTTAGTTGTTTACACACATGGGGTTCACGAGAGCTTTTTATACATTGTTATGACTAGTGGTCTTGTGCCCATCGAATCATACTTATAATGTTTGCTTTTTATATCGATCTATTTATATTATATAATATACCTTTTTTAATGTAGCAACATTATTTTCTTTTTTCTTACATTATATCAAAAAAATTAATAAATAAGAAAAATCCAAGTTACCCATAATAAATCACTTCACTTATTTTTTACAGAGTTTTAACCCCAAACATTCCATAAAAATGTCTGGACCATATTTTTTTTGATACCTTTTTTTGAAAGCCAATATTAAGTTATAGGAGATGGAATTAAGTTTTATTAAAATGTATTGTTACATTATGTATTATGTAATAAAATATATAAAATTTTCACTTCCAGCTGTTATTCGTAATTTACATGATAATAGTGGCAATATTGCTAGTGAACATGTTAATCGCTATGATGGGTAATACGTACCAGAAAATCGCAGAGACAAGAAATGAATGGCAGAGGCAATGGGCCAGGATAGTGCTGGTGGTAGAGCGAGGAGTGCCTCCGGCGCAAAGATTGAAACAATTACTGGCTTATAGCCAACCGATGGCCAGTGGGAAAAGAGCTCTAGTTCTTAGAATTAATCAGAAGGTAGGTTAAGATTGTAGCGGTCAGGACTATTTGGTCAATAGTTACTCGTAGTCAGACTATTTAACGATCGATTTGAAAGTAGTAAAAAAACTTCAAATATAGCAATCATTGTCATATTGTGTGATGTCTTCCTTTTGATAATTACTCTATCTTTTGTGTTACAATACATTTCAGGTTTGATTCCTGCTCAGGGCATATTTATTCACTTAATTTTAGAGGTTATATAGGACATTTTATCAATATATGAATATTGTGTAGCGTAGATTGTTATTTTTATAGATTTTTTTATTTTAGTTAGATATAGTTCAGAAAAAAAATTAAAAATTTATCCTAGACAAGCTTTCTATATATTTCTTACTACATGTGTCCATCCATATTCTTTCTACTTGAGTCCATAATTTTATTTGTGTAGTTAACTATAGTTTTAATAATTCAGATAACTGTTCCTTTTATAATTAAATCATTAATTATACTAAAATAAAAATATAAAAAAGTGACTTGTGTAAATATGTAATACAAATCTATTCATAGGATGAAGATAAAGAAGAAATGAAGGAAATCTTAGAAATGAAGCGGACACACGAGCGTATTGTGGCAAAACGGAAGCAACGGGACGCGGAAATGAAGGGAGGGAAACTACCGCCCCCTCCAGTGCGAGATTACCCCATCACAAAGAGCGCTGCTGTCGCTAAAAAACAAAATGTCATTATTTGAAGAGATTTATAAATACTAGAGTCTGCCGAGTGGTCGAACTTTGACCATGATTATTTATATTTTTTTTATTTATAAAACTAAAGCTCGTCAATAGCTACTTAACTATACATAATTCTCAATTTTACTTTAACAATAAACAAAAGAGTACATATTTGTATATGCGTGTGTGTGTCAAATATATGGTAGTGTGTGTTTTTTTATTGATTTAATGTATTTTTTATGCATAATTTAAAAAAAAATAGCATTCTGCACTCCTTCTCTATATAGACTATAATTGGAAATTAAAAAAGGTAAAAAGGTAAAAAGGGGTACAAAGTTTTTGCGTCACGTATTAATACTCGTATATAGATTATGAGTTTCTACGCGACATTCACACGTAAAATCCATTAGTTCGAAAATTTAATAATTAAGGATTGGTTTTTTTAACCACTATATTAGTATTATCTAAGTAAATTATATTATAATTAGATTTAAAAAGTGAAGCAATCAAATGTTTTCATTCCTAAACTTATGATTTTTAATTATGTATATAGATTATAGATATATTGTTTGTAATGTCAGAATGACAGCTTTTTACTAAATACATATGAAAGTATATACTACTACTTATAAAATAATTTTTAAAATTTTGTCTATCTGTCTGTCTATTTGTCTCTATTCCGGCTAATCTTCAAACAGGTGGACCGATTTTAACGGAATTTTCGCTGGCAGATAATTGATGTCCTAAGGAGTAACTTAGGGTACTTTTATTTTAGAAAAAGAATTAGGGTTCCGCGCTAAAAAAACCCATGAAATTGTGACAAAATCACTCTATAAATAGTTTTTATTTACGATCGAAAGAGCTATAAGAGGTCATATTAACTTTCTCGAACTTTGAAACATAAAAAGCTTTCTTAGTTACAGAACTCGTCAAAACAAACAAAAAGATGTCCACTTGAAAGTTACTAAAGTCGACTAGTCTTTTCCTAAATAACGTATCACTTGTGACTCCATCATTAAAATAGCTCGATGGTAATACGCTATCGTATTGTAGGTGTAAATCAACTTCATTTCAAATATAACCTTACCAGTTAACCTAATAAAACTCTATAAAAAAATGTAATCCTTTATTTTAATCCTTTAATACATTCTATTTTAAGATCAAACTAATTATCCAACCTGAAGAGCAATTAATACTGAAAGCTTGTGAGGTGCTAGAGTACCTATTTGGTTAATGTACATAAACATCTTTGGTCTCTATTTCAGTAACATATTGCGCAACAACAATTTAATTACTTTAATCGACGAAGTCTTGTGAAAAGTTTAATTATAATTTAAACGAATTTGAATACCCTTAAATGAAAATTAAACGAATACAAAAGTTAAAATATCTGGAATAATAAAGCAAAGAAAATTGTGCACAAAGTGTCTCTTTACTGACATATATAATATGTACAGTTCAAGCACATAACCCTCCTTTGGGCTTCGGCGCAGTCAGGTAAAAAAGAAAATTTCACTACTTTATGAACATTTATGGAAACATAAAATTATATTAAACACAACAGTGCTACGTGAAATATGCGTATGTATTTTAAAACAATTTCGTCAAAGAAATTAAGGGCCCAGAAGTTTCTGCTCTTTGTCTGCATCGCAAGTTAAAGTCCAGTTCCATGATAAGCTACGAGGCTTGTGTTATGGATACCAGATAGTTGATACACTACACATATATAACTTTATATACACACATATTATAAATATAAACATCAATGACTGAAGTACAAACATTCATGCTCATCACATAGATAAATGCCCTCAGCGGGACTCAAACCCGCGACCGCTGGCACAGAAAGTAGGGTCACTACAAACTGAGCCAAATGTGTCGTCAATATAGAAACTACTTGTTAAAAATGTATGTAAAAATTAATTTAATTAATTATAATCTTACTAATCGAATATATATAGATAATCACGAAAATGACGGTCAAAATTATAATTTATATACTATAGTAACATCTTGCCTAATAAAGTTACAGTTTGCATTAATTTAATCAATCGTTTGAAAATTTGAATATGCGTATAATGTCGTAATATAATTATTATTTCAAGATTAGGTTTAGGGAAAAGTGTTTTGAATAAATAAATGATGAATTATCTATATTTTTTCTAAAACTTTTATTACCTTACCCATTAAAAGTTATTGCTTGTTTATAAAAGCTGATGATCCATGAGCAATAAGTTTGTTAGGCATATATAATACCAGTAGAACCCGCGGCTTCGCGCTAAAACTACAAAAAAAACTCTGAAAGGTAGGTTACATACAAACTTTCATCCCCTATTTTAACTCCTTATGGGATGAATTTCGAAAAATGCTGAAACACTTATTTATTTAATAGTGTTGAAGAACATTAATACCAACTTTCAAGTAATTCTGATCATAAATATTTTTTGGAGTTTTATGATAACGTGTTTTCCCGTGGGAATTAAATAATCTCCCGCGGTAAAAAGTAGCCTATGTCACTCTCCAGCCCTCCAACTATCTCACACAAAAAATCGCGCCAATCCGTCACTCCGTTTTGACGTAAAAGAAAGACAAACAAACAAACAAACAAACAAACACACTTTTACGCTTATAATATTAGTATGGATATATCGAATTAAATAAATAAATAACTAACTCTCTCAGTTCATCGCGCAAGGAATCGTTTAACTCTAGAAGATACAAAATAAATCCTTGCATGACATTGATTCATATTTGTTACTAAATTTTGTCAAGAGATGTTTTAAAATAGTAAATAAAATAGTAAGAATGGATTATTATCTAACAATTGATATTACGACATTTTTAAGTTAGGAGTATTCAAATTTCAAAGGTGCAAATTATGACCGTGTGTCGCTCAAAATTTCACTGTTACCTCATTATTTGCAACCTTTGACTCGCTAAGCCGCACCTCTAGCTGTTCTAGTACGATTTTATTCTTTATTTCTTTAGTATTAAGAGTTAGGTTCAAAATTAATTTTTAAATATATAAATATGCCTATGTAAAAAAATGTGCTTTGTGCTAAATTTGTCTATCAGCTTTCATTGAACGTTTTAGTTCTATTAAGAAATATTAAGATCGATCAATGGATTTGTGTACAGCAGCAAGTGTGAAGGTCACAATGAAGTGTGTTCACATATTAGTGTCAAGTAGTTTTAGGACGTATACTACTTTATTTGCTTTTCATTTCTATTTTACAATTAACGAATATTAATAGTTTTCACTCGGCTTTTTATATTGTGTTAAAATAGCTAGATTTTGAGATACTGCATGTATATGATATTGGGGAGTTATGTCAGTTACGATGTACAAGAAAGTATGTACATACCAGTATCTATTATGACGACAGGTTGTTAATTACTTATGTATCTAGATATAACATGTTTGAATAACCTCTAATTCTATAAATTGAATATTAAAAATGTTTTTTTAGGTGAAGTGAATAATAAAGGAAAAATCGGAAAAATGTCTGTTAATGTGCACGTAATTCTACCAAAGTCCGCAATAAATTTGATATGATTTTACTAATATTTAGAGATTTTTTCCAGCAAAGTTTACGTGTTATATATAATTACTTACATATTATATTTATAGAAATTAGTAAAGAAAATTCGATGTATTGTAATATAATCAAGTTAAGCTTGAGTGAAGTCAGGGCGAGTTGGTAGTTTAATATATTAACCTCTTAATTTACAGTTTAAAACCAAAATTTGTTATAAATTTTATAAAGTTTGTATCATTTGCAAAATTAATTTCAAAAGTTTTAAGCATTTTTAAACTTTAAAAGGGATAATGGTCAAGTGGTCAAAAGATAGCTTGGATTACTTTCAGTTATATTTTTATAGGAACGCTGAAAAAGTAATTATATAAAGAAAGAGAATATTAATTTGACATAATAATGTACATACTTTGAGCAAATTAGAAAGTTGCGCTGGCTCCGAAAATACTTCTTTGCATTCGTTTTTCATTTTCTTTGTGCTTTGTCCTAACCATTTGTTTATTACAAAACAGTAGGTACTTCCGCTTTAGCGTAAAGTACAATGGAAATATATAATAGTTCAAAATATTTGTTTAGGTAAATATTTATTATTAAAAAAAATCAGCAGACGACATCATCACAACACATAACTTAATAATAAAAAAAAAGAAAAATATTGTGTAATAAGAAAGTAAATACCAATACTGTAAAATAAAAGCGATAAAAACATCTAAGTGTATAACAATACATTACGTTTAAAATTATTATGTCGTCTTCAAAAACTGGTAGGTGTCATATCTAAATAGGTTTGTGCAACACGATCGGTTATGGTGTAGAGGTGGAGAGTATAAAGCTGAGATGAGTCTGTTTACATCGCACACTGATTTAGGAAATCAAACATGAGGAACGCGGTAAGTAACGGTGACCAAAAGTGAAAATTAACATCTAATGTCAATAGTGAACAACTTTCTGCCAATACAAATAATATATCCATTTGCTATTTGTGAACAATAGTCAGTTTTTAACCAACTTAGAAATAGAGATTTTGTGTTAAGCCGGTATTTTTAATTATTAGTATTTTTTAAATTTGTTTTAATTTAAAAAAAATACATGGAACATTTAGATAATACAATAGTGTAGTGATGATGAGGTAGGTATAATCCTTTTTATAATATCTTTTTTATTTTCAGGTGGTACTAGTTTCGATGTTGGTGGCCGTAGCAGCCGAGGCACCCTACAATTTACCACGGCCTGCTCCTAACGCACCCTTTATAAGTTACCAACGACCTCCACCCGCACCTCTACAGCAACCAGGTCCTCAGTTCATTCAGCAGAGTTTTTCACAAAACCAGTATAATACAAATGGTTACAGCTACCCAGCTCCTGCTCCACAACCTATTATTGCATCACAACCTCAACAAGTGTATCAACCAATAGCCAGACCAGCTCCACAACCATTACCCATAGTATCCCAACCTAGCCAGTCATACGGAGTCCCACAATTCCAATCAATTAGGCCTCTTCAAACCTTAATTTCCCAACCTCAACCTCAACCGGTGTTCCAACAAGCTATTGCTCCTCAACCACAATTCATTGCTCCCCAACCACAACAAATCAATTACCAACCACAACCAATCGCTCCTCAACCTTTACCAGTTTACCAGCCCCAACCGATTTCCCCACCCAGTACCTCTTACGGAGTACCTCAATTTGCCCAAACACTTCCTGCTATAGTTTCCCAATCTCAGTACCAAATCCAAGAACAATCACAGCCTGCTCCTATCCAATATCAAAACGGACAAGTATCATCGGGCTACTCATACCAGCAATCTGCGCCAGCACTAATCCAAAACTCTGGCTTGTCAAGCTATCAAGCAGATTCCAATCAATATAATAATATACAACAAGCTCAGGTTCGCGGAGACGCCTTAGATGACATAGTAGTATCTCGTGTACAAGATATCATAAGGGACAACGAACATTCAACGGCTAAAGAGGCTGGCTATTTATCACTAGTGTCAGGAGTTTCTTTAGAAAACGCGAGACCTAGTGTGGAGGTTTTATCATTTGTACACAACTCGCCGCTTAATTCTGGTAGATGCCAAAATTCGGGTAGATGTCAAAACCAGCAATTGTCATCACTTTCACAAAGTTCATCATCATCTCCTTTATCATCCTCATCATTACTGTCAGTGTCAAGACCGTCATCTGAATATGGTGTGCCATCTTCAAGCAACGTTCAGTCTAACATTCAATCAACTGGGTCATTAAGTTCTAGTAGTTTTGGATTTCTACCTCAAAGCAAACCTGCATCCGGTTATGGTGTACCTAATTAAATAAATTGTGCCAAATCAATTATAAATACAGCCTTTAATGTAAATAAATTTTTTATAGTTTTATATATAAAACTTTTTTTTTATTTTTCTCTTTAAATACAATAATAATTTATTATTAAAATAGATTGCATAATGAAATGTATTTATGTTTGAGTTTTTAAAAAGTAATTTTCTTTCATTTTATCTGGGCATATTAATTTCATAAAAATTGGATATCCGATTTTCTCTCCCTGAAAAATTGCAATTTGCTGTTACAATATTATAAATATTATATTTAATTATAGAAGCAATTATAAAACATACTAAGTTAATTGAATGATTCGAAGTTTGGACACTGTCATTTAGAAATGTGGAATAAAACACATTTCTACTCTCCATGCTATAATCTTTTTTCTCAACTTTTCCTTGGATTATTTGTTGGTTTTCTAAAATAATTTGCCTCTGTCGAAAGGGAAAATATTAGAAAAATATCTTTTATTGCATATTATTATATTAAAACTTATATTTAAATAACGAGTATATACATTATGCACCATTTTGACATCCATATACACATAAATTTTCATGATATAATGCGAGCAAAGTCGTAGCCATATATTGACATAGTTACATAGTAAACTTTATAATTTCGTAATTAAGCAAATCAGATACCTTTCGCAAGGCCGTCGGCTCGACATCGTTACATAGGCAAATATTAGGTTTACTCGTTTTCTTTTCAAATTGACTCGACGCATCTGCTCTATTGGACATTACATAGGAACATTGACACATGATATCCTTAATATTGTTTTTTTTATATTTCATAGCAGAATCCCTCTTTGATATTATAATTGCAGATTTCTTCTTGCCTTCAATATCATTCTAAAATAAAAAAAAATAAAAACAATTACTACACACAGTATGCATTATGTAACAAGCTTTTCTTTTAAATATACCAATAGCAATAGGCCACCGAATAATTAGCAATAATTACTTTTTTGAGTGAAATGTTTATGCATAATGGTGTACCAACATTATACAATAGAACTGAAGGCATTTGCATGCATCTCTGATGCGTGGTAAGTGCGTTAAAAGTTAAATGTAGCTATTATAAAAAAGCTTATGTATTTAGGTAAACTATATTTTAGAATTTTATTCGAGTAAGTACGAAACACACTCACTAACTTTCAACCTATACATATAATAAAATTGTAACTAAGCCGAATCTGTACATTAAATATTTTTTGGAAAATCTTATATAGACATTATTATCGATACAGAGGCCAAATCTATAGTTTTTAGAATTTTTGTCTGTCTGTCTGTTACCGCATCACAGAACAACCACTGGAGGGATTTTGATGAAATTTGGTACGGTGATAGCTGGTTATCCGAGTCAACATATAGGGTACTTTTTATCGTGGGATATGTAAAACCTAAGAATTTGCTTTTTGGTCATCTGAACGCGGGCGGAGCCGCCGGCAATGCTAACCTATAAAATTTAAATGTAAAATAATATTTTTGCTGTTATAAAATCGATTTTTGTAGTTTTGTCAGATACCTACACTTCGATTAATTTGAATCAACTTTGCTTTGTAGAAACTCACTGGCAAATCATATTTAAATATTATTAATTTTTTGTTATATTTTATATTTCCAATAAATACCTTCGCATCTTGAACGATATCAAACGGAATCACATATATTTCTCTTTCTTTCAGAATACTTGTTAAGCTTTGAGATTTAGGTTTCAATTTTTTTTCGACAACACTCGTGTTGGATTGAGTCGTGCTATTAATTTGATTACGTGACTGAGCTATACTTCTAAAAAAAAAAATGTATGGGAAACATTTTTTACATTATTAGAAAATTATAACATTAATATGTTAAGATAATTATATATTTTTTTATTGTTAGATTATTTTTGATGAAAATATTGATCTTTACCTCTAGGTACTACTCTTACTGCTTTTGTACTCAAGAGAAAAGATATTTTTTAATTGAATAAAACTCAACTCTTAATTAAACCAATTTCCAAAGTTTCAATAGTTATAATAAATCTATAACTATAGAAATATGTCTAAATAAATAATTATTTAATATAGGCTTCTTTCACTTTGTTGTAGCGACTCATCTTCGTTTCGCTCGGGTTCGTTCCTAGGCACGTTTTAACGTTAGTACTTATAGATAGATATCCCTAGGCAGTGGTAGCCCCGTGGTACCGCACTCGCTAGGGAAACCGAGTGAAGCGGATTCAAATCCCGGGTTTCGCACCTTTGATATTTTCATGTGTGAATTATTTTAAACATGATTACCACTTGCCTTGTGAAGGAAAATATCGTGAGGAAACCTGCATGTCTAAGAGAACCAAGTTTTCGAAAGACATGTGAAGTCCGCCAATCCGCCCTTGGCCAGCGTTGTGGATTATGGCCTGATCCCCCTCGTATTGAAGGTAGGCTCGTGTCCAGCAGTAGGACGTTAAAAAGGTCTAAATAGATAGATATCCCACGGGAACCGTAAATTTTTCGGGATAAAATGTAATCTATGTGCTATTCCATAATTTAATTTATCTCTGGGCCAATTCATCAGTACCGTTCAGCCGTTCTGACGTGATTGAGTAAAAAACATCCATCCATCCAAACTTTCGCATTAATATTTATGGTTATACATACTTTTGGCAACATTCTGATGCAGGACGAGTAAGTTGTTTAGGTTTTAAAATAACTTCGATGCTATGACTCGATCTGATAACATAAAAATATTAATGAAAATTTGGGTTACATATTATATATACTAGACTAAAATAAGATTAATAAAAAATTAAACATATTAACCTTAACATAACATCACTCATATTTTTTACAGGCATCGGTTGTTTTTTCCAGGGACTAAAAAAAGATATTCAATTTATAATATACATACAGCAATGTTTAGTCAAATATTAATTTATTATACCTCAGTCTTGATTGCTTCTTGGATTTTATTTCTTTCTTTTTAACTCTGAAAGATAAAATAGCTCTTGAATAAAGATGCAATGCTGTAACTTAAACTGTATAAAAGATATTGAAACAAAATTTCAATAAAATGTACCTGTAAATTCTTATTAGTTTTAACAAACAAATAAAACCTTATTGAGTGTTAAACGTACTTATTTGAAGAGGCGACTATTTCAATCGTAGAGGTTTCATTATAATTATATTGAGTGTGGCTGTTCTGTAAGTAATCATTGTATTTTTCGTCCAGCCAAGTTGCAAAATCTTTTATGTCTACTTTATCGGTTCTACTGTTGGGAAAATGTTCCTAAAAGAATAAAATGTATATTTAGCTGAGTCGATGACTTAGGTATTCTGTAACGTTAATTTTTGTTAAAGATTTACAATGTGTAATAATTATCTTACTGATAGTTATCAATAATCTATTATTTTAATATGGTGGGATATTAATAACACACAGCTCCGTCTAGTTCCATGGCAAGGCTACGAGACTTGTGTCATGGATACCATATAGTTGATACACTACATCTTTATATATATAATTCTTCTGTACGTGTGTTTGTTAACCTACTCCTCCTAAACGGCAGGGACGATTTTAATGATATTTTTTGTGTATGTTCGAGTAGGTCCCTGCAAGGTTTGAATTCACAAATGGATCTGGTAGGTGGCGCTGCAGTCGGCATCACTAAATTTTCAAAAAAAAACCATCATTTTCCGAGCAATAAATAAATTTAAATTGTCGATTTAATTGAATAAAAATCGATGTATGTATGTTTCCTATGGACTCCAAAACAGCTGGTGCGATTTTGATGAAATTTTCAGGTAACCTTCAGATTAGCGGGTGATCCTGTGAATTTTGGACGCAGTGACAGCGATCGGAAGTTTGGACGGGGGCGAAACCGCGGGTACTGCTAGTATATGTATATAACTTTAAATACGTACATTCATATTATAAATATAAACACCCATGACTTGAGTACAAACATTCGTACTTATAGCACAAATGAATGACCCCCGCGGTACTCGTACCCACGACAGTTGGCACAGCAAGTAGGGATACTACAAACTGAGCCAAACGTGTCGTCAATTAATTACACATATGTACCTATATGTTCTCATAATTGTCTTTATGTTAATAAAAGACTGCATCGGTAATCTAGTGACAAGAATGTATCTGCGGCTGCAAATCATATCATCCTGGATACCGATTCGGGCTAAACTAGATTATTAAATACTCAGTAGCCCGGAGTTGAGAATTTGGTGGAGTATCGTCCTTAGGCGAAAAGGTCGTGCGCCGGTTCGTCCTGTCACCCGTAATGTCGAATTAAATTAAAATTGAGAGTGCAATTTAATATTCTCTGCTCAGTAAGTCCAAATCTTATTGTCAATGAGATTTGCTGCCGTAACCGTTACGTTTTTTTAGTTTCTTGTTAGTTGTTTGTATTGTGTTTTTTTTGTGACGAATTAACGTGGAGCTAAAACGCCGGGGACGAAATTTTACTTTTGTATGTATTGGGAAAGTGACTAAATAATGGTATAGTATAGGTAGTAGTAAAGTATATTAGTAATATAAAAGCCGTAAGATAAAGTTATTATTGAAATGTGTGCCACCTGCGTATACCATCTAAAGGCCTTAACAAAGCAATTAGGCGTATTTTTCTTCTTTTCTTTGCTCCTTCTATGGTGTTTTTGTTGCTGTAGAGATGATATTGACTATTAATTATGATTCTTAATTAAAAAGATAAATTATAAACATATAAAATACATTAAGGTACTAATTAAAATAAAATTATATACTAGCAGGTAACTATTTATAAAGAAAAATGTTTCAGAAGTTTTTGAAGTAAGAGTTACATCATGTCAGATCATGTTTCGTGACATTGGCGAAGTAATTTATGCTCAACTGGCATGCTTTGAAGCCATTAACAACAGAATTGAATTGAACATCTTCTTTATCTACATTTTTTATTACTAATAATGAGACTGAGATAAATTATAGCCGTCAAATATTTTTCAAGATTTATTTAAATGGAATGATGATATTTAGTAGCTGCGAACTGATTTGAAATTTAGGCATAACAACGGTTTAACATATAACAAGAAACAATAACAAGAATATTTAAATCTATTCAAATTAGAATATTTTTTTTATTTTTAAATGAAGAAGAATTGTACTTACTACTTCAGAATAATATATTAGTGGCTGGCCCAGTGTTGGATACCATGGATACGCCTCATTTACTCTAAAACTGTTGTAGAATATTTCTTTTTCATTTTCAATCGAAGATAATGATGACATCACTAGACAATAAATTTAAATTTACAAATATCCTAATAGTATAAAATTATATGACAAAATTGTCAGTATAAGATAATATTTTTTATCTGTTCCAATATGATTGCCATAGATATTGCAGAATATTAAAAAGTATAAGCAGGACCAAGTTAAAACTCCTTTGTCTACAAAAAAATAGACTATTTATATACGAGTAAATATAATAATTTATCTACGTATTGTTAAAGGTTTCCTTAAAGAGACATAATAAAATAGATAAGTAATTATTCTCCTTACAGCAAATTCGCTTTGTACCCTTATAGAGAGTGGTCAATTTTGAGAGGATTAGGTAACATTTATTGAGGGATAAACGGAATCTTTTGCCTACAAAGAATATCAAAGCTTCAAGAATAAAAGTAAGATTGAGTTGAATTTTGTTATAAAAAAATATTCAGTACAATTTTACACATACTTTTATATGTGGTAAAGATTATTGTTGGGAATCAACTGTTATCTGCGTCTCGAAATAATCTAATAATATTTGTATTCAAAAACTAATCCATAGCTCTATAGATTTATGCTTTTGATTTACATTTCGTCGATTAAAATGGTGCTATATTTTACCTTGACGTTATCGCTATTTAGTCTACTTGTATGCGAAGCATACAAAAATAATTTATTTACCATTACTAAGTCGGAAGACGGCAGTAATCAGGGTACGATATTCATCTTTATATATAGTATAGATATTCATCTTTTACAAACAATCAGCGCTATATTTGCGATTTTTTAATAAGTTATTCCAGGTCATAAATCTTATCAAAATCTGTCCAGCCGTTTTGACTTTAAGGTGTAACTATTAAGAATCTTTCGTATTTATATAATATTTATATAATAATAGTGTGTGATTCGTTGTTTGTTAGTATAAAAATTTGGTATAAAAACTTAATAACTATTTGCTTTTTTTATATATTGCTTAGGATAATTATAATCGGTTACAGAAATTGTAAATTGTATGAGAAGTATTATTGTAAGAGAATTACGGTATTTTTTTCGAGATTATCTTTGCTTGGGTTTACTACTTTAGTGACTGGCCCAGTGTTGGATATCATGGATACATTTCATTTACTCTAAAACTGTTGCGGAATATTTATTTTTAATTTCAATTATATTGGTATAGCAATTCAATCATCTTGGCTATTTATTTTTTAATTCAATATTTCTTTTCAGAATTCAAATGTATTGTTTACGAAGGCGAAAATAATAATTCAAACGAATTGCTGGAAAACTATACTCGTAGCTCCACCATTGCTGTAACTGAGAAAACAGTTGCAAGTAGCTTATTTTATTACATATTTTAAAATTGTAAATATTATGCCTGATTCGATCATAATATATTTGTGAAATTACTTAGATATAACTTAGATCAGTTATCTACTCTGGACCATAACTTTACTAATTGTCGTCAAAATTATTTAATTTAAAATAGAGATAAATTTGTTTTTATATTATAAATTGTAACTTTGTTAGGTTACAAAAATAGGTGGGAAGTTGTAATTTCCAATATTATTACTTAATAGCGACTTATTCTCGCTTCGCTCGGGTGTGTTCTGTGCTTGAATAGTTTAGGAACGCATAAGAAACAAACGTCCAAAATAAAAATCCTTTTTTGTCGCGCCAGGAACCTTCGCAGGCGTATACAGAATAACCCACCAGAGATTCATCACATTCGGATCGACGGTTTACGAACGCTTTTACGAACGAAATGTTCGTATGTTTGACTTAGAGGTCTGACTTACGAACATTCATTTTTATTTATATAGATAGATAGAAAGTAGATGTTATATTAAACACCAGTTTTCATTTTAAAAACAACATCTAATTTTATCAAAGTTTTAAAAGTATACAATATTATTTCACCTGTTTTCTTCCTTTATTTAAGAGCTTTAGTCGTTAAAAGGCTATCGCTTTGTTAGGTTTATATACAAAAATTTCTTAAAATTAACTAATTACACGGTTATAACAGTTTCTTAGCTACTTTGTTAATTGATTATTTATACACGACATTGTTTAAAAAATATTACAGATCCTTTTGATACATATCAACAATATTTACATAAAATTGTATATGGTGAAAACGTGGAAAAAGATGGTAAGAAAAATCAATTTACCACATATTATAGTCAGCATATTATAGAAAATTAGTGATTTTTAATAAAATACATTGTTTCGTAGATGGAGCTGATAATAATGAATCAGTTAAACGTCTAGACAAAAATGACACAAAAAATTTGCGATTTTATGTTATGGGAAACTTTATGCAGTTAGTACTTAATACTATTTTAAGAAACAAAATAAAAAAAAAATAAAGTAATTATCTGATTCTAAGATTAACATAAATAATTGTTATACATTTTTATAAGTATTTTTAAATCTAAATACATACCTATGTACAATTTACACGAAATTCGAAAGCTAAAATTAAAAAAAAAGATCAATAAACTCTTTTCTTTATTTAATAATAATATGTTAAAATATAATATAAGTTATTATTAAGACTATTTAATTACGTAGAATTAATAAATTTCTTATACCATGTATATAATAAAGTATTATCAGATGAAATAAATAAAAATAGAGAAGCATATCCATTACAAAGTTTTCTCTCAGTTGTTTGAATTGATATTAGTAAACTAATTTGGATAAGGTGCGTGGGTTAATTTTTAGGTCACTATATAAATAATTGCTCTTTTAAAACATTATATCCTTAATAATATTTATAATAACATAATTATTTAATTATATAGATATTAGGTACTATATATAATTAATAATAATATAATTTTAAATATGTTTTACACCTATTTTTCATTTTTTAGGTCAGAGTTGTTTAACAATAAAAGTGGAGTCCACCTTCCACCATTAGAATTCATACAACGCGAGCTTTGCGAATTGAAGATTACAAGGGATTTTATGCAAACTGCTGTGAACGCGTTTGCAATCTTCCTTTATGGATCTTTAGCCGATATAGAGAGATTACCCGCCAACTATGTGTTACGATCTGTTAGTAAAAAATAAAATATATTGTAACTTTTTAAGAATTGTGTGCTATTGGTTAACTATCCAATATTTAGTCAAATTATATATAACTAGCGACTCACCCTCGCTTCGCTTGGGTTCGTCCCTAGCTTGCTTCCTAATACAAGCTTTTATCCCCATTTTCACCCCCTTAAGGAATGATTTCCGGGATAAAAAGTATCCTATGTCCTTCCCAGAGTCTCCGACTATCTTTTTACCTTTCATCTAAATCTGTTCAGTAGATCCGGAGATTACCCTACACAATATCACAAACTTACAAAATCACAAATTCACAAACTTACAAACTTTACCTCTTTATAATATAATAGTATAGATATACTCTACAACTGAGACGTCTAATGTAATCGTTGACTATAGCTTTAAGCCACTGATGAAAATATTGGTTCAAGAATAATCTTTATTTAATGGTTTTCTTTAACTATAACAGCAGCGACACGGTGAGACGATTGGTTTTTTTTTAATTTTGGTCAAATAAAATGATTTTTTTGTTTAGTTTACCTAGAAAAGCCACCTAAGGCATGTATGTATATTGTAAAGTGTACTAGCAGTACCCGCGGTTTCGCCCGCGTTCAAACTTCCGATAGCTACCAAACTTCACAGGATCACCTGCTGGGCTAATCAAAGGATTGCTTGAAAATTTCTTAAAAATCGCTCCAGCCGTTTTGGAGTCCATAGGAAATATACATACATACATACATAAATATTTATATAAGTACCTATATAGATACCTACTCGGAAATGTAAAGTGTAAACGGCATAGAAAACGTATACTTAGTTTTGCTATTATTAAAAACTGATGAACTTCCTTCAATTATATATTTACGCCGTACTAAGGGTTTTTTTTGTTTTGTAGACATCATTTTGGATTTTTTTTCTATCGAGGAAACTACGAGTAATCGCGTTTCTAAAGTGTACGATTTATAGAATTAATCCTTAAATATCCTACATATTAATTACATCATTAAAGTTTTAGTAATAACAATACAGCGAGGGATCAAACGAACGCAATTATTTCGTAATTGCCGCAGTGTGTCCTTAACGAAATACAAAAGATATTTCAAATTATGCTAAAATAGCATACTAATATTATTCTTCTTCTTCGGGTAAAACATGTGTTTCGATCTACAACAAAAAAATATATTTTCATAATATTTTGCTTAGGCTCGCAGTATATCTATGATGAAAATAGCAAGAGAAAAGCTAGTTGCTACGTGGAATGTAGTGCGTGGGTCCCAGCCTACAAATACGATTACGATTCAAACTTTAGAAATGTATCGGCCACTGTTTAAATACATAAATGGAAGAGAGATAGCTAGATTAAATTTGAGCGATGATAGGATTTTAAGTTATATTGGGACACATGATGGCCTCGATAGACATCAGGTAATTTTCATAATTTTTTAAACTAACTCATTTAATCACTAGCAACTTCATTAAACGGGCTATGTAATACAAAAAGGATTTTTCAGATCGGATTAGTAGTTTCTGAGATTAGCGCGATCAAACAAACAAACAAACTCTGTCTCTTTATAATGTTAGATTCTAGGTTCGATTATAAACCTCAGGAAAATGTTGTATGGTTTAGGTCTGCCTAGATCTGCCTTGGGCCGGGGAGAGTTGTAGGACTTACAAAAGTTCCTCACGGGCCAATAATGACTTTTACTGTATCGCTCTGCCACTCAGAGTTATTTTTATGCGATATACACCACACACACTGGACTGAAAATGTAAGGAATACAAAGTGAATTTGGTCAAACACTTGTGAATTAATATTACATAGGTAAACGGCGTAGGTGGTTAGTTTCAGTGAGATTGGCCAACGTATTAAAATTTGGATAAAAGGATTTTTACAAGAAAAAGGAAACTCAAATAGAGTTTCCTTCAATAGTTCTTTTTAGGTGAGTTTTAAATTTGATAGTGATACTGGATATTTCAATAATGAAATCATTTTAACCTTTAAGATTGAAGAGAAACTTATAATGAATAAACTCATTAAGTTTAATTAAATAGCAAATAGTTAAAAAATTTAGTTTTTTTTAAGTCCGTTAAATTTTTTTAAACGTTATATTATTCCATTAAATATATTCGAAGGAAACAAAAATATTACATGTTATTTTTATAAAATTCTTTAGGTGGGCGTGGTTGCTAGTACATATATTGAGATAAATAAAAGTTGGTCAAAGCCGAGATATTTAAATCTAATGAATAATTTACTGTGCGGTGTCCCGATGACATTCATGAGAAAGCTTCCCGTGAGCACCTATCTACAATTATCACATCAGGTTTGAATGATTTCATAGTCTAACTAGCGGCTCACCCTCGCTTCGCACGGGTTTGTCGCTAGGTACGTTTTAAATATTTTTTGTTAATAATATTGACAAATATTGACATTAATATTTATACGATACTAACGTCACTCAATTGTTTGCCTTCCCGGAACCTCTCCACTAACACTTAAACTATATGGTATGGTATTTAAGTTCAAATTGACTTTTAAGTATTATCACGAATCTTTTGTATAGGAGTATAGAAAAGTGTTGTTTTTAGACTTTTACAGGCAATTTTTTTAATTTTTCTCTCCGTAAGAACCATCCTCATACTTCAAGGAATATTTAAAAAAAGGAATAAGTGAAATCGTTTCAGCTGCTCTCGAGATTTGCGCTTACCAACACATTCAGCGATTCATTTTTATATTATAGAAAAGATAGATAGCATAAAATATTAGGACGGATGGAGATATTATATTGTACATACGAGTATGTCCTTAGCAGAGCAGGCAGAAAGAACATAGCAGGAACAAAACAGTTCATTCTTCTATATTTTATATAAAATGGGGGGGAACCCCCATTTTCACCCCCTTAAGGGATGATTAATAGGGTAAAAACTATCCTATGTCCTTCCCAGGCTCTCAAACTATCTTCTTACCAATTTCATCTAAATCGGTTCAGTAGTTTCGGAGCCTATTCGGTACCAACAAAAAAACAAATTTTTCCTCTCTATAATATTATATTATAAATATATTAAATTTAATTTCATTTAATAAATTCTCTGTATAGTTTTTGTGTTAAAAGTTTTAATACTTACAATAATATTTTCTAATTATGATTATCTGCAGGTGTTCTATCATATTCGAGCTTGCGATCCACTGCAACGTAGATTTTATCTTGCAATGATGACAAGAACTCAAGTACGTATCGTAGCATATTATAATATAAAGCAGTCAGTTTATATATTATAGTGAATATTAATTTTCAAAGACACTTGAAAAATATATAAATTTCATAAATTCGATCTAAATCATTTTGCAGTAATATTGCCATTAAAATTTACCAGGCACTTGGCAAGTCGTACAGTTGGAATGCCCGAGATGTTTCTAGATTAGGCTTGCTGTTAGCTGAAGTGGATGGAAGAGACCTTAGTTACATCAATCCTAAAGCTATGTCAGGAATAAATGCTCAGGTACTCGTACCATTTATATTTGGATAAGAGGTGTTCAATCTATACTAATATTATAAAGAGGCTAGAGAATTTGTGAGATCGTGAGTTTGTGACGTTGTAAGGGGTAATCTCTAGATCTACTAAACCAATTTAGATGAAATTTAGTAAGAAGATAGATTGAGACCCTGGGAAGGACATAGGATACTTTTTATCCCGGAAATCATCCCTTAAGGGGGTGAAAATTGGGATGAAAGTTTGTATGGGGAATCAACATGTTATAATTTAACATTTCTTATATACTTATTGTGATGTTAGATGATATTGTAAAGCCTTATGGCCTAAGAGCCTGTGAACGCCAGACCTTCGTCATTTTATAAAAGCTGAAAGTTTGTCAGCGCATGCTCCCAACACAGATAAGAACGATGGACCATTATGAAGTTCACGCTATGGTGGCTTTGGCAGGTACACGGTACTAAAAGTGTGTAAAATACCAATCTAAATTAGTCAAATAATAAAGTGTGATTTTTTGGTATTACCTTCAGAATATTATTAAAAATCACGTCATTCAATGCCAGACACTTAACATCGTGGCAAACCCTTGCCAGGCACCCTTTGAAATTTTCTCTATTATCATATGAAAATTTAATGTACAGGTAATGCTTATAATGCCCGCACAAAGCCTTCAATATTTGACTGAAATACAATTACAATATATTGGTCCGAAACCGATGAACATATTAGGTCGAAAATTAAAAGCTTACCAGGATCAACTCCAATTAAACGACATTGGATTGCGGATTTCGTCCAATTTATTAACATACGTGGTTATATTTATTATTGTAATAGAATTCTAATATTTTATTTTATTGTTAGTTTTCTTTAAAATTTATTAAACTCTCTCTCTCTCTCTTTCTCTCTCTTCCTCTTTTTCACTCACTTTCCTTTCAAAGGCCTTTAGGACATGTGCTAAGGTGAATCCATCGTTACATTCTGGGCCATAAGAGTAAATAATAAAATATTTACCAAAAATATTTTCAAAGCAGAATGTAAAAGAGAATTTATTCTCAGAAATAAAAAAAAACATTTGAAAAGAAAAATGTCAGGTTGTCTTGGTGGTAAACTGATTAACTATTTTTCAAATTAACAACTAAAAAATTAAAACAATCAAATTATACCGTATTCACACTTGTAATTATTATAAATTATTTATATTATATTGTTTAAGCAAAGCGAGTGTTGGTAGACGAAACGTATGATGACCGTCTTCATGGTGTATTGTTTGTAGCTAAAAAATAAAAAAAATAAGATTGGTTAAGTCATTTAAAATTGACTTTAAATATTTGTTTTAAGCTCAAAAAATCTGAAATAATTGTTATCGGTCTGTTTATTCTGTTTTAGTATCATAGTCTCATTTCGAAATCTTTAGGTAGGTATTGGTATAGGCTATTTACTCTGTATTTGGGCATATAGAAGAAAAACAATTCCTGATGTATAATTTATTATATTTCGGGAATTGTTTTTCTAACTTAAAAAAATACTTTAACTTAAAAAAATATTAAAAAAAACCGAATTCAAAAAAACACTAAAAAGTAAAAAATAACTGATTGGTAGTTTTCATTTACTATACATACCTAATCAAATATTTTCGAAGTCGGTGTCCTTTGATTTGTATCGGCTGGCATCCAAGTAAACTTTCATCAAAGCTACTTTGTCAAAGCAGATTTTGAGCGTGTCAACGCGGCCTTACCCTCGTCTCGCTCGAATATATGAATACAAGTATACATACGGATGACTGGCTTAGGAGTTAGGACAAACAATGAAAGGATTTTTTTTCTTTTGGACCAGAAACCTTTGCAGGCGTACGTAGCGCAACTGACCAAAGTTTCATCACAACTCGATGAAGTTTAGGAGCACATAGAAGACAAACATAAAAGAAAAATTCTTTTCTATATATATATAGAACAACATATCCAGGGGAAATATGTCGTCGTTGTATTACCTATATAAGTATATTTTTTTTATATTTCTATTTTGCTACATTGTAATGACTTGTTTTAGTTACCAATACATTACACCATTCCGTTTGAGTAAACATGTCGCTGGGACTTTTACACATTATTGTAGGCGCATTTTTCCTTACTTCTTCATTTTCTGAGCACTCCGATACTTTCCCTTTTTTACATTCCTCATCAAAATTGTTTTGTAAACTTGAATCTTCCTGTGTTTCCGTTTTGTCTCCTACTTCACTATTTGGATCACTAGATACTTGAATTTCCTTATCAACCATTTCAAATTTTATGTCACCATTACTAGAAAATATCAAAATTCACTCACAGACTGAGCACGAATTCTCAAAACCTACATTATCTATGAAACTGTGCAGGTGCATAGTATATAGCAAGGTAAGAGACGTCAGTGGAGAATCAGATTTTGCGACAGGGTCGAATCAAAGAGGTTTTTACTTACTGCTAGGGATGTTGGGATGAGCTGTTTTATTTTACTGTCAGTGACATAAAGAGTTTTCTGGTTAAACATTATTAAAGCGAGCGGAACCGCGGACAACGTTTGTCTACAAATATAAACGATTTATAATGGTTACTGATTCTTTTGTGCAAATAAGACTGAAGACTTACCTGCGTTCTTTTTCTTCTACTATAGGAAGCAAAAAGAAAAAATTTGAATGCTCTTTGGTATATCGTTCAGTTAGTATATTGTGTTTACTATCGCATTTGCAACGAATAACCGTAACTTTGTTACCGTCTATTGTGGTACCAAAACTTTTATTATTGTTTGTATCGCATTCTGGAGGTTTCTCGATTTGAGGTACTGCATTATTTTTAAAATTTCTCCCACCTTTACTTAGCATAACATCAATGTTTACTTGCGAAGGTCTATGTGATAGCACCCTTAATTCTGAATTACATTTATTTAAAAAGGTTTTGCTTTGAGCATTAGGGGTTGTATAATCTTTTAAATTTATATTTAAAAATATGTTTAACTTCCCTTCTTTATCCACAAAATCTGTGTTTTGTTCTTGATTTTTTTTCTCAATTAAATTAGTTGTATTTTCATTTTTGTTGGTTGTCACAGCGAAAGTCTCATTTATTTTATTAGAGTTAGATTGAGATATGTCTTCTAATTTGTTCTTTAATTCTAATAAATTTTGATTTTCATCCATAAAGAGTGATTGTGTGTCATTTTCGAGATTCCTGAAGATGTTTGAAACAATATCCGATCTTGGCGAATTGTTATTATTTTTATATTTCATGTTGTCTTTATGTTCCTCATTATTGCTTGATGATACAACACCATTACCGATCTTTCCGACTTCTACTTCACTATTGATCTTCGAATTTTTCTTATCATCTTTTGGCGTTTTTTGTTTTGTTTTGTCTTTACATTGTCGGTTTTTTATTACATGATGAGAAATGGAATTATTCGGTGGAGCTAATTGTCTTATATGATTATTAACTTCAGTTTTATTAATCATAGATGTATCTTTCCTTTTAAATAAAATTGGATCTTTTTTATTTGCTTTGGAACAGCGTGAATTAATTCTCTTAATATCACATTTTTGAATTTCTTTAGAATTTTGCTTATGACTAAGATTTTCTGGAAGATTATTATTTTCTTTTAGAGTCATCATAGACGTTTCGCAATTTGGACATATGTTTTGAACAACCTAAGTTAAGATATATATAAGTGAATTTATATATTAAATAAAGAAAATGTGTAACATGTGTAAAACTAAATAAAAGTGCATACTGTTTTTGAGTTTAAAAAAACTTCATTGTCGGTGGCAGTTGCATCTTTATTCACATTGAGTGCAATTATGCACTCTTTTGTACAATCTTGTATATATTTGTTGTCACCTGGAAATTGTACGTTATTGTATAAATTAGCGAAAATGCCGCAATAAAATAATTGAAAATGGTAATTGTAATGCTTAACCTGTTTTTGCGATTGTATAGTTGCACAATAACTTCTCTTGGCGCTTTTCCCAGGATCTATTGAATCAGTAAATCAAAAGTCAGTCAGAACAAGTTCAGTCAGTTAATTAAGAATATTAATTTTAATTTAGTTTGCTATTATTTAAAAACAAATTACTAAGCAACACTATTACCACATACTTTTACACACACACTATTACCATACACTTTCACAAATGAAAAATATTAATCTGAAATGCTGCCATTTTGATCCAAGCTATATAATACCTTTGAGACAGTTCAGGTGCTAGTACACCTTAGTCTCTCCAGTGACCATGATTGCTGTAAAGCATTCGAAATGTCGGGAACTAAAAATCAAAATAAATTCGCGAAAAAATCAGAAAAGATAGTTTTATTGAAAATTAAAGTTAAACAGATTTCCTATAAATTTGTACGGAATTTAAACGGTTCTCGATGGGCGAGACCGACTCGCACTTGTCCGAAATTTTATATTTACACTAAATTATAGTATTGTTAAACTTAGACTGTAGACTATCAGTAAAAAAATTATAGTGTTTTAATATTTCGAATTTTAATTCATTCAATTTTTTTTATTTCGTGGCTTCGAGGAGTGCCAGTTGGGCACAAATTAATTTAAAAATTTACCTTGACGCTTTAATGAGGTATTTCTCATAACCTGCTGAGATGAACGCATCGGGTGGTTTGACAGCAACATAGGCCGTATCGTTTTTCAGTTCTAGAGGACTGCTAATTTTTTTTCCATCCAAAGTGTATAGTTCTATATTAGATTGCCTAAAATTTGTTTAATGTTATAAATACATATTTAGTATATATTTATTAGTATTATTTTATAGCAATTAAATCGATTTTTAGCTAAAATAAATATGCTCGGTTTTTTGGCGGTATTTTCTGTGTGAGAGCTTTCCCGAATAGCGAAAAAGTATGCAGATAATTCATAGAAAGTAAAGTACCGAACAATGAGTCAATACGATTTCTCTCGCTACACCGAAACTAATCTATACACATAATAAAATTGTAACTAAGCCGAATCTGTACATTAAATATTTTTTGGAAAATCTTTTTATTTATTTATTTATTTATTAGGTTTATTTACAATCACTTACAATAATACACACAATATAAAAAAATACAACTAAAAATTAGGAACTAAATGTAGTGATTACTTACAAATAAACACAGCATGCAGAGAAATAAAGTTTCTTAAAATATTATACAAAATAGATATATTTTAGAAGTAAATAGTTTTTTTTTTATTAATCAATGAGCAGATACACAGTTACATTAATTTAGCAATTATAACATTATTTAAGACTATCAATGCATTTATTTAGGAGTTTGTTGCTAATGGTTTTGCGGAAATTGGCTAAGGAATCAGCAAATATGTCGACATCTATGCTATAAGAATTTAGAGTCTTACATAACCGTGGGACTGGGGAATTGGCACCTAGGATCGTTCGGCGAAGTGGAGGACAAAGTGGAGCAATAGGCTTACGTGGTATTCTTACTGGAACTCTTAGGCTAAATTTATTTAGCAATTTGGGGCAATCAATAAAGCCGTTCAGTAATTTATGAGTAAACAAAATATCCAGAAGTTCCCGACGTTCATACAATGCAGTCATTCGGAAGAAGGCCAACCTTTATTTGTAAGAAGAAATTTTCTTGGCTTTACCGGCACTGAAAACCAGATGCCACAGAAATCGTTTCTGAATACGTTCCAGTCTTAGGATATGCGTAGCGTAGTGAGGACGCCAGACAATTGAACCATACTCCAAGATACTCCTAACCAAACTAAAATAAAGGAGCTTTTTAATTTGTAAACTTTTAAAAATTTTAGTGTTACGTATAACAAATCCGAGCATTTTAGAAGCACGTTTTACTATATTTTCTATATGGGGAAGAAAAGTCATTTTTTTATCGAAAGTTACCCCCAGATCCTTAATAACTTCCAACGTCTCTAAAGCATGTTCTTTTATATAGTATTTATACGTACCGTAACTTAATTTTCGAGTAAATTTTACTTGATAACATTTTTCCTTATTTAAGTTCACACCATTAATTTCACACCATTGCATAAGTCTTTCTAAATCATCTTGAAGAAGCTTACAACCACTCGGGGAATCAATAGTTTTTGAGAATTTTAAATCATCAGCATATATAAACACAGAAGATGCCAGAAAACAATTGGATATGTCGTTAATAAAAATGTTAAACAATACGGGACCTAGATGTGAGCCCTGAGGCACACCAGATGTAATCTGACGTACGTCAGATTGAAAACCATTAACAGCAACAAAGAACGAGCGAGCCTCTAAATATGATTTCAGCCAGATAAGGAGAGATCCAGTAAATCCATATGCTTGTAATTTACATAAAAGAATATCGTGTGGGACAGTATCAAAAGCCTTACTAAAGTCAGTATATATGACATCTACTTCCTTATTTTTATCTATTGCATTGACTATAGTTTCAGTAAAAGATACCAGATTAGTGCATGTGGATCTGGAACCAGAAAATCCATGTTGGTCGGAGGAAAGATAATTTTTCATATGCTTCTGAATTAAAGGATATATAGCGCATTCAAAGACCTTAGCTAACGTAGACAAAATTGAGATAGGTCTGTAGTTACAGATCAGATTAGTACTACCTGCTTTATGAACAGGAACCACCATAGCTGATTTCCATTTATCCGGAAAAGTGCCAGAGACCAGTGATTTATTAAAAATAGAACATAATGGTACAGCTAGAGTTGAAGCACAAGATGCAATAAAATATGGAGATATACCGTCTGGCCCTGCACCCTTATTGGGATCAATATCTTTTAAGATATTTAGTACTTCATCACTAGTAATTGTAGGAACTGTAACAGAAATACTGTTATCATTAAGGTGCCTTATATATGCAGAAGATTCAATTACAGAGATATTAGTTTGCTTGTTAGAATTTAGGGCAAGGGAAAATTATTTTGCAAATAAGTTGCAAATCGAGACGCCTTCGGACGTTTCTGTAACTCCGTCAGTCATATTGGCTGGATATAAGCTCAGACCACCCATTTTTTGTTTAGTAAATGTCCAAAATAACTTACTATTTCTTATAATACTTTGCTCGATATTATTAGTATAGAGATTATAATTCATCCTTGCAAGACGACTAACACGATCACTGACAATTTTTAAAGCTATAGCGTCCATAGGATTATTATATAGCTTATAGCGCCACCTTATAGTATATTTCTCTTTAAGAGACTTAATGAGACTACGACTAAACCAGGGCGGAAACTTATTTTTCCTATGTTTAAGTGTAAATGGCACAAATTTACGAATAGTGTCTTGTAAAATATTATAAAAACACGCCAACATAGTATTTACATCCTTAGCTTCCTTAAATATATCATCCCATTGCTGATCTTGCAAATATTTGTTAATAGAATCATAATCAGCTCTGTGGAAGTTCGGCTTTAGAAGATTTCGCTTATAATCAAGCTTACATTCTTTTGTCAACGATAATACTATTTCTAACGGGGGATGGTAAGGATCAACACTACTTAGTTCATTAAATGATTTGGAAACTTCACAAGCAACATTTGTTAACACTAAGTCTAAGATTTTACCTGTTTCATTGACAACATCATTGGCTTGATTAAGTTTATATAAATAAGTAAAGTCAACCAAATGCTGACCCAAACTTGGAACTATATAGCAAACATTATTTTCCCTGATTAATGACCAATTTACACAACTCAAATTGAAATCACCCACTATGACATTGTTCGAGTTATTTTCACATACAGAATTCCATTTATCTAAACAGTGTTCCACTATGTTGTGATTAACTGGTGGTGGTAAGTATACGGCACACAAGGTTAATCGGTTTTGAGATTTAGATTCAGGAAAATCCAGGGACACCCATATATCCTCACAGTTACTTTCCCAACAATGCATGCGTTTCGATCTAAATTTATTTTTTACAGCTATTAAAACACCCCCACCCTCTTTTCTATTGTAAAAATTACAGTTTTCTCGATCGTCGATCGATTTGAGTATAGAAGCTATGTGTTTTTGTCCGCAAGCCACGGACATTCTGATAGTAAATTTTTAACTTACAGAATTTTATTAAAATAAAAACAGTAATACATGATTTACAAAGATATAAAAAAAATAGAAATAAAAATAACAACAGAAAAATTTAAACAATTTTGTCTAAAAAGCTAGTATCTTTTATCCATATAAAAGCAGACTCATCATTTTTCCGTACATAAATACGGCCATTTCTGACCCATATAAACTTGTATTGCATCTGCTTAGCTTTTAATCTGGTAGCAGCGTGTAGGGATTTATTAGCAGGAGATAGATGTTCAGCAGCGTATATCATAGATTTCACCCCGGGGATTCCAATAAGGCTACTATTTAATTTATTGTTAGGATTCGTTTTATTGTATTTTATGATACCTGCTAACAATTCATCACGCAGTCTAGAATTAGTTAGTTCCACAATAATTGACCTCGGGCGATTTGTATCACGTTGTATCTTGGCTACCCTTGTACAATTTACAATGTGTTTTTCATTAATGTCGCATTTTATAACCTTCCCTATTTCAGTAATAATGTTAATTAGATTTTCATGTTTTTTTTCAGGTACACATTGTAGTTCTATATTTTTAGCTCGGGAATGTTGCTCCAATTGGTTTAATCTAATGTTAAGATTAGAAACTGTTTTTTTTAAGTTCGTGTTTTCCATTTTCAGCGCTTCCAAAGCCTCTTGGGTGTTTTTATGTTCCTTAAGGACTTCCTCAAATTGTTCATTCATGTGTTCCATAGATTTAATCATTTCTGATATTTCATTTTGAATAGGCTTCAGTTTTGTATTCAATGCCTCATTCAGAGTACTATTCAATTTAGACAACATGTCATTAAATTGTGATTGCATTATCTCTTGAACGATGCCACTGACATCTTCACGCGTTAAAAGATCATCACGGCTAACAATCGGAGGGGAATTAACTGCTTGCCTTTTGTTGTCTCTAGTCGTGGTTACATTACGGACAGGAGTATTATCATTTTTTTTTCCTTTTGGAATCTTATTGAAATAAACATTATTATCGATACAGAGGCCGAATCTATAGCTTTTAGAATTTTTGTCTGTCTATCTGTCTGTTACCGCATCACAGAAAAACCACTGCAGGGATTTTGATGAAATTTGGTATAGTCATAGCTGGTTATCCGGCTCAACATATAGGATACTTTTTACCGCGGGAAAATGTCTCATTTCTGAGAAAAAATACAAAAACTGCAATGTAAGAGTATACTAATATGTAAAACGTAAGAATTTGGTTTTTGGTCATCTAAACGCGGGCGGAGCCGCGGGCAATGCTAGTATATCATAAGCGAAGACTGGAAATTCTTCAATTTAATTATGTAAGGACTTACATCGATCCATAGTGGGAATGCGCTAAAAAGCATAATGTAGCGTCCCACAACTTTAGTTCTTCACATCGTAAATGGTATTTCCTTGGTGGAGAGCATTGTTGCCCATTACTAAACAAATATATATCCATTGATTCCCAGTTCCTAGCATCATCTGGAGCTTTTGGTTCGTCCATTTAGTGACTAAATAAAATACTCTTATAATATTTATTAGAAATGCATTCTTAATTGCATATTAAATTTATAAAAATATGTAATCATTTACATTAAAATGCATTTAAATAACTTAAAATTTCACGACAGCAACTTTAAAAATGAAGCTGTCACTTATTGTCAAGAACATTTTTTTTTTTAATTATAAGGAGTACCTACAAGGTAGTTTAGTTTTACGTTCTTCGTGATTCATGAATATTTTGTATATTTGTTTGTTGATATTATTTATTTATTATTTTATTTAAATATAATTTATCATATTTAGGGTTGATTTAAAATCAAATAAAAAGACCAGCTCACACCCTTAATATTGATGTGGTTTAAGGTGAACGGTCGCCACTCCCTTAGGGTGGCAGCACTGACATTAAAATATTATACAAAAGTTTACCCTTAAAATGTTTGGTAAGTGTTGACGATACTGGCCGATAATGGCCAATTAGTGATATCAAATAACTTATTTAAATATCGCTAATTTTACATTATTTAATAACTTTTATTTCGTAAGAATCATTTCTTCATACTGTTTATAGTTTTATTATTTTAAATCTCTTTAATAAAAGACACTGATATTTCGCTATACAGGCAAAAGATGAGAACGGCTTATTATTATCCCAAATTTTCTTAGCAGGAAATCTTTTCAATTCGACGCTTCTAGTTATTGCTGCTATGGCCTCATTTTAAATAACATTTACTTATTATTATTAATATATATATATATATATATATATATTATGACCTGACATTATTTCTATACAAGTTAATTCTGTAATCTTTAAATAAAACTATGATAGATACCTTGGCAATGTGACATGTCATGCGATCCGTAAATACAATTAGGTACGCTGTTAAACCAATAACTACAAGTTGGGTGTTGTGAGTTTAATAAGTTTTTGTTGCTTATAATTTTTGGTTTGAAGCCTTTGCAAATTAATAAATATTTAATAAATAAAGAAAAAAATGTTTTTAATTTTTTTTTATTTTGTTCAAAGAAATTTTATTTTAAAGAAATAATTAAAGATTTTTATCATTTACTAGTGGCTCACCCTCGCTTAGCTCGGGTTCGTCTCTAGAAAAACATAAACAAAACTATCCCACGGGCACCGTACATTTTTTCGGGATAAAAAGTAGTGTATATGCTATTCCAGACTATAATGTATGTCTGTGCCAAATTTCATCCATATCCGTTGAGCCGTTCTGGCATGATTGAGTAACAAGCATCATTAGTACGATAAAAACGATTTTATTTTGGTATCGAGCAAAATTGTGTGGTGCAATTTACCGTGAGCATCCCACATTATGTGGGGTACCTAGCTATTTTAAAATTAATGTTTCTGTTTTAAAATATATTATTATTATTTAGAATTTTATTATATGTATACATATGTATGTATGTATAAGGTCACAATAGGAGCATAGTACTATATCAAAATTGAAATTTAAATGTAAGTTAGAGTAATATTTATAATAATATGTAAAGATTGAAATTCTTTGGCGTTACATAAATCATAGGCTGTAAACAAATGTAATACATATCTTATATCTTTAAATCTTTAAACGAGCAATTCTTGTATATATATATATATATATATATATATATATATATATATATAATCTGAATCTCGGAAAAGGCTCCAACGATTTTCATGAAAATTAGGATCCAAGGGTTTCGGGGGCAATAAATCGATCTATATTAGTCTTATGTCTGAGAAAACGTGTGTTTTCGAGTTTTCATGCAGTTTTCTTTTGCGTTATTCCACTCAAAATATGGTCGGTAATTAGCACGCTCGGGCACAAGCTTCGTGGTCAAGCGGCTATTGTGCAAGATCAACTACCACAGGTGTCCAGGTTCGAATCTCGGTCGCATACAAAGTTTTTACTTTTGTTTTTTTTTATATTTATTCTAGTTTTTAGTTTATTTTAAAAAAGAAAATTGTACTTTAGGGCAAAAACTCCGAGCGAAGCTCGGTAGTCCAGGTACTATTTGTTTAAACGTCGTAAGTAACATCAAAAACGAATTTTTAGATTAGACAAACTAAATTATTTTTTTTGATTGAATTGATTTAAATGGTTACGTAGAAGACAAACTTTTTTCTTTACTAGCTTAAATATATTCGCATAAGTTCTTTTTTGTGTCTCGTAAAGTTTAAAATTTTATAAAGAAACAAAACTTATCCGGCAACGTTGCGCCATAACTAATAAATCGATTTTAATCTCGAAAGCTATATCGGTATTCCATAGTTCTAGGAAACGTGAGGTTTTAGTAAACTTTCGAGACAAACATGCCGTAATTTTAAAGTTGAGACGCATCGATACAGTATCTCAATTTCAGATACACTGACTTCGAAATCACTTTAAAATTATTAATTATTCCATCCTTAGATGTGGATTATTCTCGAAATTTATTTGAGGGTCCCAAAAAATGTTACGTATTTTCTTTAAAATAAGTAGGTATTATTAAATTTAAAAATTAAATGCGAAAGTGTGTTTTATGACAGTTAGCTTGACTTTCTTTCACACATACGAGAGTGATAATATAATAACAGTCAAGGATTATCAGATGAATGTAATTTTTGTTAATGCCTCTAGGAATAGTAAAAAATGAAGCTAATTAACTAAGTACTTAGCAATAAAATTATAGAATTGTATTTTTTAAATACATATATAAATATGTATACTTATAACAATTATGTCTCCTAAGTTATAAAAATACATGAATTTAATATTTTGAATTTATACACTATTGACTTACCCTTGCTTCTGTGGTCTAACTACCTCGGTGGTCTATTTACTAACATGTACGGCTGCATATTCGGAAGTCCTGGATTTGAGTCCCGGATCGGGCCAAGTTTAATTGTTGATTCTCTCTGTTAAGACCGTCAACAGCCCGGCGTTGGGAAGTTGGCGGTTTTATACTCTGTACTTCAGAGAGCACGTTAAGTCGGTCGGTAGTTCATGCGCTTGATCTCTCACCGGTCGAGTCGTGTCAAAATGTCATTCCATCGGAATGTGAGTGAAAGAAATAGAGTGCAATTTTGTCTGTGTGTACACTTGTGCATTATAGCTTCTCATCTCCAGTCCAGTCTTAGTGTCGCCAAATACCCTGTTCATCGGTATTAGACGAATATAACATGAGACGTAGATACAACACATATCATAATAATTATATGTATGTAACTGTTAAACATATGATTTACTGATTGCTGGTAATGAACATATACTGATTTAATGTACGAGGGTCTGGTCCCTCGCTAGTGGCCTCCAACCTCCCCTATAGCCACCCCGAGCCTCGCTAAACTGATAACTGTTCTGATATACTGATTTAACTGATCTCACATCACTGGTCTGATTTATCTGATAACATGTTAACACATGTCTATACTGAATCGAATACTCTGAATCTGATTTCTGATCAAGCAATCTGCTCACACGCAATAACATTGAATATTCACAAACTGGTAAAATAAATCCACTTACTTGAGAACACACGGTGTTACGCCTGATCTGCCTCGCTCGCGTCTTGACCGCGTCTGTGTCAAATCTCAATCTATCCTATCGAACTCTTTTCGTACTACCGTCACGTTAATGACAAATAATAATTTGAATGATTAAACATTTATTTCGCGATTACCCTACGGTATTCGCGACACTCCCCGCCAAAAGGAAAATAAAATTGCTCTGATTTAACTCATTACAATTAGTCTTTAATTTTCATAAACTGATTACAAATCTTAACAGAAACAACAATCATCTGATTTAAAAGATCTGAATAAATTATAATTTATCAAATAAAATTAACATAAGTTGAGAAGTCCATTTTTTAACTCTGTCCCTGGCTTTCGTAGCTGACACTCTGCTTGGTCGTTTGGAATTACTGGGCGCTGAATTTTTAATTTCACTGGTTGCTATTTTACTTATTACAGGTTGTTCTAACTGATTTGCCTGTATTGATTCCCTTTCAGGAACTGATACTGAATTCATGTTATCTTCAACTTCAAGAGGATATAGATGACTTATTGATCGAGTCAACGTTTCTCCTGTCATTGTATTAATTTTTGCAACTCTGATATGTCCATCCGAACCCTTAATAAGCTCTTTTATCTTGCCAACTTTCCAGTTCACTCTACTACCTTCTGCTTTTATCTGAACTATTTCACCGACCCTCGGTACCCTGTCAACTACAACTCTTGCTTGTCTATGTCTGTTTCTTCGTTCACGAAGACTACATAAATATTGATTACTAAACATTTTCACAAACTCCTGAATAATAATCTGACCACGTTTCCAAGTATCAATTAGGTTATATTTAGTAACTGAAGATGGCTCTAGAAGGTCACGATCCGATATCTCGGTCGTAGTTGTTCCTCCGATTCGTAAAAAATCTGATGGCGTTAAGACATGCTCTAGTTCAGCTCCTACTGGTGTCAAGGGCCTAGTATTAATGATCGCTTCAATTTCTTTTATAACTGTACACAACTGATTAAAGTTAAGCGAATGTTTGTCCACCGTTCTTTTAAGACAATGCTTTACTAAGCCTATTAAACGTTCATAAAAGCCCCCAAACCAAGGAGCTAATTCAGGTATAAATTTCCAACGTATCTTATTCAAGATACAATAATCAGACGACAATACCTCTGCCGTAAGTTTGAACTGTGTGGCGTTATCGGAAATGATAAGTTTGGGTAAACCTCGTACTGCAACAAATCTTCTGATTGCTAATAGACATTCTTCTGCTGATAAATCTCTAACAATTTCCATATGTATTGCTCTGATCGTCAAACATGTAAATAAACACACCCAACATTTCTCCTTACTGTCATTTATTACATAAAGCGGCCCAAAATAATCCATTCCCGTAAATGTAAAAGGTAAATTAAACTTAACTCTTTCTGATGGCAAATCGGGCATCGCTGGTAATTTAAATGGACCACCTCCGTATTTTAAGCAATTTCGGCATTTTCTAAGAATCTTTTGTACGGTTGATCTACCATGAGGAACCCAGAATGTTTTTCTAAGTAAAGCCAATGTATGAGATACTCCAACATGATAGTTTTTCTCGTGTAAATCAGCTATTATTTTATGTGTAAATTCTGAATTTTTTGGAAGTAATATAGGTTCTTTATGACAATGAGTCCAATCAGTATGTTTAAATCTACCTTTACATCTCAATATCCCATTGACATCTTTATATAGGCCAAGTGATCTTGCAAAATTAGATACAATACCTTTCGTTTCTTCCGGAAAATATTGAGCTTGTACTTTCAAAATAATTTCTAAATCACTGTCACTATCGCTAATTGGTTCTTTATCTAATTCGGTTGTACTTGTCATATCTAAATTATTTATATTACTTTCATTCTCAACTAAAGTGCTTTTATTATTTGTATTCTCATTCGAGAGACCCTCCCCGACAGAAGAGATTTGCGTTTCCACTTGATATACACAATTATTAAACATAGAAAACCAATTTTCAGAGTTATCTAGTAAAAAGTCTGGACCTTTGAGCCACCTATCATAATGATCTATCCGGTCAGATCTCGTACCTATGTCTGCTGGATTGTATTGACCAGGTATATACCTAAGAATTAAAGTTTTATTTTGCTTGATTTCATTAATCCTCCGCGACACAAAAGGCAAAAGAAGCTTACTAGAATGGTACCAACCTAAAACTATTTGACTATCGGTCCACAAAACCTGCGCCTTTAAACTTAACCTTAAATTTTTATTTACGTACTGTAATAGTCTATTTCCAATAAGTGCTCCAAGCAATTCTAGTTTTGGAATCTGTAAATTAACTTGCTCTTTAATAGGTACTAATCTACACTTGCCAATAATAAAAGTGACAATATTACTAGTACCCCAAGAACTACGTAAATATATACATGCAGCGTATGCTTCCGTAGAAGCATCAGTAAAGCAATGTAATTCATGTCTCATTTTTTCACTAGCCCTGGTGTTACCTATACTTTTTAAGAAATATCTGTCAATGCTGATATTTTTAAGATAACTAAACTTCGATATTATTTGCTTCCACTCATTAAGTAAATTACTATTAATCTTAGTATCCCATAAAATCTTTTGTTTCCATAACTTCTGGAAAAATAATTTAGCTGGAAGCACTATTGGAACAGCATAACCACAAGGATCATAAACCGAAGCAATTACTTTTAAAATACTTCGTTTTGTGTAAACTGAATCTAAATCTGTTTGACTAATATCATATTTCAATAATAATTTATCATCCCTCGTATTCCATATTAAACCTAAAACTTTAACTGCCTCAATATCTCTACAAAATTTATCAGGTATACGTGAAAGAAAATCTTTTGAATTTGAATTCCACTCCCTTAAGTTCATAGACAAATCGTTAAAGGCTAATTTAGACGTGTTGTATATGTTTTGTGCCTCTAAAACCGATTTAGCACCAGTTATAATATTATCTACATAAATATCGTCGGCTATCTGGTTTAAAATTGAGTTATTAGATTTCATTAAATGGTATTTTATTGTAGCATTAAGGAGAAATGGACTAGAAATAACTCCAAAAGGTACTCGACAGAATCTTAAAGTTAATATATTTTCTTTGTTAACTGAATCATTGATATTTTTCAGCCAAAGAAAGCGCGTCACGTCTTTATCTGGTTCTTGAAGGCCTAGTTGTAAAAATGCTTTTTCAACGTCTGCTATAATGCCAATCGCATGTTCTCTAAATTTAATCAATAACGCAGTAAGATCTTCTAGCATTAAGGGACCTTTATATAAGCATTCGTTCAAACTTTTATTTCCTATTGTTTTGGCTGACGCATCATATACAATACTGTTGGCAACCTCAAGTTAGAGGTGCCATCTATTTCCGAATAAAGTTAAACGTCATAGATGACAGCGCCATGGAAACAAAGCTGTCATCCCCCACTTTGATTACGTTGGCAACCTCAAGTTAGAGGTGCCATCTATTTCCGAATAAAGTTAAACGTCATAGATGACAGCGCCATGGAAACAAAGCTGTCATCCCCCACTTTGATTACGTTACCTTTAAATACGGCTTCTCTCGCTAAGAACGATTCATTCCTGTGCAAGTGAAGTTATGGTGTATAAGTGTCAGTGTAATATAATCAGTGAAGTGCAGTGATTAAGTGAATTATTAGATAAATTTATGAAATATATAACAAGTGAATAGTGATTATAATATGTGGTGTAAATGAGAAAGTTGGAAATAAATAATGTGTAATAGCTATTGAGTGTTTATATATATACCGTCGTTTTACATCAGAAGAGGGAAGTGAACTATGGGAGGACGAAAATCACGCCGTAAGAGGGTTCGCTCACGATCCTCTTCTAGCAGTTCTAGTACTGCCACGCCGCCACCGCCACGGGCAAAAAAGGTACCACGTAAAGCTGATGCCAGAACTGTGAGTACTACTAATGCCATTACTTTGAACAACATTATCCCGGAGTTCGACCCGTTAAAAGATGACATTAATGCATGGCTTAGTATTATCGAAACATATGCTGTAACATTTGCTTGGTCCGATGAGATGATCCGTTACCAGGCTTTAAATAAATTAAATGGCTCGGCTAAACTATGGTACGACTCCTTAGTACGCACGGTTAGAGAATGGCCATCATGGAAATGGAATCAATGGAAATTGAAATTAGCCTCTAGTTTTCAAATAAATAGGAATATGTTTGAACTGTTAAAAGAGTTAATTAATAAGAAACCACTTGAGAATCAATCTTTATATGAATTTTATTTTGAACAAAAATGTAAGATAGATAAACTGCATTTGAACTTTTCAGAAAAAGATATAATTTCGATAATCGTAGGTAATATTGCAGATAGTAATATTGGAGCCACCATAGAGGCTAGTAATTTTAGTACTTGCGATAGCCTGGCCAGTTTCTTACATAGTCGCATTTATAAAAAGATTTCTAAGCAGAATAGCAGTTATGATAGTTCATCTCGAGTTAATAATAACAAGGAACAGATTATTGAAAAACCATCTCCGTCTACGGATTCTAAGAGACCGGATCAGCTAAATAATACACAAACTAATTTTATTCGAAAACCCACCAAATGTTATATTTGTGGGGGAAATCATAAACGTCATCAATGCGATGCGAATAAATGCGATTTCTGTGGTAAAAGAGGACATTTAGAAACTGTGTGTTTTAAGAAAAATGCCGTAAAACCCGAAAAACAGGAAACTAAATTCATTTCGACATTAAATTCACGGGATAAATTCATTAAACACGTATTTATAAACAATTTTACCCATGAAGCATTCATTGACACTGGAAGTAGTTGTTCTTTAATCTCATAATTTTTAATAATAAAACATTCATTAGAGAAAATTCCGTTACCTACACCAGTTTTGCTACAAGGATTTTCTGAAGAAGGCTCTAAATCAGTTAAATTTAAAGTCAAAGTTAACATGAAAATTGATTCTGTTCAATTATTTGACGTCGACTTATATATTATTGATAAGATTGTTGGTTGCGATATTCTTATCGGTAGAAATATTACCGAACGGAAAGACTTGATGTATTCACGAATTGGTAACGAATTAAGATTTGATTATGCTGAATTTTGTCTTAATCTAAATGAACTTCAATTAAAGGCAGATGCCCCCCATTACAAACAATTAGTAGAATTATTTACGACATATAGAGATTGTATAGCAACTAATATAAAAGAATTAGGAAGAGTAATCAATCATGAGATGGTGATTAATTTAATTAATACACAACCAATACAATGCAGGCCCTTCAGGTCACCCAACGCTAATAGAAAAATAATACGTGATATAGTAGCGGAACTACAATCATATGGCATAATTCGCGATAGCAAATCACCTTATGCAAGCCCAGCTTTACTTGTAGACAAAAAGAATGGAGAGAAAAGGCTTTGTATTGACTATCGTTTATTAAATAAAATAACTGTTAAAGATAAATACCCTATGCCACGTATTGAAGACTTAATAGACAGACTTCAAGGCTATAAATATTTTACTAGCTTAGACTTGAAAAGTGGATATTATCAAATAAGTATGCACAAAGACTCTATAGAAAAAACTGCATTTATTACAGAGGATGGTCATTATGAGTTTTTAAGGCTCCCATTTGGTTTGGTAAATGCACCATCGTGTTTTCAACAAATGATGAATAAAGTTCTGGGAAATTTACGTTTTGGTAAAGTAATCGTTTATCTGGATGATGTTTACGTAATAAGTGAAACAGTAGAAGAAAATTTATTGTTATTAGAACAAATTTTAAAGATATTTCGTGAAAATGGTCTAACATTGAACTTAAAGAAATGTCATTTCTTTAAAACGGAAATCGAATTCCTTGGATATAAAATAAGACCTAATTGTGTCATGCCAAATGAATCAAAAATAGAAGCTGTACAAAATTTTCCTGTTCCTAAAACAGTCCATCAAGTTCGACAATTTCTTGGCCTTATCAGTTATTTTCGCAAATTTATAAAGAATTGTGCGTTAATTTCAATTCCCCTAACTAGATTACTAAAGAAAGACATAGCGTGGTCATGGGGGAAACCTCATCAGGAGGCCTTCGAATTATTAAAAAGTAAGCTTACTTCTCAGAGTATACTAACAATTTTTGACCCAAGTAAACAAATTATTTTATATACAGATGCAAGTAGAGATGGCATTGCCAGTATTTTAATGCAAGTAACAGACGGAGGCGAAAAACCAGTTCACTATTATAGTAGACAAACCTCCGAAGACGAAAAGAAATACCATTCATTTGAATTGGAATTGCTAGCTATAGTGTGCTCATTACAGAAGTTTAGATTATATTTATTAGGCACAACGTTTAAAATCGTTACGGATTGTAATTCTGTTAAATTTGCCTTAACTAAAAAGGAAATAATTCCTCGTATTGCTCGTTGGGTACTATCAACTCAAGAATATTCTTTTGAAATAATACATAAAGAGGGCACACGAATGCAACATGTGGATGCCCTCAGTAGAAATCCGGTTCATGCCGGTGAAAAATCAGAAGCTGAGATATTGCTGTCAATAACTGAAGCAGATTGGTTATTGTCTGTACAGTTACAAGACCCCGAGATTACTAAGATTAAAAATATATTAGAATCAGGAGAGGCCGACAATAACAAAACTATATTTAACGAATATGAACTGTTGGGAAATAAGGTTTATAAAAGAACATGTTGTGGTCGCCATTGGGTTGTACCAAAAAAATGTATTTGGCAGATTATAAAATGTAATCACGATGATATAGGGCATTTTGCCCTCGATAAAACTCTTGAAAGGATAAGAAATCATTATTGGTTCCCCCGAATGCGTCATGTTGTTAAAAAATACATTAAAAATTGCATAAATTGTATATATTTTAAAAATAAAGGTGGTCCAAAAGAAGGACAATTATATCCTCTGCCTAAATATGCGCAACCGTTTCATACAATTCATATTGACCACATAGGTCCATTCGTATTAACAAAACATAAAAATCGATATCTTCTCGTTATTGTTGATGCATTTACTAAGTTCATTTTTATTTCACCGGTACCGTCAACAGAAACAAGTAATGTAATTAAGGAATTAGACAATATTTCAAAAATATTTGGAAACCCCAAAAGAATTATTTCTGATGCAGGCACATGCTTTACTTCGAACAATTTTAAAAAATATTGCAATACTAAAAACATACATTTACATACAGTGGCTACCGGAATGCCTCGCTCAAATGGACAGGTAAAAAGATTTAATAAAACTATCCTAGAAGCCATGAGAACGATAGGTGCGAATACAACAGATGACAATTGGGATCAATATGTTAAAGTATTACAGCAGGGTTTAAACAGTACTATACATAAGTCAATAAAAGCTGTGCCATCAGAAGTATTCTTAGGATACAGGTTACGTACAGACAGTGACGGTTTAGCTCCTAATTTAGACAACGAAAATATAACAGATATAACAGCATTACGTAAAACTGTTGAGGAGAATATTAAAAGCAGTGCACAATATAATAAAGATAGATTTGATAAACCAAGAACGAAAGCAAAAATATATAAAGAAGGTAGTTTAGTTTTGATTAAAATACCAAGTCAAAGTAATGAGGGTCAAAGCAGAAAACTATTGCCAATTTACAAGGGACCATTTAAAGTAAAAAAAGTATTAGGTCACGATAGATATGAAGTAGTGGATTTAAGAGGTAGCGAGAGGAGTCAAAAGCCTTATACGGGTGTGGTAGCCGCTGAAAATATGAAGGCTTGGATTTGCATAGACGATTGGGACACTGAATAAAATATTAATTTTGTTTATAAATTTGTACTCCGTGTTGGCAAGGTATGTGGTATTATACTATCTTTTCCTTATTATCTATGTTCAGCGAGTCCAAATCTAAACTTTAAAAATATTTTATAGCTTATAGCGTGCTTAGTGTAACAGTCATAGGATTCAAAACTTAGCTTGGAAAACTTAAGTGTGATAGTGATCCTTTAAGTACAAGCGGTTTTGAATGAAAGACAAGCCTGGTTCGCTAAGTGTGAAAGTGTTCCTTTAGGTGCAGGTAGTTAGTCTTGCGAAATCATCCTTTTTCTGTTGCACTAAAGCCATATGCTAAGACTAATTATTATTTATTAACCTTTGTTTGTGTAAAGACGAACCTGGTACACTTACAAAGTTTCTCTAAGTGCAGGTGGTCTTTAGAACATTCCATTGGTATTCAGCAATATAGCTGATCTCGAATGATCATTGTCATCATTGTCATTCTCTTTACTACAAATAAATAATAATATATGTACTTAAATATTTTCAGTGTTTAGATTCCGACTCGTGGGGTGCCTGGGACAGACACCGTGCAGCATGGCCTTGTTGGCAACCTCAAGTTAGAGGTGCCATCTATTTCCGAATAAAGTTAAACGTCATAGATGACAGCGCCATGGAAACAAAGCTGTCATCCCCCACTTTGATTACGTTACCTTTAAATACGGCTTCTCTCGCTAAGAACGATTCATTCCTGTGCAAGTGAAGTTATGGTGTATAAGTGTCAGTGTAATATAATCAGTGAAGTGCAGTGATTAAGTGAATTATTAGATAAATTTATGAAATATATAACAAGTGAATAGTGATTATAATATGTGGTGTAAATGAGAAAGTTGGAAATAAATAATGTGTAATAGCTATTGAGTGTTTATATATATACCGTCGTTTACAATACGAAGCTTATTGAGTTTATCTCGATTAAAAACATAATGATGTGGTAGATAGTGCACAGGATGACTCAGTGAAAAGGAAGCGTTTTTGACTATCTCTATTACACCATTCTGTAATTGTTCTGAATGACTTTATCATATGACTTTATAGTTAAATTATCTAAACGTTTCAATAAATTACTTAGACGACCATAAGCTAAGCCTAGATTATTAGGTAAATTAGGAGGATATTCGGCCCAAGGCCATTTAACGTAATATCTATTGCCTTTGTACTGAATAGTTTTATTAAATTGTTTAATCGCTTCCTCATCACGAGAACATTTTGGAGAATCTACTATTCCTATCGATTCTAGATCCCATAACCTTTTAACATCGTCTGTCTTTAATGGAAGATCCGGTTTATGTAATTTACTATCATAAATTCCTGCTGATTGAAAATAAGTTAAAACTGATAATTGATCTACCGTATTTGTTTCGTTTACTCTACCTGACCATACCCACTCAAAATCTGAACTTACCATGAAAAGATTATCAGAAATACATAACTTTTCATTCGATATAAATGTATGATAATAATCATTACCTATTAAAATGTCTATTTTATCTCCATAAGAACCATCATCTGCTAAAATGAGTTTGTTTAATCTACTGTCTTGTAATAATTTCACTGAATTATTAAATACTGGCGCTTGTACGGAATTAGTAATATGAGGTACTACATTCGCGTATATAGATCGCTTTACACCGATTCGCGTCTTAATTATAAAATTAACTACACGACTTTTTATATATTGTGGAGATTTCGTACCAAATGTAAAAATAGACAAATCTACATTTTCTATAGTGGGCAGGTTTAAATGATTTGCAATTGATGATGTTATATATGAACGTTGGCTACCAGAATCAAGTAATAATCTACAAGTTTTCTCTTTAGGCTTGTCACTCAAATCACTAACATTAACAAGGCAAGTCTGAAGTAAAGTGGTTGTTACTGCAGAACTAATATGCAGACTATCAGTTTGCGATGATTTCATTAGCGGGGCTGATCTATTGGGACATAAAGCACGATTATGGAGCCCAAATTTATTACAATGCCTACACTTTCGTTTAGAAAAGCAATTCTTAGATTTATGTCCTCCACCAAAGCAATTATAACAACGATTGCCTAAATATGATTTTCTATCTTGTACAGTTTTAAAATTAGTACACTCGTCATTAAAATGATCTTGTTTACAGAATACACATCTTTTTATGAACTTCTTTTTAGGTGGCTCATCGGTTTGATTAACTAGATCACGGGTTCGTTTTCGTGAGAATAATTTAAATTTATCATTAAATTTATGTCCTACCCTAGGTCTTTCCCTATTTGTAGTCATAAAACGATTTTTATTACTTCTATTGTCTTCAGTCCTTACATGTAATGAACCTAATGTAAATTGCTCTGCGTTTAGCCTGTTTTCACTGTTAATACCTTCTATGCATGAACTTTCTATTTCTCTTTTTAATCTGTTGGACGTTTCTCTTGCAGATATTATATACTCTAAATACTTTCTTATAACATCAATAGATTCATTTTCGTCAGTCATTTTTAACCGTAACTCATAAATAAGATCTTCTGGAAATTTCTCTATAATCATTACTCGAAGATGGTTATGATTAACATCTTCGCCCAAAGAGCTAAGAACCCTTAGATGCCTTTCAATCTCATTTAATACCTGTCTACACTCTTTTACTGCTTTACTTGCTGATTTAATTCTATATAATGCAACATAATGAGCATCAATAATAACGCTTGGTTTTCCATATCGTTCTTTTAATGTTTTAACCGCTATTTGATAATTTTTATTAGTTGTATCTAATCCTTCAATTGCCTGTTTAGCGTCACCTTCTAGAGCCGATTGTAAATATAATAACTTATCAACATCACTTATATTCCTATTATCAACGTTTGATGAAAATTGATCCCAAAATTGATACCACTTAAGTACATTACCATCGAATTTTGCTAGTTCCATCCGCGGTAACTTACTGACTATATTTTGATTATCATCGGACTGTGGTACTTTTGTTCTATACCTATTGTTTAGACAAACATTTATTTCTGCTATCAAATCTTGAGCCTTAATTTGTGTCGCTGTGTATTGACTAATTTCTTCTAAGTTGGATTCATTAACTGATTTACAATAATTATGAATTTTTATAACAAATCTATCAACTGCTCCCTTTAATTTAGATTCAATTAACTGTAATTCATTTAAATTAAAATCACTGTCCATTACTCGTGTATACGCACATTGAGCTGAATCTATATACGTAAGAAGAGATTCATGAATAATTCTAAGTCGGGTTCGGATGACTTCTTCCATTATGAATACAGTATTTAAAATTCAGTATCAATAATCATATTATATTGGAAACTGTAACAAGACACAAAATAATACTAAATAAATAGCTCACAAAATCCTAGCGTAGTTAAATATTAGCCAGTTTTCATATTTATTATAAATTAAATTATATGAATAATTTTATATTTCATTTATCATGTTTTATTTTATTTACAGTTTTATTCGACTTTTTTTTTGCTCAATAGTGTAAACTTTGAGAAACACTAACTTTTTTACTACGAGTACTGTTTAATTTATGTAATCAAAAAAAATCATGAATATTTTTTTTTTTTTTTAATCTTTAATATTTAAAGGTCTTTGAATCTCTTGAGATTATGCCAGACCTATCGTATCACAAAAACATATATTCATCTACATAGCTGTTGCTTCCTTAAATATTTTTATCATTTCATTAAAAACTAATTTAGCTTGTTCTGTTACAGGAGTAGCAAGTATGCTATGAAATCTACCAACATCTTTAACATTAAAATTAAAATTTTTAATCAAATTATTTCGCAAGGCTTCGCTTCGGGTACACTCCACTAAAATATGTTGTACATCTTCTATGATGTCACAAGTACGACAATTAGCTGATAATGTTTTTTTTCATTAAAAACTTAAACTTATTCAGGGGTATATGCCCAGACCGAAGCCTATGCGCCATTACAATTACTTCCCTACGCATTTTACAATCTATAAACCAAGGTGTAGGACGAGGTTGTTTTTGTATAGTACTGTACCAGATTCCTTTAACCTTTGAGACTTCACTAAAGTATTTGATCCAATTATTAAAGATATCAATTTTACATTTAATCAAAATTTCTGTAAAATCCGGTACAATATATATTTCAGATCCAGTCGAAATTGCCTCTTTAGCTATTCTATCGGCTTCCTCATTCCCACTTAGTCCAATATGCGCCGGTACCCATTGCAATCTGACAGTCAGTCCGTTATTAGTGAGAAGTAAAATTTTTCTCATAATTGCATAGGCTATCGATACACCTCTTTGACCAGAGGCGCATCGAGCCAAATGCTGCAGCGCACATTTGCTATCTGATAGAATAACTATATTTTTAGTTTCAATGTTATTATCAATATATGTTAATGCCTCTGAGATTGCAAGGAGTTCAGCGGACATAATTGTCACATTTGATGTAATTTTATATTTCTGTTTCACATTGTGACCAGGATCATAAAAAGCTGCTCCTAAACCGTTTGTTGTTTTCGACCCATCAGTATATAATTTATACCACCCTTCATATTTAACAGCAAGCATATTAAGTGTACAGTATTTTAACATAGTATTCATGGTATTATACTTAGAGCCAGTAAAGCCTTCTATTTCAGTAGATATAATGTTTATATCTATGTTAGTTTCCGAGGTATTCGAAACACAAGACTTAATTCTCTCCTCTTTGAGTGAGTTATATACATTTGCAAGTAATGGTTTCTTCTTTTTCTGCCAATAACGGTTTTGACATAACTGAGTCAACTCTTTCAATAAAATAATGGTACTGTCTGTGTATGAGGTCATGGATTTAAGACAGTATTTACTAGCCAAGAAATGACGTCTAATATTAAGTGGAGGGATACTGAGTTCACATTCCATGACGTGAATAGGTGTAGTTTTAATAAATCCACCTATGATACGTAAGGCAGAATTCTGTACACGGTCTAGTTTTAATAAGTGTGTCTTGGCCGCACTATCATATAAAAAGCTACCATAATCCATTCTGCTGCGAATCAATGCAAAATACAATCGACGTAAATGTTTCGGATGAACTCCCCATGAGCTTCCTGCTAATATTTTCAATAAATTTAATGTTTTCATAGTTTTTTCTCTAATTTCATTAATATGTTTATTCCAAAGTAATGATTTATCAATCCACATTCCTAAATATTCAAAGCAATCAACATTCTCAATATTACAATTATTAATTTTAAGGGGAACATGATCAATTTTTCTCCTTCGAGTAAAAGTACAACATTTAGTTTTCGCAGGTGAGACATCCAAACCGATTTGTTTCAATTTAATCACTACATTATTGAGACTAGTCTGTAACTCCGCGTTACCACTAATGAAGTTTTTATTTTGTATATAAAAAACAAAATCATCGGCATATTGCAAAATATTTACATTATTTATTCCAATGCATATCTGAGAAGTAACTATATTAAAAAGAAGAGGAGAAATTGGGTCTCCCTGAGCTAAGCCCCTATTAGTCCACCTAATTAGAGGTTGTCCACTATCACTAGTAATCTTAAGATATCTTCTACTCAAAAAGTGCCACAAATAACTACAAATTTTGACTCCAACATTTAGGTTATCTAAGATTAGAATAAGTTGCTCAACAGAAACATTATTATAGGCATTTTCGATATCTAGGAAACAAGCAAGTGTGGGGATATTTTTTGTCATTCCTATCTGTATATATGATACAAGTCGTACCAAACAGTCCACACATGATTGTCCCTTTCGAAAACCGATAGTTGATGATGATATCACCTTCTTCTGTTCTATAAAATACTCCAATCTTCTTTTCAACATTATATGATATATTTTACATATGCATGAAATTAGAGAAATAGGTCTCAACTTTGGAGAATTATTAGAATTGGTGTTATGTTTTGGTATAGGTACTATTTTAATACTACGCTACTGTTCGGGAACACGAGATTGACTAAATATTAGGTTATACATTCGAAGCAAAAATGATTTACCTTCATTGGGTAAGTTGTATATCATACTGTAAGTAATATTATCATCCCCTGGAGCAGTATCCTTTTTCTTGAGACAATTTTGTAATTCTTCTAATGAAAAATCCTGCTGCAATGCTTCATTGTCCGAATGAAGTGTGGGTTGCGGGTATTCTGCATAATCTGGAGTCAGAGAATGTAAAAGGTCTTTTTTCATACTTTCAGTTATTTGAGAATACTTCGGTTTTACTCCTTTCATCCAACACATTTTGTTCCACATAGTAGGAATGTCCGTAACTTCATCGATTTGTGTACAAAAACCTTGCCAATCATTAGTTCTAGCACGTCGAGTTAATCGTTGAGCATCTGCTATTTTTGATGTAAGTTTATCAAAATTGTTAGGGATAGGATTACGTCGAAATTTTTTTAAAGCCAAACGTCGTTCTGCTATAGCTCGAGACAATGAAGAATCCCAATATGTTTTTGGTTGAAATACCTGACTAGGATTAGTACATATTTTTTTAAAAGGTATACTTTGATCTCCGGCTTTGTTTATTTCGTCTATAAAATAATCATACATTTCTTGAACGTTGTTATATTCAGTGGGGTAACCAAGACTATTTTTCAATAAATTTTGATATTCTTGCCAATTTGCAAATTTGTAATTTCGACATTTAGTAAACGTTACATTACTTTGAAATTCCAAGGAGAACTTAATGATTAAATGATCACTACCTAAATTTTCATTTGTAGTTTCCCACTTAAAATGAACTGCAATATCAGATGTGACGAAGGTGATATCTGGCGAAGATGTCTGTAAAATATTGTTAACAAATTTAATTCTTGTGTGATTCCCATTATTAAGTGATATAAAATTAAAGTCTAATAATGCATCGTAGATTTGAAACCCTCTCGTGTTTTGTTTTCATGACCAATTAGAATGGTGCCCGTTAAAGTCACCTGCTACTATGGATTTACATGAAAATTTAGAAAATAGTTGATCCCAGTCACATTGTGATGTTTGAACAGAAGGTGGACAGTATATTGATGTTATAAATTCTAAGTATTTACAATTAAAAATTTTTATTGACACAATTTCAATTCCCGGATTTCTTAATTCTACAGGATTACTACAACTTTTAATAGATTTATGAACTACAATAGCCACACCTCCATATGCATTACATCTATCACTTCTGTAGATAGTATAGTCTTTGAAATGTAAGGATATATCAGGATGCAACCATGTTTCACTCAGGATACAGATATGAATTTTTTCCCTATTTAGTAACAACTCGAAATCTTGTTTTTTCTGCCTTAAACTCTGCGCATTCCATTGACAAATGTTAATAGCATATTTCTTTAAATTACCGTTATCCATTGTATAATGCATTCAAAATTTTATTCATAAACTCTCCATCAGTAAAAGTCTTCTGAATAATGAGTTTTATCCATTCGAATAGAAATTTCACACTTAAGATGATTTTTTCTTCGACCGACTTACCAGATAATACAATATCTTTAAGTTTTGTTATTAGGGTTACAAAATTATTATTATTTTTTGTTTCACTCCTACTTTTATTCCTATCCTCGCTTTTCTTTTCTATTTCTTGATTTTCACTTTCTTCGATATGATTTACTACATTTTGTTGTTTTTGTGTTTTCTTATTTTTGTTGTTTTTCTTCTTCTTTCTATATTGTGTAGTATTTTCATTTGATTGAAAAGCATTCTCTTCCAGAGTGTCATAGGTTTTATTTTCTTCATTTACAAATAGATCTACTCCTCTTTCATGATGTGTTATACATGTTTCACCTACTATACTTTCTTGGCTAGACAATACTTCTTCTAGCATATCATTATTATTGGGTACTGATATTTCAGGATCGTTATTTTCATTGGCATATAATATAAGCGCTTTTTATAAGTACAATTTTCCTTGCTCATGATGCTACGAATTTTCTTTTCTTTGAAAAAAATTGGACATCTCTTATAGAAAGATATATGATTACCTTTGCAGTTTATACATTTAAAGATAGTAGTATCACAATTATCATGCTTTTCACCACATTTGGGACACACCTTATGCTTTTTTGGGCAATTTTTTGCTAGGTGACCATATTTCCAACAGTTGGAACATTGTGTCACTGGGAAAATATAAGGCTCCACTTTAAACCTGCCACCATAACCGTATACATATTCAGGTAACGTAACACTCTTAAAGCAGAAGCGTACAGTTTCACTATCAATCCACTCTCCATTACTAGATTGTTTTTTAAGTCGTCTTACTGATATGATTTCTGACTGACAATTAAATGATTCTAGAAGTTCCTTTTCATCTACTTCAATCTCTAAATATTTAACCGTTCCGTAAGAGTAGCTTACTTCATTAGTTAAGTAAGATCGAAAACCTAAATCAGTAAATTTTCCACTTTTTAGCATCTTATCAGCTTCCTCTCGTGTTTCAAAATTTATAAAAACTTTGTACGGGTTCTTGTATTTAATTCTAGTAATATTTTGCAGGTTTTCCGACTTCAATAGTTTAACTAACCCAATTTGTTTAGGTAGTACATCGAGCGATGTCAAACAAACTTCATATTTATTTTCTTCAAAATATTTATATGCCCTTCTATCATTATGAGAATTACTTCGTGCTACTCGCTTTGCTTTCCTTCGTACAACTATAAAATCTTCCGCACTCTCCTCATCACTTTGTAATATTCCCTCATTTCGGTTCCTCTTCATACGCCTTGCATTGTCGGTCAATTCAGACATGTTCTGTATCGAATCTTCACATTCCTGTTGTCCCGCCATCAAACTATTACTCTCACACTGGTTTTCACTCAAATTGCTACTTTCAAAGATAGATTCTGTTGAAAGAACAGAACTATCCATTTTTAATTAACAAATGTCGGTACATTGAAAATAAATTTGCCGCGACGAGTACGATCTTATCTAAAAACGTGTTCTCGCTTGGTCTGACCGCGCGCGACTGTGATCATGAATATTACAATATAAAATAAAATCGTTAATAAAAATAGGTACTGTTAAATAACAGTATAATACATATTTACTAAATATTTCATATACTAATTACTTTTTTAATATCGACATTATATAATTTTAAAACATTTAATCTCTGTAGAATCAATAACTGCTTTTAAAATTAACTATTTATCATTTCAAATTCTTTAGAATTAAAACTTTCAACGTTCAACTAACAATTATTGATTATGCTTTATATATAGGTACATAATATATATACCTCATTCTAATTTCTTCTTTCATTTTAAATTAAATGTTATTTATAAAAAAATTATGAACATGTAGGTACTCGTAACAGAAAACGATATTCATTCGATATTATGCGGGTAAACTGCTTTACTTATAACCATCACGCGATACTATTTATAATTATCAACCGACGTTTGAATTTTTGAGAATAAAAGTTAAAATATAATATTCTATTGATTTACTATTATCACTTTAGAATATATTTTTTAAATAATAATAAATGTCAGATCCCAGCACCTCCACCATGTCGCCAAATACCCTGTTCATCGGTATTAGACGAATATAACATGAGACGTAGATACAACACATATCATAATAATTATATGTATGTAACTGTTAAACATATGATTTACTGATTGCTGGTAATGAACATATACTGATTTAATGTACGAGGGTCTGGTCCCTCGCTAGTGGCCTCCAACCTCCCCTATAGCCACCCCGAGCCTCGCTAAACTGATAACTGTTCTGATTTAATATACTGATTTAACTGATCTCACATCACTGGTCTGATTTATCTGATAACATGTTAACACATGTCTATACTGAATCGAATACTCTGAATCTGATTTCTGATCATGCAATCTGCTCACACGCATTAACATTGAATATTCACAAACTGGTAAAATAAATCCACTTACTTGAGAACACACGGTGTTACGCCTGATCTGCCTCGCTCGCGTCTCGACCGCGTCTGTGTCAAATCTCAATCTATCCTATCGAACTCTTTTCGTACTACCGTCACGTTAATGACAAATAATAATTTGAATGATTAAACATTTATTTCGCGATTACCCTACGGTATTCGCGACACTTAGAGAGATTTGCCGCTTAGTCATTTTCAGTCTAGAGTATATCACCTCTAGGTAAATTTCTAAGAAATTAATTAAAATTCTAAGAAATCTATTGTCAACTGACACGCCGGCGTGTCCGCGGTCGTGGAGGGATTAACACATCGCATCCCATCGCACATACGGACGCAAAATTGCATTGCTCGGTTGTATCTCTACGTGCTCAACGGAATCCTATGTTCTTACACCAGATTTACTAAATTATATATATATATCCGTTATAGCGTGTAAAGAGCAACAGTACTAGAGGTAACGTTACTTATTACTAAAACTTTTTGTAATTGTATCAGAGAAGTCAGAAAATAAATAATGAACACATATATTCAGTGCAATCAATAATTAATTCTATAAAATAAGTTGAGTTTCATTGTAAAAGGTTAAGTGTTTTAAGGTTTACGAGTTTTACAAGTATACGGTACCGTATAGAGCAGGGATCGTTATTGTTTAGTGGGTATTTATGAGTCAGATGCGTAAATAATCGCGAGGTGCAGCTAAAATTAAGTAAAACAAAGGCTTATAAAAATAAAGATGATGAATAAAATTAATATAATATCTACAATATACTTATTATAACACAGCTGACTAAATTCCTTTTGTAGATACCTATAACATTTTTTGTCTGAAAAGTGACATATTTTATACGTCAACTTTATAAAACAAATGAAAAACACAGTCGTAAACAACATATGCAGTTGTTCACTTCACCGCGTTAAGAAACTGATAAAGATGTAGTAGGTTTCATTTAATTGTATAACACGAATTACTGAGTCGGCTAGCTGAGTAAGCAAAGTACAATTATTTATTATACGTACACTAGTTAGTGCCTTTGGCTGTGCTTGTCTTTGTATTTACTATTCAGACCACAATCACTTTATATGACTCGTTTTAGATGAAGACAGCTCAAGCTGTATCTTCGGAATTTGGATCTTCTCAAAACCTTGAAATGCACGTGAGTTATGTTTTATTGAGACCTACTCGTATTTAGTAAAAAAATCTATAATATAAGTACATCCGTTCTGCCTTTTTTGAATATAATATATTATATAATATAAGGCCGAATCTATCGTTTTTAGAATATATGGTTTTTAGAATTTTTGTCTGTCTGTCTGTCCGTCCGTCCGCCAGGCGTACAGACGACGAATCTATAGTTTTTAGTATTTTTGTCTGTCTGTCTGTCCGTCCGTCCGTCTGTATGTCTGTTACCGCATCACAGAAAAACCACTGAAGGAATTTTGTTGAAATTTGGTATAGTGATAGCTGATTATCCGGGTCAACATATAGGATACTTTTTACTGCGGGAAAATATCTCTGAGAAATCTATACTAAACGTTAAAACGTAAGGGACGAACCCGAGCGGAGCGAGGGTGAGTCGCTACTATGTTATAATAACCATGAATAATATACCTAAACCTAATTGTAAAAATTGAAATACGTAGGTAATTATCCTTTTTAAGAGGATGTCGTATACACTTCTCATCCTTATGTTATTGGCTCATTTTTAGAATGTAGGCACAATAGTTATTAGTTATGTATTATGTTTAACGTAGGTACCTCATGTACTTAAATGGAATTATCAAGAAAAAAATAAAAGAGGACGCCGGTTCGATTCTTGAATAAATCCCATTAGTATGATATATATAGGTACGTTTGGCACTGTATATTTAGTCCACAATTTATTTACCATTTATTTTTTTTATTTTTTTTTTAACGTTGGGAAATGCACTTACGCACGACGTGTGGGACTCACCGGCGTAATACAGCCAGTACTACCCACTAAAACCCAACAAAGCCTTCCCTCGTCTTAATGGGGCGTCGCAGGATCGCTTGCGCATTCAACTACGACGCCCCGACGGCAGGTCTGCCGAAGCAGACCACCACAACTATGGGGTTGCTCCAAGGTCCACTCTGCTATCAGAGAAGTACCAGGAGCAACCCGCATGGTACACCGCCCCCCGAAGAGGGCCACCTCCCACCGCCCACCGAAGTGGGCAACCTCCCTGTGCGTTTCTTAGCTTCGCGCCCGGTTGGGTTGCCGGGCACTACTGAGCCCCCCCACCACGACAAGGTGAACGCACGTTGGGGGGGACAATTTATTTACCATAATTATTTACCATCCAAGGAAAAATTACCTGCTTATGCTTCACTCGGGTTATTTTTCCAACAAATTTGCATCCCGCGGAAACCCCATAAGTAAACCGGAATAAAATTATTCAACATTGGACATTGCCTATTTTTATGTCAAGTTTGATCCAAACCCGAAATATATTTAATGGCTACACGTTATTGAGTGACAAATAACTAAACATATTTATAAATTTGCGTATTCACCTAATAGACCAGGGTCGATAATTTTTAAAACCAAAAAAAAAATAATAGTAGGATGAAACCCATTAGAAAAGGAGGGGAATATTATAAAAATGAAAGGAAAAATAATTTACGGGCGATCTGAGGTCGGGAAGGGGATGGGGGTGAGCTTTTAAGGGTAAAAAACTGTTTTTCTCGATTTCCGGCAAAACTAAAAGTCCTATCGAAAAAAGTCATATGGCAAAGTTGTAGGTAATAAAAAGATCTAAAACTTTTGTATTTACACTTTTTTTACATAACCTTAAAATTTATGTGAAAAAATCAAAAAACCAAGTTTTTGGTTTATTATTTTTATCTTTTACAAAAAAAAAAATTTTTAACGAAATTTGGTGAAAAATTACCTTTTTATGTCCCAAATACGCTGTAATTATTTTTTCACCTTATTTTGAATTAATATCGAAAAAGCACCCTCATTTTCAATCGAAAATTCACCCGTCAAAATATCAGCTTTTTTCAAAAAGTTGGTATGTTTTCTGTTTGTTGAAATCTCTACTTTCCGATGGTGAAAAAAAAAATATATGTTACTATAGTAAATCTTCTGAGGAAATGCAAAAAACAAAAAACCTTATTTATTTCATACACTTGCTTATCATCTGCCTTATTGCAGATGATACAAACAGATTCATCCATACTGATAATCTGAAAAGACAAAATCGAATTAATAATGCCTTCATTATTATATCGTGAGTATACCCCCATGAAAAAATATATTAAAAACAACTTTGCCATATGACTTTTTTCGATAGGACTTTTAGTTTTGCCGGAAATCGAGAAAAACCGTTTTTTACCCTTAAAAGCTCACCCCCATCCCCTTCCCGACCTCAGATCGCCCGTAAATTATTTTTCCTTTCATTTTTATAATATTCCCCTCCTTTTCTAATGGGTTGCATCCTACTATTATTTTTTTTCACTTTTTATTATTTTTAAAGGCTTCTACCCTGGTCTATAAAGTATTAAGTAGGTTCATTCTTAATTCTGTTATCGAATCATAAATTCCTTGAAATACAAATACCGAACCCGATTGGATATCCCATAGGCAATATAAAAAGAATTTTAATTATATTTTTTAATTTTTCTTATTTCTAGATTCAAAAATGATATTTTAAATAAAAATAAAAATATATTCCTCACACAGTTTGATCCCTTCATGGAATAAATCTTTATTACATGGAAATTTCATGGTAAACTTCATGCTTCCAGATCCAACAGTTTAGGTTGTGCGTCTGTTTTCATCATCATCGTCTCTTAGCCAGATAGTATTTAGAGTCTTATTAAGCAACTAGCAATGCCCTCGGCTCCGCCCGCGTTTAGATGTCCAAAAACCAAATTCTTAGGTGTTATATTTTAGTATACTCTTACATTGCAGATTTTATATTTTTTCTCAGAAATGAGACAATTTACCGCGGTAAAAAGTATCCTATACGTTGATCCGGATAACCAGCTATCACCATACCAAATTTCATCAAAATCCCTGTAGTGGTTTTTCTGCGATGCGGTAATACAGAGACAGACAGACGGACGGACGGACGGACAGACAGACAGACAAAAATTCTAAAACTATAGATTCGGCCTCTGTATGTATAATAATGTTTATTTCAATAAAAATTTCCAATAAATATTTAATGTACAGATTCGGCTTAGTTAGAATTTTATTATATGTATAGATTCGTTAGAGCCTATTACTTACCAAGATATAGTTATAGCTTCGAATGTAAATTTGTGTTATATTATGTGGTGACGATATCGCGTGTTTGAGTACATCGGAGAATAAAGATGACGCGTTTAGTCACTGAACAAGGAATTTATTGGAAATGGTATAAGTAAATAGGTCGAATATAAATATAACATCTTTAGGTGTAAATTGAATCGTTTTTCTTGGGCATCAAGTGTTTTGATCGCTCCACGACTGCGGACACGCCGGCGTTACAGTTAACAATAGATTTCTTAGAAAATTAATTAATTTCTTAGAAATTTACCTGGAGGTGTTGGACAGTTTTATTTATTTCTTTTAGCCCGTGATTGGTTCTGCCATGTTTCTCATTATGAGATTACTAAGAAAAGGTTTCAAGGTAGCTAGTACATCGAAGAATAACCTATTTTCTATGATTTGTCAATACGCTATTATATTTGCTTAGGATGGTACACAGTACATAATATATTTATGTATTTGTAATTTGTATATAATATGTTAATATTCTTCCATGAAAAATCTGTATACATGTACTTTATTATTATTTTTACCTACTAAGATTATTTAGCAATGCTATAGGGAATTTTTCCAGTGCTTTACTTTAAAGAATATAAACAAAATATTTACATTTCTGGAATATGGCTATTTCATGTTTTCTTACAAAATAGTACTATGTAATTAGTTAATAGTTAAACTATTACAGAGTTTCAAAAAATACGATAAACATGATTGCTGAATACTCGTAATGTGAATTTATTAGATTAGTTATAATAAATTTATTATGTAAATTGTATATTGTAATTATTTTGTATAAAATTACTGTAACAAAAAATTATAAGATAAAAGTTCTAATAATAATTTTGTACTTAATTATATCATTTTTATTATAATCTAAGTTCTTTGTATACAATGTATCACAGTGAAATGAGTAAAAAACTAGGGGAGCGTAAATAAATAGGCGCGCGCTATTCGTGGCGGCGCGCGTGCGCACTGCACCATAGATATTGTGGAACAGATGCGATTCGTTTTGTTATACAAACGAACTTTCATTGAAATTTCATTGATAGTTTGAAAATATTAATAAGATTTATTTTCATGTGTTGATTCATTTTATTTTCGTGAATATTATGAAATATTATAAGTTGTATGAATCAAAAATATGAGACATTATTACCAACTACAACTACTATAACTTAATGAGGAAAATATATCATATAGAATTGGATAAATAATAAACATATAATATAATATGAAATAATTGAAATATTTACGTAAAAGAGCATCCTTGACTTAGAAAAACTAGTATAATATTTAAAATAAGTAATTTTAGTATTGTTTTCATGTCTTAATTGATAAGGAAACGCTATCGGAAGTTTATATCCCAATATAGGAACCGGCGATCAATTGATATTAAAAATATCGATACGTCTAGACCGAGAGTAGTAGTGTAGTTGTAATTTTATCAGGTGCTAACCGAGTGAGCAAGGAGGACATGTGCCGGGAGCGGAGCACGTCGTCGGAGGGAGCGGCGCGGGGCACGTCCTCCGTCCTCCCGACGGCCGCCTCGCCCGCAGTCCACGCGAGGTGCCGCCGTCGGCTCTACGTCTGTCGAGTGTCTCTCTACACACCCGCGCCGTTCGAAACGCGCTACATACACTTTCGATACCGACCGCCTTTGTTTACTCCCCACGCGCTGCCGTTAACAGCTGTTCTCAGTGTTCCATCGCGACTTAATGAGATTGTTCTGTGCCAAATTGCGGAATTAGTGTGACCGGTGCTGTGTTCGTGTGCTTACAGTGTGTTCATGGGGTTCGCGGCGCGGCCCTGAAGTGCAGCAGAGCTGAGCTCCCGAGGCGACGCTAGTGGCTCGGCCATGGCGGCCACTGCCCGCCGGGAGATAGACACCGGTGAAGAGGATATCGCCGCTATTGCCAAACAAATTTCAGACCATGCGGAAGCCATATATCAGACTTGGAAAGCACGCGGCCTTGCGCCCACGGAAATACTGTCGTGCAGGCCTACACCCGGGCTAAAGCTGGCCGAGAGCCTACGGACTAAACCTAAACCGGAACCGAAACCTGAAATAAAACAACGTCCAGAGTTTCGCAGAGATCGCCCAGAGCTGCGAGAGCAACGGCCAGATATACGTTCTGAAACGAGGCCTGACCAAAGGCGAGACCTTCATACAAATCCGGAAAGTGAAACCATTGAAGTGACATTACCACCAGATTTAGTACCAGAGCGTAACGGAACAGGATCTGGAGCAAATGTGAGACGTGTTGATTCCGCTGCAATGCGGCTGGAAGTTGCTCGAGAGGAAGAGAGGCTTCTTCGCGCTTTACGTACCGGTGGGGTTGTTGCCGAACGTCCAGCAGAAAGACCCGATGTTGTTCCTCCAGTATCGCTAGTAGATTATGCAAAAAGTCGATATCAGGATAGATTAGATACTGGTGCGAGGAAGCCTGCGGCGGGGGCCAGTGGAGAGAGAAGAGCGTCATTTGGTTCTCACGTAACCGAAGCGAGATCCAAGTTTGAGGCACGAGCCCGCCGTGCTTCTAGTGCCGGGGCTGGCGAGTCCGCATCATCAATGGCGGCTGCACCAGTGCGACCCTTTTTAACGCGCGGTTCCGTTGCCGAACGGGTACTTATGTTTGAACGATGTCCGAGTGAAGCTACATTAGAATTGGCCAAAAGAAAATCTCCAGCTGCTACCACGTGGCGAGGACCTCACGATGTTATTATAAGAGCACAGGTGAGTTTTATGTAAACTGTAGTTGCCTAATACAAAATTTAAGATAAACGCTCCACGCGTGTGTAGTATGATAAATATTTATTCGTGGTTGTTTGTTATGCCGTCATGCTGCCGGACATCGTGGAAAATTAAAATAGGTATATGGCCATGGAGATGTGTATTTCTGATTCTAATTATAATAAGTAATATATATGTTTTAAATTATTATTTTTCTGCATGAATATACCATGATAAAATAATTAGATAAAAAATACAAAAGTTTGGACAAATGCTTTCTATCTATCTATACATTTGTATATCATCATTTAAAAAGTCGAAAGTTTTTTTGAAGATTATGCAAACAAAAAACACATAAACAACAATTTCAGGTTGAAGATATTTAGTTGAGTCAAGTTTTATTAATGAGGTCGACAGGACTAGAGGTCATCCACTCGACTGATGTGAAATATGATTTAACCACATATTTCGTATTTGTACGTTTTTTTGTGCATCATTGATTAATTTTAATTTATTAAAATGCTATTAGGCACAATCGTATAAGGGTTATAGTTCGGTAATATGTTTCTTAGATCGCATCGTTCAGTTGCATTTTTGTCAAACTGCCAATACTTTGCCCGTTGAACCCGACGAAATATCGTTTACTCGTAACATTCAAACAGAAATTTTCTAATTTATTTTGAATATATAGTCAAGACCATTGTATAATTATGAAGAAGATTTTGATTCTACGAAATGAAAAATATTTGCTATTTAATGGAGCAGATCTTGACTTGACTGAATATGAGTCAAATTCTTTGATTTATATATAATTTTAGTCTTATCCCTTATAATAATTCCTATACTAAGTACATCTTTAAGGATAAAATGATTTATATTTTAATAAATTATACAAGATTTAGTTCCATTATGCTTATTTTGGATTATTTTTCGGTAAGCCACGTACGATTTCGTCTTATTTTAAGAGAGAAAAATAACACTATTACCACGCACCACACTACGACGAATATGCACAAAAAAACGCACAGCGACGTGCTTTCATATCAATAGAAATGCAAGTAATTTACATTTTCAAGTTTATTAGCGCTGAAAACGCGCAAACCTAGCGTATCTGATATAAGTACAATATTATCCAAGCAATATATAAAATTCTACATTGTAGTCCTCGTTCCGTACGTGGTGTAGTTTGACTAAAAACTTTTCAAAGAAGTTGAGTGATCTAGTTAAAATTCAAGCTAAAATATTTTTGTTTTTACGTACTGAATTCCATTGTAATAATATATAATAAATATAGAAAAACAGAAAATAGCATTGTAAAGGCTTTCGATCTAGATTCCACGGAATCCAAAATCTCTCGTGGATGTAAAATTTAAAAGAATATATTCAGTGTAAAAATACGATCTTACTAAATCGTTATTAAACATGACTGAAATTCTATAAATGATCAACTGTTCAGACTATCGTTACAGAAAGACCGCTTTTTCTGTTGATTTTCTTCTTTAATGTAATCTTGACTATGTTAAGCTTAATATTTTGGCAGGATTTCCGTACAATACAGAGTTCATTAAATTTTATTTAGCAGCTTATATGCTTTTAGTTTCTGGCACATAGCTCTCAGAACCACTCAAAATCACTTCTGCCACGATGAAGCTTCTTGAGTGGTGACCATAACCGCGACGGAGAAGTATGGTAAGCATTCTATGAGAAGGACGGACGTCCTGGAGAAAGTTTACCGGAATCCAACAGATTGAAATAAGGGAGGCAAATAACCAGCAGTGGACTTCTTTCGGCTTAATTTACGAATTTAGTGGTTGTGATTGTGAGCAAATGCCATATCTTAGTTATAAAAATTTTATTATACGAGAATTTTCTAAAATTTCACAAAACCGAATATCAAGAACACAAGAAAGGAAAAGCGAAACAAAACCAAGATCAAAAGGAGCGATGATATAACTATTTAGGTAATTGATATTCCTGAACAACTTCTAAAGATTTAACTAACAAAGTCAGTATACGAAGTTGTAAAGATTTTCAGTATTATGAAGTAAAGTAATGACCAAAGTTAGAATGTTTGGCTTTAAAATTTCCTAATTATCTATACCTAAATATCTTGATATTTAAAACTGTCTGTATATTATAACACTTGCTTTGCTAGAAGATCTGCCAGCGTATATTATTTTAAACGTCTTCTGAAGTCCTTAGATCTTGGCCTTCGTCGGAAAATGGGGCAAATAGGGAAAATTAAATATCTTTTTAACAAACTCTCTATATATTTATCTATTTTCTCTTTATCAATTTTTATGTTTATATTATTATAGATAAAAAATATGAGAGTATCTAGTAGTCGTAGCTATATCATTGATTCAATTCCTTATAGCTTCGCGTGTTCCTAAAGAGACAAATTGAGAGCATTAGTGATTGCATGTGAAGTAAATTACTTAACACCGTTGTATATCGTTTATGTAAGATTTGACACAAACGCGATAATCTCTAATTGGAGCAATTCTGGTGCCAACTGACATGTAATAGCAACGGAACAATTAGATTTTTTATGTAACGACCAAAAAAAAATTACTTATTGGTGTGAATATGTGACTCGAACTTTAGATATTTACCAGTGACTCACCCTAGCTTCGCTCGGGTTCGACTCTAAGTACGTTTTAACAGTTACATGATATGATATACCTACAGTATGATGAGTTGTTTGACTTACGTTATAACGTGTTTTTTAGTGTGAATAAGATAATGTCCCGCGATAAAAAGTAGCCTATGTCTCTTTTCTACACTACAACTATCTGGAAACAAATCACGCCAATCCGTCACTCTGTTTCGACGTGAAAGAAGGACAAACAAACAAACAAACAAACACACTTCAAAATTTATAATGGGTATTTCGTTTTGTATGGATATGATTAATGTATAAAGCTGAGCTTCACTAAATTAATAATAATTTCAAATATTTACTCCTTTGTTTTTCTAATATCTATTCTTATAATATATACCATACATATTAATGTATCATAGACGAATGACGAGTTAATAATAACATAAAAAAGAAAATTCTCTACATGTCAATGTAAAAACAGAATATTGGTTGAAGTGTAAAATGATTTTTGTTATAAAAAAAAAATTGATTTACAGATAAAGTTAATTTATTTCAATATAAAATGTCAACATTGCAATATAACGTAATAATTTCTTGAATACGTTATATATTTTTAAATGATTTCTTTATTTTTTACAATTAAATGAAAACAATATAAATACTGTCTCGTTTTATATAAATGCAGCAAATATAATATAATAATTTATAAAATTTTCATTCATACTCTGCGTGTATTACGATGCGTCAACGCCATGACTTATAAATATGACCTTCATTAAAACGTCTAAATTAAATCGAATATAGTCAACAATTATTCAAGTTTTCTTCGAAACCCTTGAGCGCTCTACATATAGAGCGCAGTATCTTGCAGCTTGCCAAAACCCTAAACATGTTTTATTCTGGAAAGAAATCTTTAAATATCGGAAAAATTATGAAAAACAAATAGCGATTTGTAACAGTTTTGGTTGTTTAGATCGGCAACCTCATATTTCCCATGTACATACATACATGTAGGGGCCAATGACACACATTTTCGTGTATAACAGTATCTTAACGTGTTTAGCATTGCAAAAGCTTAAAGCAGGATATGATTTACAATATTCACATCACGAACTGAATCGTATTGTTGTTTTGCATGAGTATGTCTTACTTTCTCAGTAAACATCTAGATTATGTCAACGCGATTTAAGTCTAGATTCTTTTAAAATTCTGGCACTAGCATTGATTTTTCCTATTAAATTTTAAGAAAGAGATTGTTCACCTCGGAGGACGTGTCTTTTACTACTCGTACAGAAAAAAATAGTATTCCAAAATTAAACTTGAAACGACGGGAATGGCTTGGCTGACGCCCAGCGGCGCCGGTTAGATGCGAGTGACAAGCGCATACGAAGTTCCTTAGTTTTAGTTTTATGATCTACGTAATATTCTTTAAAATAAAACACGTAGTTTCAATTTTAAATGTAAATGGCGTCTAATTGTTTTATCCACAGTTTGTTTTATTTGTAGGCGGCAGATTTCATAATGTGTAGGTAGAATATAAAATATGTACCAATCCAATGCTGCAATGCGGCTCGCGAGGTAAATATGAAGTTTGATCTCGAATTTTGCTTTGTTCGGTTTGACTCCATTTAATGACTTGTCTAATAAACTTTATATTTTACATCATTTATAAATATTTTATATGGCAATAAGATTTTTTCGATACGAAGTAATACTTGAGCTATTTAAGTGTAACGTGAGCAGTTCTATCATATTCGACCTAGTAAACAAAGGAAGCAAACGCGGTCAGTAGGAAATGCTCGTAAATCGGACGGAAGCGACGAACAATGACTCGAACGAAAGCAGCGCTTCATGCAACAGTAATCGTAATCTTGGCACACGCAAGACATAATTGGAACATAATTCGATTTGTAGTAGGACAGTTAATTAAAACATCAATCTGTATCAATATAAATGATATACTATTCATTGGCAAACGCATCATTGGAGAACGACTAAATGATTTGGTTAACGAATAAGGTTTTTATGGAAATGTCATATAAGTTACCTAGAAAATGAAGAAATTTAGACTGAAAGTGATTTTTCTATAGGACGTTTGTAAGAACACAAAGATCACAATTTGTTGAAGTTTGGGTAGGTCTATCGGGTCAGATTAATAATAATCATATAATTAACATTAATAATATTTGTTAATATTAATAATAACATAAAAAAACATGAAACCCATGTCAAGGTATTAATTGTCAAGGTTTTGATATACGCGTTAATAGGCGTCGATCATAGAGCTTTCTTTTGGTTGAAGTTGATTAAAAATAGATATTCCGCGAAATTAACAATATATTAATTTATAAACATTTTCAAAGGTCATTAAACAACGAATTGAATAAAAATATGAAATACCGTCTTCACAATCTACTGAAAGCTATGCTAAATATATGTAACTATTAACTCAGTGTAACTCTTTCGCTTATTGAGCTTTGTCAAGTTTGTCTTTTAAACTTTTACATTTATATTATAAGGCTTAAAAGCTTTTTAATAACCGACTTCCAGAAAGGAGGAGGTTTTCAATTCGTCGGAATCTTTTTATTTGTATGTTCACCGATTGCTCGAAGACGCCTGAACCGATTTCGAAAATATTTTTTTTATTTCAAAGGGTATACTTCCCAGGTGGTCTCATATAAATTTTATCGAAATCGGTCGAGCGGTTTTTTAAAAAAACAACAATAAATATTTTTTTCAAATAAATTGTTTAATCGAATATGTTATTCAACATGTTTCTTACAAATTACTTGCTTATTACGTCTACACTAAAAAAATAAAAACTTTTAACAAAAAATAAAAACCGACCAGAACCAAAACCAGGCACTAAAATGTAAAAAATAACTAAACGGAGGTTTTCATTTAGAATCGATACCTAGTCAGATATTTTCGAAGTCATTGCCAGCCTACAATATTTTAAGATACGAATATATAATAGGTAAATATGTATTATACGTATCGAAATATATTAGATTTGCTTTGCATCGGCTTATTTTTCACTTTTTTTATATATTAATATTTTATTTTCTCGAATTCATTTTTTAATGTTTAATTAATTTGTTATGTAATTCTTTTTTGAGTATTTTTCCAAAACGAAAAGTTTATAAGAATGTGCTCGGTTTTTTTCATTCACCGAATTTAAATAGGACACGCGAATATACAGGTCAAGAATTCGTTAGGCGAAATGAGTACAGCAAAGCAGCTAATATATTAAGGATCTCATTATGGCTTCAATGAACTTCATTAATTACTTGAAAGCACTCTTTTCATTAAAGATTAAAAGAAAAGCATCTTTGAGTATTCAAATGTACACATATTTCATTTTTATTAACATAAGTTAATTTACTTATTTAAGCTTCTAACGTAGTTCTTACCTTAACATATATTAAACATTTATAAAAAGTAAGTATTACGAAATAAGCAACATTAATATTATTGCTTTTATTTATTATTTTCTATCTACGTAAATGATGATTAATTTTAAATAAAACTATCTTTTCGGATTATTTCGCGGATTTATTTTGATTTTTGATTCCCGACGTATCGAATGCTTTACAGCAATCATGGTCACGGGAGAGACTAAGGTTATAGACGTCTCAAACACATACTTGTTACAGACAGTGCCTACCCACTATTTTACAAAAATGATTTCATAAATAGTCATAATCCGAAAAGATAGTTTTATTTAAAATGTCAAATATTCGCGTAAATCTAAAAAAGAATAATTATAAATTCAAAATTGAGAAAAATATGTTTAAAGATACATTAAGTTTTGTGTTATTTTTACTCTTAAAGAGTATAAATATTAAGATATATTAAAGTTCACTATTTTAGAAAGTTTTGTAATATATATTTTTTAGCTTAGTAATTACACAATATTCTCTCTTAGACCTTTGCAAAATGCTGTCCTCAATCTCACAATTCACACTGACGTGTCATGCAAATTCGAAACTGAAATCCAGATGCGAGCCAAATAAGCGTTGTAGTCATACGATTCATTAGGCGTTGCTTTGTAGATTAGGAGATGCAATAATGCTGCCTTATATGTACATATCTATGTTAATTTTTGATAGAATGTTCAGTCTGAAGTGCCTTTATCACTCTAATATTATAAATGTGAAAGTTTATATGTTTGGATGTTTGTTACTCAGTGTCAGTCAGCCTCAGTGGTGTAGTGGCTAGCATGTACGGCTGCACACCCGGAGGTTCTGGGTTCGAGTCCCGGATCGGGCCAAGTTTAGTTATTGAGTTTTTCTGTATAGTAAGTCTCAGTAACAGCCCGGAGTTGGGAAGTTGGCGGTGTTTCACTCCCGTGCCTCGAAGAGCACGTAAAGCCGTCGTTCCTGCGCCTGAACTCTCACTGGTCGTGTCGAGTTGTCGTCCCACCGGAGTATGAGAGTGACAGGAATAGAGAGTGCACTTGTGTCTGCGCATACACTTGTGCACTATAATATCTCCTGCGCAGTTGGCTAATCTATTGAGATTGGTCGCCGTAGCCGGAATCGGCTAGGAGAACATCATCATCATCATCATCATCACTCAATCACGCCAGAACGGCTAGACAAATCTGGATGAAATTTGGCACAGAGATAGATTATAGGCTGGAATAGTAATAGAATTTATCTAGAATTAATTTTTGTGAGATAATATGATGTCAGGCTTCGAAGGTGTAAAATGGCCACTTTATTATGTAGATTTTAAAACGATAACCTAAATTCTGCAAACTGGCGAAAATGGCGAATCTAAAAATGTATTAAGAGTAAGTGAGTATATTTTTTATTTAGTCTCATAGTGGAAAAGAAGATTATAATGTGGCCAATATTTTTTATTATTATCTATGTCGTTTAATAAATAATTATACGAGTAATAGCAGTTATAAGTTCCTATTTCAATATATTATACTGCATTTCTTAAGATTGTTAACAGCAACACAAAACATGCTATAAGTATAATTACAATTATATTTCGTCGCTTCATTCTTCAGATATTATTTTTACCCTGTAGTCCCCTTTCCTTGCGCTAGCAACTACGCACGTCTTTAGATAAGTGTTTTAAGTACCTACATTTTTTTTTTGTGTTTACCCACGTTTTAACTATTTCAACTTCGGTTTTTAATCGTGTAGTTTAGTCATTCCTTTTTCGTGCGCAGCAACGAACGGACGTCTTCAATATACTTCGTATACGTGTAGTATAAAGTGTTACTATGCCAAAACGTAAAACTAAAGATAAGATTGAATATTATAAAAGCAAATTACGAAAGTTGGAAAACAAAAGCCGTCGTCGGATAAGACGCCTATCGCCTTCATCGGATTCGGAACAAGAAACAAGAGATACAAGTAAGTACAAGTTTCATCTATAAATTGGTGCTTAAGTCCTTATAAATGGTACTAATAGTATTTAAATAGTAATAATTATATTAACTATGATAAAAACGCCTGGAGAATGTCCGAGATGGCATTACAAAGGCTAATTAAGTTAATAATGCCCAAAGGTTACCCGAGATGGTAACATGACGGTTAATTTATACCGGGAGGTTATCCGTGATGGTAGCACGAAGGTTAATTTGTACTGGGAGGTTATCCGAGATGATAACACAATAGTTTTTAAAATAAGACAGTTATAATTTCTATAAATTAGAATCACAGATAATGCTGTTCTTATATTTATAAAGTAAAAGATAAGACTACCCACATGACAGAGAAAAATATTTCCAGATTCAATTGGAATTGGGGATCCCGTAACTATGAGCTCGGTTATTGACGCCGAGCCTGGGACATCAATGGAAGCACCAAATGAAGGGGTTACTGGTCCTGAAGTCTGTATGAATTCACCGGGCGATAACAATGTGGCGAATTCTTCAACTGTTCCCGTTTTGGATCCAAGTATTTTGGCAGCATTAGGGGAAATCACGGACGAAACCCCAGAGTTTGGTGAGAAAATTCACGAAAACCTCGTACAAATATGGTCACCTTTGTCAAAACAAGGTATGTCGAAAGATAACAGGGAGGTACTCTTGAAAAACTATTTAATCCCAGAGAATTGTACTTGGCTTCAAGCGCCAATACTTAATCCAGAGATTTCTGCAGCTATACCCGAATCAGGTAGAGCTCGGGATAAGAAAATGGCCGCTACCCAACGACAATTGGGCGTGGGTATTACTGCAATTAACCGAGGTTTGCATTTGCTTATTCACGATGGAAGCAAAATTGAGGCTATAAAATTTATAAGTGACGGATGTAGAATTTTATCTGATTTACATCATCAAAATACTGAGACAAGAATCAAATTTATACTCCCTGGCCTCGATAAATCTTTTTTACAATTTTTAGAACGCACCGAACGCGACAATACGCTGTTCGGTAGCGATCTCTCAGAAAAAATAAAAGCCTCTAAGACTATTGTCAAACAAGGTGAGCTGATTAAGAAAGCTTTGCCTCCGCCAAAGCCTTCCACTTCCAATAATTCTAGAGCGCAACCAAACGCTAACCGGTCCAGCTACCAGGGAAACTGGCAGGGACCTCCTCGTTCCCAGCCGAACAGAGGAGGGGGGCGAGGAGGTCACAAGCGGACCAGCTACCGCATTCCAACTTCTACCAGCCAGTCGAAGACCAGTCACACTTACAAGCCGCGTGTCTCAACGCGACGTCAGTGACCCAGGTACATGCAGGTAGAATTCAATTTTATTATAATTGCTGGACAAAAATAACGAACAATAGGACAGTTCTTAGGTGGATTAACCAAGGTATAGATATTCCTTTTGTCAAAGATGTAATCCAATATAATTTCGCCAAGACGAGTTGGTCTAACAAAGAAAGACGTGATATGACAATCGCCATTAACAGACTCTTAGGTCTGGGTGCCATTAGCACCTATAAACCGGTGAAAGATCAATTTATTTCTCGAATATTCTTAGCACCTAAGGCAAATGGTGGAAAAAGATTTTAAATCTTAAATTATTAAATAAGTTTATAGAAAAAATTCATTTTAAAATGGAAGATCATAGGACAGCGTCGAAGCTTATACCCAAACATGGTTTTTTGGCCTCTATAGATCTAAAAGAAGCTTACTTATTAGTTCCCGTCATGAAATCTTTTCGTAAATACCTGCGTTTTGAATTTGAAAATGATAAATCCGATATTATAACGTACGAATTTAATGCAATGCCTTATGGTCTTTCCATTGCCCCTAGGGTATTTACCAAAATTATGAAGGAAGTTATGACCTATCTTAGACTTCAAGGTTACAAATCAATCATATACCTTGATGACATGTTATGCATAGGAAAAACCTATACCGAGTGCCTTAGTAACGTCAAGGAGACTTTAAGAATATTAACTTGCCTTGGTTTTGTAATAAATTATAAGAAGAGTTCATTAATACCTGAACAAAGTTGTAAATATTTAGGATTCATTTATAATACCACTAATCTTTCTATATCGTTACCTATTGAGAAACGTCACACTATAGCACAGCTTGTTAAAAAATTCTTAAGTTTACCCCCTTGTACAATTAGGGAATTAGCTAATTTGATTGGTGTACTTACCGCAGCATGTCCCGCCGTTAAGTACGGTTGGTTATATACAAAAACACTAGAGCGTCAAAAATACCTTTTGTTGAAAAAATTTCAAAATTATGACTGCAAAATAAATCTAGAAAAATGCATAATTAATGACTTACAATGGTGGTTACTAAATATATTTAAAACTTCTAACTTCACTAAAATTCCAGATTTTAAATTAGAGATATTTTCGGACGCATCACAAATAGGATGGGGAGCTTATTGTAACGGCAAACGAGCTCATGGATCTTGGAAAGAGACCGAAAGTCATTGTCATATTAATTACCTCGAATTATTAGCTATTTTTCTAGCATTAAAAACCTTCGCTAAAGAATTATCAGACTGTGCTATATTGTTACGAGTTGATAATAATACAGCTTTAAGTTATATTAATAGAATGGGAGGAATACAATATCCTCATTTAAACGACCTTACTTTTAAAATTTGGCAGTGGTGTGAGAAGCGAAATATATGGATATTTGCGTCATATATTAATACTAAAGAAAATATTGAAGCGGATGCAGAATCAAGAAAAATTAACCCTGATATAGAATGGAGTTTATCAGACAAAGCTTTTGAAACTATTTTGTGTAAATTGGGTCAACCTGAGATTGCCTTATTCGCTTCTCGCATTAACGCTAAATGCGAAATATATGCAGCCTGGTTTCCCGATCCAGATGCATCTTTTGTCGATGCATTTACCATTAACTGGAAACATAAATTTTTTTATGCTTTCCCTCCATTTTCGTTAATACCAAAATGTCTTAATAAAATAATAAACGATGAAGCGTGTGGTATATTTGTGTTTCCATGGTGGTCGTCACAACCATGGTTCCCCATATTGAGAGAATTAATCTGTTCTGAAATAATATATTTTGAACCCAGTAAATTTTTACTTCAATCCAATTTCAGGAACTATCACCATCCTCTACACAGCCATCTTATGCTGGCTGCGGCGATACTCTCCGAGAAGCCTTCCTTCGGCGTAACATCCCAGTCCAAGCTATAGATCTCATGTTGGCGTCACTTTCTGATAATACCAAGAAACAATACAGTGTATCATATAAACTCTGGTGGCAGTTTTGTAAAACAAATAACATGAATATTTTTGACAGTACGGTAGCAAAGATAATATCATTTTTAACTGAAGAATTCAATAAAGGTGCCTCGTACGGTTCACTAAATTCTCATAGATCTGCGCTCTCTTTACTTCTGGGCAATAATATTGGGTCCGATGAATGCATTAAGCGATTGCTAAAAGGAGCCTACAAACTCAAGCCAAGTAGACCAAAATACACTCACACTTGGGACCCACAGATAGTACTCAATCATATCTCTAATTGGTACCCAAATAGAGATTGAGTTGAGTCAATTAACAAAGAAAGTAGTTATACTACTTGCTTTGTGTACGGCACAGCGAGTTCAAACTCTATCGTTGATAAAGATAAGTAACATATATACCTCAGATGCTGGAGTGAAAATTTTAATAACTGACGTTATTAAAACTTCAGCCCCAGGAAGAGAACAACCCAAACTTAATTGCCTTTTTTCATTGAGAATAAAAATATTTGTCCAGCTACCGTACTTACAGATTATATCCATGTTACTAAGAAATTGAGAGACAAAAACAAAAATAATTTAATACTGACAATTAAAAAGCCTCACAGGACGGCTACAGCTCAAACGATAAGTCGATGGATTAAATTGGTTTTATCAGAAAGTGGTGTTAATACCTCAATATTCAGTGCACACAGTACACGACACGCTTCAACTTCTTCTGCAAATTCCGCTGGCGTATGTATTGATACCATACGGAAAGCTGCGGGATGGACGAGTCGTTCTCAAACTTTTGCTAAATTTTACAAACTTAATGTGATTAATGAAGCAGAATTTGCAGAATCAATATGCAAAAATATTTGATTTAAATTAGTTATTATAGTATAGTCTATCAATACTTTATTTTTGCTTAAGATTAAACGTTCATTTTGTAAAAATCCTTGTTATTTTAATTGAAACGTAACATTGCAAATCTCATATAAACTCTTAAAATCTACAGGGTAAAAATAATATCTGAAGAATGAAGCGACGAAATATAATATATGATCAAACGAACTTCCAAGTGAAGTTCGATCATTATTATATGAGTCGCTTCATTCGAAGATATTTTGTTCCCTACCCACCCAAAAAGCCCTCAAGAGATTTGCAAAAAATCGAGTTCTCTAAAATAATGACTAAACTACACGATTAAAAACCGAAGTTGAAATAGTTAAAACGTGGGTAAACACAAAAAAAAAAATGTAGGTACTTAAAACACTTATCTAAAGACGTGCGTAGTTGCTAGCGCAAGGAAAGGGGAATACAGGGTAAAAATAATATCTTCGAATGAAGCGACTCATATAATAATGATCGAACTTCACTTGGAAGTTCGTTTGATCATATATTATTTTATGAAAACTCTTGAATTAAATTATTCTTTTACTATTTGGAGGTGCCTAGGACTCAAGGTCAATATATAGATTTCATGGCCCACGCGATTCAAACGGAAGGCATTATATTAGAGGCGATAAGCATACCCCTTCATGATGGCGTAACAACTACTCTTTATCAGTGAATTAGCACCTTAATTTTATGAAAAATAAATCATAGGATCTATAAAAAAGGGTTGAACTACTCAAATTTCATAAGTACGCCTCCCTTAGTCAAAATTATGTATTTATGCCATTTGCTGTAGAAACCCTTGGCCCATGGATTCAAAGGGCTAAACACTTCTTAAAAGACACCACACCTCGTCTTATCGCTTCTAATTTATTATATTTGTAATTCTCTTTACGTATAGAAACTGATTATTTGTGTGATCGGTAGCGACAAGTTTTCATCGCTTTGAATAGTTTAGTATTAAAATTATGTCCAATTCACATATTTTTTTTTAAATTCTACTTAGTTGTTAAACTTGACATTTTCATTATTTTACATGTTACACATAAGTTATTTTTCCGGGATTGCTTTGAAGTGAAGTATTATTATTTTTTAATCGTTATTTTTGCTCTATCGTTATTGTTTCTCGTTTTACTAATAAATAATAACAATAATTAATATTATAATGTAAAATATGATAATACTTTCAACAGCCTTTATATTTCACTTTCGAATAGGAGTACAACAAAAAAAACATTCTATTATTTACAATTATTTAGCTTACATTATATTACACACTATAATACGCACAATAAATACTTGTTTTGCAACCGGGGCTGATGTGTAAGAGGGAAAATCTAAAAAAATCTTGTTCAAAAGATTAATAAGATTTTTGTTGTTAATTTATTTGACAGTAAACACGTCCAAGTTTCTAATTATCAATAAGAGCGGCTACACAACCTCTACTACTTGTGTATTTACCACAATCACACTGACTTAATCAACCAGTCATATGATGTATTCACTTAACCTAGAACATTGTATGGCAAGATGTAATAATCCATACTAATACTAATATTATAAATGTGAAAGTGTGTTTGTTTGTTTGCTTGTCTTTCTTTCACGTAGAAATGGCTTGGCGGATTAGCGTGATTTTTGTGAGGAGATAGTTGGAGGGCTGGAGAGTGACATAGGCTACTTCTTATCGCGGGAGATTTTCTCTTTGCCACGAGAAAACACGTTAGGTATAATACAATCCAAAAAAATATTTATGATCAGAATTACTTGAAACTTGGTATAAATGCTCTTCAATACTATTAATTAAATATGTGTTTTAGCATTTTTCGAAATTTATCTTATATAGTATTTCTTAAATTTAAAATGAAATAAATCGTAACTACTATCATATTAACGTACTAAATACTTACAATTTATTAATTGGTCAAACTTTTAGTGAATGAATGGTATAAGTATGCGACATCGTAATCAAGTATTTTATTAATGATTTAATAAAAGTTGTTTCATATTTATTAGCGAAGTTTTTTTGATAGCTTAATGGCTTAAAGTTTCGTATTCTGTTGAGTAATCATAGATACAAATCTAATGTACTGATAATATCTGAACTGTTATACATAGAGAAAGTAAACACAAGCGAAAACAACTTTATATGTACATACGAGTTTATGAGGATATAAAATATAATATATTAAAACTCATTGTTTTGGCGAGTAATAAATTTTTATATTTTGTAATATGGCAACATTTACCAATTTAAACATGGAATACCATTCAATTTGGCGCGATTTCGTAAATCATTACAAAATGACGAAGTTCGATCCGTTCATTATATCGTTCATTATATTCGAAAAGAAAATAGCCTGCAGCTTGTTCCAAAGCACTTTCACTTTCACACAGATCGGCATTTCATAAGTCAATTTGTGTCGTGTCACGCTATGACGTGAGATCTTTACACATTTCATGGTAATTACCAGATTGAATATGTCTTGGTTTTCTAATATTTTTAGGCGCTATACGTTATTTCTGTAAAGTATTTGTTAAGGAATATAATTTAAAAAACTAGTGGTTACTACAAGAATTGCCAGTTCTCCAAAGTTGCAGATGAAAGGTGATTGATGCTAAATAGCCTTTCTCATATTTTGCATGTTATAAAATGTAAAAAACTTTCAAATAAGACTCTTAGTTTTAAAGATTAGCGTAATAAAACAAATAAACTCTTCAAACTTATAAATTAGTATAAATATAGATTATAATAAATATATAATAAATATAGTATAAATATAGGTAATATAAGTAATCTTTTGTGTATTTTTATACAATACTAGAGAGTAGCGACTCACCCTCGCTTCGCTGGAGTTCGTCCCTAGGTTGATTCCCCATACAAACTTTCATCTCCATTTTCACCCCCATAAAGGATGATTTCTGGGCTAAAAAGTCTGTAATCCTATGTCTTTTCCATGGTCTCAAATTATCTTCTTACCAAATTTCATCTAAATCGGTTCAGAATATCCAGAGATTACCTCCTACAACGTCACAAACTGACAAACTCACAAACTTTACCTCTTTATAATATTAGTATAGATAATTAACTTAACTTAGCATTGACGTTTCTAATTCCTATATTATCTGTGAATACTTTGATCTACGCTTATAATTTTAAATAATCATTATGTACGAAACTTGCCGTTGGGCGAAAACTTCAAAACTTACATTCAAAAATTATCTTACGTTATATAAGACAGTTCTAAAAAAATTAATTAAAGATCTAAGTTTTAAATGTGATTAATAAATCTATTGGGATTTACCTACAAATGGACTGAATAATCTCCAACGTTAACGGTGTTAAGTAACGAATCTCGTTTCAACATAAAGCTGGAAAATTGCTTAAACGCTCAGCTTAGGTATTAGACGGGCAATCGGCGAACAAGGATTAATTATAGAAATTTATCTGAAGATTTTCTTGTAGAACTCAAATGCTTCTTTGGTACGAAATTTAAATATGTTATCTTTGTAACTTACACAACAATGTTATGATAAAAAACTCATTCGCTCTTTTGATTATTTCACCAATGGGACAGATAATTGAGTAGCGTATTTTACTATATTATCCTTTATATTTGACTATTTTTATCCAAATAATTATTTTTATGTCCATTATGCCATTTAAGGTTTCCATTCAATTTTACTAAAAAAGATTTAACGATTAGACTTATTATGTTGAAAAAATGTTAATTATAAAATTATTAGCACCTAACAGTAACTTATATATCACTCCAGGTCAACGTCCGGCTGAGTGCTAAATTTTATTAAAATACGTCCAGCCCTTAGATTATTAACATATAAATAATCTAAGGTCCAACCATTTAAGCGTGTAAAATTCAGAAACATGCACACAAATACAAACTTATGTAATTAAAATAGGGGCCTTATATGATAAATAAATAAATATGTTGGGACATTAATACACAGCACCATCTAGTCCCATGGTAAGTTATTATAAATATAAACACCGATGATTGGATTACAAACATTCGTGCTCATCACGCAAATGAATGCCCTCAGCGGGACTCGAACACGCGACTGCAACAAACTGAGCCAAAATATAAAATATCTGCAGTCATCATGCCGTCAAAATATAAAACATCTACAGTATCTTTTACTAAAAAAGTTTGTAGGGAGTTCTTGTCTATTACATTGCATTTTTGCGGACAGGTGCAAAGTGTACCAATTATTTTTAACTATAGATACTTTAACTGTGCAAATAGTTTGATCTTTTTAAGCAGGTGTTTGCGTTTTTGTACATTTATTTCCTACGATATAAACGTATGCAGTAGTAGTTTTTTGAATATTGTAGCAAATGAGGAATTAGATCAACTGGTAATGATTTGTAATATATTAAAATGTTGTCACGAATTTATTTTACACGA